AAAAAAAAAAGAAAAAAAAAAGAAAAGAACGTACCCCCTCACTTTGATGAGCTCTTTAGTACGCCCAATCACGTAGTACAGGCCGTGCTTGACGTAGACGACATCGCCGGTTCGAAACCAGCCGAACGGGTCGGTGGCCTGGTCAATGTCTGCCCCCCTATAACCCGAGAGGAGGCCCGGACCACGCACGTACAGTTCGCCAGGGACATTGTCGTCGAGGACCAGCCAGCCGTCGCTGTTGATCAGCTTGACCTCGTAGCCAGGCAGGAGGTATCCGATGCTTCCGGGATGACCCTGCTGGCCGTAGCGAGTTTGGAAGGCGATGCCGGCCTCGGTCATACCCCAGAGCTGGCCGACGCAAGCGTGCCGCTGCAGGTGCTGGGCGAACTGGTTAATGGCCTTGGCGTCGATGGGGGCTCCCGCGACGCCGACATAGCGTAGGGAGGCTAAAAGGGAAGAGACCGGCGGTGACAGGGAATTGGTGGTGACAACAGCAGCAGCAGCAGCAGCAGCAGTAGTGGTAGTAGTAGTAGTAGTAGTAGTGGCGTGACGGTTGATTGCGTGGACCATGGCGGGGACGAGATAGGTCTCTGTGATGTGGTAGTGGTGCAGGGCGGCGAGGAACTGCTTCAGATCGAAGCGGGGAAGCACGAACAGGGGCTCGCCGTACCGGACGGGAGCGATGTGAGCCCACAGGGCGGAATAGAGATGGAAGAAGGGCAGCGAGAGCAGGCGGGTGACGCGGTAGGGGGCCTCATAGCGGATGGAGAGATGTTGGGCGATAATCGCCGCATGGGAGAGCACGGCGGCCTTGGGCAACCCCCCCGTGCCGCTGGTGGCGAACAGGGCGGCCGGGGTGGCAGTGGCTCTCTCCTTGTCATGGAAGACGACCCAGTCAGCTTCGCCGTGCGAGAGCAGAGCAGAGCAATGCAGAGCGCCATGAGAAGCCGTGATCAGGGCGATCTGATCGTCGACTTGGTGTGATGGCTGGCCGCCGGCAAGGCGGCATCCATGTGACGGGGAACGACAACTCTGCCAAAGCAGATCGACGTCCAGCACGCAAACCTGCCCGGGAAGAAGGCCCTGGTCGGCGGCAACCTCTAGCACATCGGCTAGTGCCGTGCTGGTGGTGATGATCAGCCGCGGCTGAGCGAGGAAAAGCAGGTGTCTGAGTTCGTTGGGCGCGCTCGACGGGTTCACGCCCATGTACACGCCTCCAGCGCCGACAATGGCAAAGAACAGAGCGGGGTAGATGAACTAGAGAAAGTCGAACCATGTCAGCTTTGGAAAAGAGATTTCCCTAAAATCTTGCTCTCTTCTCACGCTATTTCCCAGATGAACCAATACGGTCTCCCCGGCCTGCACGCCATGAGCCCGTAAGCCAGCGATGAGCGAACGAACCAGGAGCCTGCACCGGGCAGCACTCAGGAAGCGGGAGGGGTTCTCGGCGTCGATGAAGATGGGAGTCTCGTCTGATGATGATGATGGGGGGTTGGTGGAAGAGAAGGTGAAGGTGAGCAGGTCTTGATGCCTTTGGAGAGCCATGCTGAATCCAGTATATAGTATAGTATAGTATAGTATATCTTGGTATTTAGTAGTAGTAGTTAACTATAGATATTTAGTAAAAGACTACTATTAGTGGATTTACTTTCTCTTTCTCCTCAGAGACCGTCTATTATATATATATAAATAAATGCAAGCCCATTTCAAATAAACAATAATAATCCTCCTTTAGAGGAGTTTATTGTCATCGACAAAAAATCCCTAATCTATTTGGAATGATGGCATATTTGGAATATTTGGAATACGGCGTAAGATCGGCCAAATCCCCCATTGGGTCCAACGAACCAGTGGGTCGTCAGCTGTGGCTTTGATCGCTATCAAGTCTATAGTAACTAGTTAAAGGTAACAGGCTGATAGGTTCGATGGCAGTATGGAGTATCGATTGATAGAGAATGCCATTCGGTCAATGGGGGGCCTTGATCGGTTCAATGATCTGGGGATAGTAGAAACTGGGTACACAGTAGTTACTCCGTAGTTAGTGGTTAGTATCAAGTAAACTACTAGGTACGGAGTAGTAGAGTATTGTCGTATGTCCATTCCTTACTCTTCTACCACATGGCACTGGTAGTAGGCGAGGGGCGTTCCAGCGAAGCAAGGGCAGTCAGCACATGATACGCAATCATGATGGAGAGCTTGTCGGCCAGTCATCTGTGTCGGTTCGGATCATTTTCCCTTGGCCATTCTGATCGTCAGGTTGTACCTGGCGGCCTGATTGAAGATGGATCTGGCGGGCAGACGGAGCCAGGCCGTGCTGATCAGACGGCTTTCAGCTGCATTCCAATGCCTCGGCGATTGGAATCTTGGACGCCTTATACGCCCGAGTCCGTAGTAACCAGCGAACCTAGTCAATGGTAGTAGCGTGGTGACGGTGGGTGGAATGTCGATGGCTCGTGTGTGTATTCCGGATAGGGCAATCCCGGAGGCCGCAGTGCATTATCTTTAAGTACTGCGTATAGATACTAAACTCAATTGTCCTCGATTAAGAGTCAATTACTTGTATCCATGTACATTGTGAAGAATCAAATACGTACCTCAGATATACCCAAGAATACCCCAAGAATACCCAGTTATGGCGCGACCACCCTCTCATCGTCCGCACCTCAGCGAGGCGACCACCATCGTCGAATCACCCGAAGAAGCCAAGATAGACGAGCTCTCGGAGGGATCCGATGTAGAGGCCCAGATATCCAGAAAACCATTTGCACACACCCGATACGCTCTCTTAACCGTGTACCGGCGGCTGTTCGGGCTCGTCTTCCTCTCGAACCTAGGCGTGTTCATCTACGTCCTGGCGACAAGACACCAGAACGAACTGATCGCCTGCGTCAACGCCGCGGCGGCCAACCTGCTGGTCTGCGGTCTGGCACGGCACCCGCACGTCGTCAACGCCGTGTACAGCGTTCTCTCCGCCGTGCCGCGGAGGGCACCGCTGCGGCTGCGCCATCTCGTCGCAAAGACATACCATTACGGCGGCGTGCATTCCGGGTGCGGCGTCGCCTCGTTTCTCTGGTACGTCGGCTTCACGGCCATCTTGACGACCCAGTACCTCCAGAACACCCTCGCCGTCTCCGTGGCCGTCGTGGTGGTCACATATCTCATCCTCGTCGCCCTGTTGGCAATCATCCTAGCGGCGTACCCCGGTCTGCGATCCAAGCGACACAACGTCTTCGAATTCACCCATCGGTTCTTGGGTTGGACGGTCGTTGCTCTCTTTGTCGTCCTGCTTCTTCTCTTCGCTCATGAATACACCGGTAGCAGTAGCAGCGATAGCGGTAAGAACGAGGGTGAGGGTAAGAATGAAGGTAAGAATCATATGGGCGACTTTCTCCTTCATCTCCCGGCATTTTGGTTCCTCATTCTCGCCGTGTTGGCCATCGTACACCCATGGCTGCTCCTGCGGAAGGTACAAGTCAGAGCAGAATACCTCTCGCAACACGCCGTCCGGCTGCACTTCAACCATACCTCGACCGGGTTTGCAAAGGGGATCTCGGTTTCCAACCACCCCCTACGAGACTGGCATGCGTTTGCGACGTTCCCGGACCTAGACGACCAGCCTGAAGGGGATGATGATGAAGAAGAAGAAGAAGACAAAAATAAGAAATTCTCCTGTCTGGTTTCTCGAGCGGGGGACTGGACCACCTCCACGATAGGAACCCCCCCACGCACCCTCTGGAAACGAGGCACGATGCTCTATGGGTTCGCCCATCTGATGAAAATGTACGAGCGGGTGCTTCTCATCACAACCGGGTCGGGGATAGGTCCCTGTCTGGCCTTCCTGGGGGCGTCGGAGAGGGAGAGGCCTCTTCTCCGAGTTGTCTGGCAAACGCGTGCCCCGCTGGTGACGTACGGTCCGAAAATCCTCGACCTGGTGCATCGCTTGGATTCCAATCCTGTGATTATCGATTCGGATCGCAAGGGGAAGAGAGTTGATGTGCTCCCTTTGGCGAGAAAACTCATCAGTCAGTTTGACGCCGATGCCGTCTGTGTGATTAGCAACCCACGCCTGACGAGGAAAATCGTCTTTGAGCTCGAGGCCACTGGCGTGGCTGCCTACGGGCCTATTTTTGATTCTTGATATATGCCATGATTATAGAATTTGTTATTAAACAGTATATGTTTTTTTTATTAAATAGTATGTGTATTATTACTAGCTATTTAGTAGCAGACATGGGTATCAGAACTTTTGCAAAGAAATTAGGTCATCGCTAGAATATCTGTAGTCGTATCTCGTAGTCGATGTCGACGTCGGTCGATTATAAGTCGTGAGAAATCTCAATCTGCGGTGTTTCAGGTTCAGGCTCCGCCTCGGGTTGGGTTGAAAGCCGCACAGGCTCCGCCGTGAGATCGTCTGTGGTGAAATACGAGTGGCTGTGGGCTCTCGACGAGGAAGAACACGAATCGTTGTCCAGACGCAGCGACTCCATGCGGTCCAACTCGTCGTACTCGGGCAGCGGCAGCGGCGAGCCATGGTAGTCCTCGATGGCGCTGCGGGAGGACAGGGCGGTATAGCCCGGGGGACTGGCGGGCACGTCTTCGTAGACCGGGGGCATCTCCTCATCCCAGCTGATGCCCAGCCCGCTGCGTTCGGTGAGGTGGAGGTTGAATTGCATGCGGAGGACGCGGGCGGCGCCCGTAGGGGTGATGAGGCGGACGTTGCGGTTGGGACAGAACTCCTCGGCGACGATCAGCTCGATGACGAGGTTATGCTTGACCTCGAGGCCGCCGGTGCCGGGCTGCTCGAGGTCACACACGGGCTGACTGGTGGGGTTGATGTTGGCCTCGAACTCCATGCTGATCTCGCCGCCGGCGGTGTCGAAGTCGGTCTTCCACCCGGTCTTCTCCTCGTTGTGGCCGATGATACGGGTCTCCTGGTGCAGCACGCCCTTGCCCTCGCCGCCGACCTTGTGGGTGTGCTTGGGGCATGCGGCGGAGACGATCTTCTGGTGCTCCTCGATGCGCCACATCATCTTGCGCAGCCGCCAGCGGGTCTGCGTCTCCTCGCCCTTGTCGACCACGCCGCTGAGGGTCATCTGCACGGGGAAGGTGCCGATGGGATACACGACGGAGGGCAGCACGATGCGGCCGGTCAGGTTGGTCGGGGGGAAGATGCGGATGGAGGAGCGATCCGGGCCGGGGAGGATGGCGCGGCGGATGTGCAGGGGCATCTGGAAGGTGAGCTCCTCGCCGGTGGTGGTCCGGGCGCGGGCGCACAGGCGGTACTCGATCTCGCCCAGCACGCCGTTGCAGGAGGCCGGGGTGTTGCCGGGGAAGAGGTAGCTGAAGGGGAAGTCGTGGTCGCCGCTGTTGAGCTTGAGCTGCAGGGACGATTCGCGGAGAAAGGACCAGCTGTTCAGCTCCTCGGTGTGGGTGGAGCAGCCGGCACACTCGCGCGAGACGGGCTTCTTGGTGGTGACGCGCGAGAGGAGACGCATGTCGAACTGGTCGAGCGAGATGGCGCCCGCGGCGTCTGTGACGGCCACACGCAGACGGCCGGAGAACAGGGTGCCCGTGGAGGTGGCGGGAGTGCCATAGCAGACCAGCGGCGGGCTCTCGACGATGACATCCAGTTTGGCCGAGGCCGGGGCGGCCTCGGCGACATGGAGGGGCCGCTCCTTGGAGCGAGCGGAGCGAGCCAAGCTGCGGCGCTTCTCCTTGCTGTGGTCGCGGTGCGGGTGAATGAGATGCTCCATGGCCAAGGACAGACGACGCTCAGGGGAATGGGGGCGTTCAGGCTTCTTGACGGGGATATTGTGAGGGATCTCGTTGACGGACGAGGTGGAGGAGGAGGTTGAGTGGGAGAGGGTTGAGGAAGCCGAAGAGTGCGTCGAGGGACGGACCAAGCTGGCAAGCAGACGGCCGGGCATGATTCTGATTGCCTTGTCGGGGACTGATGATTCAATAGGAAATATCAATAGGTGAAGTCAATAAGACGTTCAAGAAGCAGTACGGTGCTGATATAACTGAGTTCTCGAATCGGCAATCCAACACATACTATGAGGAGGAGGAAGAATGATGGAGGAGAAAAAGAAGAGGAGAAAAGAAGAGGAGAGGGGGGCTCTTTGAAGGGTTGACATGGCGAATCCATGGAAGTCTCTGTTTCTCGTCGCCTGCCCTGGAAGGCGGTTCAGGTCTGGAAGATGGAGTCGGGGTGGGGCGAAGAATCTTTGTCATGATGATTCAATACGCTACGGTTTACGGTATGATACGATACACGTAAGTACGGTGGGTACCAGCTATACCTTAGGAGTATACCTACCAGTATATAGTTACTAGGTACCTACAACCACAGTATACCTATGTACCTACAACTACCTACATTTATAACTGTAACTACTATATCTATATACTATGAAGTTCACTGCTCACTATTTATATATAGTAATCTTCTCTATATCAATATTATATCTACGGTAGCTTCATCTAATACTATTACTATACTCGCTGGATTGAAGCGGTGTAAAGGCACATGATGTGATGGCCGTGCGCATGACTCACAGGTCAGGCGGTTAGCGACGTGTAAGAATATACTCTATTCTAGACCAGACCTTTAGAATCCTTCAGTAATAGCTCAAGGTCTACCTATTTACTAAATAACTACCTAGTATATAGTACACCTGTATACTCTATAGTATTGATCATTATAATCAATGCGCAGGACATTGAATAGGACTATTACATATACTACATAGAAATCAAATACTAAATGACAGTCTAGATTTATGGTGACTAGTAGAACTCATAGTTAGTTATAACTTATTAACCAAATGTCCATCACGTGGCGCCATCGTGGCTCCAGGCTGTGGATCAGCTGGAGCGAAAATTTCGCCGTACAGGCTGTGACCGGCATTCAGGCATGGGTATACAATACATGACACGGCGCTAGAAGCCGATCGGCCAGAATTTTCATGGCATCATTGAGTTACAGGTACGGAGGACCTTGAGTATTTACTGTGTAGTATAGAGTATCTATCAGGTACCTAGTTTAGATTCTCCTTGGGGCTTCCTCATTGGGATCTGGATTCTGATGCAATATGCATACCCCGCATTGTGACTCATTGCTTTTTTCAAGTCTCTGAGTACAGAGTATATAAACTACACGAAATAAGATAGAATTAAATAAAATAAGATAGAATTAAATAAAATAAGATGGCATTAAATCAAATAATAAAGGATTAAAGAAAAGAAAAAAGGTATACAAATAAACTACTCGTGGGAGCTGCCAAGTGGATTCAATTACCTAACAATTTGCCGGAGTATCAGATCCAGACCAACCCTCAGGTACAAACCATGCCATGCCATGCCATCGCATGTGCTACGCTGCAGCTGACCTGTCCACGTTGGAGCTATAAACCTGTTATTGGATTATTAAACATAGTAAGGTAATACTAGGTATGGGGTACTAGCTACCAACTAAGCAGGTACATACCTAGGTACCTAACTATAAAGTACTAGTTAGTTCACTAAGAAATAACTCAGTTGTATGGAGTATGTACAGCAAGAGTTTACCGTCGGAAACCGTCTTTCCCGCCGGCACTCGATCCGACTCCTCACAACAATAGGTACTAACCTATAGACTAACCATCTAGGTGTAAGTATAAGGTACTATATTAAAAGTCTTGAATAACCACTCGGCGTTCACTTCTCGGCCCGTGGTCGCGCCAGAACAACCAGTGGGGCGGAATTGACTTTTTCTTCTTCTTTTTTTTTTCTTTCTCAAGGGGTCCTCGTGGGTTCGGAGGTCTTTCGGAGGTCTCCGTCAGGGGTACGGAGTACTGAGGGATATAGAGGGATTTCATTCTATGAATAGGAAATTGGTAGAGAAGTTGTAGTATGCAGAGTATTACATAGTAGTAGTATATTTTATATTTAACTAGTAAAGTCTCAGGTGTTGACAGTATGACTACATAGACACCTGATCTGTGCTCATGCAGATCCTGGCCGAAGCTCATACGACTCTGTAGTAGGGAGGGACATGTAGTAATAACAGTAGTAGTTATATGACGTTTATAGTAGTAGTACTGAGGGGAATAATCAATTCGTCTATTGACGGCCTATTGAAATATTATATAGTATAGAATACGAGTATGATGGGTGACTATCAGTAGATCGATGATCTCTGCTTTTATGCTTCTATGCTTATTCTTAGCCATGCTGTGTAGGGAAGCTATAGCCTATAGCCTATAGCCTATGTAGTATGGCTACGTCATATCACGTGACCTGATGCCAAGTTGCCAAGACCACATCAGATGAAGCCATACAACGGCAACTGGCAACTGGCAACTGGCAACTGGCAACACTGACTGACACTGATACTGATACTGATACTGTCTTCAAGTCCTGTAAGATGTATCTCGCCCTTGCCGCCCTCCTCCCCCTCGTCTTCCTCTTCTGGACGCTGTCTTCCACCACCACCTCGCCCTTCGCCCACTCCTTCCCGCGCGTGCGCAACAAACGCATCTGTCTGCTGATCGCCCACCCGGACGATGAGGCCATGTTCTTTGCCCCGACGGTTCTGGCCTTGACGAAACCGGATCTAGGGAACCACCTGAAGATCCTCTGTTTAAGCACGGGTAAGCATGATCCCTTAATCTGAAGTATTCATCTGATACGCTTAGGCAACGCGGACGGCCTAGGTCCCATCCGGAAGAAAGAATTGGTCCAGAGTGCCCTCCATCTAGGCGTCCGCAATGAATCCGACGTCTTTGTAGTCGACGACCCAAAGTTCCAAGATAGCATGCTCCGCATGTGGAAGGAATCCGATGTTTCTGCCTTGCTGGCCTCTGCCTTTGCGCCAGAGATGATCGGAGCTTCGGATCCGACTTTGAATCCTAATAGCACACCGACGATAGATGTGCTTCTCACCTTTGACCAACACGGCGTGAGCAACCATCCCAACCATCGCAGTCTGTACCACGGTGCAGTCCATTTCATCCGTTCCCTCGGCAAGGGCAAAGAAGGCCTCGCATGTCCCGTATCCTTGTATACGCTGACCACGACAAACATTCTACGCAAGTACGCTGGTGTCCTCGATGCGCCGGTGACCATGTTCATCGGGGCTGTCAAGGGGATTGCTTCCTCGGGTGTCAAGCAGAGAGGGAATGGGAACCCAGAGTTCCCCCCGCGGCTTCTTTTCGTCAGTTCCGTCGCCGAGTGGCTGCATGCTCAATCCGCCATGGTGAAAGCGCATCAGAGCCAGATGGTTTGGTTCCGCTGGGGGTGGATCACCATTGGGCGTTATATGACTGTCAACGATTTGAAGAGGGAGGGAATCTAGCTCTCAATGTAATGTATGTATATTGTATGTATGGCTAGTTTGTACAATAAATGTAAAAAAGTTGACAATATGCAAGCTTCATAATTCGTTATGCTAAAAGTGGTACCAGACCATCAGTACTCTCCGGCTCAAATCTCTCAGTAACCCCCTCAGTAACCCTCTCAGTAACTCTCTCAGTAACTCTCTCAGTAACCCCCTCAGGCTCGCAGGGCACCTCCCAGATCAACCGGTTAAAAGGTTCCCTATTGAACAGCGTTGGCATCCTTTCGCGATACCTCGCCCAGACATACGCATCATCAAGATACCGCTCCTCCTGGGGCCCCGCATCCTCGACAACCCTCTTGATAGGAACCATGCGATGTGCTCTAATATTCGCGTCCCCCCAGAACGTCCTTCCTCGGAACTTGACCACCCCGCCGCGCGTGGCGTACGTGACGCTCTCTGGGAGGAAATCCCGCCATGTCTCCAGCAGGCGCGGCAGTAACTGGTGCTCCCACGCGACGTTGTCGCGCCCCATCCATCGATCGTGGATCAGCAGCAGGCGAGCCAGCCGCTCGATCGTCAGCTCGTGTTGCACTGTCCGCAGTCGAAGCAGGTGATACGTGTTGACTGCGTCGGCGAACTCGCGCAACCCGCCCAGCGCTTCGCTGCTGCTCTCTGCTAGCGTATTCAGGTACCGCTCTAGAATCGTCCGGGCGGTCTTGCGCTGTTGCCGTGTCTCCCGGAAGGCCTCGTACGCGAGATCCATGTACCCCTGAAACTCTGCCAGGCGGGACTGGTCCCATGCGGTTTTGGCTAGGGCGTGGTACACCTCGATGGTCGGGCGGACGTTGTAGGGGTCCGCGGTCATGGTCTGGTAGACGGCCGTCAGGAACTCGCTCGAGACCTGGCCCTTGGCGTTGCGGGCGGCGTCGGGCCCAAACCGCGGGCGCGAGAGCACCCACGCCCGCTCGAACAGCTCCAGCCACACGGCGTCGGGGACGGTGATGTTGTACGCCCGCGAGATAAACCCGATGGTCTGCAGCGCGGCGGAGATGTCGTTGTTCGTCCCGAACGCGTGCGCCACTGCAAACAGGAGCCGGCCGGTCGGATGCAGCGGCGAGGTGCGGTCGTAGGGCGTCACGGGGGGCTGGCTGGTGGTTCCCTTATCCTCCGCCAGCGTGTCCATGTCGATGTTCCACACGTGTCGCAGCACGCTCTTGACGCCCGCGACGTGGCCAACCCGCCCCGAGGCCAGTATCACGGTCGCAAACGTGGTCTCGTCCGGCTCGTTGCCAGACATGGTCATCTGGTTGAACAGGCCCATCACGTCACGCCGCACGCTCCGCGTCGCGGTGCCGTAGCCCTGCCAGCCGTTCGCCTCTTCAAAGACCACCCGCCGCTTGCGAAACGCATACGGCGTCATCCGCAGCCGGTACTTTTCCCGCCCCGTGTACGACGTATCCCACACCTTGGCCTCCATGTGTAGATTGTAGCAGCGGATGTCCGGCAAGACCCCGTCCTCCTGCATGTCCTGCCACACCACCTCGGCCATGTCGGCGTCGCCCATCGACCGCGCACAGTCCAGCAGATGCGTGTACTCGGCCAGCCCGAGCACATGGCCCGCCCGGCGTCTCGCCAAGACAATGTTCGCGAGCTTCGTGGCAAACTCATCGAAGATCGACTCGAGCGACCGGCAATTCTTGACCTGCACCGCCGTCGGGTGCAGCGGCCGATGGATCTCCCGGTACGGATCGATAAAGTATGTCGGCGAGAGCAAGTGCAGCACCTCTACAAACGCGACCTGCGACAGCGACCCGACCAGCTCTGCATACCGCGGATCCGCCAGCGTGTGGATGATCTGGTCCGGCTGGCCCCCACGGATGATCTTGTAGAAAAATCGTGCTTTCAACCCTGCATCATTCTCCTTCTCCTTCTCCGTCTCCTGTTGTTCCTCCTTGCCGCCACCGCCTTCCAGAACGCTCGGCGAGCTCAACTGTGGTGAGCCCGTGGGAACAGAGGGAGCATATCTCCGTGGCTTCTGAACCGCCCATGCCCGCCCGTCACCGGGGGAACCACCAATTGTATTGTATGAGTGCTGCGACTTCAAAAACGCCCCCAGAGGCCGTGTCGCCGGCCACCCTCGGGCGCTGCAGCCAGAATCACTGCTGCCTCGACGACGGACGCAGGCGAGGGGCGAGCGACGACCCTCGCCTGCCAGCAGGAATCCCCGCATTCTTTAAACAGAATGAATCGTATGAGCTGCAAGCTCACTGCGGGTCGCCAGATAAGAAAGGGGGCGGATAAGACGCGTCGGTGGCCTGTGGTGGAGCTCGATGGGGACACCGTGGATGAGGCAACGAGGTGAAGTCGGGCTGCTGGGCTTGGCGGGCCCAAAGGCTTCCGACCGACAAAAGCTCGGGCCGACTTTTCTTTGCAAGAGGGAAAAAGTACAGAAAGAACGCAGTCTGGTTTTCCTGTGAGCAGAACAGACAGACTAGAATGGCTGATGCAGAGGAAACGGGCTCGGCGTCTGTGTCGGAGCCCTTGGATCTGGTCCGTCTGTCGCTCGACGAGATTGTCTTTGTCAAGCTGCGTGGCGACCGTGAGCTGAAGGGCCGGTTACATGTGAGGGGTTGAGCACGACCGTGTTGTGAGGGTGTTGATGCTGATATTGCCTCCTAGGCCTATGATAGTCACTGCAATCTCGTGCTAGGAGATGTCGAAGAGACCGTTTACGTGGTAGAGGAGGACGAGAACGAGGAGGAGACTATCCGGGTATGCAACCCTCAATCACCAACTACAATATATATATATATGTACGTTATATTGAGCACTCTCTCATTGACTGATTACAGACAATCAAAAAACAGGAGGAAATGCTCTTTGTTCGAGGTACGTGGTGATGCTGCCCCTCGGTTCCGTGGACAACCACGTCTGACTCGTTGCTACAGGTGACTCAGTCGTTCTTATCTCGCCACAAGCATGATTCCATGAATACCATGACCTTTCTACGATGTTCCCCGGGCTCTACAGATGGATTGCCAGATAACCACCCTTTGACTCGATCGATGGAAATGGGCGGAGGGAACGATGGATACCCGTGCAGGAGCTGAGGTGCCATACACATACACGCCCGAGAAGAGGGACAAGAAGTCTGTGGCCATGATGGGATCAGCCGAGCTGAAACTACGATCCAGGAAATGTGTCTGAAACTATTGTTTTTTTGAGGTGCAAAGTGGGGAGAGCATTGTCGGTGCAGAGGATTCCTCCTGCCAATGTCTTCCTGTCTGCAGCCCCGGGTCCTCCATGAGGTACCTCTGACTGTCGTTCTAGGCAGCCAAATGACTAGCCCAAATTTCTCCAAATAATAAGAGTAAATCTGCCTTGTGTCCGTTTTACGAGCTGTGACTCAACGGCGTCACCCGTGGGTCTGCGGCTCAGCAGTCCGTCGCTATCGATAAAGCTCCTTAACAAGACCGATTCACCCCCTTCATCTTCCAACCACCAGCAAGAATCTCTTCATCAAATCTCCCACCAGGAGCGGAATATGATTATACGAATATAGAATCAATCGCGCTAGCGGCGATTCACCACCACATTTTACGACCGTATTTGAGTAACTCCCCCTCCCCAAACAATCTCGTCATTCGCCTCTGAACCGAACTCGAACTATGCCACCTAGCGGAGGAGTCAAACAAACGCACGAGGAACGACGGCGAGGAGAGACGGTGAGATGATCGTCTATGAGTTGTCTTTTGAAAGTGTTGGTAGAGAGTTTGGAATTACTCACACACCGTCGTTTGGTCTAGGCGCTGAGCGACTTTGCCGACTACGTCGAGAAGCAGCAGGCACGCCGCGTAGCCCAATGGGCGCCCAGCGACAGCGGATATGAGACCGCGAGCGTTTCTCGATACACCGAAGATCATGCCGAGCTCGATATTATTGACGAGCTAGGTCTGTCCGATGCGCCGCCCAAGCATGTCCGGTTGAAAGACCTACTGCTAGGCACGGGTGGCAAGGAGGAGACCGAGGCGGAGGATGAGGAAGAGGATGACAGCCTGCAGGTGCTGGCGGGTGTTTTGCAGGCCCGTGTCGACGAGGGCCACGGCGAGACTATCTTTGATATCGGCCTGGAGGATGGCGGGGACTCGATGGGCTTTGATCTCCAGCAATGGAACACCGCCCTGCGCCGGGTGCGAGGGGCGGCGGAGACCCTCCCGGCCCACTGCCGGATACTGGTGACTTATAATGTTGGCGGGCCGGAAGAGTCCAAGGTCAAGCACGAGCGGTTCAAAGATGTGTGCGGTAAGGTCCTCATCCGACAGCCGGCGGGCTCGGTGGAGGAGATGGCGGAGATCCGTATCGCAGTCGTGGGTAATGTCGATGCGGGCAAAAGCACCATGCTGGGCGTTCTGGTAAAAGGAAACCTTGACGATGGTCGCGGCAAGGCTCGAGTCAATCTGTTCCGTCACAAGCACGAGATTGAAAGCGGTCGCACCAGCTCGGTCGGCCTGGAGATCATGGGCTTCGACAGCCGGGGCGACATCGTCGCCACCCAGCAAGGCCGCAAGCTGTCCTGGGGGGAGATCGGCAGGCGCTCTGCCAAGGTGATTGCCTTCTCCGACTTGGCCGGACACGAGCGCTATCTGCGCACAACCGTCTTTGGCATGCTGAGCAGCGCCCCCAACTACTGCCTTTTAATGGTTGCCGCCAATAACGGCTTGGTCGGGATGAGCAAGGAGCATCTCGGCATCGCTCTCGCTCTCAACGTGCCCGTCATGGTTATCATCACCAAGATCGACATCTGCCCGCCCCAGATCCTTCAGGAAACCATCTCGCAGTTGGCCAAGATCCTCAAGTCGCCCGGCGCGCGCAAGATCCCCATCTTCATCAAGGACATGGAAGAGACCATCAACACTGCCACACAGTTTGTCAGCCAGCGCATTTGTCCCATCTTCCAGGTCTCCAATGTCACCGGGGAGAACCTGGAGCTCGTCCGCACGTTTCTCAACATCCTGCCATACCGGGGTCAGTACAACCCTGATGCTCCATTCGAGTGCCTCATCAATGATACCTTTTCGGTGCCCTTCGTGGGTACCGTCGTCTCCGGGGTGGTCAAATCGGGCGTGGTCCACGTCGGAGACACCGTGGTGGTTGGCCCGGACTCGCTGGGCCAGTTCACAACCACCACCATCAAGACCATCGAGCGTAAGCGAATCCAGGTGAACGCCTGCTTTGCAGGGCAGTCGGGCTCCTTTGCGCTCAAGCGGGTGCGCAAGAAAGAGGTGCGCAAGGGGATGGTCGTCCTCTCGAAGACGGATCAGCCGCCAAAGGTCTTCCGAGAGTTCGTTGCAGAGGGTAAGATTACTGTCCAATCTTTTTTTTTTATCTTTTCTATCACTTATAGTAACGTATTCCAGTTCTCATTCTCTCCCACGCAACTACCATCAAGCCCCGTTACCAAGCCATGCTCCACGTCGGTGCCGTCAGCCAGACCTGCTCTGTGATCGATATCGACCGGCCGTTCATCCGAACAGGCGACCGGGCGCTGGTCGCCTTCCGGTTCCTGCAACGTCCGGAGTTCCTCTCGCCTGGCGACCGTGTGCTCTTTCGCGAGGGCAAGACCAAGGGGCTGGGCATCGTCAAGAGCGTGGGATATGACCCGGCCAAGCCCCTCAACCCGGAGGCTAAACAAGCAGAGGCTGAGAAGAAGTAGCAAGCACATGTTCAGTTTCTTTCAGGCGGCTTCTTTCTCTCTCATCTCTTGATGGAGTGCTAATCACATTGCTAGTGTCAGTAGGCTTACTCACACTCATATTCTTATTCTTTACTGGACAGTATACTACAATCTGTTTATCTTTACCTACTCTAACTAACTATTAAGAAATAGTACAAATATCTGTAAATAAATAGTATAAATAATCCAACTACATAGTAGTGCCCAAATAGGCCCAAGTAGGAGGCATCATGACGTCAGTTCCAGACTCATGATGAAATTCGCCCATCCCCAGCTTCTCTAATTGCTCAATGGCAAATCACACACATACTGCCGATCTCCGAGGAAACAGTGCCATCGATCACCTCTGACGTATTGGACGCCCCCGCGAAATGAGATTTGGGTTCTTAAAAAGACCTCAGTGCCTGCCCACAAACTCAAATCCCATACTCCTACGAACACTTCGACCAGAGTTTAAACACTCCAGGACACCGATAAGGACGGACATCCCTATTAAAAAGAGAGCAAGTATATCCCACCATGGAATACGTCGATAAGGTTGTCCACGCCGCGTCCGCAATCTTCGCAGGTGACACTGGTAATGACACGACGACTCAGCAGCAAGAACAGCGACAGCAATCGCCGGTGAACACGCGCGAAGAGCCTCTGGCCGGGGTCCAGGGCAAGGGGACAGCTACTGACCCCTACGATGCGGGGAACCGAGAAGGTAAGTCTTGAAAATCTACCTCAAGTCTATTTTCCGGCCTGACCACAACTACAATTTACTTCAGAACAACCGGGTGCCCCATTTACCCAGGAAAACACCGCAGCCATGAGCTCGATGAAGGACACTTCTTCTCCATCTACAGCTACAGCTACAGCTACAGCTTCCTCTTCCGGCCCGGAGTCTCGTTCCGGTCCCACTGCAGACCCAGGGCCAGGTCAACCGGCCGTCGACGAACCCTTGGAATCACAGCAGAGAACCGCTCCAATCGTCGACGATACCATGGCAACCAGCCAGCAGGAAGACCATCCAGCCGAGCAACAGACCGCCCCAGTCGGCACGGCGACTAGCCAGCAGGAAGACTCTCCAGCCGAGCAGCGGACCCAGGATCCGTCTCGTGGCGAGAGCAGCCAGACGACCAAGCCTGCTTCCTCGAGCGAGACTACCACCACGGATACTAGCGATGCCAGTGCCGGCAGCGCAGGAAGCAACAACAGCACCAATGGGAACCCCGAGGAAGAAGATTCCAATGCCAAAGTGAGCGAGGAGGCTCTCAAGGGTCCTAAGACAGGGGCGCCGAGGGAGGAATTCGAGTTCGAGAAGAAGATGGAGGGGAAGCCGAACGCATACCAGAATAGTATTCCATCCTTTCTTTTTGTTACGATTCATTTTTTCCTTGCTGACGATTGTATAGATGGCACCAATGGAAATGGAGGGAACGGAGGGAATAATATCAAACCCAAAGAAAAAGTCAAAGAGAGTCCGCATGAAAACCATCATGGCAATAGGGCTAGCAAGACCATCTCCAAGGTCAAGGAGAAGTTGCACCTCGGCCACAGCGCGTGAGGGGTCGTCTACAAATTGATTCGACATTTTCGGTACGGCAGCGTGATGGTTGTAATTTGAACTTGTATTAGTATATTAGCATGTTGGTTTTGTATTATGTAGTACAATGCAATTATCTTATTCCTGATGGCTAGGAACATCATTCATTACCCGAACTTAAGAACATCTATCACATAAGATATATACAAATACTATCACTCAAAGAGCAGCTTTAACTCTTCAATTCTTTCCTTCTTTCGTTCATCTTCGCTCCCGTCGCCGCCAACCCGTAGCCCCAACGACCCTGCAATATTCATCTTTCGCTCCTGCACGCGCAACATCCGGCCTTCGATTGAGTTCTTGACCACAAAGCGCGTGACGTTCACGTCTCGCAGCTGGCCCATCCGATGGACACGGTCGATCGCTTGCGCTTCGATGGCGAAGCTCCACCACGGATCCATCATGTACACGTGGTTCGCGGCGGTGAGGTTGAGACCGACACCACCCGCGCGAAGACTGATAAGAAGGACAGAAGGAGAAGAAGAAGAAGCGTGAGCCTTTTTGCTAGCTGCCGGTTTGGCATTGACCAGTTTTCCCTGAGTCAATTGGGGTTCCCCTTCATCGTCGATATCTTCCTCCTCGACGTATGTCTCCGTCTTGGTAAACTGCGCAAGGACTTCAGCCCTGGCTTTCTGCGGCATGGTTCCGTCCAGACGGAGGTGACTGATGCCTGCCTTGGCCAGCTGCGGTGAGATCACATCGAGAAACGTGGTAAACTGCGAGAATACTACTGATTTGACCCCCGGAGGATGACACGTGAGATGATTTAGCAGCGCATGGATCTTGGCCGACGTATGGGCCGATGGCGAGAGAGGGTGAACACGTCTAAGGGAGATGCGCGGTGTTGGATGCGAGGACGCTGGAGGCGTGCTGGAGTACAGATCTTCCTCCGCCGGTGTGGAATTTGGAGACTTGTGTCGTATCACTTCAAACATGTCGCGCGAGTTGATCGGCCCTCGGCAGGAGAAACAGCGAGGAGCCACCCCTTTGTCTGTTTGGTGTCGTATAAAGTCTTCTAGACATTTTTTGCATGCACTATGCCAGCATGCAGTAACAGCCGGGTCGATCATAGGCTCTTCGGAGCATATAGGGCATTCGCCGCTGGATTCGTTTTGAATCTGCCTCAAAGCATGCGCGCTGAATTTCATCATAGACCCCGATTGTTGGTCCGAATCGGCTGATTCAGTGGCTGTGGTGAACTGATCAATAAGTTCCTGGAGGTCCATATCGTCTTTTAGCCCATTCGCCTCATTGGCAGCCGCTGCGGCATCTTCCTCATCCGCCACGATGGCCTTGTTACGTGTGAGGATTGGATGACAGCATGTTTGGCGCAGACGAAGAATCTGAGCAAAGATCGTGGAGAACGACTTCAACAAAGTGCCGGCTTCGACGTTCTCATTGAATGTACGCTTTGCTCGCGTGAAGATGAGGTCGTAAATTTCCCGCTCCTGATCCGAGAGCTCCACTTCTTGGATAGTGATCGTCCGACGAGGCAAAGGGACTAGAGGCTCTCCTTCTGGTGTCTTCATGGTTTTTGTGCGGCGCAGGACGAGGGGTTCTAGAACTGTCTGCACAACATTGAGCGCACGGATATAGTCTTTGGATTCGAATGGCACAGTAATAAAGGTCTTCCAGAAAGAAAAGTTACTCCAGGGCTCAACCTTCAGAAAGCGGACAAGACTGAAGAGGTCTTCCAGGCGGTTCACAATCGGGGTTCCCGTGAGGACCCAGCGATGAGTAGCCTTGAGATCATAACAAGCCCTTGCAGTCTTGGATCGGCGATTTTTGATGATGTGTGCCTCGTCAAGAATGATGCGGAAGAAATCGACAGAGAACAGGCCGTTAAGCAGCATATCTTGACGAAATTCGGAAAGAACCACGCCGTAGCTGGTGATGATGACGGTTGGGGCCGACGAGGGGTTAGAGCACAGCTCCTTCATATTGATAGAACGATCGGCCCCGTAATACATGAGCACCTTCATGCTTCCATCCTGAGAAGCTTTATATGCCTCGCTTTCCCATTGCGATAACAGTGACGTCGGAGCCACAACAAGAGTGGTATACGGTGCAGGTGTAGCACCTTGCCGATACTGAGAATGAAGCTCACGCTTCGGTTGCTGTTCAACAAGAGAGGTTTTATGGGTGTGAATAAGGCTCATCATCTCAATAGTCTTGCCTAAACCCATCTCATCTGCAAGGATGCCTCCCAGGCAATGTTGTTCTTGCACTGGGAAATTGAGACTGAGCTCTCCAGAGTATGGGTTCACATAGAAGTGATCCACCCCCTCAACAGGCGGAAGATCCTTGTCATCAACATCTTTGAGAGGCCAGGTATATTCTTCCCACAGCGGATGCATCGACCTTCCCTTATCCATCTTTCGGTCCTTCTCTTTGCTAACCATCCAGTGCAGAGCTTGTTTTTGATACTTCCGTAATTGGAGTTTGAAAGTCGGTGCTGGCTCGGTTTCAGGCATGTTGAAGTCGAAGGACTGTGCTTTTTGGTAAAGGGTGTCCAGTTGATCGTCTTCTAATTCAGGAGACTCATCTTCCTCAGACTCCTCATTATTGCCTCTCTGTTTCTTGGTCTTTTCATGCTGCTCTGCAATCTCGGCGCTGCGAAGAATTCCTTCTTTTTTGTGTTTCTCAGTCATGGCGTTGCTTGAAGTTGGTCGAAGCGCAATCTCATCAAAAAGCTTTACTAGAGCAACCTGGCGAAGGCGAAGCACCTTTTCTTCCGTAGTTTCTTGCTCTTCAAAGACTCCAGCAGATCGGTTGTCGTCAAGTTCAATCAGCAAGCCATGACGGAAAGCCTCCTGCCGCAGATAACATCGCAATTGTAGGTATATCGTATCGTTGACCCGGAGCCTGTCCGGTACAAACACACAGACACCTTTGAAAAAACAGACTTTCTGATCGACCAGAGTGGAAACCCACTCTGCAGTCTCTTGGGATAGTCTTCCAATCTCTTCACCCCTCTTGTTTGTGAACCTCGTTAACACGTCCGCTTTTTGGTTTGTAATGAGTTTGCCTCCACGACCACGCTTTTTCGTCGGCTGGGACCTTGCACGCTCAATATTGACAACTTCTCCATGATCGAGTAGCCCTGATCCACTTCTAGTAGCCCATCCCTCAACCCCAAATGCACCGACATATCTCAAAGCAGGCTGAGCTATGAGAGGCGGCGCATCTCTAGGGGTGTCATCCTTTTGCTGCTCTAGTGCGGGAGTTTGATATATTTCTTTCTTAGAATGCACTGTCTGTACAGGTAGAGTCTGCTGGCGATGAGTTTGTGCAGTCGAACTGGAACCGGGGGTCTTTAACGTTTTCCACGAGCCATCGTAGTAGATGTTGACTGCTCGTTCCAGGTCATTCTGGGCGGCAAACTGAATCCGGTTGATGAGATTAGGGGGAAGCCGCTCTCCAATAATGCTGATGAAAAGATCTGTATCGAAGCCATCGCTCGCCGTCGTCTGTTGGGGTGGCAGTGTGTCCTCGGCGGAAGGTGTTCGATGGGCTTGCGTGTTCCCTTGCTCAACTCCGCAGTCGCGCAGCGACGCAGTATCTAAATCAACTTTCTGTTCCAGTGATGACTGACCACCCCATTGTTCTTGTCCAGTGACTAGATCTCCGTTCGTATCGGCGTCTTTGACGATGTCTGTGGTTGTTGGGAGGCCGAGCTCCTCCTCAACGAAAAAGCGTCTTTTTTTCGCGGGACGCTGGTTCAAATCCTCCAAGCTCATATTCATTCCAGACCGTCCTATTCTCTCCGCTTAAATCTCTGGTCTGGACTGCGAATTTAAGTCACTGCAATGCAAAAAGATAGTAATTAGCAGTTCAAATGAGAGACGGACGCGCCGACGCGCCGAGAGACGCGAATTTGGCCCGGCCCGACGTCATTTTGGAGAAAAAAAAAGTTCAGACTCGACGCTTCAATCAGAAGACTTGGATCGCTAATGCGTGTCTTGTCGCTCAACATGCTCAACTAGAATCTGTATGTGGTGAAAAATTGTCTTTACTGTACCTGCATTTCTTGAAAAGGTCAGGAAAAGCTAACAGTGCTGATGGCAGGTTCCTGCGTCCTTTGCCGGCAATGCCACCCTTCTGGAGTTACGCCTCATAATATCAGAATCGATCAAGCAGGGTCTTGAAAATGTCTGTGCAGCGCCGTTTAATATATTTTGGATCTCGGGAGGTTTGTTCATTTGGTTGTCAAGGGGCATGGCGATCGCAAAGGAGGTCATTCAGTTCGTCGACGCCTGTAGCCGCTGCTCCGATATATGGAGCAGCAGAGGAAGAGGTGCAGGCTGCACGAAAATACTGCACTGCTCTAGTCTCGTGAGTGTTTTTCGATCAAACGATAGAATTTGTTGTATATTTGTCCGTTATGCTGGTAGCTAACGGTCTTTGTTGCAGCAAATATGACCGACCATCCTACACTCTCAGTACTTTCATTCCACCTCAGACGCAATCCTTCTACCTTGCGCTGCGAGCGCTGAACATCTCTCTGTCCACGATCCCCGACACCACTTCCTCTCCTACTATTGGACTAATGCGGTTGCAGTTCTGGCGGGACACTGTGACCAAGACCCTTGCCGGTTCGCCTCCAAAAGAGCCCGTCGCCATCCTCTTGGGCTCTGCGGTTGCAGAGCTCGACGCCAGAACGAATGGCCGCGCGCGGATCAGCAAAGGCTGGCTGCTACGAATGATCAACGCGCGCGAGCAGACGCTCACCAATGATCCGTACCCCAACATCGCCGCTTTGGAATCCTACGCCGAGAACACGTACTCCACGCTGCTCTATCTGACGTTATCTGCGATGCCCATGACCTCCGTGACGGCTGACCACTTCGCATCACACATCGGCAAAGCGGCCGGCATCGCTGCCGTGCTGCGCGGACTACCCCTCGTAGCATTCCCCCAACCTCCCAAGCAAGGTGCTGTGATGCTCCCGCTCGACATCATGGCGCAGGCTGGCGTCAAGGAGGAAGAGGTTTTCCGCCAGGGCGCCGACGCGCCGGGCCTGCGCGACGCAGTCTTCGCTGTAGCCACCCGCGCAAGCGATCATCTCATTACCGCCCAGCAGATGCTCCGCAATCTGCGTGCTGGTGAGGACGTCGGCCACGACTTTGAACATGAAGGCGAAGAAGGACATGAGTACGATGCCCCCTCTGCTTTCGATGTGGAACGGCCCGAGTCGCCTCTAGACCAGGTCAACCGCGCGTTCGGCGTCTTTATGCCGGCTGTTGCGACGCGCCTGTGGCTCGATAAACTGGAGAAGGCCGACTTCGATATCTTCAAGCCCGAGCTACTCGCCTCGGACTGGAAGCTACCTTGGAAAGCCTATTTTGCATTCAAGCGACGAGCATTATGAACTTTGTCATTTTGAATACTGTTGCCTGGATTCAGATCAAAACAATATTCATCATGTATTGATTGTAACATAACGATATCTATACTATACACCAAGGGCAGTTTCCACATGGAATAGCCGTGTACTGTACACTATACAATAGAGATATAAATACATCCCATCTATTTGTCCTTCCTCTCTTGCCTCTGTTTTCTCGAGCTGATAATCAGTCGTCTCTGCGCTAGCATCACGGCATACCGCTGAATCTTGTCGCGCCTATGAGATTGACTATATCAGCATCGAACATGGTACCTTTTGGGGTTTACTCTTTACTCACATGAGAAATAGTGTTGTCACGACCACAAATGGGACAGCAATTTTCCAGAAATAGCTATTGTCTATTAGCACTGGATAGAAGACGATCTGACTCGAAACTTACGCGTCACTATGGTCGATGCCTTTGAATGATTTGAAATTCATACCAAAATAGCCCTAAGTCAATCAGTATGCACTCCAGTAACCCATTTCTTTTTGGAGGGAATATCTTAATTACCGTCAAGAAGGTCAGCGGGAGATAAAGACAGGTGACTATTGTCAACTGTTTCATACTCTCATTTTGATACGCTCCTAAGACCAGTTAGCTAACAAGAACAGTAGAAGCAGCAATGTAAAAAAATATATACCTATTGTGTTGAAGATGAGGTCAATCATATTATCAGCGGAGCGTCTCATCTGGTCGTAGCCTTCAACAATTGTAATACAATGATCCAAGGCATCTCCGAGATAGGTATGGCACATGGGGCTGATCGTGATGCTGGATCCTCCTATACTTTTGAGGTTCGGCGTCATTGTTCCTATGTGCAGATTCGGCTTGGGAGGCAGCTCGCTAAAGTAAGGACTGGATGTTTCTGTCTGCTTGAGAATTCCCAGACCGGGTGTGCTGATGGGCTCTGATCGGTGGTCACGAAGAGCATTGATCACGGCCACAAGAGGCTGCATGTGGTTGCGTAGCACAGAGATTTCGGATGTCAGAATGTACAGGCTCTTTGACAAGTCGATGTCTGGATCGGTCAGGACCTCAAGCTCCAAGTCACCCATCGCATCCTGATAAGCAGTAGTGACCGGGATTGCTAGGTCAATCACCGCATCCAAGATGGCTTGAAGGAGCATGCTTGCATCGCATGATTGGCGTAGGATCGTTTCGGGAGAGCTTAGACGCCTAACGATAGGAGCTTCGATATCATCGGCACTCGTTTCGAAGAAGGATGTCACGGTATTATCTGCGTGAAGGAATACCGATACTTGTTCGAGAGCAACAGTCAAGCCCTTCGAGGCGAGGACAGCGTGTCGCTCCATGAACTCTATGCGATCTTCGTTTGGCCCGCCTCGGTACCGCTGGATGCTCCGGGCAGCAGAAGGATCACTAAACCGAGACGCTGTCTTTAGAGGAACCCCCTTCTCGAATGTCCGTATTGGCCTCCCACTGTTTTTGCGTTTTTTCTTCTCCGTCTTGGGCGGAAATATCACGTCCTTGAGCGCTGCCAGAATCAGGCCTCGCTTACTCGGACGCTTTAGAGAGATTGAGCTCTTGGAACTTATTGTCGAGGCTCTCCTCTGATTCTTCTGTTTCCAGGACTGACTGTCACTCGCATCATCCTCCTCTTCTGAGTCGCTGGCTTGGTCCTGGAGCTTTACCAGCTTTTGTAATGTCAGTACCACAAACGCATGATCTGAATACCAATCAGCCTTGGTGCGATTACTCGTGTATATGAGATCTTCGACGGCAAGTCTGTGGATCCCCTTTTCGTTACCCAGAATTCGAACCACGTCCCAACTGAGCCCGTTGACATTGATCCACCTGCATTGTACCCAAGGTTCTCGCTCTCGCGATAAGAATTGCTCGAGGTTGTCATTGTCTAGCTCATATTGGCGCATTTCATGTTGCGAAAAGTCAACAACAGTGATTTCACACCTTTTGTGTAAAACCATGCGCGGAGAGGCCGCTCCATCGGTGGCGTATGGAGGGAGTGGTTGGGTTGGATCAATTCCCGGCTCTGTCCCCGGTTGCCAGTTGGGATCATGTGTGCTGCCATCAGGATAGTATGACCGAGCTGTTGTGGAGCGCCGGACACGTTTCCTCGCGGTGTCTTGGGAGCTCACCCGGGCTGCGCGTACAAATTTATCAGAGCCCACCTCGTTCGTAGTCGGGGACACTGCAGGGCTCAAAGGACGCGGCTGGGCCTCGATGTCAATATTGTTGAGTACCCCCGGGAACGCCTCCACCGAGTGAGCATGGTCAATCGAACGAACACTCATTTTGGGGGAGAAGAGGTCCCTTTCTGGATTCTCTTGAGTGGTCTCTTCAGACTGATGGTGATGGGCATCGAGGTCGGTCTTGGCCTCAAAAAACCACAGCCACAAGTCCGTAAAGACAACAGCAACTTCGTGGCAAAAGTGGACGACAATTAAATTTCATATGTACAACTGGCCGCTGAGCATTTAATCTCAATCTCAGCGTCGTCAAGACAGGCAAACCCCATGGGAAGATGACGTTGCGCACGGCTGATCGGCGATGGCAATGCCTTGCTTGTCACTTCCACGCGGGGTGCGATGATAGTAGGAAAAACGAATAGGAATGACAGACAAGACCCATAAAGGCTGAAAGAGTCCCTGAAAAGTGCCAATACAAGTCCAGGGATCCTTAACAGCACTCCAAAGCCGTGTCCTGATGTTGCTTGTTAAAAGACAGGGGATGCGCGTCTGCCTCGGCTGTTTTAGGCTTAGATTGATATCATCGATGCCTCAGGCTGAATTGTTATCATCCAAAGACGCGAGACATATTTGAAATTAATACTTGCATTATAAATATGAATGAGTAGCTCCTAGTGCTACTAGCTATGAAATCTAAATCCAAAGTGTAGATTTCCTGTCATATACAGCCACCCCGTTCCATATAAGTTTCGTTTCTCCCAGCCACACCATTCAAGACACAAACAGACGCCATCCAAATGCTTCATTCAAGGGTTTTGGACAATAATACAATGCAGAATCGTAGTTAACAAACGAAATATCCATGATATCATATGGTACTCGGCAGATGATCATCCGGATGATAGAACACATTGTGAATGTGTCAAGGGCGAAAAATAAAAGGCGGATCAGGTGCGTGCAGAAGGCCGAGATTTGGGGGAGTAGCGGTTCACGGTGTATTGGGACGGTTTGTTGCTTGGCGCAATATGTCGGAAGTCTTGATATAGACTCGGTTGTACATCCATCAGGATAGCGCGTTGAGGCTGGGCCGACGGCGATGATGCTGACTTGGAATATCTAGTCGAAGATCGAGAAGAGGAAGAGGAAGAGGGAGGGGTAGCGGCATTGGCTTTGCCTAAGTCCTTAATGATTTCACGAAGCTCTTTGTCATCTTTGGTGATTTGTGCCTTGATGAAGGCCGAGGAATCGGAGGATTGAAGCGATGACATGACAGAAGGACGAGGCGTGTACGAGTATTTTTCAGGAGTTGGTGTAGAGAGAGGAACAATAGAAGGGTCGAGAAGTGCTTGTTGACCTTTTTCCAGCAACTGACTGATATCAAGGGACTCGCCGTGAGGGATTTTGTGGGGGTGTGAAGGAGTCACACAGTCCATATCCACCTCCTTTCGCAGGACGTGGTCGATATCGACAGCGGAGAAGTAAGCGCAAGATTGAGGAAGATCATCAATGCCAACCTGTTGGGAGAACATGGCGCGTGTCCAGACATTGGCGATCTGCAATGCCAATGCCGCACGGTACTTGTCCTCATCCTTGACCAGGTATCTGATTTCATCATGGACTGTAATCGCCAGACGAGCATTGATATTGAATCGACGAATGAGAAAGTCCATCGAGATAATAAGAAGGTGAAGGTAATCGACGCCAGAAGACTGGATGGCCCAGTTGATCCGCGAAGTCATGAAGCTGCCCTTGTTGATGAACCGTCTCATTAAAGCCTCCGTAATACCGGCCCCTAAAGCGGGTGTTCGAGGCCTTTCTTGGTCTGCAAACTCTTCTAGCTTGTTGAACACGAATGACTCGGTACCTCCTCGCCAGAAAGGGTTCTCGTTCAAAACGCGACGGGTCGTACGAGCCCCTTTAGTTTCTTTATATAGATTGCTAGCAATCTCCTGGGTCTGTCTCTCCGTCAAAGATGGGTTGAACTGGCGCAGCAGAGTCGCGGCAAATTTGACGCCAGCGCCGTAGATACGTCCATAGTTGAAGACCTTTGCATCATTTCGTGAAATGCCCAGAATCTTTGCGGTACGGGAATGCATATCAGTGCCTGCCGCCTTGGACCCTTCCAAAGTCATGAACCCGATAGCGTTGCCTCCATGTAACTGAAATTGAGCATCACCTATCAAGCTGGCAATCCACAGCTCTTGAGAGTCGACATCGGCTCCAACGAAAACGTAGCCTGGCGGAGCCTGGATCATGGCTTTCAGCTCAGAACCTACACGGTTCCCTTTGGCGTTGCTGGCTGTGAGCCACGTATTTTCCACCGCTCGTCGGGTGATGGTACCCATCGGAATTACCTGTGGCAGGATATAGCCCAGGCTTGGAGGGCCTACCTCCCTTGATGGCTTGTGGTGCAGATCATTTTCGTACACAACTATTTGGCTCATGATGCGGTCTCGCGCGCTGATCCAATAAGAGCAGGAAGCGTTCATCTCCAAGGCTTCTTTGGCAAGAGCATACTGGGAGGAGAGTGTTCCGCGTTCAAAGTGTTGGAGGTACCCTTTTGCCAGTGGATTGGTACAACGAGCCTGCGGCCCGTCCTTGTGAGGGAGCTTGAAATATGCATGTCTCCTGTCATCCCGCAGACTCAAGTTCGTTTCTTCAGACATATCGCAAATGACAACGGGTTGGTTCTCGTAAAGCTTCACCTGATGAAGCGGAACTTTGAACGTCCAGCCAAACTTATCGGACCAGATCAATGGATGGCCGTCCCAGGAAAGCTTCAGTAGAATTGGTGCAATTCTTGTCCGAACAGTCAGACCAATATCCGCATTGCTTGATGCGAATAAATCCTTATACCACTGCGGCATGCCTGGTTTCTTCTGTCGCGCAGCCGGGCGTGGTGGATCGCCTTTCTTTTTACCCTTGACCATTTTGATCTCCTGGCCAGACCAGTCCAGCTGCTGTAGCCATGGGTCATTCATGTACTTTTCGGGTTCGGCCTTTACTTTCAAAGCCTCGTCGCATAATTCAACCAGTCTATTTTGGACGTCGTTGAGTCGTTGATGATATGTTGCTTCGGCATTGGTGATATACTCCTGCCAATTCTGGTTCACAGGGAGGATAACGGTAGAGAGGTGTCTGAGCGCCCCGAAACTCACAGGATGCGGACAGACCTCGAGGAAGTTCGGGAACACCTTCTTGAAAACGCGATGGGTGATGGCCACATCTGCTGCGCAATAATCCAGGAGCTCCTCCAGCCTCTCGAGAATGCCAGGTCGATCCAGTTCGCCAAAGAAGTCTCTCTGGGCTTTGTCGATAGCGACATCACAGTGAAACTTGGCCACATCGCGAAGGGAATTAACAGAACTCCTCCCGACCCACAATTCTTCCTCTTCGTCGCTGAGCAGCTTGTGCTCAATCATCGCAGCTAGCTCGACAGAGTTGCTCTCATTGGCAATCTTGTCGCGCAGATCCCTATTCTTCTTGTGCCGCATCCATGTTGGTCGCTGCTGGGAGCACATTCCATTCACGGCTACATGGAGAGACATGGTGTCGAGGAAAAAATTGCAGCTTTGCTTCAAGTCATACTCTTCCAGTACCCTAGCCCGGTCGTAACCAATGTTGTGTCCAACTACAATCCGAGGCTGCAGGGGATCGCCGAGAGGAACCAGTTGCGTTGTGTTTTCTGATTCCCCCAGCAGCCATGGCGATAACCAGGCGTACCAAGCCGTAGGACTGACGGCGCATGCCATGACCGCAAAGGAGTGTTCCTTCCACATAACCTCCGTATCGAACGTCAGCATCGACTCGTTCGGGGCATCGACTGGTTCCCAGGTGCCGTCGCTGTGATATTTGGTCCACCCGCTCCGTTTAACCCATCTTCGCGGCTTCGGAGGAGAGTTGACCGCCATGTAAGACTTTGCATAGCCCAGGTACGGCTCCGATGAATCCATCCCCAGCTTGAAAAAATGTTCATCCATGGTGTGGCCCTGCAGCGGGGGAAAATCGAATGCGATAGGATCTGACGCATCTTGAGACTTGCCGAGCAGATCATGTCTAGACAAATGATCCTTCGATAGAGCCACCAGATTCGGGTCTGGTGGCCGAGACTTCCCACGGAAGATCTGCGCGTAAACATGTTCGCTCAACTGCTGCACCCCGATTTCATTGAACCTGGCGGTCGACGGAACTGCGAAATTAGCAGGCGCCACCACTTTGTCTTCGCAACTTCCACACGGAAAGGGGGGGAAGCAGCATACCAGAAAGCGATCGCAAGCGTGATTCACTACCACCACCAACCGATGAGTATTCTCTAGCATGGTACCTAGCGAGCAAGGTCCAGGACTCCGAACGTGTAGGGAGAAGAGACCGTAGTCTTCCGAATCGTGAACAAGGTCGTGCGACCACCCCAGAACAAGGAGCGTGGACGCATTTCCAAACCATTCTGTATTGAAAAGAGACAGCGTTGCATCTAGGACATGGTAGCGTAAGTTATCGCAGCACGGTGCTGCAGCCACAGCAACAGAGTCTGCTTGTTCTGCTGGAAGGCGATTCTGCAGCCTGTGATGGTGCGCGTTGAATCTCAATCGCCTTCGATGCCCCAGGCAAATCTTCTTTCCCCCTGCAAATGTCAGCGTCATGATTAGTTATCGGAAATATCACATGACCGATAATCACGGGACTATCGATAAGGCCTCAGATAACCACCTGAGGCGGCTTCAAGCATCGCCCCTCCACGACGATCATTGCTTCAACTTTGACAACGACAGAACCGGTGAACGTGTGGTTCTAGTGGTTTCAATTTGGTGGCCACTGGAAGGCCGGACTACTGCCCGATATACTTACTGTCAAAGTTGACTAGCAGATATCTTAAGAGCACATACGCATCCAGTCGAACCTTACGACCACAGTACTACTAAGTTACTGGGCGCCCAAGTCGTTTCCAGCCGTCCAGCTTTCCCATCTCACATTATGGATCGTCGCACCTCCATTGTGGACTTGACTTCGACGTCAGGTCGCTCTTATCTTCCTCACCAGTCAACTTCAGCAGCAGTCCCCAGCCCAAGCTCTTCGGGTACCACGCACCGGCGTCCCTCTCAAGGCAACACAGAAACACGCAGCGTCAAGCGCCGACGACTAAGTCGTATATACGCCCCCACGGAACAGGAGGAAGAAGAGATCGAGTCCGTAGACTTGACGGAAGTGGAAGATGCATCTGCCATGGCCAAGGCATTAGCCAAGCAGCAAAAAGACGCTGTCAAGGCACAACAGCAACAGGATCAGGAACATGAAAAAGGTCGGACGGTGTTGACGGCGTACAAATGTCCTGTCTGCATGGATACTCTGGAAAACTCTACCAGTACGATATGTGGTATGTAGGGCAACCTTCTTCTCTTGCGCAAAGCTGACAAGTTCAATTACTAGGACACCTCTTCTGCCACAAATGCATCATCGATACCTTGAAGTTTGGCGAGGAACAACGGTCCGATTCGTCCAGCAAGGCTCGTGGAACGTGTCCTGTCTGTAGGAAACCGCTGTTACGTACCGACGTCCCCGGCACAAGAAGAAATCTCTGGCCCTTGCAACTCAAACTGGTGACGAAGAAGCGGAGCGAATTGTCTTCACAATAAGAATAGCCTAGGGAAAACCTTTTCGGGTATTATTGGGTGGTTATTTAGCGCATGGAGTTTGAGCGTCGCCTATTAGAATTTTATTCCAGGGATAGTATTTGAAGCGAGCATAGTATCTACATATCATGGACAGTAATGGCGTTTACAAGATCTCTCAGAAACTCTCTTCATCATTGTGAAAAAATACTTTGGTTGTTATTAAGATGTAGTATATATAATTATTACAGATTCAGGATTATGATAGACCTTTCTTACGACCAGGGTTCTCAAGGGTGTTCCTCCTACTCAGTCCACTCCCGAGCCCTCCCCTGACCATCGCGTCTCCTTTCTTCCCCAGCACTACTTCCAGTGCTTGCACCAGCGCAGTGGCGTCATACCGAACGCCCGTTTCCTGACTCCCATCCGCTGCCATGCTAGTGATCTTGCGTCCGTACAGACGGAGCGTCTCGATGCCCATTTCCGCCAACCGCTCTCGGTCGACTTTGGGGGTTCCCGGTCCGTCCAGATGGAGGATATGTGTGACGTATAATGTGTACGGGAGGGGCGGAGTGGGTATTTCGGGAACACCCTTCATCTTCATAAAGCTAGCGGACGGGGAAATGGGCGATGTGGTGGTTTCCGGGGCCCGTGAGCGTCCCAGACCGCGGCTCTCCTCGCCGGCGCGAACAAGGGCTTCAACAAAGTCCACGGCGGTGAAAGGCTCAGATGAGGGCCCGGTCTCGCGGTCGATCGATCCGTTCAGGATGAGGATCTTATGCCGGGCAGGGCTTGTGACGATGTTTTGTCCCACACCACGGAGGATGATGGAAGGAACAATCGACGTGTAGAGAGAGCCGATGCTGTATATGATGGCCTGCGCGTCGCGCAGGGCCTCCAGGACGCGCGGGTTTGCCGGCGGGCGGATCTCCTGGCCGTAGGGGTTGATGTACCAGATCCGAGTGATACGCGAGCGCAGGTCTTCGTTGCCCATCTTGCTGAAAGAGATGTTCTTGTTCCGGAGCGTGGGCAACGACCCGGGAAGGTGGTCGTCTTCGTATAGCACGGCGTCCGACGCATCAGAGGGCTCAGAGGAGTCATCCGCGTCTTCTCTGTCGGCGAGGAGCAGGCTCGGGCGTCGGGATCCCGGTCGAGGCTGCGAAGCTGTCGCTTCGCTTGGGTGGGAGATGCTGTTCTGGCCGACGATGATCGTGCCGTCGGCCAAGGTCGCAGAGATATGGTGCGAGAAATTCGAGTTGATGGCCGGAATCACTCGCACAACGTCCGATGGCACACCACAGATACTGCCCAGCAGGTAAATGGCGCTCTCGAAGCTACCGCTAAACAACCGGGCTCCGGTCAGGAACAGATTTCCCACACTGGCTGAGGTAAAGTCGAAGGTTGACGACGGCGGTCGGGCCCTTTTCAAAATCTCGAGGTTCAACAGGTTGAAGAACGAGCGGATCAGCTCCTTCTTTGCCGGAGCAACCGCCTTCCAAAGATCAGACGTCCCGTCCACGATGGCATGCCACTCTTTCTGGGCTGTCGAGGCGTCTGCGGCCAGCCGATGGTTGAAAATCGCCTTGATGGCCGCCCTCTCTGAGTCGGGAGGAGAATCTGGAATCAGACGGACGAGTCTACCTGAAGACAACAGTTAGCAAAGGCCAGAGCGAAGGCACGACAGTGATCTTTTCCCGCCTATCCTCCTACTTACTCCTCACGTCACCAATGCCAGGTCCCCCGAAAATCCGAATCAACTCGGACGAAGAGCCACCATTGTCACTGATGGGAATGATATAGCTCAGTGAACATTGTTTGCTGGCCCTGACGGCGCTGAAGACGTCCACCAAGCTGTTCGCCGCGCTGCCTCCTGAGAAGACCACCAGGCCACGATTTGGGGCGGCGAAGTCTGTCGTCATATTGTAGCCACCAAGAGACCAGAAGATTTTTGAGTGAGTGAATCGACTGATGATGGAAGCATACTAATATTCAGAATTCAAAATGCAGAGATGGGCAGAGAAAAAGAGGTCGATGTTTTTGCCCGGCAAGGATGACACATTACGATCTCTCTCTATTTACCCTTGAAATTTTACATCGATAGATTTTACGATGCAAACAAACAATAAATCTCCTGTCGATTCAATCACCGACAGCGAGACTGCCGAGGCAATCGAGGTAGCGAACAGCTGGCCTCGACCAAGGTGAGACTGTGTCTTGCGGATATGATTTGGTGACATGTGGAATGTGCACGATAAAATAAATATATCATCGTTATCAATGTGACACGGAAGTTTAATACAGAATTACTTTTTATGCATGATATGACATTGAATAGTTAATAGGATATTCTTGAACTGCTAAGAAAATATCTCATAAACTATAGAGAGATGGAGAGACAGAATTGGAAGCCCACAAGCATCCCTACTGTACTGAAAGATTGTAATCATAACTATTCATCGGAATATATACAAGACATCTTTTTGCCTAGAGGTATGAGAGTCACCTACCTATGGATGCGAAATGATTATGCATAGGCGGCCCATCCTAGAAGAACGAAGAACAGACCGTTAGCGACAGGAACAGAAAAGGATACAGGAAGCAGGCTGACTTACCGCAATAGAGGACCGCAAGATTCCGCTCATCAGTGGCTTGCTGGATCAGCTCGTTGACAGTGGCTGTGACGCTGAGTGTCTTGCTCAGCTTCTTGGCAACCACAGTTAACGCTCGATCCGCTTCACTGGGCTCATTGGGCGCCTTTTTATGAACGGTGCCAGTGGCCAGAACAGGAGCAGCCTCGCCGCCGGCCTCGGATGTCTCTTGCATCCTTTTCATTCGCAGCGGAGACACGGTCCAGCTGTACAGCGGATCGTATCGTAACACGTCCAGGATCGTCATGATTCCGTAAGACTCCTGTCGCAAGGCTTCCAGCGTAAACTCGCAACATCGGCGGAAGACTCCCTCAGTCTTGGTGATGCCCATGCCGTCGACCAGGTCGCGCGTGAGGCGAAATGGGACCACTTCAGGGACGGGCAAGACTCGCCCTTGCTCAAATGCCACACCGAGGTCTATGTGTACTGCTTCACCGGTTTTCTCGTCGAGTAAGATGTTGTGACCGTGCCGGTCACCGAGGCCGAGAACGTGCCCCAGGATCGAGATAGCAGCGGTACTGCGGATATAAGCCAACCGTTTGCTGAACCAGTCATCCGGGTTGTTAAAATTTTCCATAAAGAAGAACCTCATCACCGGATGGAAGCGCTCTGTGACCTGGCGGTAGGTGCGGACCCGGTGTTCCAGGGACCGCGTCTGGACATCCCCGATATGTTTGCGGCAGACGCTTGGTTTCATGTCCTTGGGATAGTATCGCTGATGTGCCGGCATAAGATAATCATGGAGCGGAATCGTGTTCGGCACGAACTCAATGATGCCCGCATTGGACGTCAATGGAAGCACCTTGTAAGTTCGAATGCCGAGATTCCTCTGTCGAGTCGCCTGGTGATCCTTTAGAAGGCTGCTCACTTGTTCAAAAACCTGCTCCATGATTGCGTCCTGTCGCAGATCGTCATTACCGCCCTTGAACAGCTGCTTATACCGCAAGCCATCGCTGGCGATAGCAGTGACGATCTTAGGCGCGCTTACGCCAGAGGCAACGGTAAAATCAGAACCGAATCTGACAATCGTGGGCACAGCGCTGTAGTCGCAGTCAGGCCGAATCTCAATCTTCATTGTCGGAGGCGGCAGGCTATTAGCCGTCGCGTCGATTTCCAGGCGTGCACCGGTGATCAGCTTCTTGAGAGGCACCCTCGCGCCACTCTTCAACTTCTCGTCGTGTCTGTCCACGGCGAACCGCACGTAGCTGATGTTGGTGTTATGAACAGCGATCCAGGTCGGTCCTATCCTCTTGTCATTTTTCAACTTATCAACAAGCTTGTTGGCTGCCCGGTACCGCGCCAGAGATGCCTCGTCCTTGCCGCCCTTTGACTTGCTGCTTGCGAAAATCTGATACATCCCATGGAAAGGATGCTCAACACATATGCGGAAAATCAGCGTAGAGATTAAGGGCTGGAAATCGTTAGAAACGTCAAGCAGCCTGGAGGATAGCTGGTTCATCAACGTTGCAAATTTCCGGCTAGGGACATGATTGATGTATTTGGAGACTGCACTGTTGGCGGTGCTACTGTCTGAATTGTCCAGCCAGAGAGCACAGAACCGAAGTGCATCGTTGTTGTATGCATCGCTCGCTTTCAGAGACAACAGATAGTTTTCAAGGCACTGATGCAAAAACGCCTCTCGACTGCGTCGCAGACGTTGGTACTCGCGATCATCCAAGTCAAACCACTGCTTCGTCTTCGAGCGATACATCTTCAGGCCATCTTTTTCTTTCCCTTCGGCAGTTTTCATCATCTCTTCGAGCGTGAGCAACTCCTTTTCCTTGCGGTCCCGGAGCTGTTCCACACGTTTAAAGTCCTCCAACCCGTCTGGATTTTGCAATTGTTGGTCACAGAACATCGCAAAGCCATGAAAGACCCTGCCTGCCTCATCACCAGTTGAGCAGCCTTTTAGTTCCTTGACTGCTGGCACAAGATACTCTTGTAGGATGGCATCTGGTTTTTCTAGACGTGCTTCGGCAACATGATGTCCCTGGCTAGAGTCAGAAGTCTGCTATAGAACGGAGTGAAAATAATGGCACTTTACCAGAGTTACAAGGAGCTCAGCACAACTGACTGGTATGGTCTGTTTATTCAGATCATTTTGCTCATTCAGCTGCTGAAGCATGCGAATCGAGGTTGTCATTTCTCCCTGCTCCCAGAGAACATTCGCCAGGTCGAACTTGGCTGCTGCATCAATGTTGATTCCAAGAGCCGCACATGGTTCTACTAGCTTATTAATATAGATTGCGCCTTTGAGTGATGCTTGGGGTAAGTCGTGATCCTTCAAGATGTCGAGGGATTGCCGAACAGTTTTCACTTGGAGCAGTTGGGTATCGTGGTCAGTGAGCTGGATAGCAGTCTTGATATAGTCTTGACTTGTTATGGAGCTCACGAGAGCTTCATGCCAGTTCAATAGTTTACCGACATCACGGAAGCTTTGATTTTGCCCATGTCAGTTCTCAAGGTTCTCTGAAATGGCGGAACCGAGAAATGATACATACCTTGCATTTCTGAGCAAGTGTTTTCTGCTCATTATTCTCTGCCACTCGTGGTCCATACATTGTGGTGACGTTGAGCAAACCACATCATTCACATCAGCCAGCAGCCCTAGCACCTTCAAAGCCTCCTTCAAGGATCCAGCAGATTGCGTCGTGCTCCCAAGTAAATCCAGTGTTTCTAACAGGCACTCATCAATGGCACGTGAAGCTTCGAACATGGTTTTCGATGTGTTGAGGTTCTGAAACGCCCTGTAAACGATAGCAGGAGATGAATAGTTCGATGGTGGAACAGCTATATCCCATCGCCGTAGACTGGTCGCCGTCTCAATCATGCTATCAGATACGGTCAATGCATCCCTGGTATCACCCGGGCCAGAGTACAGAGCACTAGCAATTCCTTGGAGATTGGTAGAATTAAGCGCTTTCAAGACGCCTTGGGAGTCTGCACTGCCCAGCATCTGCACATCGCTATCGTATTGCGCACTTTGAAAAAGAAGGTTCTTGAGTGCAGAGCTTTCGTAGCTCAGCTTGTCCATGACAGATTCCAGAGATGCTTTCTGCTGAATTCCGTAGAAGAGGTCAGGGTCGTCTATGTCCCTGAAAACACTGTGTAGAAATTCCGGAGAAGGATCATACTTGGCCACCGAGGAGCGGCGCGATCCAGCAACGGCTCGAGACGCATGGATTTCAAGGAGCAGAAGCGATGTCTTGTGCATACGACACTTGTTCGCAGCCAACGAAGCCTCGCCAAAGTCTATGTCAAGCCATTCGTCACGCTCCACTATTGTTGACTCCTCGGGTCGTTGTTGGTTCCGTAAATATAAGATACAGTTGATTATGAGTCGGGCATGGGGAATCGTGGGCTCGGCGACGTCCCGCAGAGCTTGCATGAAGACTTCTGAGACAGTTTGGCGAATACTCTGGGATTTCCCAAACTCAAAGAGCAAGACGTCGTGGAGGATGTATGGCAAGAGGTCAGCAGTCATGCTAGGTATAACGTCGAGAATTTTCTTCAGCGGTCCAGTAACAGGATCTCCGAGCGCTGCCTCTGAAAGAAAGAGCCCAACACTACGAGCCCAGCCTGCCAGACTCTGGGTAGCGTCCCAATTCAAAACACGTTTGGCTTCTTTTGTTTTGCCAAGGGGGGAATTCATGGCTGGGCACTGGTAAGGACTCCAAATGAGAGCTTTCATCAGAGTAGGTGTTATAGCTTGCCCACAATAGTCAAAGTCCGGAAAACTTGCAAGATTGCTGACAATGAGCTGTAAGGTCCGTTCAACAAGGCCAACCTCGGTGTGATTACCCGTTTGTAACATGTTGCAGAGTACTTGGAGTATATTAAACTTGGAGTGACAAAGGACGGCCTCGGGTGATCGGTCTTTGCATGGCTTAAATAGAAAGGGGTCCTGCTCTCTGGAAAGCACGTCACTGATGCCGCTGGTGTCAGCAAATGCTCGTCCGATGGTTCTAGCAGCCCATAAACGATATTCAGACCCAGCTTCGAGGCTTTTCACAGTCTCCAGAACAGCAACAGCGTTGGTTGTGGCGTCCATATCTTTTCCAGTAATAGTATTCAAGTTATCGGGAGGCCTTCTGAAGTCGGCGCACAGTATGGAAAGAGCAAGGTCTGATATCGGCTTCCGAAGTAATCTCTGCCCAGGGTGTCGATCCCCAAGCAGCTCGTATATTAGCAAAATCTCATCGCTGCCCTCGGTGGTGTCGTTTGCTATAGATGCCGATTCTGCCAACTTAATCAAGCGTCGGAAAGATTGGTCAGTACGGTCATCCATGGCTGCTGAGCGGTATTCACCCAAGTGATCCCCAAACCACTTTTGGAATCTTTTAGCGTTCGACAAAACCGTCTGGTATTGATCATCATGTGCTGTCTCTTTCGGAGATGACGATCGAAGTAGCTTCCTTAGAGTGACGAAAGTGGATACCGCGGTTTCGGCCATGAGCCCGGGATGTTCAGTTAGATAGGAGTTTCCTGCTTCTAAAAGATACCAGTAAATGCCTATTGCGTCCTCAGAGCAGTGAGGATCAGTGAGATATGAACGCAAACCATGGAGCATGAGCTCCAATGGGTAATCTTGCAGAACGACAGACCCGGCCAAGCAGATCAAGATTCTAATCTTTCGTATGACAGAACATGCGTGGAGAGACCCCAATGCCGGGTGAATAGATTCCAGTAGAGTCCGACAGACATAGCTTGTCAGAGTCGGGGTCCAGATTGCCTCTAGTTCATAACCAGTACGTCTGCAAAGAAAGTCTAGCTCATCGAGAAGGAAACGAGCTCTGAACGATGGCTGTTGGCCAGCGGGCAAAGAGGCGGCTGATGCGCTTATACTGAATATTCGCCTCTGTATCTCAGTAGCATTTTTGAAGCCGGGGCGCTTGGTGAATGCTCGTTCAATTTGGTCGAATTGGTCTAAAGATTTGAAAAACGCGGCGATTGTTTGAGGGAACCGTTCTTCGACCAGAGTAGAGAACCTTTCAGCTCCTAACAGCTTCTTCAATCGGTTCTCAACCCCTTTGGGCTGGCTATTTTGTGACGGGGGAGTTGTTATATCCCGTGCGATACTGTAAGCTTCTGCCTTGTGAAACGAGTTGGATAGGAGATCGGGAAAAGGAATTCCTAGAATGTCCGCTGTTTCGGTTGCTTCATTTTCCTTCACCCGCATCATAAGCTGGCCCACAATTTCATCCTGTACATCGATGACTAAATCTTTGAGACTCGGATATCCAAAAATGCCGAACGGGATAGACTTGACATCTTGTGTTTCGGTCCAGGTGTAGAGAATCTGCGAGGAGAAAAGGCGGAATAGCTCCTTTGGATCTTCTAGGCCGAGCGTTTTGGCAACGTACAGCAAGCATTTCTGAGCGTAGCGTACTGATTGAGGGACCTGTGCTGGTGTCTCAAAGATATGATAAATACTCCTCCGAAGTAGAGTATGCCATCTAGAAGCCAGTTGGGCCAATATGAAGAGACGCAATGCGATACCTTCGACCCAATCTGGATCCCGAGGAAGGCTTTCCAAGACATCGTTAAAGATAACCTCGTGGTCGTCTAGTGCAAACCGCTCGAATAAATCGCGAATCATATCCGCAGCAGAAAACTTCACACGCACGTCACCATCTTGAAAAACAGTAAACAAGCTGGTACGAGGAGAAGGGCTTTCCCCGTCAGTCGAGTACATGGGATTGCACCTAATGACTTCTCCCAGGAGCTCGGCAAGAGCGACATACACGCTCGTCGATGCTTTCCCCTTTGTTATGAGTACATTGATGAACCATTCGTATATGTCCGAAGCAGACTCATTTAGGTGATCTTCCTTTCCGCATGTCCAGGATTTGACAAAGCTTGCCATCATTTTAATGGCAAGGTATGTTGAATTCTCGCACCGCTCTAGTTCATAGCTCTGTAGGGATTTCTCGGCAAAGTTCTCGAGCAGATCCAGCAAGGTGGCTCGCTCCATCCCTGCACACACTTGATAAACATGCGGAAGGATGCTTTGCGCTGACAATATGTCTGCATCGTCCAGTTCGATCAAGTACTTCACGAACGTTGTACTGTGCGACCTAGAAGGATTATTAACATCCACCAGATATTTCTCCAAGGCAGAAAGTTGGACAGTCAAGCATCGGTTGAAGGTGATGATATTGGAGAATAAAGGCGTCGCATCTCTGTTTGAGCAAAAAATTGTCTCATGGGCTGTCAGCTGAGTACCGTGTGTTATCAGAGGATCGTCTAGATCCATCACTTCGATGTCATTTTGTGAAGAGTATTTCTTTTGGGACAGTCGATGACTTTCAAGAGTCTTTGTAAGGGGCGGGATGAGGGCGCGAAGAGTCCGCGAAGTACCAGAGTCAGGGGTTTTAAAGCAATGGGATGGGGAGAGCATTGGCGACAACAACTCCAGGCATGCATAGGAAAAATGAATTTCACGGCTTTCCAGGAAGGAACATATAGTAGCCCATAAGTTTTGACTAGTCTGCCGTAAAGCAGGCAAGCGAGATGCATATTGTTGCTGAGGCAATGACTCTGTAAAGAGGATCGTCGAGATGCAGAGCGAGGCAGCAATTTGCATGATATCAACGGTGATATGATGGGATTTTTCCTGATTCATCGAGTGCCATGTTTGTGAAAACGCTTCACATTTCGCTTGCAGCAAATCCAGAAACACCAGGTCGTTTGGATCCTGTCGATAAGATGAAGAGGGTAAAGCTAGGTCATTCTCATCCCAGAATTGAATGGGATTCAAGATCCATCCGGACTGGAACAGATATTCTAGGAGTTTCCGGTTTTCATAATGAAAATACCAGGCCTTACCAATGATCCCAGTCAGGCCTCTGCCTCGACTATAGGTTGAAGGGAAGAATCGATTTGTACAAGCAAGGAGAAGGCGCAGGAAGTCCAATGGACGAGTGAAGGTAGCGACCTGAGCAGCTTGTGCCCTATCTGTGAGAATGCCTACGCTCATGGTTAGGTTACGAAACTGCAAGCGACGATATTCAACATGACCGAGAACGCACCAACCGACCAAAACTCCCGTAACCAGCCACAAATATGCTTGGAGACGTTGAGAGTAGGTCCTGGAATGATTTGCGTGTTCAAATGTGCAATCTTTGCCCAGAGGTTTAGTGAGGAGTCAGAGATGATGGAGGGCCCATTTAAATTGGCGGACAATAACATTGAGCGAGTTGTTTCAGCAATCACAGAATGCTCCAGAAGATCGTGTTCGAGTATAACACACATCAAGTGGCACGCGGCCCTGCATGACACCTGCGAAGTTGACGCTCTCGACGCAAGTTCCCAGGCCTTTTGCCAGCTTTCTCTGAGTGAAGCTGCTTTCGAGTCCGGCCTGGTAGCAATACTGTTATATTCCGAATGGCGTGTCAGTGAAGCAAAAAGATAAATAGTCTAGAAAGCCAAAGAATACAAACCTTGATAGGGCCAGCAGGGTCCACGACGATAGCAAGCCGTTGTCATCGAGTATATTCGGAATCAGTCTCTCGACAAGGCTCGCTCCCAACTCACCACCGTTTTCACGCTTTCCAAGGAAGAGTAAAAGCTGTAGCGCACACAATCTTGCCACCCCCGAGGATGAGAATGATTCACGCAAGATGTCTTCTATCCGAGACGTAAATCTTCGCTTCTTGTTTGGAGCTTCACCTCCAGGCTCAGGTATCGTTAGCCGTGTAGCCACATCTTCTGCCAACTGAAGCAAAGTGGCGATCGTCCAGAGGACTGTCCAGTTGTGTTCGGACTTGTTGTTTCCAAGACGAGGACCGCATGATAGTTTGCCTGTGGAATTGCCAGTCTGCGCAGAGAATGTCAATTCATCAAGCTGCAGGATGTCTTTCTCGGATCGTTTCGAATACTCTATCTGCAGAGTGTCTACCAAACTCTCAATTGTGTGAAATAGCGACTCCGACGGGTCTCGTGCCGCTGCATCGGCAAGTATATTCATGCAGAGCATCACAGTGACAAGTAAATCGTCCTTCAGGGCTGAATGTTTAGTAGCCCATAATCGTCTGATTACAGGGATTATATCGAGCATGGCTGACCGTATAACCTCGGATTGGTCAAAGATGACTCTCATAACGACTGTATTTATGCTATTGAATGCGATTTGATGCGTATTTGCCGCCACAGGAGCAGACATGACAAGTTCCCGGAGGCCACGCAGGACCAGATCACTTGTCGCTCGGATCGGAGCAGTGGAGCTCGCCGTAAGACTCTGAATACACAGAAGCACCTCTTCGTTGACATTGTTACTATCCTCGTGTCGTGTTCTGACCGCAAGAACCGAACCTGCCCTTGGTGTGCCTGGCAGGGCGCTACTATGGTCGAGACTCCGTGAAATAGCACGAGATCCGTGGCGAGGACTCTCATGGCCATCGTCAACTCCGTTGTAGTCCAGGGCCCGCAGACAAAATTTCATCAACTTCTCCCATTCGGTGTCAGCCAAGTGTTCCACGTGCGGCGGGTATTGCAGAAGCACTCTCAAGCATTTGGTGTAGTCCACACTCAGAGGGCCCCAGAGACCTTCGCCTGGACCACGCAGCGTGTCGGTAATATGGTCTACTATCGCTCGAACAGACTTCGACCGCAGGTTGCGCACGAATACATCGACCGCAGTCCGCAGAACCGCTGCACAGGCCGTCAATCGCGAGGTGGAGGGCGTCTTGGAGTGTGATTTGAGGGCACGGGTATAGGCCGACTTCTCTGCGGCAATGAACCGAAACAACGATTCCAGGATTTTATGACACGCCTTATCATTGAGGGTGTTCCTAAATACATTCATCTTAATCAGCAGCTCGTCACTTGAAGCCGGCTGGTCTTCTCTTACAGTCTCGTGCTCTGTTTATTCTGCTGGAGAATGTGCTTTAGATCTCATAAACATCAGTAAAATCCTTCATTTCGCACACCAGCCAACACAAATCCAAATACCTGCGAGCCCGTCAGAGCGATCTTTCAGCTTGTCCGAAGACAAGAGCGCAATCGCTCCATCTAGAGTGATTTCACCCATGATGCCCACTGTGAGCGCTAGGCCGCTCCCCAAAGCTCCGCATTGAGGCCGGTTCGAACACGCTCAGCGAGGCCGACAACGGGTTCCTAGTGTATGCAGCAGTGCATCACACCTTTTTCTAGATAGTAAATGATATCAAAAACAAATTATTCCCCTCCACTCGCTTGGGGTGGACGAAACGCTGGTCCGGGCGCTGGCTGAGGCGGAGGAGGTTTTGGGCGCGTTCCTCTCCGCCTTTTTTGGCCCATGACAAACAGAAGCTCCCCAAGAGCTCATCGCCATTTTTTTGTCAGCCGCCCCGCGCACCTGCATCGGGACAGCGACTCCAAAGCATGGAGGACACCGAAGCCCTGGGGGGCCTCCGCGGCCTGTATCAGGATCTGTGTGCTCTTTCGGATCCTTCGCTGGTGAACATTGAGCGGCTTTGCATCGAATTGGAGGCGCAAATCCAGGACTTCAGAAAACTCCTTGACAAGCCCACGAAAAACAACACAAGCCGGCAGGCGTTGCTATCCGGTAGATGAGACATTGTTATTGTGGCTGGTTTCATAGAGTAAAGGACCATGGGCTAACGTGTCTATCGCATGCTAGGAAAGCTCACCGTCGACGATGTCGAGTTTTCGATCAACGAGGAATTCCAGCAACAAGCGCTGCAGTTGGCAGACGCGTTGGATCTTGACGAGCTCCAAGCAGCACTTTTGCTATTTGGAGCGCAGGAGGAGGCTCAGAAGCTGGACCGGACGCCTGTGATTACAGCGATTATGCAATTTCACCAACGCCGGCACTTCCTCCTGGATTGCTTGCGCCTCATCTTCCAGGAGTCCTTCGAGCTGGAGCGGGACAGGACACAGGCTCTTATGCAGGAGGTGGTCGCTCAGGTGCTGGAGATTCAAAATGGCCTTCGAAACGCTTCGTTGTTTGCGAGAAAGGCAATGAGTGCCATGGAGGATGTCGAAAGATGGCTTACGCTGCTCAACGAGCAGGTTCAAAAAGCCTCTATTGTCGGACAATTGGGGGATGCAGATGTGATGGAAGCGATTGAGTTTCAACGTTCGAGTCTGGAGGAACAGCATCAGGCGCTGGGTGGTATTGTCCACTACCTTTTCAAAGGTACCTATACTAGCCCGGAAGATCTTCGTGTTCTCCTCAACCGCTTGAGGAAGCTGGACCGTTTTGATATGCTCCTCGTGCACTACATCCCTGCTACCATTGCGTCCTTTATCCAGCATGGCTCGCCAGAAGGGACCGAGACAAAAAGCCTCCATTCGACCATTATGACAGCCAAAGACCCCCAGGCGTGGGTCCTTCCGAGTTTCCATGCCATGGTCATCGCACTGTGGCTAGCAGTATATAGCGGGCTATTCCTTGACGGTCCACCATCTTTCTGCCCGCCAGGAATCGATCTCGAGAAAGAGGCCGAGATGCGCTCGAAGCAGTTCATGGGTGCTCTTGACGATGGGGGCCTAGACTTTATGCTTGCTGTCTGCTCTGGTGTGAACAACGAGCAATGGGGAGACCCGGCTAGAAAAGAACTGGTGGCACTCTTGCTTAGAGATACCGTGCCTCTAGCTGAGCCAAAATCGTGCTCTGATTACTTCAAGGCTCTTCTGATGGTGAACTTTGAGGTCTTTACGGAATCGTGCATTGCGAACATGCCGGATACTATTCGACTACTAAAATCTGAAGAAGACTCCCAGCGCTTGGAACAAATCACAGCCCTCCGAGATGGGCTGACCTCAACCGTACATCGTGGCTTTTTGGAATCTCGAACCCATCTCGAGTCATTCCTCATGGTCATGGCCTTTTCTTTCGAACACCGACAGGATGCTGCGCAGGAGTTCTGGGCCGATTCAGATGGAAATCTCTATGGCTTCCTTCAATGGGCCTCGAAAAGACAGACCGTCCCCAGAGTCAGCGCGTTTTGTGAAATGCTCTGTTGTATATCGGAGGGCGACGAAAACGCCGTTGCAGCCCATCGTTTCCTCTCCGAAGAAGACAAATTCATGTCGGGCAAATTCAAGCGATCGGCTTCAATGAATTGGACCCAGATGTTTGCCGAACTACAGCTATACGCTTCGAAAGTTACTGAAAAACCTTCTACCTCCCATACGATGTTGCATGCTCGAAAGCCCGAGCCCGCAGATATGAGTGAGCCAGAAAGCCCTGTGATGCTGACCTGCTACTTGCGCTTGATGGGACACCTATCTAAGCAAAGCAGAACGATCAGGAACTGGATGCTTCAGCATCCGACTTTTAATATCGTTGGTACTCTGTTGACTCTATGTAGCGGTCCCATCCCAACACATTTAAGAGCCACTACCTTCATGACCTTGGCTGCTTTGATGACCGATCGGACATCTGCTCACGGCAACGAGATGTGGCTTTCCATCGATCAGTGGATCTCTGGGGGGTTGATGAGCACTTCGGGGATTGGCAAGGTGCCGATTGTACCCAATACTCCAGTCTGGCATGAACAACAGGCGTTCCAAAAAATCGGATCAAGCTTTGATCAGGCAAATGCCTTTGTCGCTTTAATCCACGAACTGGCTTCCCCTTCCTCGGATCAGGCTGGGCTTGCTCTTCTGCTACCGTTTCCCGAATCCTTGGGTTCGTCGTATCGAATGCCGGGCATCGAGCCGTACATCGACTTCGTCTTGGGTCATGCATTGGCTCGAAAGCTCTCCGACCTCAATGAAGTCCAAACCCGCCAGCTCACCTACAACTGCTTAAGCTTTGTGGTCACATGTCTCAGGTCATTCAATGAGAACCTCGTCACACTGCTCAGTCAGTCTTCTGCGTCGCCTGACGCCAGCTCCAAGTCGTCCACACTGACAACTTATATTCGCCTTCATCCTTTCGGACGAGCAGCGGAATGGCTCTTCAATGAGGACGTGATCAAAGCAATCTTTGCCACGGCCCATCAGAATGTCGATGAAATCAACAGAGCCAGTCCTGAGTCAACACTAGTGCTCTCTTTGCTCAAGAGTATCGAAACCATGAACCTGATCATTGATCTTCAAGCCACGTACTTGCACATCGTCAGGCCCGTGCTCAAATCCCAGGCGGCTGGCAGCAAGACATCTGTGGCGAATGCCTCCCTCGCTTCCTTCGAGGACAATGTCCTGACGCACCTCACGATCATTCCCCAGCTGGGTTTGTATTGCGGTTCAAGCCATCAGCAGCTTGTAGTTGAATCCATGTCACTACTGGAAAAGCTATCAAGCTCGAGGAAACTCAACAAAATGTCCTCGCCGGAACTATCGAGGTGGCAGTCATCAAACAAGATTGTGGAAGTGCTGAGTTCAGAAATTGATGTAGACAGTGTGGCACGTCCACTCGTCAATCATATGCAACCAGATCTGAGAGAACTGGAGTCTGGCCCGCAAGCACCTGGATACATTATCCGTGAAAGCTTGTTTGCCCTACTCACAAGCTGCTTGGGTATGATCACTGATCGACCGAACGTGGCACATGTTCTACTTGGCTTCTCAAGTGTCGGTAGCGTCCTCGATGTTGGTTCAGACGGTCTCTTTGCCAACCGAATGTCCTTGCTCCATGCCGTCATTGGCTTTTTGCAAAGCTATCCCGACGGGATGGATGGAAGCATTCTTCCGTGGATGGTGCATCTGAAACGCATGGCTTTTGAAGTGCTCCAGGACTTGTGGTCATCGAAACTCTCGGCAACTTTCACTCTTTCCGAAATGCGTGCCGGTCGGTTTCTCTTCAGTATGTTCACCAGCCAGCAGCTCATCAAACCCTCCACTCTCTGGAACGGATTGTCTATTTTGAGCGGAGATTTTTGGGCCTCGGACTCGGCATCTGCTCTGGCTGAATTTTTGCTCTACCGTAGCCATCTTTATGGCTATGCTACGACTGAGATCCGAGCGGCATCTAAGATCGGATCACCAACCCTCCAGGCCGAAATTCTATCGATTCTGCTCGGAACTTCATCACTGGAGTCTGGAGAAACCATTCGCAATCCCACCGTGTTTGATCTCATTGACTTTGCTGATATGGACCTTGGTATTGATTTCCAGCCTCCTTCGCCGAATTTCCTCAGTGGTGTCAACATCGATGCTTGTGCAAAACCACAAGCTGATGCATCTTTGGTTCTCTATAACCTGGACGAGTATGATGAATTGGTTCAAGTTACCAGAGAGGAGTTACTCTCCAAGGGACAGCTGCGGCCGCAGGACGAAGAACTCTTCTTGGCCGAAGCCGAAGACATCAAAGTGTTCCTCCTTGCCACGAATCAAAGTCGCCAGGCCCTCTTCAATCGATATGTCGCCTTGCGATCCTGGACCGAACTGGTCACTGCCATTGTGACCTCCTCTGCAATTGACGACAGCAACAAGACCCCGTTTATTCATCATTCGATACAAATAATCCTCCCAAAACTCGAGGTTGCCATCTCCGAAGATCGACCCGAGGGCCTTGAGCTAGCACGGTTAGCGGAGACATTGATCAGTAATCTGGAGCCACCCTCGTCTACGACCCAGGCCAGCCGCAGCGGAGACATTATTGATGAGAAATTATACCAGCTGTTCCAGATATGCATGCGGGGGGTTGTTTTAGCAACCAGCAATGTCCATCTGAGAGAGACTCTCTACAACATCTCCGTACAGTATATCTCAAGAATAACGTCATCAGATTCAACACAAGAGGTGTCGAAGAAGCACAGCCAACAGGTGATCAAGAGCTCTGGCCCTATTCTCATCGAAACGATCTGCGACGATGCCTATGTCGGACAGGAAACCTGCAGGGTGTCTGCCCTTCTGCTTTTGAATCTTCTTGCCATTCTAGATAGCCAGGAAGACCTTGTCTTGGCCGATTCGATATCCCAATCGAATTACCTTGCCTTGTTCCTGGACGCGATTCGAACGTTACCTGACGAGTTGTCAGATGCGCAAGCAAACGGTTGGTCATTCTTTTCTCCTTTCACGTCTGGCAGAGATAACTAAATTATGCTTCTCCATCAGATACGGAGCTACTCCTGTCGTATTATGAGTCTCTTCTGTCGCTTCTTCAACGACTCTCGCAGACCAAGAGTGGAGCGACCTGTGTTCTCAAGGCCGGTCTCTTCCAGGCCGTCCGGGACTCGAGGCTGTTCGCTGCGGACCCTGACATTGGGATTGGTCAGTAGATGTTGCTATCTTTCTATCGTTCTTGTATCGATCGCTAACTCGTGATAGAAATCGACAACCCCGACGCGTTACGACGCTATTACGACCTGCTTCTGTCCGTGATCCGTGTCATTGTATCCGCAGTCTTCGTCCGTGGCATCCACAACGAACAAATGCTCGAGCAGACCCGGGGATTCCTGGCTGAAAACAGACAAAGCATGGTGGGCGTCTTCAAGCGTTTTGCCCGAGTCGGTGCAGGCGCTACTGCTGAGAAAAGCGAGACTCTGGACGAACTAGTCAAATCCTACATGGCTCTAATAGCCGCCACAGACTTCCTTGAGGTGAGCCATACCCCATTCTTCTCTTTTCCAACTCGCTGATATCATCCATAGAGCGAGGAGCGCGAGATCCAGCAGCAGTCTCGACCGTCGTTGTTCTCCTAGAGTCCATGTACGCTTTCCTGGAGAGAATTAATGTGAAGGAAGCATGCATTGCTGCAATGTATGAATCATGAGGATTGCCATCTGGGTATAGCTACTATTTTGATACAATTATTAAACGATGCAATGTCTGCTTCGCTCTATACTGGTACTCCATACAACTTACTACCTCTGTAGCAATCACTAGGGAGAGCAAACTCTTCCTCGCAGTTCCCCTATTTCTGGTTCAATTTCGCACCGTAAAAGTTTTTTTTTTTTTTTTTTTTTTCCCTTTTTAAAAAAAAGAAAATATCTGCCTAGAATCCAACATCAAACACCCTGATCTAGGCATATTTCCTTCGCAGTGGCGCTGTGCCAGCACGAGAGAACGACGTATTATCTTATCTCCGTGCAGCGGTCCTTGGTGGAGTTGACCCTCGCCCGCCCTCGACAGCTCGACGACCTCCACTGCCAGCATCGAGACTCTGCAGCTCGCCACGCCTCCCCGCCATTCCCACCGGGCGATATAACCATTCTACTCGCCAGATCTAACGTGGTTGCCATGGTCTGATCCCCCCCATCGAGCCATATTGGTGGTCTTTGGGCGCGGAAAAGCTCCTTTGCCCCCCCCTCCACTCCCCTCTGGATCATTGCGGACTGAACCGGGTAAATGCAGCAGCAGAACTCGAGAGGCGCAACCGAGCAGAGGAGCGGCAAGCGCAAGTCGATCGGCAAGAGGAAGCTTTCTGATCACGGGGAGTCGTCGCAGCAGCAACCGCAGCAACAGACAATCTCGGAGCTTCTGTCAAGTCACGGCCCTGGATACGCACATTCCACGACAAGCAAGCGCGCCAGACGCTCATCCCCTCCGGCTCGGTCTTCTACGCAGGCCCTCATTGCGCCGGATAAGATGTACAACTTCTCCAACTCGGAGCCCAAGGCAAGCGGGGCGTTCGGGCAGAGCAACCCGCTGGGGTTCGGCGGGAACGCCTCGGCGGCGAAGCCACGGCCCTCGCATCCAACTGCCCGGCAGAGTAATTTCACGCCCCATACCGGACCCAAGAGGCTGGTGGTCAAGAACCTACGAACGACGCCACGGTTGAACCAGGACTCATACTTCGAGAAGGTCTGGGCGCAGCTCGACGCCGCGCTGACGGCTGTCTTTGCTGGTGGCAACCTGGCGGTGTCCCTGGAGGAGCTGTACAAGGGGGCGGAAAATGTGTGCCGACAGGGTCGGGCAGCGATACTGGCGGGCAAGCTGCAGGACCGGTGTCGGGGCTACGTCTCGGGGACATTGCATGATGCCTTACTCGCCAGGGCTGGGGACGGCAGCGCTATCGACACGCTGAGAGGTGTGGTCGATGCGTGGACATCGTGGCACACTAGACTGGTATGCCTCTCGCAGAGTGAAAATCATCTTGTTTCTTTCGCCCCGACGAGTTTGGTGCTGACGGGTCTCTGTAGGTGACGGTGCGCTGGATCTTCTATTACCTCGATCAGTCCTTCCTCCTGCACTCCAAGGAATTGCCTGTCATTCGAGAGATGGGGCTTGTTCAATTCCGATCTTTCATCTTTTCGGACCAAAGCCTCAAGACTCCGATCTTACAAGGTGCTTGCGACCTGATTGGGGCGGACCGTCAAGGAGACAGTAGCTCGCTGGTGGACTCATCACTACTGCGCAAGGCCATCGATCTGTTTCATGAGCTCGATGTCTACTCCAGCGATTTCGAGCCTTTGTTTTTGACGGAATCGAAGAAATTCTTCTGTTCGTGGGCCGACAAGGAGGCAGCTGGCTACCTCGCCACCTTTGCAGAGAACAGCCATCACCTGATTGAACGGGAAATGAACCGATGCGAACTCTTTTCTTTGAACAGGAGTACGAAACAGAAAATCTCCGAGCTCTTGGACGAGATTATCGTCGTAGAGCAGGAAGACGTGCTTCTTGATGAGACCGATGTCCTCGGTCTTTTGCGGGCACACAACCAGCTTGCCTTGGAGAGGCTCTACTCTCTCCTTGAGCGACGGGAATCCGGCGTCAAGTTGCGGACGGCTTTTAATAAATACATTGTCGAAGAAGGCACTTCGATTGTCTTTGACCATGAGAGACAACAAGAAATGGTGACCCGCCTTCTACAGTTCAAACAACAGCTCGACGACACGTGGAATGATTCTTTCCATCGAAACGATGACTTGGGACACGTGCTCCGCGAATCATTCGAGACGTTTATGAACAAAGTCCTTAAAACCAACGGGCAGACCGAGACTGCCCGGACGGGGGAGATGATCGCCAAATACGTGGACATGCTGCTCAAAGGCGGCTGGAAAGTATTGCCCGGCCGAAATACAGAAGACATTGCACTTGCGGACGAGGACGCAGAGATCAACCGTCAACTTGACAAAGTGCTGGATCTCTTCCGATTTGTGCATGGGAAAGCAGTCTTTGAAGCCTTCTACAAGAACGACCTTGCGCGGCGCCTGCTTATGGGCCGAAGTGCCAGCGATGATGCGGAAAAGAGCATGTTGACCAGGCTCCGGACAGGTTTGTGCATCATCCTTTTTGAGTTTCTTATTTGTTTGGCGACTGACATCCTGACCAATGCAGAATGTGGCTCGAGTTTCACCCACAACTTGGAATCGATGTTCAAGGATATGGACGTTGCTCGCGATGAGATGTCGGCATACAAGTCCATGCATGGTAGCCGCCGACTCAAACCCGACTTGAATGTCAGCGTCCTCTCTGCATCTGCTTGGCCGACGTACCCTGACGTTCCTGTGCGAATTCCGCCAGTGATCGCAACGGCGCTCGGGGACTTTGAAACATTTTACAACAACAAATACAACGGCCGCAAGTTGAGCTGGAAGCACCAACTGGCGCATTGCCAGATTCAGGCCAAGTTCCCCAAGGGAAACAAGAATCTGGTCGTCAGCTCGTTCCAGGCGATTGTGCTACTGCTGTTCAACGACATCAGCGACGATGAGAAGCTTAGTTACAACCAGATCAAGGAAGCGACCGGTCTTTCTGACCCGGAGCTGATCCGAACACTGCAGTCCTTGGCGTGTGCCAAGTACCGTGTTCTCATCAAGCATCCCAAGGGCAAAGACGTCAACCCGACGGATGAATTCTCCTACAACTCCAAATTCGTGGATGCGAAGATGCATATCAAAATCAATCAAATCCAGCTCAAGGAGACCAAGGAGGAGAATAAGAAAATCAACGAGCAGGCCGATGCCGACCGACACTATGAAGCCCAGGCGGCCATCGTTCGCATCATGAAGAGTCGCAAGACCATCACGCATCAGGAACTGGTGACGGAAGTCATCAAGGCGACGATGACCCGGGGATACCTGGACCCGAAGGACATCAAAAAGAATATCGAGAGGTATGTTTCTTGAAATTTCTCATCCACTCTTCCATGCTAATTCAATGACTCTATGTAGATTGATTGAGAAGGACTATATGGAACGAGATGAAGACAATCGATACCAGTACGTGGCATAGAGCGATGAAACTATGCCATCTAGCTGGTACCTATTAGTTCATGTCGAGTCCTGGTATTTCGAATTTGTTCCAAGCACATCATTATGATCATCAATGACGGTTTTCTTTTTTTCTTTTTCTTATCTGGTGTTCTTGGCTGTTTGGAAATAGGGCATTACTTTCTTTTCCAGTTCCTCAGGGAATACCCATCGTAGTTTTTCTGTTGTCTCCGGAATACTAGAATTCCTCTTACACCATTGTATCGACTGTTCAAGCATCTAGTACTTGGATGAAGTGCTACCAACTTAAGTTCCAACTAATACAAACACGTCTATTCCGTCGGATAGTAGATAGATACTAGATATGGATCTATCTAAGTAGTGGTTCATGTACTGTACCCACTGAAGGCTTCTAGATCTGTTCTTGGGCCTTCGGGTCATTCTGTGATATGTAGAGAACAGTGTACTCCGTAACTATAGTCTCTTATAATAATTGTAGCATATATCTCTAGTAATACTAGGTAACTGGGTATTTCAGTAACTGATGATTTATACCGGTACTTGGATAGTAACTAGAGCTTTCTGTATTGTATGGACTGGAACAGATTACCAATAATACCTCTCGCCCGATAGCCAATTCAAGCTCTGCAATAAACCCCTTACTACTAACCTAACTACTAGTTATACTCCATAGGAAAGGAATTGTTATAGTGAAGAATGCCGCGACGGGATTCCCATAAAGGAAAGCCGAGAGGATCCCCCGTTCCAGACCATGTGAGCTGCTGTCATGTGAGCTCCAAAGAAGGACTCGGAACTTCGACAATTGGAAGTGTGACACGACATATTGTCATATAATAATAATCCATGGAGGAGGAACCTCCCCCCCTCTCCTGGCTTTTAAGAAGACCAGTCTCCCTGTTTCCCCCTCTCTCCTCTTTCTCTTCATCTTATTTCTGTTCCTGAGAGGTAGTTCCCCCCCAGTTCTCACTCCCCAGTCCTCACCCCCAAAAGTTGCTTCCTTCCCTGGAACATCCGTCTGCACCACGAGGGGACAACAGACCACGTTCCTAGTGAGTACAAGAAGCTTCCTGGAGGTGTCTTCATGTTCTAAAAGGCACCAGGCACTCACTGACTTGTTGAAGCCCCCAGGTTCCCCCGCCTTTCCCCGCCATTTTATCCCACGGGCGTGGGGGTTGATATCATCTGGTAATCCTCATCGTGCGGTTGGTTCCACGCATATACTACATATATATATATATATATATATATATATACGCGTATATATCGGTCTTCACCCTATAGCGTGTAGACACTTTGTCGAGGCCCGTTGTGTTGCTTTGGCCGTTTTGAGTGTTCCGCTGAACTCTATACTTCCTACGTCATATCACGATAAGCCATGCAGAGTATGTCGACAGATCCAAAAGGAATCCCAGAGATGACCCCCCCAAAGCCATGAGCAAAAGATTGTTACTGACCTGTGTGACGATTTCAGCGAAGCACTTCTTCTCCGATCCGAACCATCTGGTTCTGACGGCCCTGAACGCTCTCACCATCACCAACCCGTCTTTAGCCTATGACCGCGAACACAAGGTCATCTTTCGTCGGCCAGATGCATCTGCAACACCCAAGGTCTCCATCATCTCTGGGGGTGGTTCCGGCCACGAACCCGCCTTTGCCGGGTTTGTAGGTAAGGGTATGCTGACGGCCTCTGCGGCCGGGAGCATCTTCGCCTCCCCGTCGGCGGAGCAGGTGCGCACAGCGGCCATGCACCGGGTGGAGACTAAGAAGGGTGTTTTCATCATCACCATGAATTACACTGGTGATGTGCTTCACTTTGGGATGGCTGCCGAGAAGGCCAGGGCCGCCGGTATCAAGACAGAGTTCTATGCCATTGGCGACGATGTTGGCGTGGGGAGGAAGAAGAGCGGAAAAGTTGGTCGTCGTGGTCTCGCCGGCGGTATCCTAATTTTAAAGATTGTCGGTGCACTAGCAGAGAAAGGGTATTTCCTATTAATCTTTATTTTCTTACTTTTGCCAAAGAAAGCGAGTACTGACGGGTTGTTTGTTCAGCGGCTCCTTGGAGGAAGTCTATCGCCTCGCAAAGTTGACCAACGAGAATCTTGTCACATTGGGATCTTCGCTTGAGCATGTGCATGTGCCTGGCCGTGACCTCCCTGAAGAAACTGTTCCCGCCGACCAAGTTGAGGTTGGCATGGGTATCCACAACGAGGCTGGATCCCACCGCATCAAAGCGACTCTCGTAGAGCTGGTTCAAACCATGCTCTTGCAGTTGCTGGATCCCAATGACGCAGACCGAGCCTACATCGCCACAAAGCCGGAAGACCAGTTCGTCCTGTTGATTAACAATCTGGGGAGTGTCAGTGTCCTGGAATTGGCGGGCATCACCGATGAGGTGGTTCGTCAACTGGGTCGGGACTACAAGATCAAGCCTGTCCGAGTTATCCAGGGAACTTTCCTGACGAGCTTGAACGGTCTGGGCTTCAGCGTCTCCTTGCTGAAGCTTGTCGACACCGGCCTGGGCGCTGGAAAGTCGATGCTGGAACTCATCGACGCCCCCGCCGAGGCTGTGGGTTGGGCCGCTCCAATCCAGACTGCCACATGGGAAAACCGCTCGGATGCTCCAGTGGACACTTTGACGGTGAAGTCTGACGAGGAGAAGCCGTCCAACCTGAAGGGTACGATATTCCTTTCTTTTCTTTTTTTATCACCGACCGGAATGAATGAAAGTTAACATTCGCAAAAGTGGACCCCGCTGTGCTCAAGAAGGTCCTGTCCGCCGGCCTGAAGCGCCTGATCGCCGCCGAACCTCTCATCACCCGCTACGATACCGTTGTTGGTGATGGCGATTGCGGTGCTGGGCTCAAGCGGGGTGCGGAAGCCATTCTCGCTCTGCTGGAAGGAACCACACTGACTGACGACGCGGTGCGGACCGTGAACGAGATCGTCAACGTGGTGGAGCATTCCATGGACGGCACCTCGGGTGCCATCTACGCTATCTTCCTGAATGCTCTTGCTCACGGCCTCCGCACCCAGGACCAGGGCTCCGCCACCCCCGTCACGGTCGAAACGTGGGCGGCGGCGCTCACCTCCTCCATTGCAGCGCTGGGAAAATATACCCCCGCGCAAGTGGGCGACCGGACCCTCGTCGACGCCCTGGTCCCCTTCTGCACTACCCTTGCCGAATCCAAGGACGTCAAGGCCGCCGCCAGGGCCGCCGAGAAGGGCACCGAATCAACCAAACACCTCAGGGCTAGCTTGGGCCGCTCCGTCTATGTCGGCAGTGAGGAGGAGTGGCTGGGTAAAGTTCCCGACCCGGGCGCGTACGGTCTCAGCGAGTTCTTGACCGGTCTGGCTGAAGCTGTCTGATCTATGATGCAGCTTCGGGAGTCCTTGTAATCGTACATATTAGCCACATTTATGAATTGAGAAAGTGCTATACGTAGCATGCAAATCCTAGCGTAATTGATTTCTTGAAACAATATTATTCCTCATTATCTTTGCTTTATTATATTGAAGTGAATCGGGCTTTCTCCATTTCTCATGCTAAATCAGCGGGTATGGATCGCCGAACACAGATAAAGACACTGAACGCCGCATTTTTTTTAACCTCAACATTTATGACACGAATAGAGTAAGTCAGCCAACAGCTGCCTAGCCCCAGTAGAGGCAGACAGGGATGACGCCCAGAAGAAAAAGGAAGAAAACCGTGAAGAAGCGGGTATCTTTGTGTATCGAAAATCGCTTTCTTTTTGAATCGGTCTGCGAGTGGCACCACAGCGGGAGAGGCCGGCATAGGGGGATGATAAAATCACGTTACAGGGCGAAGACGGAGATAGCTGGGTTAGCACGTGATCCATTCAACTGAGGAGAACCAAGATGACCGAGTCGCCTCGAAGGAACCTGGAGGGGATAGTGAGCAAGGGAGGACGTTAAAATTGGCCAAGTTGCTTCTGGGATCAAACTCACATCTTGCTGATAAAGCGGTCCTTGTTCACACCGCGACCCTTGCCTCCCTTGGGCTTCTCAGTCCACATCTCCTTGACGTTCTCGAGAACCATGTTGCAGTGGCGATCAAAGGCCTTGACCCGTGCAAGAAGCTTGCGGTTGTTCCGACACGAGATCAGGACCTGGGTATGCGTGCGCGTAGCGGTTTGAAGGAGAGAAAGGGGACCAGCGGTCAGCTCGTGTTCCTCGACCAAGGCGACCTCATATTCCCTATAGCATCCAAATAAATAAGCTCGATTCATGACAAAGAAACAACTACCGGTATACCCCGTAGACCAGGGTTAGGCAGCTCAAACATTGGCACTATCATGTGACAGAATCAGGAGATGGGGGGACAACGTACGTGAGCTCGTTCTTGGGCTTGTTGAGCAGGTCTCTGTAGGGAAAGAGATGATATGGTTAGCATGGCGTCGGGGTCATCCATCGTCCATCGGCAAGCGGGGAAGTTCCAGGCAGGATCTCATCACGACGAGCCAATGAGTCATCAATAAAAGAGCCGGGGTGGGATGGCGAGCTTACTGGATCTTCGGGTCGGTCGACATGGTGTGGTATAAAAGGGACGAGGGAGGCACGTCTGCTGCTGCTGCTGCTACTGCTGCCGCTGGCCTTCGCGATCATTCGGGAGGTTTGCTTGGCGCAGAGTTGGAAGAGTCACGTGTTTAATATCACGTGGTCACGCATCTGCTGTTTGTACTGTTTGCACTATTTGCACTATTTGCACTATTTGGCTGTCTGTCGTGTTTGGCAGCTGCAATTTTGCCGGGCGCGCGATTGGCTGCGTCACGTCGCGTCGGGCTACGCCTACACGTCTGGGAGATCATTCAAAGCTTCACGAGGGACCCTCCATGCAAGGCGTTTCTTCTTACTCCCGTACCCTCTCTCCAACCTTTTACCACCACCCGCCACCGCCTAATTGACCTGTTGTCTCTCCAGGGTGAGCTGCAGGGCTTGGTGAAGAGAGTGGTCGCTGTCTCCATCGTTGGTTTTTCACTGGCACTCGCCCTGTTTGGAAGTGGAAGAAGGCGTGACCGTCCCACGGCTTCGCCTTGACATTCCAGAGGTTGCCGTCACCCCGCGACTCGGCGTGCATGCCCTTGCATTGATAGATTCTCGATTGACGAGTTGCCGTGACTGGTCGACTGGCTAAACCCCCTTTTCGAGCTCCTCTTATCTGGTTGTTCCGGCGTTTCCACCTCACCGCACATTTTACGCTTCGGTCCGGTCTTCAGGAGAGCTTATTCGATTTCCCTCTCTCCTTCTCTCTCCCTCTCTCTTTCTCTCCCCCACTTCTCTTTGTCATACGATTACTCTCCCTCTCTCTCTATACCACAATTTCGGCTTCTTATGGTTAAGAAAGACGGTCTGGCGGCATGGAGTCCCAAGACGGAATATCCGTCCGCCCTATGAGGCGTATGTTTTCTACTCATACCCAAATACCCACGGTGTAGCGCAAAAAGGCTGACTCTCTCTTCGTCTGATCAGTGAAAGTACTTTATACCTTTGACGACGAAAGCAAAACACACTGCCTGGCTCGGTGGCCGCAGCTGCTGGATATTCAGACGGCTTATTTGGATGAAAAGACTCAAATAGGGGTTATTGAACTGAAGACCTGCATTCAAGCCATCGTCTCTGCCAGGTTTGCCACATCTTCCCCCCCCCCCCCCCCATCCTCCCATCACCTAGGCTACAAATGAGATGAAACTAATTAATTCCAATGGGCTCTAGTCCGGAACTGGTTGCAAAACTCGGTCATGATTACACCGTCTATGCATACGATTACTCTGAGTACGAGACGCCCTTGGTGGGGCAGGGAATGCTATCATGGGTTCTCGCCTCAGCTTCACCCACCCCCAATGCCCCGGCACATCAGTCCCAGACTATGGTCACCGGTCGTGTGTGCAAGAATGTGCTAGGTTTATTCACAAAGGGTGCGCAGGAGACCTTGGAAGTCAAGCTGCGCCTAGTTCCCGTGCCGACGGTTCTGCAAAGTGAATACCTGGAGAGCATGCAGAAATACAGAGAGCTTAGCAATGTCATTCCACATGAGTTTGATGCTCAGGTCTGGACCAACTTCCTGCGCCAGAACCCAAACCTGCTGTCCTACACCAAATCTCAGCAACCCGAACGCACTACCTCCCCCATCAGCCACTCTGGCATTGAGAAGTTCCATCAGCTGCTCTGTGAAGGCTCAACTCCCAGGGAATTGCCCTCCATTCACCCTAATGATCAGTACCGATCGGCATCTCCCTCTCAGTCCATTATCGTTCCTCCTAGTCGAGTCTCGACTCCCGGTGGACAACATTCGTCGAGCCGTCAGCAGCAGCAGCAGCAGCAGTCGGGCGGAGCGCCGAGTGATCTCATTCGACCCGAATCTAGCGCTTCGATGCGGGACGCTGACTTCCAGTCTCGCCCCTCTCTAGCCCGCCGGGATTCGATGCAATCTGGCTACGGTAGTGGCGAGGACTCGGCGGAACCCCCACGAAAACGCGCCAAGCTGTACAGAGCCGACTGGCCTGGTAAGTCCGACTACAATATCGAAAGGCAGCCAAGCTCGCTGCGAGTTGCGGCAAGCACCGCTGCATCGGTCCGTATCCATCGTCCAACACCCATGAACCCCTCGATCGCTGCTGCCCAGCAGTCTGGAGACGAACCTGTTCGCCCCCCCACGCCCATCTCTCGCCCAACAGACTTGTCACGCAGAGTCCGTTCGACCCCCAGCCTGCTCCGTGAAGCTTCCAGCCAGAGTCTAGTGCAATATACATCACCGTATCCCATGAGTGATGACCAACCCCCCGAAGATCCGGCCACGACCTCTCCTGAAGAGGTTCGCTACCAAGGACTCTTTGAGCCTTCGTTCAGCATGCCCTCGTCTCCCCCTGTCATGGATTGTGGGTTTCCTCCTAGGTCGAGCCCTGTCTTGCCCCCAATGGTTATGGACCAGGACTCCGGTTTCATGAGTGGTGGCTTGGAGGATCTACTGGATAATGAGGCCGACACGCCCGGGGACGAATGCCAGGGTGCAGTATCCAATAAGCCAGCCAACAGCCAGGGCACTGCGAGACAGACAACAGTATCTCAAGCCAACTCTCCCGATGAAACTCGGTCAGCCTTGGGAAATTCCAGTAGGCCGTTACAGCTCAACACTGGCTTCGCTGGACTTACACCAAAGGAAATGTCCCCGACACTTCCTCGCCCCCCGTTGAGCAGGACTAACTCCAGACCTTCTTCAAGAGCGGGAGTGAGACCGACGCCAAAACCCTTGGCCCCGGCACCCATGTCCCAAAGCGAGGTCGAGCAGCTGATGAGTTCGTTGCCTGCTAGCGATCCAGTTATTCCAGGTCAGCTACAGCACTCACACTCTTGGGCAGGCCCGATGAGTGACTATCCTACCGTGGCCACACCTGCCCCGCAGCCGATGGAAGAAGTCAAGGTTAGGAGTGGAGCAGGTGCACGACGATTGCGTCAAGTCCAAGCACGTCTAGATCAGTGCATCAAGAATGGGAAAGCTCCTCCCTTCTGTGAAAATTGCGGCGCGATCGAAACCCCCACCTGGCGCCGAGCCTGGTCCAAGGAAATCGTGGGCAGTGAGCAGCATGCCATCGAATTCGTTAAGGATCCGACCATTTTGTTCTGGCAGGCGCTGGAAAGAGACGACAATGACAATGTCACCAAATTCAAGCTCTATAAGAAAAGCCTTGTTGATGAGGATAATGACTTTGTCCAGGTCCTCCTCTGCAATCGTGAGTATCAGTCAATTGATTTCTACTTGAAAAATCTATATCAAATCCGCTAACATTGGACAAGCTTGTGGTCTCTGGTTGCACAAGTTCAAAACTATGCGCCCTGAGAATAAGTGGAACAAGCACCCAAAAGATAAAAGAAAACGGCCTTCAAGGAACCGCAAGGGGGGCCCGCTTTCGAACGGCAATGCTTCCACTAGAAGCCGCAGCAAAACTCAAACCCATAAGCCAGCAGAGTCTTCACCTGGCCCTAGCGATGCCTCTTCGCCGCCAGGTGAAGATGGTATTACCCCTCGTGTCGACAACGAAAACGACAATGACGATGACATTCAAGAGTCGCTGTCGAAACGTCGCCGAGCCAATAGTATGGAGCCCCGTCGTTCTACTGACACGGTTCAGAGTCATTGGGAAGAGCACGATGCGATGGAGGCTTTGCGCAGGGCTATCCAATCCAGCCCCGCTCGAAACATGGATAAGCGCCCTGTGCCAACAGCAGGGGAGGATCTTACACCTCAACCAGTAAGGAGAGCCTTATTCCCGCACTCTCAAAGCGATGGCCCGTTGAAACCTCTCGAGGAATCGATGACGAATAGCCCGCGACGAAGCCCTCGCTCTGGTTTTCAGCAAAAGGCAGACAAGAGTGCCCGAGACAAGGAAAATCTGGGTAGCTTCGATGACCTCTTTGAAAGCCCGAGCTTTCAGTTCGATACATTGTCCAGCCCTACACCCAAGAGACGTGCCCGCCCTAGCTTCCTAGAGAAACGGCTATCCTTACCTGGCGTTTCTCCCACGAAGCGGAAGAATGGCAAACTCGACATGTCTCCCGCGAGACTCGCTGCGGAGAGGCTTCAAAATGCCAACAAGCAATCTCGCAATGACTTGTCCGGCCTTGCCGCGTTGCAGAGTGAAGTCATTGGCCCGGAGAACTTGGAGGCTATCGATAACATCATTATGGACATGTTGGATGACAACGCCGCCTCTGTCACGATGCAGAGAGATGGCCTGTATCCCCAAGCTGTCAACGACTGGACAGACTGGCTCCCGTCAAACTATGTGTCTCCCGCCGGCTCGGACGACGAAAACATACCTGCCGGTGGAAACTCCATTGCTCAGGAAGATACCGATGACCTCATCAATGCGATCTTGTCTGACCCGGACGTTCACAAAGAGAATCTGCACAATTCTCAATTCAACCCCTTCATCTCTGTGCTCGACTCTGGATTTTTCAGTTCCGACTCGTTGAATAACCAGGATCTCACGGAGATCGGCCCTAAGGACGATAAATCAACGTATCACCCTGGTGGCAAAAAACAGCCCGCTGATAGTCAAGACCTTTCACCCTCCAAGGAAGGCTTGGCTGTCATCATTGGGCCCTAATGCTCTTCTTTTTCTTTTTGCTTTTCAATCATGTATTTCCCAGCGACAGCGTTTGGACGATGTTCAGTTCCGTCTATCTGATATTACCAGGTACTTCGGTACACACACAAGCCGCGATATCCCCCCTTTGTTTTTTCATCTCAAAACTTGCGTCTCCGGTGCCTCGTCTGATACCCTATGTTGAAGACACTTGCTTACCACTTCTACACACGTGTTCCTATTAAAATAGAATAGGATCAGCTGGATCAAAATAAAATATAATGTTAACTCCTATTATACTTGAAAGTATATGTAGTGAAATATAGGCTCTGTGATTAGGCGACCTGCTAGAAAGATCTTCATATCTTCATTCTCTTCCGCAGTCATCCCATCATCCCCCCTTGCCTAAAGACAGTCTGCGTATCTGAGACTGAATGATAGGAACGAGCGGTGAGTGTCAAGGTTTCTTATAAGAAACCAACTCTAGCTTAGATAGGTTGAGAATGATGATTTCTCTAGTGATTGATGCAATTGATTATATCCATTCATATCCGCATTAATTCCCCCCCCCCCCCCCCATCACCTCGACTATTCATTTGAATCGTAGAATATCCCTTTCACGCGGTGTGTCGCCTCGACGACGTATTCATAGGCTTTGTAATCTGCACCACTTAGCCATGGTGTACAAAACGTACGAGAGAGAGAGGAAAGAGAGAGACTCACCACAATCCGCTGGATTCCCCCAGTCCATCGTCCCTAAAACTCGAACCCCGAGGCCCTTCAAAAAAGACAAAATTATTACCACAACCCTATATGATTGAATTGAAGGAGAAAAGATAGGGTTGCTATTTCTTACCTGCCCCCCCTCAAGATCAACCACCTTCCCCACCACCTCAATCAGCTTGCCCATCTGTAGATGCGAGTCCGGCTTCAGGAGAAGCGTGACGTCCCCGTTATTCCCGCAGGTGATGGTCGCTGTGTCGCCGCGCAGAGCCGTCACGGTGCCCAGCAGACGGACGGTGTGTGTTGCGCGGGGGCCCGTGGCGCTGGAGGGGTGGAAGGCGTGCAGGTGGGCGGGGAGCACACGGGGGGTCTGGAGAGACATCTTGCAGATTGATGTGAAGTAAAATGAAAAAAGAATATCCTTTGCGTAGCTGAGAAGCTAATGGTTTCCAATTAGATTGTGGTCTGAGGTGGTGGTGATACGGCGCGTCCGCGACTCCCGTTAACGCGTAGCCACGTGACCTTATTAACGGGATCAAGGCTGATTTTTCCAATACGCAGCACGAAATGAGGAGCTTGAGACCACTTCATTAAGGGATATTGCTACGGTAGTATTTCTAGTTCTATCTAGGATCCTCTCAAGCTATTACCGCAATCTTCTAATCCACGTCTAAGCTCACGCTGCTGGTCGATTTTGGCAGTCTGCACTCTGCAGAATCAGATCTTATCAAGCACGTGATTTAAATCGCCGCAGCGACACAGCTTTATCGAGAGAAGCTTCGGACTAGCTGGCAGCAGTTGCACTCGGATTTCCCACATGTTCAAAAAGTATCTGGAAGAGTCGGTAGTCTTATAAAAGACATGTTCATATAGAGCTCTGGAGGAACGAGGAACCAGTATTGACTCACAATGCCGCCACCGCTTCCTTCTTCCCATCGTGGCATGACCGCCAACCCTCTCAAGCCCGTCGCGCGATACCGCCCCGGAAAGCCGGTCGTCGAGGAACCATCATCAGAAGAAGAGGAGGAAGAGGAAGATGAAGAGGAACAGCGGAAGATCGAGGAGCGAGAGCGTCGTCGGCAGGAAGAGGCTCGGAGACGACTGCAGAGACAGCAACAGCAAAAAGCACCAAAAGCGAGCTCATTCCCTTCAGGTGCTGCGAGCAGTATTGCCAAAAAGGTGCAGGATGTGAAGATCGAGGATGAAGAGGAGGATGAAGAAGAAGGATTCGTCACAGATGAGGAAGAAAAGCCTACACCGCGCGCCGGAGAGGTAAAAGCAGCCGCTACGACAAAGGAAGAAGAAGAAGAAGAAGAAAGCGAAGAGGATGAAGAAGAGGAAGAAGAAGAGGAAGAAGAGGAGGATAGTTCGGAAGAGGAAAGCAGTTCTGAAGAAGAGGCACCCCGAAGAGTCCTCCTACGACCTACGTTCATCAAAAAGGACAAACGGAACAACGGGACAGTTGCGGGGGCGGCGGCGACGAGTAACAATACCAGGGCAGCAGGAGCTGGTGGAGCGATTGCAACTGACTCGATGGCCGACTCAGAGGCCCGCCGAGCGCAGCGACAGGAGAAAGCGGACCAGCTGGTGCGCGACCAGTTGGAGAAAGACGCGATCGCGCGGTCGACTGCGAACCGGGCCTGGGACGACGACGACGAGCTAGTGGAAGCCGGCGAAGAAGGGGCGATCGACGACCGGGACGGTGTCGACCCGGAAGCGGAGTACGCAGCGTGGAAGCTTCGGGAGCTTCAGCGGATCAAGCGGGAGCGCGAGGCGATCGAGGCAGCGGAGAAGGAGCGCGAGGAAGTAGAGCGGCGACGGAACCTGACGGCCGAGGAGCGCGAGGCAGAGGACGAGGAGTATCTGGCTCGACAGAAGGAGGAGCGCGAGGCAACCCGCGGCCAGACCGGGTTCATGCAACGATACTTCCACAAGGGGGCCTTCTTCCGCGACGACCTCGAGCGCGAGGGGCTCGACAAGCGGACCCTGATGGGCGCCCGGTTCGCCGACGACACCTCCTCCCGCGAAACCCTGCCGCAGTACATGCAGATCCGCGACATGACCAAGCTCGGCAAGAAGGGCCGCACGCGCTACCGCGACCTCAAGACCGAGGATACCGGGCGCTTCGGGGGCGGGTACGAGAATCGTCGACCCTGGGCCCGGCGCGAGGGTGATGCTCCCCCAAGCGATATCACAGACGACCGCTTCCTCCCTGATCGACCGACAGGGCCGACGGGTGCAAATGCAAGTGTGCTTCGTGAGCGGCGTGCATCTCCGCGACAAAGGCCGAGGTCAAGGTCAAGGTCGAGGTCGAGGTCGAGGACTCCACGAAGACGGTCAAGGTCCAGATCGTACTCTCCACGCCGAGACCGGCACGGCCGAGAGCCAGGCTCACGCAAACGCAGTCCATCGCCGTATGATGAGAGGGACAAGCGACGACGGACAGTCAAGAGTACAAATTAGGCAATACTTCTTTTCTTCTTCTTCTTATATTAAAGAATTTATACAGCACGTAGCCCGCTGCGTGCCTTGATATTAATGCTTAAGCCGAAAATTCTCTATTTCACACCTGCCCGTTCCAAGACCTTCTCCCGTTCCATCACACTGTCTCCGAAGCGGAGCAAGAAAACCGTACGAGCAGGCCACAGCTCCGACGGCTGGTTATGCGCCGACACCTTTGCCTCAAAGCCACAGCCATCACAGACCCCCTCGATGATACCCGCGACAAACGCCGCACAGTTGAGCATGCTCATTTCGCGCGGCACGCTGATAAAAGTGTTGACCAGCGGGTCGTTGTCGGTAATCATGTACTCGTTCGGCGTATCGGGGGAAACAGAGTGTTCGAGCGCGTCCGCCGCCCGCTGGAACAGTAACCGCCACAACGGGCCGTGAATCATATGTAAGAGCGGTAACAGGCGTAACGGTCTGTTCGGGGGGGTGGAGCTCGTCGACGAAGATGATGTCGTTAACCCAGACGTGCCGCTGCTACTACTGCTGTTCCGGTAGAAGAGGAGGTCCAGTAGTCGGAGACCGAGAGGGTATCCTTGTTCATTCAGTCTATTAAATCAGCAAAAAATTTCACTTCACAGTAGAAACGAAAACAAGTATTTGGAAAAACGGTTTACCTCCGTTCTAAATCTTGGATGCCTGTAACTCGGCGCTGCGCGTACGTGACCATCTCCGCGAAGAGGAAAGCGAAGCTCGCGCGGCTGAGCTCCGCCGTGCGGCTGCGGTTGAGGTGGCGGTCATAAATGGTTTTGCGGTTCGAGGGAACGCGTAGACCCGTGGTGGTGCTCTGTGAAACGGTTGATAGGCGCTGCGAAGACGGTTTCTCGCTGTCGGGGGGGGGAGGAGGTTGAGGGTTGCTCGCGCTGATGGACAGCATTGGTGCATGGCGGTTTGCCATATTCCGTACCCCAGTGATCCTGGGGAAGATATCTTTAACGAGATTAAAGGAAGGGATGAAGACGGGTCTGTGAGTTATCACATTGGTCTGTCGATTGTACTATTTGAAGTTGAAGTCGGGACTGTAGATGATGTTGGATATCGATACGGCGGGGCAGAGAGCCTTTTGTGCAGTTTCACTATCATTTTAGATATGATTCAATTACATCTAATCGACTCGGCTAATATAGTAGTCGTTTTGTAGACAATCAGGCTATGGCAGCTACTTAAAAGCTTTCTGCTTCTGCCGCGAGTTCCAGTTCAGAGTCTTGGAAATACTCTGCACCCAGTCTTCTCCCCGACTGCCAAACGGCAGGACATTGGCAAACGGGTAGCGCGAGGCAGAGACGGTCACGTAGTCGCCCGGGTGTAATTCAACCCTCTCTCGCCCATCAAAGCTAGCCCAGGAGGTTGTGCGCGCGTCATAAGGCACGCCCATCCGCAGGACGATGGTATCCGGAAGGATTATCGGTCTGAAGGACAAGGTATGTGCGCAGATGGCTGTGACGAGGATGACGGGGTTCTCTGGGTGCGACAGCGATCCGCCGGCCGCCAGGTTATACGCGGTGGAACCGGTGGGCGTGGCGATGCAGATACCGTCCGCTAGGACGGTGGTGAAGTGCTCGTCGTCGCCGAACAGTTCAATTTGCGACATGGCTGTGTTGTTAGCAATCTCAACAAAAAACACTAAAAAGGAGAAGGGGAAAGGGGAGGGAGGAAGTACTTGGATTTGGCCCTCGGTCCAGAACGACATCGTTTAATATTTGAAAGAGCTTGTCCGGCGTGTGCGTCAGGGTGTCGCCCTGTTCCTCACCGATCAGCTCCTCGACAAGGTCCCGTTTGGGGGCGCCTGGTCGAGACTCGTCGTCGGGCCGGGGTTTGGTACGCATGACGGTACATTCGAAGCGTAGTCGCAGGCTGACCACGACGCCCTCGCGGAAGGCACTGGTGAGGGTATCCTGGTAACCGTTGAAATCGAACTTGGTCAGGAAGCCTAGCGAGCCCAGCGAAAACGACAGCACGGGCGGGACTATACGTTGGAAGAGCCAGCTGGTATAGAGGACAGTGCCGTCGCCGCCGAGGGTGACGACAAAATCGAACAGGTGCGGATGGTCCTGCGCGAGCTTGGTATCCCAGTAGTGCAGACGGCCCTGGGCCGTAGGCTCCTCCTCGAGGAGCTGAACGGCGGCAAAGTCTGGATGGGTCTGTAAACGCTTCTCCACGTACACATTGTACGGGGTATGGCGGTCCTTGGATAGGAGCCACTGGGTGACTTTCCGGGTCAGGCTGACGAGACTCTCGTCGTGGGGTTTGGTGACCAGGAAGACGTTCTCAACCGACAGGCGGAGACGAATGCTGCCCAGCTTCTTCGACAGCTTGCGCACGTTCCAGGCCATATCCGACAGCTGGCGTTTGGTTAAATGGCGCGACTGGATGACGGTCGGGCTGGGCTTCTGGATCTTGTCGCCAAAGTCGACGACCGAGACCATCTCGTCGCCGGTCGTGATGTTGGCGTCGCCGACCAAGCGCTCCATCTCCAGCACGCGGTCCTTGCCCTGCGGGTTTTCATTCTGCGCGGTTGACGGAGCGATCCATTCGCCGGCGATGAGCGAGTGCACAAAGCACGCCGTCGTCCGGTCGACCTGCTCGAGACTCTGGCGCAGCTTGGGGTTATCCGCGGTGACGAGCGACGATTTTCGGCGGTGGCTGCAGTCGGGATAGAAAACTACCTGGTTCTATTAGAAATATGTCTTTTTTTTTTCTCCCTCTCAACACTGAAATGTACCTCGAGCTGGTTCTTGTCCCTGTCGCTTGAGGGACCGCCACCGCCATCACTCTGTCTGTAGGTTAGTTTCGAGGCTGCGGGCAAGACAGTATAGAGAAACGAGGTATCCAAAGTCGACATACCAGACTACTTCCCTCCATTATAATCTTGCTGCCAGCGTTGCGATCTCATTGCTCTACGTGGACTGGAGAGTTGAGGGGTTCGATATCCGGATCTCCAGCGTGATGACGTCGACGTACCAGTCAGTAGACAGTACCTACACTACTCCGTACACTTTACAGGTAGATGTTGATAACTACTATTATTCTTTCATATCGTTAGTTATTCACTTACAGGCTGGTGATATACTCCAGTATACCTATTCCCATCCATTTCTCCCAGCCATAGGTACTCCGTATATCATATGTCGTAGGAGGATATGGAATACTCCGTACAAGTTGCAATATCTATCAGACCCTTGCAGACAGAATTTCCAAGGCCATGTGCTGTCACAGGAATACCTCATATGCACCTAGTCAAGCCTGCATCGTCAGCGGGCAGATGGAGTGCATGAGTACGGAGTATATGAGGACGGAGTACCGACAGGAAGCCCATGATGCGTCCGTCTATTTTATCTAGATCAGTATGTACGGAGTAATAGGAGCCAAGCACTGTGCTACGTAACTCACTGCCTAATCTTTTTCTGTATCACCTGAAGGCTTATGGGGTGCCTAGAGGTAGCAGGTAGCAGGCAGGTACCTAGCAGGTAGTTAGTACTCCGTACTCTATCTAGGCAGTGCCGTAGCAACGAATTAGGGGGAATGACGTATTACATATTCTTATTCTTAATGAATAACTGCATCGGTTCAATCTGTCCGAGTCTAGACCAACTCTTGTGAGAGACTTCCGGAGACTGTCCGTGATGGAGGGTGGGGAGAATATCGGTCGGTTCCTGGAGCCAACGTGGCGGGATTACGGAGTAGAGGGCGGCAAACGGCAACCAGATACGAGTCTGAGTCTACGGAGTAGGTAAATACCTAGGGAGTAATAATAACTACCTAGGTACCTAGTAGTATCTAGTTAGTTACTAGGTAGGTACTCATACTACTAGGTACGCCATAACCACAAGGCCTAATACTAGTGATGAAACTGTCCGAGCGCAGTGATGGGTTATGCTGACTATCCAGTTCCGACGGAAGCCTCGGCAAAAGAAGAAGAGGATCTGGAGTCAGATTTTTACGGAATACTAGCTAGTAACTCAATACCGGTACGGAGTACTATGTACATAGTACTGTACTCCGTAGTGCTACGGAGTATGTAGTACATACTCATAATCCACATGGCGACCGATCTGTTTCAGTTGCCGCTTAGTCTCGTATTATCAGGTTCGAGAAAATAGACAACCAATATTGGGTCACCCAAGAATGAGCGCCGATCGAGCCCACAGCCACACGTGTGTCCATGGATCGATGTTAGTCATCAGCAGCCATACCTATTACTATTAATTTACAGCTTCATAAATGTAGTAGTAGTAGTAGTAGGTACTGCGTAGCAACCCTTAGCGATCCCTGCCTGCGGGGTCATATGTAGGTACCTAGGTATCTAGGACTAACAACTTAGTTATGATACTAGTTGGTGATAACTACCTAGCAGTTAGGTAGGTACGGAGTACTGCTGATCATACGACTGATATAAGTACTGTACTAGCCCTAGGTATTATTGATAGTAGCTAAGGTAGTCGCGCAAAACCATCCTGCAGGATCTTGCAAGGGGCTGCTGTGACTCGGTCGCATATCTAGTACACTACATATGACATGCTCGATTTGATCCTGGCAAGTGGGTATTTAATGGTCATCTGATACGGAGTACTATAGTAGTACAGGAGTGATAATTTTGATATTCCGTACTACAAGTATTGTAGGTAGAGTACGAGTACTAGTTAAAGTATTCTCTACTAATAGACTGGAGCTGGTCCACCATGTAAAAGGCGGTGTCTGCCGTGTCTTTAGCGCTACACAACTTGACTTTGAATATTTATTAATTTAATATTTCCAAGGTAACTAATAGTACGATCAAGTTAGTCATGCTTCTGGAATCTACGGAGTCTTCCAAGGTTCGATTGACTGCGAAATACAGAATAACGATTGGTGGGAGACTTTTCGGATATAACTAGCGCAAGTTACGAAATACTTACGGAGTACCTAGTACGGAGTAGATACATGGTACGGAGGACTAGTTGACTAGGAGTTATGGGTACTAACTACTAGGTAGTTATGTAGTATAAATGATGTACTGTCGTAACCAGTGGTCCACTTTATGTAGGTAGTTCTACGGAGTAGATTAATTACCAGTAGTCGTACATATCTACCTACCTAGGTACCTAGTTACCTAAGTATGTACTCCGTAGTATGTCTATTCTAGTGGAGTCAAGCGCCAACCTTCCGATCCGATTCTTCTGAGTAGGTCTGTAGGCCTGTAGTATTATAGGCATCCTATGTAGATATATGTAGTATGTAGTAATACTATGTGGTGGTACGCAACATTCTCGTGACCCTTGCATAAGTGTTACAACCTACGGAGATCAAGACTGGACACGGCAGATGCAGTCCATGGATTAGTTAAATCTAATGGAATCCTAAGACTGTGACAGAGTCATGGATTATTAAATTGGCTGGCCGCTTGCGTTGCCCACAGCCTAAACCAACCGTTGCCTTGCCTGGCCCATCACTTGCGCCCGTCTTTTCTTTTTTTCTCTTCCGCCCCAGAAGTTGGAGCCACTAACACTAACACTACGGACCTAGGTAACCACCACTCACCACACTAACCACACTCCCTGACTCCTACCACGACTCCTCCTCGACCCAGACAGCCCTGTTTTCACTTTGCACAGCCGATCATCTCCACCTTTGCCAAAGCGAGGGTGGGACCCGAACACACTACTGGGAACGGAACACTCGAGCGGCAACAGGCTCAGACACACACACCCTCTCTCTCTCTCTCTCTCTCTCTCTCTCTCCGACAGTCATAGACTCCGGGCTCAGGCTCAGGTTTAGGCTCAGACTCAGACCTTAGACCTCAGACCTCAGATGCCACCGCCATGGGTAGCTTCGCTTGGTTTGCTCCACCTACACCTCGTTTTTTTCCTTTTTCCTCGTTAGTGTCAACGTCGTGTCATCCCTCCCCCCCCCCCCCCCCCTCGACGCTTTCTCCTGCACATCGTGAACCTGGCTGTGTGGGGAGCGGCAAGAGATTATCAGCATGCCTATCCCTTTACTTGGTACTTAACTATATTATAGTAGTAGTGCCTCCTGGTTGATGGGATGTGCCCAGCTGATCGCTCGGTTATGATATAATTCTCTCATCTATCGTCATTATTAATACCTACTTACCTTACCTCCTCTTAATACTTCTTCTGCCTCAACCCTCCTTTTCCATATACTGCCACTCATCACCGCTCTTCGTCATATATCAATATACTACAGTCAGTACTGCTTCGTACCCTATACGGTTCTTGTCTTGCTTTGATCGAGTACTAACTCTTTCAGATATATGGACTACCACGTCTTCCCAGGCCTTCCCAACTCGCATTGGTTTCCCTACCAGCTGCCCTTCTACACCCCTCTGCAACATGAGCCCTCAGCGCCGCCCGCCTTCCCCCGCCCACGTCCCGTCCGCGTGACGAAGCCTCGCAGCGCCGGCAACAGCCCTTCCTCCGTCGTCAGACGGCGTACCACCATGTCTCACTCCAGGCCCTCGCAGCCCGACCAGTCTTACCAGGCATATCAAGCCATGAACGCATCACTGCTTGCCTCGGCGGCCACGACGCGGCGCTCTCGCCCAACGAGTTGGCACCCGGCCTCGAAGCCAGCCTTGTTGATCAACAACAACAACAACAACAACAACAACAACAACAACAACAACAACAACCCTATGCTGATGGCCTCTTATGGAGAGTCGATATCATCAGTACCAATGACCCTAGAAGATTACCCGAGTACCACCACGGCATCCTTCGGACCAGGACCAGGTGTCCTAGATCCCAACATGGCCTATGTGTCTGGCTCGCTAGCTCTAGCCCCCACCATGACCGCTGCCGATGAATGGCCTCTGGACATGGTCTCCATGACCAGTAGCATCCCTGCCGCGCCCGTGGCCGGCTCCTGCTACGAAAGCGTCCTCTCGTCGGACGAGTATGGCGGGCCCCCAACGCCCGACTTTATTCCTCTCCACCACCAACTCGACCCACCGGAGCTGCCCCTGGATCTACCACTAGAAAGCGGGCCAACGTCCGGGGACGAACTGGTCGGCATGGGCCTGTACAGCGATCCTCTGTTCGAACAGCGAGGGGTCTGCGGCAAGGGGCTCAAACTGGAGGAAACGTTTGTTCCGGGCGGTGATGAGGAGGACGAGAGCGAGGATGATGAAGCAGACTCAGACGATGACGATGCAGAGGACCTGGCCCCTCCTCCTCCTCCTTTACCCAGAAAGACAGATGGCTTTCTCTCTCGCTCGTTTTTGTACGAAGAGAGAAGCCAGCTGGCTAACTGCATGAGTTACGGATACGGATGGATCTGATGTAATATAAATATGATAGACACGAATTATGAATAGATTAGCCTTGGAATTTACTTCGACTCCGTAGAACCGTCTACATTTCTAGACCTTAGTTATATACTAGGTATGTACTATTAGTGCTCATACTGAAAAGCCTCACAGAATCACCTGAGAACTCGATGAAGAATTGCGATAAACTGTACGGAGAGTATAAAGACTTGTATTGCGGAACGGAAAAACTCGAATTTTACCTACCCAGCCCAGCCTACAGAATAACGAATACAGATTGTACACTCGAACATCCATCTTTGAAACTTTTGGATAGACATATACCTTCGTTTTATCGAGATGGCCACCGTATTCACTCCATGGAAGGATGAATCGGCCCTCCTCGCCGTGCGGAACGAGTTCTATCCCCCGCCTGGATACAATGGGCCAGACCACCGGTCTCACGCTTGCAAAATAGTATTTTTTTTTCTTTTCATCGTCCTTTACTTTTCCTTTTCAAGATGCAGGTATTAATCAATCCAGGTGGCTTTATGGAAGCAAAAGGGAACCCTCCCTCATCCCGTTGAAGCGACCGCCCTCTTGACGGACGCGATTCTGCACGACGACGCAGAGAGAAATTCCGTCTTTTCAATCCGGGCCACTTATTCAGCTGCTTTTTGCAGGTATCTCTCCCTGGTTTTTTTTCTTTTTTTTCCCCCCAAAGAAAAAAATAAAGGAGGGAAGAGGTTTACTAATTACCAGATTTGTGACTGGTCTCGTCGACTCGAAACTCCACGGCCAAAGAAAGACCATGTTCGCGCGGGCGATGGACCTAGGTCTACCGGCTTCTTTTGTCGAGTTGCGCCATGAAGCCACGCACAGAGAGTTGCCTTCTCTGGTTGTGCTGCGAAAGGCGGCAAGTCGCTCGCTCGATTGGCTGTGGGGGTATTACTGGGGAGAACTCTCGTCTTCTGGTGCGACTGGTATACCACCAATCAAGGAGATGATTCGATCTTCACTCAAGGAAACTACAAAGGGAAAACACCCTGCATCACTGAACCAACTGGCTGCTCGGTTGGGCGCGGCGTGCCAGTCCGAGAGGGGAGTGTACACCCTCGCGCGGGTTCTCATCGACGAGGCGATTCTAAACACAACCGAGCATACGTATGACCTATCCCATTCATTCCTTACTTCTCTTTTTTTTTCTTCTTCTTTTTGGTTTACTGATTCAACCTCTACAGGCTGGACGTTGCACTCGACTTGCTCCTGCAAAAGCTCACGGACAACAAGCCTGTTTTCCTGTCTGTTCTAGTCGAGGAGATGGTCAACGACTTGGTTTTCGCTTCTTCCGACAACAACAACAACAACAAGGTAGATCCAGAAGACTCCCGAAATGACCTGTACATGTGGCTGGACCACATCCTGTCCTCGCCGGAATGGGAGTCTGCCCGTCGGGTCCTCTCGCGTGGCTACCTGGACGCAGCGTGCAAAAACCCGGGGTACTGGACTGATAGGCTGAGACGTTTAAACACGCGGGATCCATTAGTGTCTTTGTCTTTGCCAGATCCTGCGAATGATCTCCATATGCGTGTAGAGACGGGGTGGGACAGTTTAAAAGATTACGGTTGGTGTAGCTAGTTGTATAAAACAAGACACTACTACTACTACTATAAGTAACTAAGTGCAACCTAAGGTACTAGGAGTATTTGTAATCAACCTGGTGATTGGTTACATAGCTATTCGTCATGCCCCGCGATAAACACCATCAGCATCACACACCAGATCATGATGAACCGCATGTTCAGGCCGTCTGTTCCCCTTCTCCCTCGATCCAACGTATTCCCGCGATTCTCCCTCGCCTCCCGAACCATGCATATCCAATCGATTCCCATGTGTACGTACCCAACACCACCGGGAAACCAGGAAGATGCTGAACTTTCAATCAAGGGACCGGAAAGGGCAACAACTATGCCTACCTGGTAATCGATGAACCGACGCGGGATGCAGTGATCATCGACCCAGCAAACCCACCCGAGTATCTCTTCCTTGAATCTGAAATCCTCTGTGATACCCGACGTACAGTGCTAACGGGTAGCAGGGTTGTGCCTGTGCTGGACGCGCAGATCAAGGCCGGCAAGATCAACCTTACAGCCCTTGTGAATACGCATCAGTAAGTTCGTATGCATTCTTACTACATAGACCTTTGAGCTGACCATCAGCCACTGGGATCATGCAGGAGGAAACAACGAAATGGTACGAAATATTTATGATTGAAGCGTACGGGAGTACAACATACCTAACTAGTATGATAGTTAAAAACCTTTGGCAAGCTCCAGGTGATTGGCGGCTCAAACTGTCAGGCCGTAACCACAACGCCGAAGCATGACGAGACGTTCAAGATCGGCGAGCGCATCACAGTCACGGCGCTGCATACGCCGTGCCATACGCAGGATAGTATTTGCTATTTCATGCAGGATGGGGACCAGCGGGTTGTTTTTACGGGGGATACGCTTTTTATTGCAGGTATGTTCGATCAGCCTATGTAGTGCCTGCCTCTATCTTATGCGGTTGCTTTCAGGATGCGGTCGCTTCTTCGAGGGAAATGCAAAGGAAATGCACGTCGCCCTCAACGAGATCCTGGCTTCCTTGCCCGACGACACCAAGGTTTACGTACGTAAAACAAAATACACATCCCCTTGAAGATACTTGCTATCACTTGACGATGGTGCTAACAGCTACATATGCAGCCCGGCCATGAATACACAAAGGCGAACGTCAAGTTCTGTCTGTCCGTCTCCCAGTCGGAAGCCATCCAGAGACTCGCCGCGTTTGCAGAGCAGAACCGCGAGACGCAGGGCAAGTTTACCATTGGAGATGAAAAGGTATTCCTTCCCTTCTCTATTGCATATGCAATCGAATACGCAGTAGTCTAACCTGCTAGTTGCACAATGTTTTCATGCGAGTCCAGGACCCGGAGATCCAACAGGCAACCGGCCACAAGGATCCTGTGGAAGTGATGGCTGCTCTACGGGAAATGAAGAATGCCATGTAATAGTAGATTCATTATTATTATTATTATTATTATTATTATCATAGATGTATCCCCTCACCACATCTTCCCACTCCCATAGTGAAATGGGGTCAAAGACTTTTGGCGGCCGGGAATCGCCTTGAAGATTACGGCGAATGTATTCATCTTGCTTCTCTGTCCACACTCTGCCGTCCTTGTGCGTGGAAACGGCGAGCTCTAGCAATTTAGAAGCTATACATATAGAATAAATTACGGTAATCATCTCGCATTAGAGATATCCACCGGTGAATGTGTCGATGTGTTGATGGGTTGATGTGTAGACGAAATGAAAGAGGTTGTGGGTGAAAAATTAAAAGACCGAGTTTTATTCAAAAGTCACGTGACCTGACGTCTAGCGTAATCGAACCCAAGCTCCGTACTCCATATTCCGTACCACAAGATAAGACCTTCAATCCAAGAATACAACCAGGAAAACAAAGGAAGAAGAAGAAGAAAATGCTGCGTAGTATCCTCCGCCGAACATCACCCTTCTCCATCTTCCGCTTCACCCTGGACGCAGCCGGACTCTGCTGTGCCGTGACCTTAATCCTCGAACACTTCTACACCATCCAAGCCTCCGAGGGCCCCTCGATGTACCCTACCCTCAGCACGAGGGGGGACTTTCTGCTCATCTCCCGCCTCCAGAAGTGCGGCGAGGGCATTCAAGTCGGCGATATCGTGCGCTTCGATCATCCTTCCTTTCTGGGCGTCCATGGCGCGAAGCGTGTGCTCGGCTTGCCCGGCGATTTTGTCTGTCGGGATGAGTCGTTAAGTATGGAGGGCGGTTCGAGAAGTATGATCCAGGTATGTATCTTTTACTTTTTCTTGACCTAATCTTTGCGAATTGATTCTAAATTGTCTTTGTTTAGATCCCTGAAGGCCATATTTTTGTCGGAGGCGATAATATGCCCTGGTCGCGCGATTCGAGGACTTACGGCCCCCTACCCATGGGACTGGTGAATGGCAAGATTATTGCGAGGGTATGGCCTCCGTCTAAGATGGAGTGGATTCAGAATACATTACGGCCGGTGGAGATTTAGGGTTGATTCTTAATTCCTTTGCATTTTCTTGATTGTACAAAATCGGGCGCAGGTAAAGCATGACAGCATGGGATGGCGTTGATTGAGCTAGAAGCAAGAAAGGAAATATAATACATATTTGTACAGCTAGACTACCTGAAGGAGGCCGGGTTTCTCCGCTTGTAAGGCAGAGGCTCGACGCGCTTGCGACGCAGCTCGACGTTGGCATCGCTGAACCCAATCTCCTCCATCACCTCGGCGGTCGTCTCGTCCCATTGCGTGCGGAAGAGGTGTGCTCCGATCGGCTTCAGATGGTATCGTGCCTGCAGCGTGCGCAGCTGGGTGTTGTCGCGGTTGGTTTCCTGCGCCTTGAGATCCGCAACGTTCAGAGGTTGCGAGTCCTTCTGGTCCAGGATAAACACAGACAGCCTGTGGTAAGGGCTGCCCTTCTGAGCCACAGGGGCCAGCCACGGGAGGATCACCTGGGCCTCGGGCGACAGCTTGGCCAGGTCCACCTTGGTGTTGAGGATCGAGATGGGCACGTTGACCGCCAGGTAGTGCACACGGTAGTCGAAGCTGTCCGTCTCAACGTTGGGCACGTCCGGGTCCACTACGGCGATCGTCACCAGCTTCTCTTCACGTTCAAACATTTGTATATCCAGCTTGGGCGCCGTCGCGCTAATCCGTGAAGTGACAAAATCGCCCGGCTGCACGACCCGCCGGCCAAAGTACAGTTTCGTGTCGACGACCGGCTCGCAGTGCGCCAGCACGTCTGGAATCACCTTCATCTGCGTGATTCGTTGCACGAGGATTTTCCGTCGGTATTCCTCCCATTTACGCTTGGCAAGGAATCGATAAACAGGTTTGGTCATGTCTCCTGGTCGTAGATTTAGCAAGTATTATAGAGCATCAAGCAGAGACAAAAAAGAAAAATACCTTGTCCATCCTCAAATTTCCTCTTCACCAACGGATCGTTGATATCGGCCAGGATCTTCAGATGCTGCAAGTGCTGTTCGAGAGCCCCAAGCTTGGACTTCTTCGCCAGCTCCTCCCGTACATTCTCAGTGGGAACAGCCTGCACCCGGGCGATTTTCTCTCTCACAGACTGAATCTCCTGGAGTTTCTCCTCACGGTCCGCCTGAAGTATCTGGCGAGCCTCCTGGAAACACTGGTACGGCAGCTGTTCGAAGGGAATATTGTCGGAGCCCTGCAACGCGACTCGGCGGCGGCGAGAACCAATTGGCGCAATTCCCTGTTTCAACAGCTTCTTCTCCAGACGGGGACTTGAGACCAGAGCCGGATCAGGAGCCCTGTAGAACGGTTGGCTCGCCGTCTCGCCTTGGGCCTCGTCACGAGCCACCGCCGACGACTGGAAGCCTCTGTTTGCCGGTAGCTGAACTCCGGCGAGACCTCGAACATAGCTCGTCCGTATGCATTTCAGCAGCGGCTTTGAAGCCCGCTCGCAGTGGGCCATTGTGGTGGCTGATAATGAATTAAAGAACGCGCTGGTGGAAGAGCGGTTTGTTGTATTGGTGGTCGATTCCGGGGCGGACTTTTTTTCTTGTCCAGCCAAGCCGCACTAGCGCCTCTCCCCAACTGGCCCTGCGACTTTCCATCTCTGCCAAAACCATCACATCAATCAAGGCCGCTTTCCTGCCTAGCAGCTGTTCAAAATGCCGGGAAACGACGCCTTCCGAGCGCTGAGATGGCTTACGCGGAGCTCGAATGGTTTTTTCTCACGGTCGGAGACGGTGACGGTGCGGAAACCCTGTCGAAGAAAGATTGAATGAGAGACGGGCTCTCTTCCAAGAACATGACTAACGATGAGTAGAAATGCTTTTCAGCACCTCAGTCGAGGTCAATGGCAACGGAATCCGCTGGATCAACCGAATATCTCACCAAGACGGCTCCTCTGGCAGACTCTGCCGTCGCTGATAGCCTAGCGTCACGTTGGGACCCATCTCCAGTCAAAGCAACCACCTACTCCTTCCCGTCTATGGAACCCCTTCGTTTCGTCGAATACCCACGGAACCATCTGCTCATGCCGCTACGGAAGGATATCTTACACCGAGCCGTCGTGTATGAGGGTGACAAGACCCGACAAGGCTCTGCCAGCACCAAGTGGAGGGACGATGTACACGGAAGCGGGCGCAAGCTGCACCAGCAAAAAGGAACAGGAAAAGCACGTGTGGGTGACAGGAAGTCGCCGATCCGCAAGGGTGGTGGTGTAGCACACGGTCCGCACCCGCGCGACTTCTCCTCGGGCCTGCCTAGGAAGATCTACGATCAGGCATGGCGGATAGCGCTGAGCTATCGCTACAAGCGTGGCCAGCTGATCATCATTGACGACGAGATCGCGATGCCGGGTGATGCCACGCCGCACCTGCTCAGGGAGATCTTCAAAATCAACCGCTGGGGGCGTGAGTTTGGGCGGTCGACCCTGATCACCGACCGCCGGGACGACGACCTGTTCGCTGCCGTGGAGGAGGTGGGTGAGCACGCACGCATTCTGGACCGGGACGACGTCGATGTCAAGGATCTGCTGGAAACAGGACGGTTGATCGTGGAGAAGCAGGCGTTGGATCGGATTCTGGCGCACCACTCCAAGGACTTGAACAGCACGCCTGCGAAGGCTACCTACTAGTCTGGTATACTGGCGATAATGGGCTATCTTCTCCACAACCTATGTCTTATTATTATTCGAAGTTTTGTACAAATAGAGACTGTTTCAATAATCGGAGTAACTCCTTGGAGGCCATTATTACAGCAAACACACCAAACATAAGAAAACTAAAACCCACAGCCATTTAGAAGCTTGAAAAAAAATCCATTCTTTGTAAAACCATTATTTTTTATGATATTCTTCCAGTAATTAATTCCATTAGCTCCTCTGAAATTGCGACTCTGCTCGGCTCTCGTTCTGTACCCGCGGCGAAAAAAACTCCGAGGTCAACCAGAAAGCGGAGAAGCAACTTTCGATCTTGAAAAAGAGCATCATCGTCTCTCATACGCCCAACCCTGTTTCTCCCCCCATCACAGCCGCCATTGATGTTACTTCGACGCAGTCTTAACCGACTGCCTACTTCGCCCTGCTGGCTGTCGCGGTCGTCAGTCGCAGCGATGCCGCTCCGCGCCCGCATAACAGATCCGACCTTCACAGGAGCAGCCACGGTAATTTTTCTATTGAAGCAAAAAGAAAGAAAGAGGCTAACCGGTTGATAGTTTTCGACAGCTACAGAGATTCCCAAAGAGCTGCCCGGCGATGACCCTGACGATGTCCTGTTTACCTCTCACTACGGCGTGCGGATGATCGAGCTCAATCGGCCCAAGAAGCTCAACTCCTTGAACGGATCGATGGTGCGGAAGATTGTGCCTAGATTGAAGGTCAGCACTCTTGTCTGAAATTGGATAAAATAAAGAAGAAAGGGAAGGGGGAAAAATTCTGTGCTAAGTGCATAAACAGGAATGGGAAAAGTCTCAAATCGCCAGTGTGATTATGCTCTCCGGTGCAGGCACCAAGGCGTTCTGTGCTGGAGGTGACGTTGCAGCGTTAGCTCAGCTGAACCAGCAGGGCGCCGAGGGCCAGCAACAGTCGACAGATTTCTTCGGGTTGGAATACCAGCTCGACCACCTCATTGCCACGTACTCGAAGCCCGTCATCTCGGTCTTGGACGGCATCACCATGGGTGGCGGCGTCGGGCTGAGTGTGCATGCCCCGTTCCGCATTGCGACGGAACGGACGGTCTTCGCCATGCCCGAGACCACCATTGGATTCTTCCCGGATGTGGGCGGCTCGTTCTTCCTGTCGCGTCTAGACGGCGAGCTCGGCACGTATCTGGGCCTCACGTCGGAGCGCCTGACAGGCGAGCAGGCGCTGTATGCGGGCATTGCCACGCACTACATGGACTCGAGTGCGCTGCAGAACCTGACTGCCCGTCTGTCAGAGCTAGTCTTCAAGGACCACACGCCACTGTCGGAGCGACTCAAGCTGGTCAACAACACCATGACCGAGTTCTCGATGGGCCTGCCTGCCGGCAGCAGGATCGAGTTGGGTCGTGGTCTCCGGACCGCAATCGACCGGTGCTTCCAGTACAACACCGTTGAAGAGATCATTCAGGCGCTTGAGAAGGAGACGGCGCAGAAGGAGTGGGCGCAGAAGACCCTGGAGACGCTCTCCATTCGCTCCCCGACCTCGCTCAAGGTCGCCCTGCGCCAGCTGCGCCTGGGCAAGACCTGGTCCATCGCCGAGGCCTTCCAGCGCGAACACCACATCGCCGCCCAGTTTATGCGCCACCCCGACTTCGTCGAGGGCGTCACCGCCCGGCTTATCGCCAAACCGGCGCGCGAACCCAAATGGCAGCCCGCTACGCTTGCCGAGGTCTCCCAGCAGGATGTCGACACCTTCTTCACCATCCCTGAGAACCAGACACGGCTCCCGCTCCTCAGCGACACAGACTACAATTCCTATCCGCACGCCCACTTCGCCCTCCCCTCGGAGAAGGATATTGAGGCCTTCATTCGTCAGAACGATGTCCGGACCAACACCGCCGTCTTCCGCGACTTTGTAGACAAGTGGAGCCAGAAGGATGGCGTCCAGCAGAAGGTGATCGATGTGCTGGCCAGGCGAACCGTCAAGACTGCCGACGGCCTGCGTTGGGTCGAGTAGTGCTCCTCTTTCTGAGCCGTGTATTTTTTATCCCTCTCATACTTTGCATACATGCTATATCTGGTTGCGTATAAAACATCATAATTCATTGGACATCGAATTTAACCCTCAATCTTCCATACCTAACTAGCAATTTCTATCTATTATCTGTATGGTGTAGAAGGAGAGTATCCATATATCACCCAGCCTCCCAAGGCGCTGAATCCCTCACTAAATGAGATCCGTCCTCCGATACGAACTGGGAAAAAGGCAGTGCTCTTTATCGAGAGAGAAGGTATGGGGAAATCAATGGTTTGTGACGAGCGAGTGGATCGATGTCTCCTCATTTGTTGAGGCTGTTCGTCTGATATAGTAGATTGGACATTTAGTACAGTATATATTAACACCAGCTCATGGCGATACCATGAATCTACCATATAAAAAAGAATTTTCATTACGAGAAGGAGCATACAAAACCAAGGTACTACCACTTGTCAAGTGATATAATATGTATAGCTCTTCTCTTGGGCGCCGTTCGCCTCCAAAAAACGTATATCTAACCGTTGGTGGCTGAGATGACCTGCGGCGACGCTGCAGGACGACCGATTCAAGAGATGATCTAGCTGGCTGGGATTCCGGATGATGGCACACTGAGCGAGTCGAACCTGTCCGTGTTTAGTTCAGTGTTATCCAGAGAGATGTAGGCACTGTCGCAGATAATAATGACTGTGCCTTTAATATTTATATAAGGGTGGCACGTGCGAGTCTCTTGTGGCGGAAGGGGCGGCAGCGACTTCAGGAGGATTATTTCTCCCCTTCTTGAAAGACAAAGACAGCTTCCATCTCCAGAGCTGGGCAGCAATTGATCTTAATGCTTTCTCTTTTGAGATATATATTGATTGATTGGTAGGAACCCCTTGGCGATAAGGGTTTAGTTCGGTCTTTCGCTGTGTCGGTTGGGGGTCCCCAACAGAATCTGGCCTAACAAGCTGGGCGCAGAGCGATTCAAGTCATCAATATGCATTCGCCGGAGATGCCTACAGATACAGACCCGCTGATCTCGAGCCGGGATCTCAATGACTCTAGGCAGACTGAGCCAGACGAACCTGCGGCTTTGCCTGAGCGGGAGACCAGGAGAGTCCTGCTGCGGCTTTATATCTCCCATTTCTTATCAACATGGAACTCGAGGATGTTTGAGTTTGGTGCCGTTCTCTTTCTGGCTTCCATTTTCCCCGGGACACTTTTATATACGTCTGTCTATGCTCTGGCGCGGTCGTTGTCAGCCGCGGTGTTTTCGTCCTGGCTTGGTCCAGTGATCGACCGAGCAAACAGATTGACCGCCATACGACACTCTATTAGTATGTGATCTCTGCCCTCTACTTCTCGAGTAAGAAGAAAAGGAATGACTGACTAGGAGCGTCGTTTAGTCTGGCAGCGAGTCCCAGTTGCAGTCTCCTGCGCGTGCTTTATTACTCTCTTGACAATAGATAAGAAATGGTGTACACCTATCTTATTCACAATGGCATCACTGTTAGCCTGCGTGGAAAAGTTGGCTGCAGTAGCGAATACGGTGGCTGTGGAGAGAGACTGGGTACAGGACTCCTGCCCTTTATCTTTGCAGCGTTTATGTTGAAAGCTCTGACTATGAAAACAGGCCATTGTGATCTCCGAGAGTCTAGGTGTTCCAAGACAAGGTTTGTGTTTACGGCCTCTGGAAATCGATAGGATCACTGATGTTGTCTTCTCCATATAGATCTTAATGCATCGATGAGACGTATTGATCTTTTCTGCAAGCTGGTTGCTCCCCTCTTCATTTCTCTTCTGGATTCGGCCTCAGCCATTATCGCAATTTGGACCGTACTTGGACTTAACGCCTTGTCGGCTCTGATTGAATACTTTGCTATAGTACATGTGAGAATATTTTACTTGTGAAGCATCGTGCAATTTTGACTGACTTTCTGCCACAGGTCTATAGATCAGTGCCCGAGCTGTCGCGAGATCAATTGCTTCTATCCACAGAAGATGGAGACGAAGAACCCACCCGTTCTAATCGGGGTAGGATTAGGCTGATAGCCAGCTATATTACAGGTGTTTTATCTCCGTGGCAGGAATACGCTGCCAGTCCCGTGTTTCTTCCATCGTTTGCTCTGAGCCTACTGTATCTCACTGTGCTATCATTTGGAGCAACTATGGTCACCTACCTCCTGAATAGCGGCTTTACAGCCCTGGAGATCAGCACCATGAGGATTGGAGCAGTCATTGCAGAGCTTTCCGGCACCTGGGCAGCCCCGTTCATCATGGACAGGATTGGTCCGGTCAGATCCGGACTATGGTTTTTGAACTGGCAGTTTGCCTGTCTAGCTGGTGCAGCAGCAGGCTTTGTCTTCTTGGATCCTGCATCTCAATTGGTGGCTATTGGCCTTATTTGCGGCGTTGCATTGAGTAGAATTGGCCTCTGGGGATTTGACCTCTCTGTCCAGTTTCTCATCCAAGAGGTATGTCGGATATCTATCAACTCGTATTTCAATATCTCTAATCCAGAGCTTGCAGAGTGTCGACGAGAGATCCAGAGCACGCTTCTCCACAACGGAGATAGCTTTGCAAAGTATCTTCGAGCTTCTATCATTCGCTACTACCATCATCTTCCCCTTGCCGGAGCAATTCAAATATCCTGTCCTTATCAGCTATGGCGCGATCTCTTTTGCAGCGATCTCCTTCGCCGCCTACGTCAGAAAAGAACGGGGCCATCTATTGCACACCTCCCGATGTCTGGGCGGTGATAAACCGCGTCCAGTTGGTCTACCCTCAAGATGATGAGGCTAGTTCGAAAGTTCATCGCAGGCACCATCTTCTGTTTTATATATATGAATGTATATACTAGACTATCCTCTGCAGTCAAAGGCGATCTCTTTTATTTCAATATATTCCAGAACTAGACTAGGAATATAGAATGAATGCTTTCTTCAATATACGCCGTAACATTGATGTCAGATTAATAAGCTATGATGCAACACACACTAGTCCCAAACAGGTAATACATGTGAGACCAGCTCGTCCGCGGGGGAAGCCGAAGCTCGTCAAACGCGCTTGAACGCAGCTTCGACCTTGTCCATGCCTGGCAGCTGAGCCTGACCATTGATGTTTTTATGGAGGTAAATTGCGCTGCGAGCTGCCTAGAAACCCATTCGAAAGATGAACACGATGATCTGAGCTGACTGCATCTCATGGCTAGATCCCCGAAGCGCGGGGAATGGGGAGGTCTGGCCCTCGAAGGCGGACAGGCTGCTTGACCTGTCGAGCGCGTAAAGTACGCTGTCCTGAGGAGAAGCCGACGTGCGCCAACTGTTCTCGCCTGCGTCTACGATGTGTTTACAAATCGTCGCCCAATGCCGGGGGTGGTGTTTCGTCTCGCCGGCGAGCTGAGAAGCAGCTACCGACTCTCTCACCGACTCGGAGTGCCTCGGCCCCCCGATCGGATTTCAACTTCTTCAGCACCGTGCTTCGCTCAGACGACCAGCAGCTGCCTGTGGCATCGTTGCAACCGTTCAACGAGCAGACCGGTGCCTATGCGCCGGACTTTTCTGGCCCTTTCGACATGCTAGGCTTTATTGGCGAGATCACCTCCGAGTTACAACAGAAACACCTTGACTTGACGAACGGGCTGTCGGAATTCACAAGCCCATTTATAGTCCCCGGAAATCTCGGTTCGGATGTCCGGTTTGAGGAGCCACAAAGCACCTTGAGTCCCGATGTAGATTCGTCGCTGGTCGGTGTTATAGGAAATCCTCACTCCGAGGGCGGGGATACAGATCAATCGACGGCCAGCTGGCCAGAGACAAAAGCACCGTACGAGGAGCAGTTGTTGTCGCAATTTGTGACCAGTGAACCGCCCCCGACGATTTTTGGGCCTGTGGATACCGAATGGACGTTTGTCAGGCAGGCGATCCTGGCTCTCTCTAAGGAGTTTTCACCTTTACTCAACGCTATTTACTGTTTCTGCGATATCAGGAATGCAACGAGAGAGGGAAGCAAATGGAGATGGGCACCCTCATATTATCGGCGAGCAAGTACGGAGATCCAGTCGTGTATCATCGGCGAGGTAGCCGATTCCACGTTGAAACGAGTCTTTGCTACGGTACTCTTGCTCATGTTTTCAGAAGTATGCTTACCCCTCTGTCTAATTCTCGGAATTTCCCCCTGGGAATAATTGAAGAACAATTAACTGACCGATACTCAAAAGCTCCTGTCTAGCCCAGAACTATGCCGCCCTGGAACGTCTTATTTCCATTCCTCTTATCTTCTCTTACAACGATTTCATAACCGGACCAAGTCATGGACAGGATTCGGTCATCTTTTGATCTCTTGGATCTCTTTATTGGACGTCAAATCCCTCATTGCTGGCCGTGATGGGGACGTGCTTCTTGAAATTGGTGCTCTACCCGACCCTCCGGCCATGCATCGGGAGATCAGCATATCAAAGCCGGACAGCATGGCCAGGTTAACAGCGGCCGAGAAGGAAACAGCCGAGATCTTCTCAAGTCCCAACTATCTCGTTTATGAAGCTATTGTCAGTCCCGTGTTTCGATTTTTTGTAAACGCGCAACAGGTCATCCGACGCATTATTTGCATCGACATCCATCATCGCAGCCGGGGTACCCTCAGTGACGAGTTCGAAGTGCTCCAGATCGCACACAAAGTTGGCGCCGACCTCGAAGCGCTCTGGAACTCCCGCCCCCCCGTCATGGACGTCTACGACCGCCCGAACGAGCTGTTCTCAACACTCAACCAGGCTGTGGCTGTTGACATCTCCCGAATGTTCCGTCAGTATGTCGCTAACTTTCTGGCGAATTTTATTTACCTCCATCGTGTGGCTTTTGCAATCTATCCACGGACGGACCGCGTGAATGGAGCGGTGGACAAAATCATCCAGCTCGCGACGGTGGAGGCGACTGGTGTCTCGAGCCTACCAATCAGTTTCCTCTGGCCACTCTTCATTGCCGGGCTGGAGGGCTCGCTTGAGCAGCGGCATTGGGTGCTGCAGGCGATGCAGAAGATGGCCGACCCCAGCAAGGATGTTCTACAGCGCCATCCCAACGCAGAAAAGGTGCTCTTGTTGCTGGAGGAGATGACGCGGCGGCAAGACGCTACCCGGACTTGGGCAGACTCGAAATGTGTTCGGAGGGAGCTTTTCACGGACTCATTCATTATAATATGATTTTTTTTCTCTTTTTTTTTTTTTTTCAACTACGTGATAAGAAAGTGTAAAGCTACTACTGTAAATATAGCTATCATATTTGTATTCATTCTTCAAGCACATCATTCTGAGATAGAATACAGTATATATTCAATTTATCCTGTTAAGAAACAACATATACAAGGGTACTGTCCTGTTTTAGAACTGCTTAACAACCCGTTGGAACCTTGGAGGCTTGCGCGTAAACTTTTTCGGGTCATCTCTCGCCCCCTTTTTCCAGTAATCGAACTCCATCCAGGCGTTTTCGGGCATCTGGGCCTCGGTGGCCTCGAGGAATTCGCCGAGGTCGGGACTCAAGGGAATGACGCCCGTTTCGATCACGTACTGGTCCCATAGTTTGAGGAGCTGCTTGAGTCGCTCCGGCTCCACCTCGGCCAGGTCGTTGACCTCGCCCGGATCGGCATCGAGATTATACAGCTGCCAGCGTTCGGGGCCCTTCGGGGCGGGAATATAGACGATCTTCCAGTCTCCGAAGCGCAGGGCTGCACGACCACATGTCTCCCAGCCCTGGATGAAGTCCTTGGCGTGGATACGGTCCGTCTCGCCCTTGACCCAGGGGTAGAAACTCTTGCCACGCATGTGCACGACCTCGCGGCCCTGGTAGGTTGGCGCCGGGTGTGTGACGCCCGCCATGTCGAGGATGGAGGGGGCCAGGTCCATGACGGTGGCGAACTGGTCGGTGATCCCGCGCGCCTGGTTGGCGACGTTGACGGTCTTTGGGAACTTGGCGACGAAGGGAACCCGAACACCCCCCTCGGTGGTGTAGGCCTTGTATAGTCGGGACGGGGCGGTGGCGGCTTGTGCCCAGCGCGGGCCGTACCAGATAAAGGAGTTATAGTTGCCCAGGTTGTCGAGGCTGTTGTCGTAGTACTGCTGCAGGTGAGGCATCACGCCGCTCTGTACCATCGGGTAGGCTTCGTAGGCGGCACCCTCGGCGCCGTTGTCGGACATGAAGCACACAAAGGTGTTGTCCAGCTCGCCGATACTCTCCAAATAGTCGACGATTTTGCCGACGTTGGCGTCGATGCACTCGACCATCGCTGCGAAGATCTCCATCGCGCGGCACGACTTCTCCTTCTCCTCGGGCGTGTAGTCGTCCCATTCCTTGACCTCCTCGGCCACGACGGGGTGCGGCTGCACGTCCTGCCGGATCATACCTAGGTCCTTGAGGCGTTGCAGACGCTTCTGCCGCAGTGCATCAGGGCCGTCATCGTAAACCCCGCGGTAATGTTTGATGTATTCCTGCGGGGCTTGCAGTGGCCAGTGCGGCGCCGTGAACGGCACATACGCAAAGAAAGGACGCTCGTCTTTCTTCGCAGTGCGGTCTTTGAGATACTCGAGCATCTTGTCACCGTACCCGTCGGACGAGTACCAGCCTTCTGGCAGCTTTTTCACGTACTGGTCGTCCTCCATGTGGAGCGCGATGTAGCTGGCCTCTAGGAACGCTGGTGTCTCATCCTTGCCTTGGAGCTGGGGCTCGAAGGCGTAGTGGTTCGAGCAGGCGGGAAGATGTGCTAGAGACCGTTCAAAGCCTCGCTTGTACGGAGAGCGCTCGGGCGTTAGCCCCAAGTGCCATTTCCCAGACATCAGGGTCTGGTACCCGGCGTCTCGCAGTAGCTCGGGCAGGGCCACGACACGTTCATTCAGATAACCCTCGTACCCAGGCATCCCACGCTGAGGCGCCGTGCTCATCTGGGAACCCTTGGGACCGTTCTGACCGGAGATGTTAGTCCATTCAATCAGGTTGCCGAGTCCTGCGATGTGGTGGTCTGTCCCTGTCATGATCATGGCGCGGGTCGGTCTGGCATCACCAACCTCAGTCAGTCAATCGCACACAAGCAGACTCAATAGAAGAGATTACTCACGAGCAGGCTGCCGCAGCGTGGAAGTCCGTGAAACGAATACCCCCATCCTGAGCGAGCTTGTCGATGTTGGGGGTTCGGATCTCTCCTCCAAAGCAGCCGACATCTGAGAAGCCGAGATCGTCGGCGACGAAGACGAGAAAGTTGGGACGTTTCTGAGCCATGATTGCGGTCAAACAGGGGGATTTTCAGAGAAGCAGAAACCACCCTGGACCAGCGGGGGGTCTTGTATCTCTCTCCAACCCCTCACCGTCGCCGGTGCCCGCGTCGCCCGAGTCCGAGAAAGGGAATTAGGGCTAATGATTAGGGCTTGTGCTCGGCCATCGGCCGTCGGCTCTCGGCTTCCATTTTGGGCAGCCGCGTCCCGTGACATTCGATTTCCAGAATCCACACCACCACGACGCGGGTGGGCAGTCTCTCCTTGTTTGAGACTCAGGACTGAACTCTGTTATTGTGTCTCTTTAACTTGCAGATGAGAGAAATAGCCTCGACGCGAGCTACCCCGGACTTTGACAGGCTCCCGATGCGGGGAACAATACCTAGCGTATTGACTACGGTATGGACGCTGTACAGTGAGTACCAGGTAGGTACCTAAGCACACTGTACAGTCATTCAGACGAAGCTCACCTCGTTCCGTACACAAAGCTACAGCACTCTTCTCCCGTCGATCTATATAGCTCCCTCCATCTTCTATCAGATTAATGAAGGGGCGATGGCACCATCGCCGCTTGTGCTGATAGATGCGCGCTGTCGTAATCTCTCCACAGTCTTGCGTGGTTTCGGCCGTCGGCTACACAAATACGACATGGATTGTCCCTGGCGTGTCCACTTCGCATCCAGCTGGCAAGAGTCGATTACATCAACCGATCCATTCTACGAATCTACACTCGTTGCGACACGGATACGGGCGTGACATTGAACAATAAGCTGGATATTCCATGGTCATAATTGCCTAAACTCCATTCCTGAGAACCGATTCCCCCTTCTTTTCCTCTTCTCGGATCTATAAATCCCACCAGATGCCCAGAAAAAGCTGAGATCAATCAGGAGAAGCTGTAGCCTTTTCCTAGTGACTATGTGATATACCATCCTTGAATTTTCTCTTTATCTTTTGGATTGTCTCGGCCTTCTCTCAGTCTTTTCTAACTCTTCTGTGAAGGTCGTTCCGCCATAGTGTTGACGACGATCCCGACGGGGTTGGGCAAGACGAACCCTTACTCGCTGCCGACTACTCGCGCAGTTCATCTCGCCCAAGTCCTACGTCCGATACCATGAGAGCTTCGAGTCTGGCTAGTTTTCGTAATTACTGGCTCGCTTCTGTGCTGTGTTGTGGCGGTGTATTGTTCGGCTACGATTCTGGGGTGATTGGTGAGTTACCCCAGCTTGCTTGTTAAGGAATTTAAAGAGTCGGATCTGATAGTAGACACCTAGGCGGCGTGTTGACATTTGATTCGTTCCAAAATGACTTTCGTTTCGGTGCTTTCGGCCCCAGGTCGGAAACGAGCGTCAGCTCCATCGGCGTGGGTATCCAGCAGGCTGGTGCTCTCGTAGGCTGCTTTGCGGTGTGGCCGCTGACCAACCGGCTGGGCCGGCGGATTGCTATGATGGTCTGTTCGTTGATATTCTGCATCGGGGTCATCCTTGAGGTGATTAATTCACACTCGCTTTCCACCTTCTACGTGGGCCGAGTCATTTGTGGACTAGGTATCGGAGGCTCTGCCACCGTCATCCCCATCTACATGTCTGAGATGAGCCCCAAGGATAGTCGAGGGCGCATGGGTAGCTGCTACCAGCTCAGCTATACCATTGGGATTTTGATCTCCTACTGGCTCGATTACGGGGTCAAGTTCATGAAATCGTCTTCCACTCAGTGGCAGATCCCTATCGGGATGCAAATGCTGTTTGGAGCGCTCATGGGCCTGGGGATGCTGACCCTGGAAGAGAGTGTCCGCTGGCTGCTCTTCCAAGGCGACCACGAGCGGGCCTGGAAGAGTCTCACATGGATCCGTGCCAGCGATTCCGAGGAAGTCCGGGCGGAGTTTGAGGAGATGGAACGCGGGGTAGAGGTTGAACGGCACGCCACTGCGGGTTTCAGCCTGCAAGAGCTGCTGGAGTGGCCGAATGCCCACCGTATGCTGCTTGGGTTCGGTCTCTTCCTTGCCCAGCAGTCGACCGGATCGACTGCCCTGGCCTACTTTGGCCCTCAGTTCTTCTCGCTGCTCGTGGGCTCCTCGGGCAACAAAGACCTGCTGCTGACGGGGATCTTTGGCGCCATCAAAGTGGTCGCCTGTTTCACGTTCGTCACGCTGGTTGCCGACCGGTTCGGCCGCCGCACCCTTCTCATGTCCGGTGCAGCGTTCATGGCGGCTTGTATGCTCACCACCGCCGCGGTGGTCAAAGACCGACCACCCCCCGGTGGCGGAGCGATCACCTCGGCCGGCATCGCGACGGTGGCGCTCATCTACCTGGACATCATCGCGTATAACTGTTCGTGGGGCCCGCTGCCATGGCCCTGCACGTCGGAGATCTTCCCCACGCGGATTCGGGAGCCGGGTGTCGCGTTCGGCGTGGGGTCCCAGTGGCTATTCAATTTCGTCTGGTCCTTCAGCACCCCGTACATCATGAGCGGGATCGGGTGGGCGACCTTCCTGCTGTTTGGAGTCTTCGATGTCATCATCGTGATCTTTGTGTTTTTCTGTGTCAAGGAGACCGCTGGCAAGACTCTCGAGGAGATCAACGCTTTATTCGATTCACCCGGGAGCGAGACGGAGATTTCCAATCCCCCCTGGAAGGGTATATCGCGCCAAATGCAGCCGGAGAACACGCTCGAGCTGAACGAGTCCCACGGTTCTTCTTCCGTCCAGGGCAAGTCTGCGAAATACATTGAATAAGTTTCTTGTAGAAAGGGGTACCAACTGCGGACAGAAGATGGTCAGGTCTCTATTCAGAAGGATAAGCATAATATACACGATATAACTAGCTTACACAGACTATATACTAGATTCATGAGAGTAGAACCTATATCTAGAATTCCTATGAGAAACCGAGTGATTAATTACCAAGTTATGACTAGGATTGTATACCGTATACATCAATATTAAAACAATCAATTCTATAGCACCTGCTAGCCGCGTCCTAGGGCTACTCCTAAGCAAAGAATAGATAGATAAGAATACAGTCCCATTTTCTTTTTGGTTTCATTGGTAAAAACTCCAGGCACCCACGCAAAAATCATTCATATACCCGTACAACATTAGTTCATCACGCTGACGCCCCCTTGGAACACCCGGGCACAGTTAAACATTAATCAGGTCGTCGAAGTTATCGTCCGCAGAGAAGGCGTACGAAGTATCCGAAGTAAGCGAGGACTCGGAGTCGCGGCGTAGCTGCTGCTCGAGGGCAGACGAGGTAGCCGGGTCGAGATGCAGCGGGTCGTCAAAGCCAAAGGAGAGCGAGGAAGCCGGAGCCGAATTTAAAGTGGTATTTGACGCAGTGGTGGTGGCCGTGATCAAGGCCGGGGCTGGAATGCCCTCAGAGGAAGAGGAAGAGGAAGAAGTGAGGTTGTCTGTCATCGAGGTCGTGGCCGCAGCGATGGAAGAGACTGCAACGACATCTGCGAGATCAACGGGTTGGGATGAGAGGGTGGTTGTGGCTGCAGGCGAGTTGTTATTGTTATTGTTATTGTTGCTGTTGTTGTCAGAGTATGTAATCCTCTTGACCATCTGGGCGAGATGCAGCTTAATGGGCTCATCGCCACACTGAGCATGCTTGAGGACCTCATTCTTCAGGCCGAGGATCTCGGAGCGCAGCCGAGCGATCTCAGCCATCAGCTGCTCCTTCTTGTCCGACTGCTGTTTGTAGCGCGATTCGAGGAGCATGGTGTGCTCCTTCTTCTTCTGGCGGCACTTGCTGGCAGCCAGACGATTGCGTTCCAGGAACTTCTCACGTTTTGCCTTGTCCTGCTGCGGCTCGTCAGTGTCAGAGGGGCTGAAACATGAGACTGACGGCCGGGCCCGGCGGCGTCTGGTGGAGGCAATAGTGGTAGTTTTATGATGGTGATAGGAGTAAGAAGAAGGAGGAGGAGGAGGAGGAGGAGGAGGATAGGAAGGGTCAGGGCCCGAGGTCTCACTGACGCTTCTGTCGTCAAACGGCGGCGGGGTGGGCTGGCCGTTACGCACGTGTGTGTTCTTGAGCTCACGCTCCAGGGAAGGGTTAGTACTCCAGGTAGTCATCTGGGGGGAGAGGCCTCCCAGAGCCCAGAGACCGTCATCGTCGTCTGCTGGGGCGGCGAGGCCCAGGAAGTCGGCGGGGAAGGCCGTGGTGGGGGTGAAGGGAGTGTTTGTTGTCGTCGAGGGGTCGACGAGCATGTTGAGAGTCGACATGAATCGAGTATAGTATAGTAGAGAGGAGATTATAATAGAGAGAGTAGATAAGGTGGAGAGTAAAGAGTGTATTCCAGAGTGTATTCGAAGCGCTTGAGAGAGTGTAAAAGAGAACAATCGTACGAGGGCGCTTGTGTGGTACGACCGGCGGCTGCTCCGGCCAGAGTTGGAGAAGGCAGCTGCAGACCAGGGATCACATGAACTATAGTATAAGAAACCTAGGTAGAGGTTGTTGGACAGAAAGGAGGATAGAGGTACTAGTTACTACTGATACCAAACTACCCAGGTAGTAGTATAGTTGTAGCCAAAGGAGGGTCAGGTAGAATAGAGCATAAGGCGATACAAGACAAAGAGAATAGAGAAAGACAGTATAAAATGTCCAAAGATTCCTGCTTGATCTTGCCTTGCTCTGCTGGTCTGGAACAGGCCCAAAACCGGTTCACTGCCGCCTTCTCTTTCTGATTGGTCGGAGCTCCGTCCAGGAGCTGCAGGTGTGCGGAGGGGGATCCCGTGACATCATTGACAATCGGGACTAGTACCTGGTATTACTGAAATTAAAATACCACAGTTTTAACTAAGTTGAAATTAATTTTATTAGGAATTACCTACCAGTACCTACTAGGTACTCTTGGATGATTCTATCTATTTCAGGACTCTTTCCTCGTACTGACTACTAGGTAGGTACCTAGATAGTTACTCTGTACTCCGTACTCTGTATCTAGTAGACCAGATCAACCAAGGACCAAGTCCAACTGACAGGTGTCCCAACCCAAAACTTGGGTCGGCAATGATTGGCGTGCATCCTACAAACATCCCATCCCTGTCAAGTAGGGATGTACATCCACGGTAGATCAATACGGAGTACTTCTAGTAACTGCTACATAACAGCTACCTACCTAGTCAAGTACTAGGACCTCTATACTACAATTCTCTAGAGTAAACAATAAATAATATTATAGTAAATACAGAGTAAGTAGTCTCTATTGTCTCCCAGGTACGGAGTCTTTTTACCCTGAATACCCCACCTGCCATTCCCGGCTGTCAAATCCGGCGATTCACAATCCTGGTTCTCCTCCTTCTCCTCCTTCTCCTCTCCTCCTCCCACGGCTTGCACTTCCGTCCTTTACCTTGAGATACTACCTACCTAGGTACCTGGTATCCACAGCTTTCTCCAAGAGTTTGTTTTCATCATGTCATGGTGGAGAATCCATCCACCATCACTGGTCCGGAAAAGAGTCTACGCACTCACTAGAATCCCTTCATGGCTGGAGTGGAGTGAACTATTCCTTGACTATTAGCTTGGAATCAGGGTCTATTGATAATTTGCCCGCATACTACTACTTTACTCCCTACTAACTATCCACCAGGTACGGCACCGACAGCCGGTTCACTGGATACTGATAACCCCCCCAGACGCGCACTTGCCGACTCACCGCATGCCAGTTTTCGATCAACATCCGCGCCACACGCGCCCCGTCCACTTCCCTCTGTGCCGCCGCCAGGATATCCTCGCTCTCGTTGCTTGAAAGCTGGTTGCCACCGCGCCTCCGGGGGCTACCGCCGCCCTCGTCCGCCCCGTTCATCAATAGCGGGCCAAACACCTGGCCCAGTCGTTCCAGGTCCGGCAGGCCGGCCACGAGCCGCGTGCTAGGTAGGTCGATCCCGCGCGCCAGCTTGTCCAGCTCGAACAGCCGTTTTGTCTCGTGCAGCAGCACCGCACACAACCCAAATACCGCACAGATCAGTTGGAACTGCATCGGGCTCGTCAGTGCGATTGTCGCCAGCGCGATCGCTTGGATCTTGCCCGCTGATGCCTGGGTCAGGCCCGCCAGTCCTGTCCGAGAACCCACCAGCTCTGCCCCAGAGAAACATCGGAAGTAGATGTCCAGCAACACTTGGTACAGCTCCGGCGACCCCAGGATGCCCGCCGGGAGACCTGCTAGCAGGGACTGGAATACGTAGCCCACACTGAGTATCTGATTGTAGCGTTTGCGTGGGCAGCTCGGGTTCAGATCGTCAAGCACCTGCGTTAGACTGTTGCCCCGAGTTGTCATCTGGATAATCCCCTGTTCCTTCTCAGCCTCCAGCACTTGCCCCGCAAAGTGCTCGTACAGCCGGATGGCCACTCTGAGGTCGCCGTGATCGAAGAACAGCCCTCGGGCTTTGGTTGCTACACACTGGGTCAGGCATCAACTCTAATAGATAACTAGTAGTTAGATAACCCAAGAGACATACCAAAGTTTTTCAGAAACCACGCGGTTTCCGCAAAGCACGCCGGGAGCCGAAGCGTGGTAGGAGCAAAGTCCAGAGGTAGGTCCAGAAAGCAATGGCCTCCAAGACGGGCAAGCGTTTCCACACTCTTTCCCTGCAACGAATCCATCGAATTGACCCGGGATGAAAGACTAGCAAAGGTCTTGCGGTGCTGTAATACGGGCTCTGAGCGAACAGGATTTACAGCTCGCAGCCCCATTGTAGATCGAACTGTTCGCATCTTGCCATACAGCCTTTCTCGGTAACCAAACGGTCTTTCTTCATGATTGACACGCGACTTGTCTGCCAAGTATGCACTGAATCAGATAAACCGAAAAAAAATCCCCTCTCGTTCTGTAAATAGAACCAGGGACTCACCTGAGACAGCATGAACGTCCTGCTGCAGCTGTAGAGGTCTTAGGTTGAACTGGAACGCAAGTTTATTGTAGCCGACCACGGCTCGTCGATAGTCAAAGCAGCTAGCTCCGTTGCTTTTCTCCAGCAGGGCTTCCTGACAGACACCATCTTTGGTGACCGAGTTCACATAACGGAGTCCTTCATGTTTCGAGAGGAAAGGGGTTGATTGCGGTTGAATAGCCGGTCCGTCAGATATGTCTCTCAGCTCAGGGTCAGGTGTCTCACGAGAGCCGTAATCACTTTGAGAAGGAACCTCAGAGTCCCTGAGAGCAGCCGATGGGTTGTTATTCTGGTTCTCCACTTCGTTGGCAAATGGATTGACATCCAGAGCCACATCAACGGGATCTGAAGTATACTTCGACTGATGACGATGTACGGTTGCGCTTGTGCTGTTCGAGTGGACGGAAGCGACGCTTTTGTCGCTCACCTTTCGGCTCTCAGATCCCGGCTGCATGGTCTGCCGAACAAGGCTCTGCAGTTCTCGAACAGATACCTGTTGTTTGACCCGGCTGACGCTTCCCGCAATGCTGCCCTCGACGGCGCTTTGGGGTTCAGCTTGGTGAGACGCTTCCCGAAAGTGCCCAGTCGACTTGCTGCTCTGCCGACTGAAAAGGGCCTTTAGTTTCCTTCGTCCGGTCTTCTCATCCAGAAGAGCTGCTTCCACATTTCCGACGACCTTGGCTGTTACTGCTCTCCCTGGAATTCCGAACAAATCTTCGGGTACTGTGGTATTGTTAGGCGTGATTCCTGGACCTTGACCTCCATCTACGGGAGTCTCGTCCGCCTGGGAGTATCCGAAAAGAGACCGTGAGAGCCTCGTGCGGGATTTCTTGCTGCGCCTCGTCTTCAAACTGAAGAAGGAAACCATGTTAGATCTTTCCACAGGGGTGATTACACGTCAAGAGCTCGAGATAGACTGGGAGATGGACAAGGTAGAGTTTATGGTGTATACTATCAGCAGCAGACATCTCAATCATTTGGAAAGAAGGCGAATGGACACACCATGGGACCTTGCACGGAAGGAGCGACTTGTGGAGTTCTTGGCCGTAAATGAAGCAGGAGATACAAAAGGTTAAGCTGCAGAAAGTACAGGCTGAACAAGTCAGAATCTTTCTATTGATCTCCAGCCAAGCGGCCATGCTAAATAAATCATCACCCACACCTCAGGACCCCTTTTGTTCAATGCCAAGTCAAGCAGAGGCCAGGTCAGTCAGTGTAGGTCTCTTCAATATCTCTTTACACTTTAAATCCGTGAAATAAAAGGTTGGTTCGACGAGAGAAAAAGAAAAGATGGATATGCATGTCAGAAAAAAAAAAAAAAAAAAAGTCAACTCTGCCAACTCCAGGCCAGTCAGGAGGAATAGACGCCTGGCCCCATGCAACTTGTGGACATAATAGAGATACGGGGTTGTTCAAAGTGTTCCAGCAATCGAAGGATCGTTATATCTCATCGCACTCGCCTTCTATCAGGATGTAATGGAGGATATCACTGAGGGTAAGGACTCCTTTCAGCCGGAAGTGCTCGTCTACCACGACCAGACGGTGCACGCGAGATTTTCGGATTGTGTCCAGGATGGTATCCAGACCATCATTCAAGGAACAGGTGTAGATTCCAGGAAAATCCTATCTTTTGTTAGTCTTTGTAGAGCTCGATTTAGCTCTTAATGTCGCGTAGGAACTGACCGGTGCACGCTTCTTCAAGGCTTCCCCAACTGTGAGCCCTAGTTCATCATATACTCCGCCTTTAATCAAGGTGATGACGTCGACGGCTTCGAAAACATTGTAGACCACTCCTATTAAAGATATAATCAAGATCAGTGTCTGGTCTAAGGAGATGGACAAGAGAACCCGAAGACTGCCGCACCTTCAGAGTTGAGGATAGGAACGCTGGATATACTGCGTTCCACAAGGCTATGGATGACATCGATGACCGGGGTATCCATCGAGGCGGTCGCGACATTGTGATACGTGCCAACCCGGATCTCTCGCAGGGGCTTGCGGAGCTTCTGCGTGTCAGGCACGTTGACGGCGACAAACTTGAGGATTCGGTACTGGGTAACGACGCTGACGACGGTCGGACGATCGGTCTGACTGTCGATCGACACCAAGGGAATCCTGCGAGCACGGGACTCGAGCATGCGCCGACAAGCCTCGTACAGCGGCCGCTCCGGATCGATGGAGATGGTTTCCGGCGGCGCGACCCCGAGGGCCTTTTCCACTTCTGCAAGTGTCCAAGTCAGCCTTTCTCTTCTCTTCTCTTCTATTATTTTATTTTTTTATTTTTGCTTTTTCAATCGATCGATCGACTGGATCGGCGGGGGGATGCAGGGCCCAAGTGTGACACACCTCGGAGACTATCCAGTCGGAACTGGTCGATCTGGTCCAGCGCGGCGGGGTTTTGGAAGTAGTACTGAATGACATTGATGTAGTCGGAGGTAGTCAGCAGGCCGGCGAAGGTGGATGTCTTTGAGTCCCATAACGGCGCGGACACGATGCCTATACACAGACACCGGTCAGCACAGCTGTACAACCCAACGGTCGGCTTGTCTCCCTCTTCTTTCCCGACTACGCTTACCATTCTGGATAAGGATGTTCAAGCTTTCCTTAACCGACAGCGAGGTATCAAAAACAATGAGTCGGAAGCTAAGCGGGAGGACGTCGTAGCTGGTGCGGACCTTGAGAAAGTTGCGGATAGCACGCTTCACGAGGGGGGGAAGGAGGAGGTCAGTTTCAATTCGCTCCTAAGTTTTCTTTCCATGGGAACTCACCAACCCCTCCCGCTCCTCACGGTCAATCGCCCTGTCGGGCGGCGGTGCTGGACTCATGGGCTGCGACAATCCTCGCGGCCGGAGATATGAAGACGGCTGCACGAAGCGGGCCTCGGGATGAGCGGCCAGCGACAGGCCGCCCGGAGCAGCAGCGGCGGCGGCGGCGGCGGCGGCGGCAGCAGCAGCGCTGGGGTCTCTGTGCGCCGTCGGGGAAGAGTTGTCGGTCATGGTCGTCGCCAGAGGAGGGAGCGAACCAGCAGTTGGTATTGCAACCTCCGGGGAGAGGGCCGCATGTAGAGAGGGGCTGGGCTAGGCTGCGGGGGGTGGGAAGCCCTCTCTGTCTCTCTTCGCTCTTTAAGCGTGGGGAGGGGGGAGCGCTTCCTCTAGACTCCCGAGGGAAGCCCGAACCCCGGTTGAGACAGAAGACGAACAGGGAGGAGAAGGAGAATTGGGGAGGAGAAGGCGGCGATTGAGGACAGATGCAGCCGTCGCATGCCAGGGTGTTTTCTGTGTGGCTCTCGTTGCTTTTTTCTCTGTGCTCGTCCTCGACTGTCGCCGTTGCTGGGAGGAGGGGCAGTGGTGATTAGGTAAGCGTATCAAGTTCGTAGTGAAGTACCTTCATACCCAACGTATTCCGTGCTTAATATGGAGTTACGTATGCCATCTCTGTTGATTTCTTTAGATATATATATATATAAATATATGACTGTATATACAATACATCGGAATCTATCTGCTGCGCTATGACAATGACCGTATAACACTATCGGTATCAAAAACAGACTCGGAGAAGAGAAAAATAAGATGACATGGAAGGGCTCGAAAGAAGGGAAGGAATGTATCGGGAGATCATAGGCTACGCGGTGACTGTAGCCTCGGGGGCATCGACCCCAAGAGTCTCCATCTTCTGCGCGAGATCGCTGGCGCCCTGCTCCGTCTCCGAAAGACTCGCATCAGGTCCGCCTTTCAGGTAGTTTTCGTGTTCGCCGATGCGTTTGCCGCCCTGGATCCAGCGCTCGCGGTATGCAGTCCGCCGCGCCTCGGCGAGCTGGTTGAGTGCCGGCCAGTACTGCGAGTGGTCGTACTTGAACTCGACGTCTCCGCCGGCAGCGTTCATCAGCTGCTCCGGAGGCACATGTTGGCGTAGGTCTTCATTGAACTTCAGTTTCTGCCGGGTCAACGGGTCAATGAAGGGGGTGATCAGCTTGAAGAATCCCCAGATCATAAACGGCACTGTCGAGAAATCAGTAAAACACTAAATAGCAGTTATAATTTCGGGGGAAAAAAAAGAGAAATCAGTTCCTACCATTGATGACCAATGCTCTGCCTAGTCGCTCCGGATAGTGGTTTTGCAAGATATGCAGGGTCTGCTTTCCCTGGCTGACGGACGCGTTCTGGCCAGACTTGGTCTCGTTCAGGTTGACCACCAACGCCAGCGTCTCCTGGTCAGGCCCCATCAGGTCAATCACTCGCTCGAGCATGAACACTAGGTGTTCCAGTTGGCGGTCGCTCCGCTCCGTGTTCTGGTTCTTGGGCAGCAGGTACAAACACGGACGCGCATTGATATCGTAGCCCAGAATCACCTGCTTCCCCGTCTCGTTCTCGATCGAGATATACTCGGGTGTCAGCTTCAACAGCCCGTACTCCCGCCGCCAGGTCAGTGTACGCTGTAGTCGATCCACCGCCTCCTTGACGTTCCACTTGGTCGCCCGCAGGTACCGCAACAGGCATTCGCGCGTCAGGAACATCCGCTCCTCATCCGTGATGGGCTCGGTGGGCGCGTTCTTGGCTGATGTGGTCGGCACCGTCGTCCACGCTGAGACAGCCTTCAACACGCTCTCGTAGTCTGCCTGCTCCTTTGCCGTCAGCGGCGCCGCAGCCACGGGACGCGCCGACTCCAGCGGTAACGCAAAAGGCTTCTGTATCACACCATCTGCCGCAGACTGGGGCAGGCTATGTTCGATCTCCTGCTGTTTCTGCCGCGCCTGGGCGACAGGCTGTTCTGTAGGCTGCTGTTCCACGGGGGGTTCAGGGACGTCGCTAGGCGGGACGCTGCCATTCGCGGACTCTGCTGGGGCCGACATGCTATACAGTAATTGATAGATTAACTTGAAAAAAAAAAAAGACAATTGATTCAAGCTGTGTACATTAGAATCGCCCAGAGTCGCTCTCAAAGTCCTGTTGCTGTTCGCAATGCGGGAAGCGACGCTGACTCGGCAGTTCCAAAGTGGTTTTTTCCCCCTGCCGCGTCGCAAACGCGTCCAACACGCGCCACTCCAGGGCTCATTAATATCATCGTTCAACCTCACGCCTGGAGAGGTCCATGTTGGAGCCAAAACAGTCTATATAATAGTTGGCTATCTTTGTTTATCATGGATGCCATCACAGCAGAGCTCAATGAGCTCTTCGCTGGGTCCTCCCCCGACGGACTGCCCCAGGACGTGCTCGCCGAACTGCTGTCCATCTTACGGGTGCATTCGATACCTGCACAAGAGCTCTTCTACAAATGGGAGTCGTACTGTCTGAAGATGGGGCCGGAGGAGACGAGAATGAACCTGGACACGGTCAGGGCGTTCAAGCGTGACGTCCAGGAAGCGTTGGAGCGGGACAGTCGCAGCAAGACGGGGCGACATGCAGAGAAGAGAGGCGCTGTCACGGCGACGCCGCGGGCGACGGCGAGTTCGGATATGTTCGATATGTGAGCTATCGATTGTTACTGCATTCATAGGGGAGGAAATTGCTGATGGTGGTTTCTACAGGCTGGACGGATTGACACCTGGCGGACGTATGGCAAATGGGTCGGCGAAACGAAAATCGGATTTTGGATCGCCTCTGGTTGCAAAGGTGGGCAAAGCCGAGAAGACCGGATCGCCGATGAATGGCAAGACTCCGAGTAGACCGGCCAACGGTGTGGGAGCCGATGGGACACAGTAAGTGCTGTTGTACAATGCCCCGGTAGCGTCAGGAAAGCAGACTAATCCCACAGGCCCATGCCTTTCAGCGAACGACAAAACCCCGGACAGATCGTAGAGACCATCAACTCACATCTCCAGCCATCAGAGCCACCGATGGCGCCCTTCCCTGAAGCCCGGATCCGCCCAACGGCAAATACAGACATGAAGAAGTTTGGATACAAGCCGATGGCGATGCGGCTGTCCGAGTCATCTGAGATTCTGGACGACCGGATCGACGAATTCACGGCGATCTTCCAGAAGGAATTCCCGGCAGAGGAGCTCACTTTCGGGAGTGCTTCCACACAGAGCACTAGCGAGGTTATTGCGGTGGGCCGGATCGCATCAGACACTCTGGAGGGGAAGCTCAACCCTGCGTCACTGATGCTGGAAACCTCCCGCCGGAGCGGCGCAGGCCTGCGCGTGCCCTTGAAAGTCGATTCCCTCCCCTCCATCAACTTCTTCCCTGGCCAGATTGTGGCGTTGAAGGGTATCAATGCTTCGGGCGAATACTTCTCCGTCACAGAGGTTCTCTCCACCCCGCTACTACCATTAGCAGCGTCGTCGCCAGCGACCCTTGAAGGCATCAATGAACGTCTGTACGAAGCGGATGTGAATCCGCCATTAAACGTCTTTGTTGCGTCAGGACCATACACTGCAGATGATAATCTTGACTTCGAGCCCCTGCGAGAGATCTGTGAGAAGGCCGCCGAGAGCTACGCGGATGGCGTCATTCTCCTCGGTCCATTTTTAGACATCGAACACCCCCTGCTGGCCTCGGGGGACTTTGACCTCCCCGAGCTGGACGGGGTCGATCCGGAAACGGCAACCCTGACAACCGTCTTCCGGCACTACATCTCGACCCAGCTGCAGAAGCTCGCCAGCGCCGTGCCTAGTATCACCATTGTGCTCGTGCCCTCCGTGCGGGATGCCGTCAGCAAGCACGTTTCGTGGCCGCAGGAGGCGCTCCCCAAGAAAGAGCTCGGCCTGCCCAAACAGGCACGCGTGGTATGCAACCCGGTGACACTCTCCTTCAACGAGACCGTGGTGGGCATGTGCTCCCACGACGTGCTGTACGAGCTCCGCCGCGAGGAGGTCCTACACGGTCGACCCCGCGAGGGCAACCTACTCACCCGCCTACCCAAGTACCTGATTGAGCAGCGCCATTTCTCCCCCGTCTACCCGCCCTCTGCGCGCGAGAACCTCCCCAAGGCAGGCACGGAGACCGGCCTCGCCACGGGCGCTATGCTGGACATCAGCTACTCCAAGCTGGGCGACTGGTGGAACGTGCGGCCGGATATCTTAATCTCGCCGAGTGTTCTACCCCCTTTCGTGAAGGTACTTTGCTTTCCTCTCTTCACCACCGTTTCTTGCTAATTCGTTCAGGTCGTCGACTCCGTTCTTGTCATCAACCCGGGCACGCTCTCCAAGCGTCGATCCGCAGGCACGTACGCCCGTGTATCGATCCACCCGCGCGAGATCTCCGACGAGGAACGCGAGCAGAAGCAACTAGGCCACAAACTCTACGAACGCGCCCGGGTAGATATCATCAGGATATAATAATGTAATATCATGTCTCATGAATTAAAGTAAACCATAGCCGTAGCCCGTAGTCCGTAGCTGTAAACAGGCTCAAAAGCCCAAGTCATCGTAAACAAACCACCCGCTTCCCACCCATCAACTTCCCCCCCTCTCGAACACGCACACCCTTAACCCCTTCACTTCCAACCCCTAACCGCAGCCCGGAAACGAGCTCGTCGAGGCCTAAATCCCGCCACACGGGGTCCCGTCTGCGCTCCATCGCCCTCGTGATCCCAAACGCAGCATGTTGGTCGGGGACAACGTCATCTTCGTCTTCTGGGTTCGGCGGCTGGAATTGAGGCGGGACATAGATTTCCTCGATGGGCAGATACGACGGGACAGAGGTCGGTGATGAGGATGACCCGTACGTCACCCCCGATGCGGTGGGGTGATGTTGTGGCGAGGAGGCGAGCGCGGATTGCGACGTGTGGGGGCGGGTGAAATCCTCGAAGAAATCCGCCAGGCGCGGGTGGTGCATGTGGATATGCGTCGGTGAGGAGTCTTTGGACTGTTCAAGTTAGTGTTCGGTTAGTGCTTGGAGTATTCTCGTGAAATAAAGGAATGATTACCATTTTCTATTGCGTTGCTTGGACCGTTGTCGAGGTGAAGTGAGTCGAGAGATAGACAAGGCAGAATAAGTGGTTTCTCACCGCTTTTACATTCATACGTACCTAGGTAGTTATGTAGATACAAGGTAGTGGTTACTGTTACTATTATCCTCATGTATGGTTACTCTGATGTCCCAGTCCATTCGCTAATAAGATTTTAGTCAAGGTGTACAATGAGATTCCATGCGAGTTTTCCTTCTATGTCCCGAAATGACCCAAGTCAACAGCGAGTACCATGTAGTAAGGTACAAGGTACAGAGTTAAGAATTCGTGCTCATGCGGTGCACGATTGGGACCGCGCTCGGAGGCAAGCTGCCCATCTCTGTGACGACCATGTCGACGTACTCGGCCGGGGTGGCGTCGTACATGAGATTCAGCAGCTGCAGGTTCGGCGTGTCCCGCCAGTCCTTCAGAGGCGAGGCCGAGGCCGTGCTCCGCATGCCAGCGTGCGACTCGGTCAACGGACTCGGCGCAGCGGGTTTGTTGTTGCCCTTCTTAGCTGTTGTCGAGGCTTCTGGCTGGGAGGCTGCCTTGTCCATCAGGCCGGTGACCTGAGCCAAGGGCTCGGCAGTTACCAGCTCGTCAGCATCGGCGATCTCGTTCACGACGATACTGTCCAACGCAACTCGGTCCGTAAACTTGACGGTCTCGCAGCAGACGATGACGGGGATCTCGACACCGCCGGCACGCTCCTTGGCGGACATGGCGACCAGCGCAGTGCCAACGCGCGAATACAGTCGGCCGTTGCTGGTCATGGCATGCGCACCTAGAAAGACCTTGGTGGCATCTTTGATCGCATGGCTGATGCCATGCACCAGCGAGTACTGGACGTCCAGGCCGGCCTTGGCGAGGACGCGGGCGAGATTCTTGCCCTCAAAGAGGGGCCGCGAGTCGATGATGGAGACCCGGAATTTTTTGCCCTGCTTGTAGGCCGTCAACAGTGTTTGTTTGACGATCGAGCTGCCGGCAAATGTCACGATCACGTCGCCGTCCTGGATCTTCTGTGCGGCGCTCGTAGCAATAACCTGGTCCGCCACCGTGATCTTCTCGCGGATGAAGCTGTCGATAAAGTCGCACAGCGACGCCTTGGCCGCCGCCTCGGGAACAGAAGGGTCGACGGAGGAGATATGAAGCTTCAGCGCCCGGATCGCGTTGCCCTGACTAATCGAGAGCGGACGGCAGGTGGAAAGATAGGTGATCTGATGTGAAAGATGGGTGGTCAAGTGCCGGGCGAGGGAAGTTCCCAAGGGGGTCGTATACGATTCGATAACCTATACTGTCAGAACAACTCTTTTTTTTTTTTTTTTTTTCTTTCTTGCCTCGCCTTTTCGAAGAAGCAGGAAAGAGTATGCATACCCTCTTGAAAGCAAGCAATGTAGCCACGCAGCGAGCGTTGCTCCCACAAATCACATAATCTCTCATCTGCAATCCCAGCGCCAACACCGCAGGATGCACCTCCTTGGCGGCGCCGGCAATGGTGGTCCTCCTCTGCTGGCCGTACAGGTGTCCAAAGACAGCCACCTTCTTATCTTCCTTCTTCTTTTTAGGCTCGACAACCCCACCGCCCTGCTGCACCACCTGCGCCGACCCACGCCGCGGCGCCGCCTGTTTCTGGCCCTTCTGCAGTCCGATCGCCGCCGCCTCCTTGGCTCCCATCGCTTGACCTCCCTTCTTGGCCGAGGGGGGAGCAGTCTGTCCCGTTCCTGCAGCGCCAGCACCACCAGCACCGGCACTATCGCCGCCGCCGCCGCCGCCGCCTCCTCCGGCCTGTTCTCGCTCCAGTTTTTCCTTTGCCCGGCGGGCTGCTTTCTCGGCCTTGGCTCGTTTCTTCAGCTCCGCTCCCGTGAGGGTCTCCTCGCCGCCCTCGACAGCACCGCCTTTGGCCTTGCCCGGCGGTTTCGTCGCGCCATTTGCTGCTTTGGCGGGCTTGGAAGTCGTCGAGGTCGGAGTCGCGGTCGGCGGGGGTGGTTGCCCCGTTCTGGCCTCGCTGTTGGGCTTCTGCGCGTCCGCCGAACCGGCTGCTGGCGTGGAGCCCGACGTCGAGTCGACGGGGGCAGTCATGGCTTGTTGAAACCGGGGAAGACAAAGGGCAAGAGGGGGGGCAGAAACGCCTGGCAAAGAAATTTGTGGGATTCGCGTTTGGTGGGATGAATGGGAAGGAAGGAATTGTGGGGAGATCGTCTTTGGGCGAGGGTTGAGTCATTCTTAGTAACAGGGCTTGGCATTGGTTTTATGCAGGTACTTGACTTGACTTGCAGTGAGTGCAGCAGCAGCCTTTGACCGTCTGTCTGCCACGTCAAACTACAAGGCTCTGCAGCAGTTTAAGGTTATGATCTGTCAGTTTGGCCATGGTGGGAGTGGAGGCTTCATCGAGATCTGTCGGTTTCGTACGCACAGTGCACCCGTCTTGGGTGTGGAATCAGTTTTATTCCATCAACTACTATTCTATGACCACTTGTTCAACGTGTATCTCATTGGGAAAAAGGCAGTCAGCTTCTGCCGGGGGACTCGAAGCGTCTATTCACAATCGTCATTGATCCCATATATCTCATAATTCATCACACGAAAGAAACAATGATATGGACAGGAGGTCACCGAAAGAAGATCTCGACGATGCTCCATAGCCAGCGTCAAAAACTATTTGCTGAAGAAGGAGGACAAGGAAAAGAAAACAGTGTCGAAATCACAAGAAAAGACTACCGTGGTAGTACCAGTAGAAGAAGAAGAAGAAGAAGAAGAAGAAGAAAAGTACCGCAACGCCTAGTATTTTCCCAAACGCCCAGGCTGTGAGAGAAAAAAAAAGTTATGAACCATAAAATCGGCAAGAGGTGTTCTGAATCATCAGACATTATTGGGCGCAATACTGCCCAGAACACGGCGCTTGCGGCCGGTTTCGCGCTTGCGAATGGATTGGAATCTCTCGTGGTCCGTAGCGATCTTGCGCTTGAACAGGTTGATATCAACCAAGAGATCCTCCATCTTGGCTTGCATCTCCTGCGCTTCGGTCTGGCCCGCATCGGCCAGGATCGTGTCATCTTCATCCCAGTCCAGGTCCGGCTCCGGTTCGGAATGAGGCGGCGGCGTCGCATTCTCTTTGTCGTCAATCAGCTGGCTCTCGCCTGCATCATCTTCGGATATCAGGCTGTTCTTCCGTTTCTCGATCGTGACGATAGGAATTGGATTCCTCAAACTGTCGAGAGCCAGCTTCAAGTGCATGCGTAGAGCCTCGTTCTCCGTCTGCAGTTGACGGATCTTGCACTCGCTCACCATCTTCGTCTCTTCCATGAGGCGTTGGAGCTTTTCAACCTTTTGTTGATATTCCTCCAGCCGCTCATTTTGGATCTCACTCTCACGTTTGTTGACAGCCGCCAGGCTCACACTGAGCTGGAGAGTGCGGATGGTCTCTGCCATCTCTGCAATCTGCTTATCCCGCTCCGCGGCTGACACATGGTCCTGGTTAACTCGGGCGCGAGTACGAATCCGCTTGGCTTGGTCCGCATAGCGCAGGGTGGAGAGAGTTTCTTCGTAATCACTGGGGGAGATGCAAGCAATCATGGCGGTTTTGGAGTTGCCACCCAAGCTGTCTTTTAGCAGCCAGGTCAAGATGGAATCGCGGTAAGGGACCACATCCTTAGCCTTGCGGGTTCCCTGACGGCCTTGCTTCGGGTCGGCCAGCGCTGCGATAACGCGACCCAGGGTAGTCAATGACTTATTGATGTTCGAACCTTCACGGAGCCTCTGGCCCGTAGCTTCTGTCGACTTGGCGCGTTCCGAGCCCGCCAGATCTACAAGTCGAATCCGAGCCGTGCGCTCGGTGGTCTCATCCGTCGAAAAGTCGTGGTGAATCTGCTTGAGTGTAATGGTGAAGACGGCGTGGGAACGCGAGGAGGTGTCATTCATCTTGGTACTAGCGACAGTCCGAGACATGTCACCCTTGCGCATGAACTTCATGAGCTCGGTAAAGTTCCTCACGGTGACCTCTGTAAGATCTTTGACGTACGGGCCATCAGATGGCGACTCGCGAATCCGAAGGTAGTATGGCGTTTCCGTTCGTGGTACGAGCAGGTCTCTCACGTGTTCGTTGTAGACCTCAAAATAGGAGACGCGGACGTTGTAACTAATATCAGGGTTGGTGGAGTTTTCAATTCGTTCGAACAGATCCTCGCAGGTCCTCGGAATCAGGCCAGGCTGTTCGGGGGTTCCCATCATGGTGTAACTTTTTCCTGAGCCGGTCTGGCCGTAGGCAAAGATACAGGTATGGTAGCCCTCAAAGTTGTGGTCCAGAAAGTCTTCACCAAGGCAGTTGTAAACATCTTCTTGCGTAGCATAGTGTTCATCCGCCTCATCGTGCGACCAGAAGGAGTTGTCAAAGACAAACGCTTTGTCTTCCAGAATCTTACCGCGCGCCTGAGACTTAGGCTTTCCTTCGTCATCTGGACTAGGTTTCGGCGCCCTAAGCTTGGTCATCTGAGTATGCGGGTCCATTGCGATGAGACATTCGGCATTGCGTTGAATTTCTAAAGGAGTACAACCATCATGTCAGCTCTTACAGCCGTAGTAGGACCACCACCACTGCCGATGAGGTGTACTAACCACGCGGAAGAAATTTCCGAACTCGCACCACGACACGCACGTTCCCACCTGGAGTCGGACTGGCCACTCCATTCTGGCGCGCAACTGAAACGACAACACCTTCTCTCGCCCGCAACGACGGGCTCGATGCGTTCGATCTCAAACCGGCGGCCGACGCAGTAGAGGACACGGAGGATGGGTTGGTGATGCCCGTAATGGCAGAGGAACCGGACGAGACGGAGGAATGCGAGCCAGGGCCATTGCCGAGGCCGATGTGGTTGAAGAAACGTTGGTCCAGCGCCATCTCCCTGCTATAACCCTTCAATAACTGCACGCACTGGGCGACAACGTCACGCTGTCGACGGAGGATATTGTGGTACATTCAACGTACCGGGAAAAGAGGAAGGATTAAGAGCAATCCAATAGAATGCGTATATGCTTTCGACAAAAAAATAAAGAATGATGTCAGCACGCAGTATCTGTATCTACCTCGATGGGCCCTTTTGGGTCTCGAATGGGGCAGCTGCGAATCTCTGTGTAAGAACTCAATGCTCGGGTTATCACTCGGGGAAGAGAAAGGAACGACTCCTAAGCAAACGCGGCTTCCTAGGATTGTTGCTGGAGGCCTTTGTTGACCTGGTTATGGAACCTGGTGTTGTTGTAGCGATGAGGCTATCTAGGTTGCCCTTTCACAGAACACCAGCCATCACAGGAGTTGCGTAGAGAAAGAAAAAGTAGAGATAGCAACAAGGGTTTCTCTTTCAAGCTGCAACACAAAAGAAAGACATGCTGCACTGAGGATTCCAGGACCTAGACAGCGGCCATGACAGCATCCAGGAGTGGGGAAACAACTCCAGCCTTGGAAGACGTGCTGTTGTAGGTGTCTCTGCCTCAGGCTGCAAGTGTCAAATGCAGCACATTCACTGGGCATTTTGTTCCTGCTTCGGCCCACTCGACCACGTCGTGGCACTGCAGCGTTGCCATGACAACCCAGACAGCTCTCCTATCTATGGAGTACGGAGTACTACATAACTATATGTACGGAGTAGTAGAGAACCAGCTTATCATGTTATCAGAGTCGCCGAGGTATCTATGGTAACTCCTTGCCTTGGTTTAACCTTTTCTTTCCGCCCTGATCAAAATCGCATAGTCTAGGGATGTTACCTTGCGCAAGTGCCCCTCGCTGCTACTCGAAAGGCTCCTGACTCTCGGCTTGATGATTCATTAGTTCTCCGGCTATAGGGTGATCGAAGACCTGGGTTTGTGAGACAGAGGAGGATTGTTACTTTCAGTCAGATGAAGCGACTCATCACATGCAAGGAAATTGCTCGATGGATAGTATCGCTCAAGATACTGTCGACCATAACATTCCCTTCGGATTTGGCTCTCTATAAAGTACTCCATATTCAAGATTATCGACGACGAATAAGGGCAGCTTAGCTGTACAGGATGCGTTGGGAACGACAGGACTACCAGATACCGCCAGTGATGGAACTTGATGGACACACTCAGAGTCTCCATTCATGGAATCTCATTGAGTTTGCGTGAGCTGTGTTTCGTATTTCGTATTTTGAGTTGGGATGTATCCTGAAGGCAGTTGCCACTGAAGGTCAAATCACGGCTTACTTTGAAAAGATGTACAGCAGCTACTGTCATGACGTCAGGCACTCAGTTGGATATACAGTGATTCATTCAAATGATGATATGCTACTCTTGACTAATATGTGGATAACTAGATAATATGAACTCTCGTGTCCCGCAGCGAGCGAAGCGAAAATGCAGCAAAACTGATAATGCTTTTATGAACCGGGCAGGGCAAGGTCGACAGGCTAATCAAAGTCGTCGTGCATGGCATCATAGAGATCCGGCTCATCGTCGGGGTTCTTGCCCTTGCGCGCCTTCGCACCGTCATGGAAAGTAACCGGGTCCGGAACTGGGTTGCCCTGGTCATCCATGGAGCTGCTGAGCAGCTGCTCAGGGGACCAGCTGTTGATATCGTCGACTCTGTTCTTGCCAGAACTGGCGGCGTCCTTCATGCGCGAGGTTGCTTTTTGATCCTGGGTTGTATTGCGAAGGCGACGCTTCTGGTCCTCACGCTCGGGGAAGCGGACAGACGTGTCAGTTTTCGAAGACGGCATGATGGGTTATCGGATTGATGATTCAATTCTGTTCAATACTGGTTCAATTCTTGCTCAGTATTTTAGACTGCCCAGGAGAAGCGTAGGTATACCAGGTCCATATATAGTTACGGTGGCGATATGATATGATGATGACGACTACACGGACAATACCATTCTTCGTGCTCGTGGCAAGAAGTATCATGGTAGCGAATAATAGAAACTTGAGTAGACTGAACAGTGACAGGTCTCATTAAAACTTGAAGCATACTCCGTATACTCTGCACTCTTAGTCATAATACTAGACATACCGATAACTACTACACCTAGCTACTACTAGTTATGTAGTTGATACTAATTATTGCGCCATATCTCTCCAATCACTTCCTTGCTAGACAATAATATCTAAGTATTAGCAAGCGACAAATGAGTGATCGGCATTAGTCTCAATAGAGTATCCCTCGGTGAAGCTGAGGACCCAGAAGTGATCTGTCACAGTGTGCCGAAGCCGAAATTTTCCTCATTTTTCTGCCTGTTCTGCCTACCTCGTTCGTATTCTCTGTATTACTACTGTACATGTTCCTACTTCTTCAGCATAGTTACTACATAAGTTTAACTGTCCAAGTTACAATGAAAAGCAGTTGGAATCAAAATGTCTCCTCCCGCCACGCAGACCTGATCTGCATCCTCCTCTGCTTCATCACAGGGCTATGCGACAGCGCAGCCTATAACGCCTGGTCATGTTTCTTAGCAATGCAGACTGGTAACACTCGATCTTGATACTTAATATAGGAAAGGTATACTAAGTAATAGGGAATACGATTTTCCTCGGCCTCGGCGCCTCAGGCCAACCAACCAGCAAACCATACGGCTGGCTCAAATCGCTAATCTCCATCTCCTTCTTCTTCGTGGGCTCGTTCAGCTTCGCGCACACCACGAGACGAACAGGAAACACCCGACGAAGCACCCTCTTCATCTCATTCCTCCTTCAAGCGCTGTTGGTGTTTGTCGCCGTGGCCTTGATCGAAGCGAACCTCATCCCGCACAACGCTACCACCGACGCCTCCCTGCACGGGGGGAAACTATTTCTGGAATTGATTCCCATCGCGTTACTTGCCTTCCAGTCCGCCGGCTCGATCACCTCCAGCCGGGCGTTGGGATTCAACGAAATCCCCACCGTCGTCCTGACGAGCGTCTATTTCGATATCGCCTCGGATGCGAACCTCGTCGCACCCCCCGCCGCAAATGTGAAACGCAATAGACGGATCGGCGGCGTCGTCGCCTTGCTTGTCGGCGCGATTGTCGGCGGCTGGTTGAGTCGTTCCTCGGGCGGCATGCAGGCTGCCTTGTGGATGGCGGGGGGGTTGAAGGTCCTTGTTGCTTGTGGATGGTTGGTTTGGCCGATCAATGAGGCATAGACGAGTACCACGTAATACGATAGATACATCCATAGAAAGATACCTACTACATAGATATAGATACATAGAATACTACATAAGAGAATTACCCCGCTCCACGTGGCGCCTACAGGGAATAATGATTCGTCATGACATCAGTGACCTGGATGTGGTTATAAGCAAGTATAAGAGTGTAATAGTTAATAAGTAAGTCTATCGTCTATGTCCAAAGAGAGAATGACGCAGACGCAAAATGGTATCGAGCATCGCGCTGTTAGCGAGCAGAGAGCAATAGAACCAAGCAAGGTAGAAGAAAGCAGAATCGCTCCAAATGCAGCAAAACAGGGCCGCCATCCTGTAGAAGAGAAACAAGTAGAGAGAATATGGAAAGAACAAAGGAAAGGTGACAAAGGAAATCAGTAGTTAAAAAAAAAGCAAAAGGGTATGATGCTTTTGTCCAGGATCAGGCCTCCAGGAATAAATAGTAGAAATGCAGTGCGGCGTACCGCAGAATCGAAGATGTCTGTTGTCGATAGTTGTATTATCGATTAGCTGTCGATTAGCTGTCGACTTGGCTAAAACGAAACTTAATATTCAAGTTCATGTGTTCAATAGATCCTGTCGTCGAGATCAAGCCGAAGGTCGACGAAGAATCTCCTCGCAATTTGCGTCGAAACGCATGTTCCACAGGCGAATGCTGTTCATCAGCTTCTCCGTGTTCTCGAGCTCGCGGTCGCGGCCGAAGATCGACTCGACAAACTCGCAGCCGGCGTTGCGTCCCATGGAGACGCCGCCCTTGCCGCCGCTCTCACGCTTGGCGGCCTTCCACATGAAGGACTCGCACGCCTTGAGCAGCTTCTTGACCCGTCCCCACAGCCGCTCGCCGCTCTCCAGGAAATCCACCACCGTCTCCTGCGCTTCGGACCGCTGGATGCGGGGTAGACAATCGTCGGCACGCTTGACCTTGCCCGCCAGCTTGATCAGCAGTAGCCAGAGGTCGCCCGCGACGTCGGCCATGGGAGTGGAGGCGCCATGGTGGAACACGGTCCAGTCGTAGATCCACTTGCCCAGCGAGTTGGCATCGAAGACACTGCCGAGGAGAATGATGGGCGCCTCCGTAGGGTCCCAGTTCTTTATCGAGTAGCCCGGGGGGATCCCTACCCGCAGCGCATCCTCCTCCGTTGCCTTCCGGGGCGGCGGCGTCGAGGGCGACATGGGCTTGGGTTTGGAAGGGGTGCGGGTGGAGGTGGACTGTCGACGGGCGCGCGATCGCTTAGCGGCGTCGGCCGTGGTGGAGGCATCGTCGTAGCTAGGAACCTGAGTATAGTAGAAATACTGATCAGTTGGGGGCTTTGCCTTTCGTTGAGACGTCGAGGCGAATCGACGGTCATCTTGGCGCGGAGTCGTTGGAGGAGGAGCAGCCCCGGCCGATCGGCCGCATGGTGAATACGGCTGATCGTCGTCGTCGAGATCGTTGCCATCCCCCCACGGCTGGGAACCAGCCATGGTGTAGCGGCGCTGATTATGATGACGCGGTGGTTGTGGTTGTGGTGAAGGCTCGGATGGCCTTCGACCAGAAAAAGCACTTACATGGTCGTGCTTCCGCGGCGAGCCGTACTCAGGCATCGCATCGTAGAACCCATGGCCATACACCGGATTCCATGCCCCCGGATGCTCCTTGCTGGTAGTGGTAGTGGCGCTGTAGCTGGCCTTGCGGGTGTGACGCTTGGCAGAACCGCGAGGGGAGGCGTAGGGACTCGCAAACTGCGAGGCGTAGTACGCATAGTGCGGCGAGGTGGGTGGGGAGGTGGTGTAGTCACAGGTGGTCCACCCGGGAGGAGTAGAATAGTGATACATTATTGCGATAGAGCATGAACGATATCGAGTGGAGAGTTATAGCCGTGGACTCCTAAATGCAGGAAACGAGACAGAAAACACTCAACAGAACAAGATATGCTATAAGGAAAAAAAAATGACAATATTATACAGGATATCAGAATCGCACGACGCCGACTAAAACGGTCAAAAATGCAGAATAACGCAAGAGCTGTCACCGCGGCACGGCTTCCAGTGTTGGAGAGGAGGGAGGTTGACGCTGTATTTGCCGGAAGTGCATTTGAACGTTGTGTGCGGAGACGCCGTGGGGGGGGGTTGATCCTGACGATCCTGTGGGACTCTGTATCTCGGGGGAGAAAAATCTCAAAAATCGAGATTAATCAGGCGATAAATATCGTTGCAAATGGTGGGAAAGGTGATGATGTGGTGGTCAACCCTGAGGTTGGATGGAGAGAGGAAGAGGCAACGCGGGCGCAGTTGGGGCGGAGCCAGTTTTGTACTGACGGCCGGCGTGGAAGTTGGACAAGTGCGTGCATGTAGATCGATGCCCAACGGGATGATAGGGATGCTGTTAAAAGGATTTTTTTTTCTTGAAAAAAAAAGGAGATAGAAAAAATAAGCTGACACTAGCAATAATTAAGAAACTACTGGAATATAAGTATATTCGACGCGTTGCATTCTTCGCGTTGGAATTCCAGTATTCTACTAGGGAATCTGCTAGACGAGAGGTAGAGCCACTACTACGGACTCCTACCACATCAATTAGTAACTGTTAAATTCAAGTTTTGGTTAGTAAGAATGAGTAATGGCCAAGAGACGTCACGGATGTTCTGGAATTCACCGAGATCGGTCGCTAATGCAGACTACCCGACTGAGGGGTACGCTCACCTTACAGAATGCCTAATGTACATGTAGAGTACATACTGGTGGATTATTTAGTAACTAGTCTACTGGTACGGAGTACTTTGGTACTCCGTATATTGCTCTGTACGCTTGATAATCATCACAGTACTCCGTACCTGAGTCACCGGTACTACAGTATGATGAGTCGTATAGACACAGAGTATCTGTATACGAGACAGGAAATGACAGTGGCAACCACCATGAATAGATCCTTGTACCATGGTTCAATGGTACGGCACTCCCGCCTCCACATCCATTATTTAGTAGTACATATAGGTACTCCGTAGTAACTACTCCGTACTATCTAGTAGGCTGTTTACTCGTATCTGCCTAGAATCTAGGCCAGACCGCTAGTCAGGAAGGCAAGGGATAGGATCAAGGCCTCTAGGAGTGAATCATTATTAGCAGAATCCACCAATATCGTTATTCATTCGTACCGACCGAGTCACACATACCCACTCAGACCCAGTTGGTTCAAGCAGAATACCCACCGATAGGGAGAATCCCTTGCCGGCTTATGCGCACGCGAGACTCGTACGGAGTCAAGGGTAAAGGAGGTGTGTGTGGTCAGAGCAGGTTGAGATCCCTGCGTCTCCAGGTCTTTTCTTATTATTGGAAATCTGCTATGGGCGTCATTGTGCGTACTGCCCTTGCCCTAAGCCCTAGCAATGGCACGTGGTGCTTAGTCATAGAATTCAGATCTGCTGTCAGATTCTATCTACATAATAGATACATACCTCCATAACATAAAAAACACTATGATCTTTACCTATATAATATCTAACTATAATATCTAACTATATAATATACTCCTATACTCATCTAAATATGAACCCTTCTAGCACTAATACTATATATACATACTACGACCTCATACTACTCCTAGATACTACCTTATCGGGCTCCCGATCAGGAAAAACGAGTGGACCCAGCCCCTCATGACATCTAGACTCCATCTACATCTACCAGTTACACCATCCATATATCTAATCTACCCATTTCACTCTGTAAATTACTACCAAATCCACTGCAAATTGTATATACAAGATGATCACCCCAGCAGAGCCCTCCGACACGCCAACCCTGGCAAGAATCCAATCCGCTGCCTTTGAGTCCGACCTCCTCGGCCAGCTCATGTTCGGCCCCTCGTCAGCAGAAGGGGACGCCTTCGCCGCCGCAGAAATACAAGACGCAATACACTCCGATCGATCCACGCGAATCATGAAAGCAGTCGTCGACGGAGAAGTCGCCGGGTATGCCCATTGGCATGTCTATACCGGGGCCATGGCCCCTCTCAAAAAGGAGAAGACGCCGCCTGCTTGTTCGCCTTTTCCGGGGATTTTCCTCTCATTCTTTGGACAGATGGCGGATAAGAGGGTGGAGCATGGTGTTGGAACGAATCAGGCGGGTATGGAATCACCTTAAGTGTTCAACTGTTCAATTGTTTAACTATTTGACTGTAAGTTTAAGTATACTAATTATCTAATTATAGTCCTCCAAGTACTGGCCGTGTCGCCGGAACACCAACGGAAAGGCGTCGGGGCGGCTCTCCTCCGCGAAGGACTCGATCACGCAGATCAACATGGTCTGACTGCTTGGCTGGAGGCGACGGAGGCAGGGTACCCGCTCTACCGGCGGTTTGGGTTCAAGGATGTCGATGAGATTGCGGTGGATTTCACACGGTTCGGACATGAGGGGTCGAATCGGACGGTGTGCATGTTGAGAGATAAACAGTAGTAGACAGTAAGAGAGTAAGAGTAGTAAGTAGTAAATAGAACAGTAAAGTAACTTTGATGTGAATATGTTATACAACTATATACTCCTGGCCATCTTTGCGGACAATATCCTGTGGCTGGAACCCTCGCTGTACATCTTGTACACCCTGACCTTGCCCTCCCCAGATCCGCTCAAGTAATTCCAGACACGACAGGTTATTAAAAAAGGCGGAATCGTTTTCGATCCCCGAGCACCGCCGACGGATCACCGCCCGGTCCAGCTCGGACACACACTCCGACCCCGTGATGAACAGCGGCCACAGCAGATATACATCCGACTGCACCGCCGTCAGGAAGCGCAGCGCAATCTGCACCATCGTCTGGATCCGCGGGTGTGCCGACGGCAGCTCCGGGTTCGCCAGTCGTTCCATGTACACCAGGGCGGCCTGCCGGAACGATTCGGAGATGTTGAACAGGTCTGCCACATACTGTGGGGTCACTGCTGCCCTCGGCGAGTGGAAGAGTCCGTCGGGGAGCCGCCATGATTCCAGCTGATGGCGCAGAGCGTGCCATTCCGTCCAGAAGGGGTCCGCTACATACTGAGGGTGCCCGATTGGTAATGCACTGGTGGTGGTGGTAGTAGTAGTAGCAGCGGGAACATATAGAGAAGTACAGGTACGCCGTAGAGAGTTGAGCCTACCGAGCTGGGCGACTAGTTTGAATAGAGTGCCATCCAGCCCCGCCAGATTCTCTAGACTCCAATCCCCTTGGCACAGAGCCGCGGTCTCGAGACAGAGGCCCCACAGGGGACTCTCGCGATTGTTGACGGTGGCGGTGACGCAATCGATGAAGGTGAAGGTGCGGATGAACCACTTCATCTCGTCCGACACGGCTCGGGCCCGCTGCAGCCGGATCGCCAACAGCTTCATCACGCCGGCAAAATGGGCCTGCAACTGCGCCACCCCGGTATCGCATGCATGATAGTACCACAGGATGAGCAGCGCCGCCAGCGCCGAATCCGACAGCCGGCGGGTCGGGTCGGCCAGCTGGGCGTTCAGGGCCGTCACGGCCAGGGAGCGGTGGCGAAGCTCCTCGCGCCGGAAGCTGTCCGGGATGGAGGCCAGATCGTCTTCGGTGTCCGTCAGGGCGCGGTGGGCCATCCACGACATGCGGGCGGGCAGCGTCTTGCCGTGCGTGACGGTCTGGCGGATCCGCCGTTGTTTCAGGTTGCTCGCCGACAGCGTCGCCAGAGCTTCCTGCAGGGCCTCGCTCTCCTGCGCCAGATGTAGGATATACGTTCGGAAGGGGTTGGTGGGGCCGTCAAACGTGAAGATGACAGGCGCAATGACTTCACAGTAGTAATTGATTAGATACTGCAGCCGAGGCGTCCGTCCGACCGACCGAGAGACGAGGAGAGGCGCAAATAACGGTGGGTGGGCGGGGAAGAACGAGTGGTCGTAGACTTGCACCGCCTCTTCCTCCCTACTCTGCTCCGAGTCGACCCTTTCTCTCCACTGATTTGTCACCTGTCCTGCAGTATAATGACCGGGAAGGTAGGAGGCGGGACACTGTGACACTGGATCGACGGTCTGTGGTCCTACTACTCCATGCCCTCGAGGCTCCTCCTCCTCCAGTGTGTTCGCCGCGGGAGATCGACTGGCCTGCTCTGATGATGGCTGGGCATCCTCCGCCGTCGTGACTGCTGGTCTCGCGCCCATGACGGGCAACGACAGGCCGCGCAGTTTGCCCCGGCTGGCCACGCCGACATCCCAGGTGAGCTTCGTCTTGTACCCGGGACACTCGCGACCAGCATCGAGACACTGCGAGCAATACGGCCGGCGGCGGTCGCAGCGGTCTCCCCGCTTCGAGCAGGAAAAGCAGTCCTCAGGGGCGCCGCTCGCCACGGTCCTTTTGCGTCGCTTCCTCGGGGGGGCAACGCGGGAGGCACTCAGCAGCTGATCGGATGCGCCGTCGGTCGTCATCGTGCGCACCGCAGCGGTCGAAGAGAGGCCCGGCGAAGGGCGGCCATGGACGGTGCAAACAAAAACGCGGTTTCCAGGGGGGCGTCGAGTGGCTAGGGAGCTGATGGAACGAGGAGCGATGAATGATGAAAGATGAACGATGAACAGATGAATGATGGACAGATGAACTGGTGAAGGTTGACTTTTGATCGGGCTTAGTCAGCAGCCATCCGGGGAGTCGAACTACGGAGGAATTTACGTATACGAGCGTGGATATCGGCTTTACAGTGGCGAGAGCTGAGGAAATCCTGGAGAATATAGATAGATCACATCTCTGGAATGCATTTCAGCTATCAAAAGCAATATCAGCTGCAGGGATCGAGTCAGTCGTAGCACTCGAGTCATTATTGTACAGTAGTTAGTTACCTGGTAGATAGGTACCTGGCCAACTAGTGTAAATACATGGCTACAGTAGGTACCTATATACCTTGACCGAAATATTAACACAAATCCCTACCCATACAAGTGCTTGACTCATAATACGCATCGTTAAAAGGCAAGGATCTCGTGACCTGGACGGATCTGCAAATCTTGACTCTTTATCGCCCCACGTGGAAAACTCCCCCTGGACTCATCCAGGAGTTCTTCTGTTGGGATCAACAGTTTTATATCGTCGGGTTGGCTCTGTCCGTGTACGATATCTGATATTCCAGTTATCAAATAGTGAATGTCTGGTGGAATACAGACTCCCTACAGTACTACAGATTACAGAACAGCAGGCTTCGTTCAAAGACAGTTATATAACACCACCACCGGTATCGACTTTCTATATGTATCTTATCTCTTTAACCTGACTCATGGTCCGTCCAGGCGCGTTGAGGACAGCCGTGTTGGCCACAGGGGCAGTTTCGCTCGTCTGTTTCGTCTACCTCTACTGGACGCCGCCGTCGACCATTTCGACCGTGCCCACCGAGGCCTTTGAAGTGCCGCTGGCCGAGCGCCAGAGCGTCCTCTGGGAGGCTCTGTACCCCCTTCTTCAGGAGAACAGCCCTCAATGCCCGCCCCCGGAGCGACAGGGCGATGCCGGGGCCGTTCATTACGACGCGGTGACGGACTCGCCGCGGCCGGATCATATCGCTCTCCAGGCGAGTGACCTTGCAAAGATGCGAACAGCACATCAGAACTTTGTCCGTGCCATCAACGATTCGACGACGATGACGAAGACAGCCTTGTCGAGCCCCCATACGCCCGGAACCAGAGGAATCGTCTCCACGGCAGGAGGATCGTATCTGCCCGTGTTTCTGGCTTCGCTGCGCATGCTGCGGCGCTCCGGCTCCACCCTCCCCGTGGAAGTGTACATGAAAGACTCGTCCGAGTACGAGGCGTCGATCTGCGAGGAGGTGCTGCCGGGATTAGACGCGCGCTGTCTCGTGCTGGCGGACGTGGTGGGCCGCAGCGCGAAGATCGAGCACTACCAGCTCAAGATCTTTGCCGTGCTGTTCTCTTCTTTTGAAGAGGTCGTCTGGATGGACGCCGACTGTTTCCCGCTCTACACCCCGGAGACCTTACTGGAATCCGAGCCCTTCCTCTCGACGGGACTCGTGACGTTTCCGGATTTCTGGGCGTCGACCGCCTCGCCGCTCTATTTCCGCATCTCAGACCAGCCAGACCCGCCGATGACGCTTCGCCAGGCCTCGGAAACGGGGGCGTTCCTCGTCTCGAAGAAGTCCCATTTCACCACCCTCCTCCTGGCAGCTTACTACAACTATTACGGGCCAACGCATTACTTCCGCCTGCTCTCGCAGGGCGCCCCCGGCGAAGGCGACAAGGAAACCTTCATCAACGCCGCCTCGGCCCTCTCCCAGCCCTTTTACACAGTCAGCGAGCGCGTCCAGGCCATCGGCCACGCCAAACCGGACGGCTCCCTCTCCGGTTCCGCCATGATGCAGTCCGACCCGCAACAGGACTACGCGCGCACCAGCCAGGATCTATGGCGCGTGAAAAATGAATCCGTCACGGATGCCCCGCGCGCCTTCTTCATCCATGCCCACTACCCTAAATTCAACCCGGCGGAAAACGTCTTCGGCTATAAATGGGAGACTACCCCGACGCTCAACTCGGATGGTTCGCTGACTCGGGCCTGGACGGCACCAGAGAAGGCAATACAGAGGTTCGGATATGACGCTGAGCGGGCCTATTGGGAGGAAATCATGTGGGTGGCTTGTAATCTTCAGGAGAAGATTCAGTCGTGGAGTGAGGATGAGAAGGTCTGTGAGAGGGTTCAAAAATACTGGAAAGCGGTTTTTGATAATACATATACTATAAACTAGAACATTATAGGAAGTACACTCAATCTATATCACTAATGTTTTGATTGAATCACTTTTTGATCCCCTTCTCGCGCAGCCGCTGTTCATCCTCCTCCTGCAGCTGCTTGTCAATCTGGGCGCCTTTCGAGGGGGTATTGCCGTGTATTTTAGCCTGACATTAGCTTAGTAGACAGCATATGTATTAAGGGAAAGGGAGAGAGAGGTACAGGAAGGGTAGGATCCCGCTTGGTGATCTCTGCCTCGGCATTGAAATCCTGGTGCTGGCGTTCCTTGTGTGGTTTGGTTTCTTGGGCGGCGAGTTTGTTCGCGATACTACGTTGGTCCTCTACCATAATCAGCATGTCTTTCTCAAAAAGAACTTCGAGATTAAAGGATTCTCACTTGAGTCTAGGTTCTGGTGACTCCCCACCTTCCCATCTTCGTACCGGTGTCGTTCATTAATCACAGCCTGCGGCTCGTTGCGCTGGTCGCCTGCTTCGTAGATGGCCGGGAAGCCGACGTTGGACTGGCCGGCGCCGTGGTATGCGTTGCCGCGGACCATTTTGCAAACCGTGATGCTTGGTGTGAGGAGATCGATGGATTCGATTTGGTAGATCGTTTTGGTTCGGGTTTGGGTTGGTTGCTTTGCCATCTTTTCCTTCTTTATATGCTTGCCATCCCCTATAGTCGACTTGGTTGTGATGTCATGCTGGAGTCACTGAGGTCATCTTACCTGTCTTGAGAGGAACATTCCATCTAGAATCCTGTTGAAAAGATGTGGAGCAGTGGCACTCTTGAGCGAGCTGGCAGAAGACTCTCGAAAAGATGTAATTCTCAACGAAAAAGCCGAATCTCGATGGGTCAGGGAAAGAAACGTTCTTGTCTGACGTATATAAGTAGAGTTACGAGTAGCGGCTTGTCACATGGCTGGACCCAGAACTTGCTGGGAGAAATTATAGAGTATAAAGCTCTGTTTACCACTGAACAAAATGAAATAGAAATAATAATAATTAGACTTCTCAGCTGTATATACTAGGTATCCTTTGATATGCCTATTCTTGGAATCATGTAAATGAAGTTATTTGAACTCTATAGAGTGGGCTGAATATCTTCAACCACTTTCACTATTCAATGTAACCAAACTTCATAGGAAATAAGCCTAGGTCAAATCAATATAATTGATAATTGAACCAAATAGAAATATACTCCGTATACCTGAATAGTGCTGTGACTGTCTTGTCCCACTATGAAGTGACTCCCTGACTAACTATACGTACGATAAGATAAGTCGCACTAGCGAGGGGATTTTCCAACAGCGTCACAATTTAATCCCAAACCTCCAGTCCCTGGCAAGACACAAGACACAGAAGCACAATGGGCAAACGAAAGCAGGCGAAAGACGGCGACGTGGAGATGGAGGGCGTGCGCCCTGGAGACGAGAGTAGCGACGAGGTAAGCAGCTGTTTTGGAAGGCTTCCACAGTGATGTTTCTCACCGGTAATCGCTTTTCTAGGACATTGACATGGTCAACGTGGATTTCGAATGGTTCGACCCTCAACCGGCCGTCGACTTTTACGGCCTCAAAAACCTGCTTCGCCAACTGTTCGATACCGATGCGCAGATCTTCGACCTCTCCGCGCTGGCGGATCTGATCCTTGCGCAGCCGCTGCTCGGGTCGACCGTCAAGGTTGACGGGAACGAGTCGGATCCGTATGCTTTTCTTTCGGTGCTGAATCTACAGGAGCATAGTGTATGACAATTCTTTTTTTGGGAGGGGGGGAGGGTTGTTTCTCTTCTGACTACGGCAGGAAAAACAAGTCATCCAAGACCTAACCCGCTACCTCCATCGACAAGCATCGTCAACCCCCTCACTAGCTCCCCTGGCGACCCTTCTATCGCAGAAGCCCACCCCCCCGATCGGTCTCATCCTGACGGATCGCCTGATCAACATGCCCTCCGAGGTTGTGCCGCCCATGTACAAAATGCTGCTGGAGGAGATCGCCTGGGCGCTCGAGGATAAGGAACCGTACAACTTCTCACACTACCTGATCCTGTCCAAGAACTACGAGGAGGTCGAGTCCAAACTCGACATGGAGGAGAGCCGGCCGCAGAAGAAGAAGAAGAAGTCCGCCGCGGATAAGAAGGCGGACCGCTTCTATTTCCATCCAGAGGACGAGGTGCTGGAACGCCACGCCCTGTGCACGGGGGCGTTCGAGTACACGCACAAGCAGGATGAAGGGCACTCGGACTCGAAACGTGCCTTTCAGGAACTCGGCATTCGCACTGGCGGCAGCTTGATGCTCATCGAGGCCGCCAAGTTCGAGGCCGCCGTGAACGATGTGGCCGAGTATCTTAAGCAGTAGTCTTTAAAAAAAGATAGTAACTACTAGGTAACTATTACTATACCGCTTGGTAAACAAGGTATATTTACTTGATTGATTTTTCTCAATTATCATGATTTTTTCCCCCTGTCTATGCTTCATTTCATCACGGCGTTGGTTGATAGATAAAAAAAAAAGATGTCTCTTCGTTTATTTACTCCCATTCAGTTCCCTTGAGGCGTTGCATCAAGTACTCCACTTCCACCACCTTGGTCAGAGGAATGACAAATTCCTAGAGAGTGAGTGAGTATAAATTTACCATCTGTAGGAATTGAGAAGTATTGTATATTGTCTACCTTGAACATTCTAAGGACAGCCTCGCCATCGATCTTCGGCCCAGTCTCGTCCGGGAAGGCGGGGTCGGTGCCATAGGTTCTGGCCTTGAGAGCGACTCTGGCGAGGACCTTCTCTTCGACCATCTTGTTGGTGATGGCGGCATCGATGCCCGCGCGGTCGCCGGCCTTGATGAGCTTGACGAAGGTCTCTGGATCCTCGCGGAACTTGGACTCGGCGACGAACTTGCCGAAATGGATCCGATGCGACAGTGCCTGCAGCACATTGACGTCGCAGGTTGCCGACGAACCGTAGTTCTCCTGGGTTTCCCCGCGGTCTTCGCGGCCGAACTTGGGGCACACGGCAGGCAGGATTTCCTGGACGTAGCGTTCCTTGATCACAGCGGTGACGTTCACGTCGTTCTCATGAAGGATCTTGGGGTATTGGAGAGGTTGAAGAATCGGCTTCTCGACAGCATCGGGGAAGAAGGGGTACTCGTCGGGGGACTCGTAGCGACGCACCCGAGACTGCAGCTGTTCTTGGGAGTACAGCAGAAAGTCCATCAGACTCAGCTCGCTACCGGGGATCTTGACGCCGCCGGGCACATAGATCGTCTTGTTGTGAGGGAACTGCACGCGTTCAATAAGATGGAACGTAATGGTATCCTCTAGGCGACTGGAAACAATCCTCGAATCAGTATTTCTTTCTTTCTTTTCCTTTTTCTCCCCAACCGTATTCAATCTACAGTGCTGGCGTCAAGTGCGGGGGAAGCTGTCTCGCAACTCACATCAGCTGGAAGCGAATATTCGCCAGGTCCAGCGCCTTCGAGGTGTCCGACAGATCAATCGCCGCGTCCATATTGTCTCTGCCGACCGGCAATTCTGCTCAACTGCTGTACAAGGGGGGTTCTTTCTTCTCGTCCTGCGATGACGGTGGGAGAATTCCAATTCTATCTTGGTTATCAAAGACACCGCCAAGCGCCGGTTCTGTCATCACGTCCCAAGCTTCGGTCTGGGTGCCAACCTGGAGGGAAACGAAGAGAAGAAAAGAAGTCTTGGGATTGAAAACATCTTCGTGTCTTTTAGAACTATAGCTCAACGCTCTGCGATAGCTCTGCCAGTAAATGATGCAGTCTGTCGAATAATGATGATACCTTACCTCCCTTTGGTAACAGAAGATAATAGAACGGCTGGGAAACGCCCTTTCAATACGGTTTCCTGTCACATGGGTCCCCCGTGACCACCGACCACGCCTGTGTTGGCCATCCAGCATCAGCAAAAGCTGAGAAGACTCAACCTTGGCCATTTTTTACCAAGTGTCTGAGATTTGAACAGTCCAGCAGACAGCGAAACACTATTCTTTCAGTGCGTACTATTTGTTCTGAAAGGGGCGAGAGAAAGAAAGACCTCGGCGGACTGGAGCGGGTAAAGCTACGGTAAAATTACGGCCGGGAACACGGTAATTCATCGCGTGCAGCTTTGCAGGGAGCAAGCAACTCTTCCTAGCATCTGGAGCAACGAAAAAACGCCCAACAGCGCTGGCTTGTTCCCTTTGTTGACGACTGCGGACAGCGCCTATGGGTATCTGAGTCCGAGGACTCGTTCTGGAAAGGACCCATGGAGAACCATCGCCGCGATGACTCGCCCTCCGGTCTGTCAGATTTTGCGGAGAACGAGGGCCTGTTGGGCACCGGCTTGACGGTGAGAGAGGAGTTCTTGTCTCCGGGTATTGAGAGGAGGAGGAGGAGTGTATGCTGATTGATTCCGCGTCTCTAGACTCGCCAGATCGAGGCGTTTGGGAGGAAGGTAACCAGCACCGCTGGACATTTGATCGGCCAGCCATCCGAGACGAACGCCCATTATCAGACTGCCATGACGGAGATCCACCGGGAGCTACGACGACCGCAGGCACAGCGCAAGGTGTTTGCTCTGACGCGGACGACGCCGACCGACCTCGTTCGCTCCAAGCTGTCGACCACGGAGATTCAGTCGCGTGCGCTCTCATCCCTGCCGGATGACCTCCTTGCAAACATCCCCGAAGACAGCAGCTCGTACTCGCTGTTCCAGGGATTCCAAGCCACTCTGCCTGAGAGCGATCCAGAGCCGCGAAAATCCCACCGCCGACGGGGGTCAAAAAACAAAAAGGCGCTGAAGGATGCGGACAAGAGCGGCGCGCTGCCGCCGACGGCGGCGGGCTTGAAGGCCGAACGGGCCAAACTCGCCAGACGACTGGACATGATGGGGGTTCGGAAGAACATGTGCAGCGGAGAGATTCATGAGATTGACAACAAAATCGCTAATTTGCACAATATGCGCAAGATTGTTTTGGATCGGCTGGCCGGACTGGAAATGGACGAAGCGCAGTTGGAACAGGAACGTAGGTGGCTATTCTTTTTTCTCTCCCCTTCTCATCAAATTTTATGTTTGAGAACGCTCGTATTGACTGTCAGTGACCGAACTGGACAACAAGCTGGAAGATTTCCCTGACGAGGAGGAGGTCCCTCCAGCCATTGCGACCCCCAAATCGTCTGAAGCGAACGAGGACTCGATCTTGCCCGAGGATCCGGCCATGGATACCTCATTTATGTCGGAGTCTATTTACCAAAAAATACCATCGCCGAAGAGTTTAAAACAGAAGTCTATAAGTACGTTGACGAAAAAATACGGCGGAAAAAAAAAGGAATGATAAACTCCGCTGACGTTAAGCTACAGGGAAACGATCCATGCCGGTTCTACACGAGCATTTCGAGCCCGGCTCGCCGATCAAAGAGATTCAGGCTCACAACGATGTTGTGACGGCGGTAGACTTTGACTACCCCTTCGGAACGATGGTGAGCGCCGCGCTCGACGACACAGTGCGGGTGTGGGATATGAACACTGGCCGATGCACGGGATTCCTGGAGGGACACCACGCATCTGTCCGGTGCCTACAGGTAGAAGACAATATAGTCGCGACGGGATCCATGGATGCGTCGATTCGACTGTGGGATCTTAGTCGAGCACGGTCTGCGCCGCGCAATAATCGGATCAATAAGCGCGCCAAGGAAGTCGAAGCAGAAGCAGAGGCGGAAAACGAAGCCAACGGCTTTCACTACGTGAACCACGAGGACACGGCGTCGCGGCCATCATCGTCCTCGAGCATGGACGATTGCTTCCTCTTCTCGCTGGAAGCGCACGTGGACGAGGTCACGGCGCTGCACTTCAAGGGAGACACGTTGATCTCCGGTTCGGCAGACAAGACCCTACGACAGTGGGATCTGGTCAAGGGGCGATGCGTGCAGACGCTCGACGTGCTGTGGGCGGCGGCGCAGGCATCGACGTCGATGACCAGCGCGGCGGAGACGTCCTGGCGGCCGTCCGGACGCATCCCGGACGCCTCTGCCGACTTTGTCGGAGCGGTACAATGCTTTGATGCGGCGCTCGCCTGCGGAACCGCCGATGGGATGATCCGACTCTGGGATTTGCGCAGCGGCCAGGTGCACCGCAGTCTGGTTGGGCATACGGGACCGGTGACGTGCCTTCAGTTCGATGATGTCCATCTCGTGACGGGCAGCGCTGATCGCAGCATTCGGGTGAGTTGGAACAGTTCCCCCAACGTTTGTTTAATTATTCGCTAAACTTTTGCTAGATCTGGGATCTCCGTACGGGCTCCATCTACGACGCCTACGCCTACGACAAGCCGATCACGAGCATGATGTTCGACAGCCGACGCATTGTCGCTGCGGCGGGCGAGACCGTCGTCAAGGTCTACGACAAGGGCGATGGCCGCCACTGGGACTGCGGCGCAGGCGTCGGCATCGACGAGAACGACTCGCAACTGGCACTGGTCGACCGTGTCCGTCTGAAGGAGGGCTATCTCATCGAAGGCCGGCGCGATGGCACAATCGGGGCCTGGACGTGCTGATTGATCTGTATACTTGTATATTATAGAGCTTGAATTCAAATAACAACACATGGAATGTAAAGAGAAACACCCCCCACCCAGGCAACAAAGAACCCCCTCTCGCCCGTCAAAAATAGCACCGACAGAAACTGGCTCGAGTCTCCTCCTCCAACCTACAAAGAACGATCTCGCCATGAGAGAGAACAAAGAACGGGTGGCGCGATGAACAGTAAAACCTGAGAATCCAGCCTCATGAAACATCCATCTGTATAATCACCACACCAGAGAATGCCCTCGGCATTAAACATCGAATATTAGAAGCCTAGGTAAGGGTTTAAATCCTCTTCATAGTCTGGCATCATAGAGTATCGCAAAGTTTCCCTCCAAATCCATAATGAAGCCCCACTGACCTTTGCACTCTCTCCCCAGCGACAAAAACCCGCGCTGCGACCGCATCACAACCCGCCGACTGTCGAGCCTGAGCAGGTCGTTTTTCGACCTCTTGACGCGAGTAACATCGAGTTATTTATTAAAAACAAGCGGCGGGTGACACGCACTCACGCGAGAGGCAGTCAGGCAGTCGGATTTTCTCCAGACACGCTGGGGGGGCGCGCGTCGTGAAGGGCGCGCCTGGGACGCGACTCTGAAGACAACACGAGGGAAGTGAATTGCAGATTCAATATTGAAACTGGATATCGGGTGTTCTGTGAATTATCTGAATACGCATGACTCGAACGACCATTGAATGTCGATTAGCTGGTTCAAGGGTCGAGTCGAGATACTACGCCACGTACGATTCACTCCCCGGTTTGCAGACGCCTCAAAACAACGACTGCCAGGCAAGAATAATATCGGAGTACTCAATAGAGGACAGCCTATACGGACAGTCACGTAATTCCCGTCTAGCTTGATTGAAGAGCTGGTCCTTTGGATGGGCAGATGTGACTGCATAGCTTTATGCGGAGCCCCCTTCGATTCACAAGTGATAAGCTGCGGTGAGTACTGGGTTATATCAATCGACCATGATGACGCTTCGTCAATCGTTCTTTCTCCCTAAAATCAAACTCCAGCTGATAATCTACAGGCTAATTCAGACTTTGCGTGATGCCTCCCAAACGCATTACACGTCGTGCCGGGGCGACCGCCCGTGCCAACGAGGACGAAATTCTGGCCATGATCCCTGGGATGTCGAGTCCAGAGGGCAAGATCCCGGTTCTGCCCAGCATCCCTGCAAAGCATTCCTTTGCGTATGGCTCGCCGGCGCCAGCGGTGCTGCCGCGCAAGATTCAGGTCAACCACGTCACGCGGCTCGACGACATGGCCCATACTATCGACGCCGAGTTGAATGAGTCCAAGGATCGCCGGGAAGTCGTGGTCGATGACCCGAAAGATAGTCAACCGCCGCCGAGCCCGCCGCGTCTTCCATCGCCAACTCGGCGGCGCAAGCGTGAACCCACGCCGGACCAGGTGCAGCTGCTGGATGCGCTGCGCCAGGTGACGACCACGACCAATGGCGATAATGCGCGGTCTACCGCGACACCGACTCCTCCGATACCACACAGGCTGTCGAGCGAACCGACTCCTATCCCGCCCGTACCCCGATTCCCGCCCCCCGATGATGATCTACGTCTGTATCCCTCCCCGCTGCTCCGCTTCGGGTCTCCACACCGTGACTCGCCCCTCAGAGACCGCTCGCAGCGCCAAGGGTCCCTGGACAGCGACTCGATGATATCGTGGGCAGTCGAGCGCGACGTCCACGATGACGATCTCCAGAGGACGCGCCCGACGAAATTCCGCGAGTCGCCGCGCGGGAAAAACATCACCAAGCCGCCCCGGCGAGCGTCGGGGATCACCTTTATTCATAGCACGATCGAGGAAGAAGATGAGCCGGTATCCAGGGTGGACCTGGAGCCTCAGTTTGAGCGAGATCCCACGCCTGTTGAAACGGAACCGGAGCCCATCCCCGAACCAGATCGACCGCCGCCAGAGCCTGAAATCCTACCGAAAGAAGACCCATTGAATTCCGCCCCCGCCAGAACCCTAATACCCCAGAGCGTTGGACGCGAGACATCGTTTGCAGATACAGAAGAGCCGTCATCGTTCCTGTCCTCTATCGGAGTTCTCAAACCGCGGATGCCATCCATACCCCGGTTAACAGGAGAGACTCGAAGACAGGACGTTTTCCGAATAGCGCTGCTCATACTCCTGGTGGTGCTTCCCCCCATAGCGATGTATGTCTGGGGAGGCCGGCTGGTGGATCTGTACGAGCAGATGGGACCGTCTCTGCCCTCGTTCCGACGACCGTTTGTGAACCTGAACGCCTCCAACCTGGAGATCGTGGAGGCGCTCTCGCACCAGATGGGGAAACTGAGCAACCGGGTGTCCTCGATCTCGGTCGACGTGCAGTCGCTACAAACAGAGGTGGACAGTCTTTCGGCCGCGCAGACCGCGCACCCGGACGGCAAACAGACGGGCCCCATCCCGGTCTTCGCCGAGCGCGCTCCGCGCGTCAACTTCCTCCTGCTCAGCATGGGCGCGATCGTTGATCCTCGCGCAACGAGCCCGACTGCCGGGCCCAGCCCGCCCTTCCTTCAGCGCATGCTGCTCTTCCTTTTCCCCCCGGCACGCTCGTCCACGCGCGGCCCGCTACCCCCGATTGCGGCGCTGACTCCCTGGCAGGACTTTGGCGACTGCTGGTGCAGCACCCCGCGGCAGGGGATGTCGCAGCTGGCCGTTCATCTGGGCCGGGCGATTGTGCCTGACGAGGTGGTTGTCGAACATGTGCCCAAGGGGGCGAGTCCGAATAGCGGCGTCGCCCCGCGAGATATGGAGTTGTGGGCGAGGTTTGTCGTCAAAGACGTTAATGAAAGGAAGGAAGACAAGCCCGTGGGAGACAACAAGGCACAAGACAAGAAAGAAGATGCAGGTCTGGAAAGAGAGGATGACATCCGGCTCACACCCCCCGACGCAGACATGCACGAATCGATCATGAAGTACCTCCGCCTCGCCTGGCGCGGGGAGCCAGACTCGCACTTCGCCGACGACGAACTGCTGGGCCTGCCCTTCTACCGGATCGGCCGGTGGCGGTACGAGCTCGACGGCGCCCATCACATCCAGCATTTCACACTGGATGCCGTCTTCGACACGAAGGATCTGAGGGTCGATAAGGTCGTGGTTCGCGTCACCTCCAACTGGGGTGCGGAAGATACCTGTCTTTACCGGGTGAAGCTGCATGGTCATTTATAGCCTGACTCTTCTTCTTGAATCATTCTATTTCTTATCTTGGGTGGGGAGATACCAGGCGTTGTAGACTAGTTAATACAACATTGATAATATTGAGGTAGTACGAAAGTGAAAGAAAGAATGTATTTGGTCTAGATTATTCCATACGTTGAAACGCCCTGTCGACCTCCCCCCTCCAATCGCTCATGGCGACGATCGCCCATTCCAACAGGCCAACCAGGTACAGGGCGACGCACTGGCCGACCCAAAGCCCCTGGAGCCCCCAGCCATGAAAGGCAAGCCAGATGCCCAGCGGCAGGGCGCCACAGTAGTAGCTGAGGAAGTTGACTGCGGCGCCGACGTGCTGGCGCCCCATTCCGCGCAGGGAACCGCCGCAGCTGCCGTTGAGACCGTCAGCGATCTGGAAGAGGGCGACATAGGGCAAGATGGAAGCGGTGAGGTGGACGACGCGCTGGTCGTCGTTGAAGATGCGGGCAAAGTGATGGCGCGAGAGCAGCAGGCCGGCCAGGACAAACGTCCCCAGGAGCATGCTGAGCCAGGCGGCCGAGTGGGCGGCGAGGGCGGCACCGCGCGCGTTGCGGGCGCCTAGCAGGTTGCCCACGCGCGCCGAGGCGGCGACCCCGACACCAAAGGGGATGGTGTTGAGGACCTGGTCGGCGGTCATGATGACGCTCTGCGCCGCGAGCGGGATGGTGCCTAGTCGGCCGGCGGCGAGGGCGACGATCTCAAACGCCCACCATTCGGTTCCGATGTGGACGATGCCCAGGAAGGCGAGGCGCGCAAACACGCCCAGGTTGTGGAACGCCGCGCGCGACCACCCGCCCCAGCATTCGGAGCCCGCCACGAAGCGTGCGTACAGCACCAGCAGGCCGAAGGATAGCCAGTATGAGATGCTGGTCGCTAGCGGGGCCCCCAGGAGGCCCATCCCCAGCGGGTAGCAAAATAGGTAGTTCAGGCCTGCGTTGATGGGGGAGGTGATGAGAAGGACATAAGTTCCGGGGCGCATGATTTCTGCAGATCCAATAGATTAGAATACATGAACACCCTCGGCCTGGAAATATACCGTCAGTAAATTCTCCTACCTTGGGCCTGCAGATATTTCTTCATGGCTTCAAAGTAAATGTACCCCAGTCCTCCCGGGATCAGGCAGGTCAGGAATCGTGCCGTGTCCCTCGACAGATCCGCATCCTGGCCGAGAAGAAGAAAGACGGGTTCCGAGAAGGCCCAGAGGACGGCGACGGGGATGTAGAACAGAGTGAGAATGACGAACCCACGCTGCAGCAGCACGCCCAGATCATGTTTGTTCGTGCTGCCCGTGAACGAGGACGAGGCCAGGGTGTCGAGCGCCGTCGAGCCCCCCAGGGCGACCAGCCATGCGGTGGACATGGCGAACCCAAACGAAAAGGCCGCCGTGGCCAGTGTCTCTGGCGAGGAGCGCCCGACTATCATCACCGACAGCGTTTGCAGGCTATTCTGTAGCGTGTAGGCGAGAATCACTGGGATCGATCCCTTGAGCAACGCCCACATCTCGCTCATTATCAGCCGTGCGGTGGACTGGAGCTCCGAGCTTTCCTCGCAGACTGCGTCTTCGTCGTCGCAGGTACTATCGCTGCCATCTTCGACAGTGTGTTTTGGTAGCAGAGAGGTGTACTCGGTCGGTGTATCCGCCATGTTGACTTGAATCTTGACTCTCGATTTCAGAACGAGGTGATAGTAGGATCATGCTATCGTGTTAATTGTATGGCACAGGTGGCAGTTCCCACCGACATTTGGTCTCCTGCAGGTTTCCAGGCTGCATCGATATCCTGCAGGAGCTTTGGTAAAGCAAGGTAAGGTCTTTTCAGATCTCGATTGAGCATTTTATCTCGTAATCCTGCGGAGATACTCCGTCAAACATGAGGGGGGTCTTATCTTGATAGGGGGATACGAGTTAGTCCAATGTTTACATGAGGATTTCTGATTCACTTAGCTGACACGTCAGTTGTTGGTCTGATATTTCAGCTAATCAATGGAAATGACGTTAGCCAGGCAGTGAGTGCCTGAGATGGTTGTCTTGTGGTTGTTAAGAGAAAGAGAAATTCAGTTTGTTGAGGAAGATAGAAACGTGTGCCTTTATGCCTGAGGCATACACGGATGGCATCAGTATTTACTGTCAGTCGCTGTTCTCCGGGGTTTTTTACTCTGTTGTATTCTTTTTAAATCGATATCTTTTTAAGTCATTAGTCGCTTAGGCTGCAGTGTATCGTATCTATACTGGTTATAGACAGGCTGTTGGTTAATACCATTATGTAGTGTCTTTCTATAGAATATATATCCGGACGGTGTACAACAAGCCAATATATCATTCTTGAATAGTATTTCCAAGAGAGACCAAGTTTACCCCGAGTGAGAGAGATACTCCGAGATCAGTCTCATAGCAGAGATTGACACCAGCCATGGAATACTGTCAAGTTGAAGCATAGCTTCATGTGTCTAGACTTTAATGTAGCTTTGCCCAAGCGATGCCAACTTCCTGACACACTCCTCGAGAACATTATACCTATACGATGAGCCTGAAATCCTCAACAAAACAGACAGGTACGTACTTAGAGTCATGGTCAAGACGAGAACTAAAGGTGTTCGGCACTGACCAAGTTAGATATGTCTATATGTTTTTCTTAATAGTGGACAATTATGTGACGGTACCTGGCATGCCTGGCTCCATGAACTCCTTCAATTGCTCTTGAACTTCAGCCTCCCGGCCTACCCTGACGCTGGACAGAACCTGTACTCTACTGGCTCGCTTTCGTCTTACCTCTTCGAAAAGCGCGAGCCGAGCAGGAATCCCTGCCGGGGTGATCGACTTGAACAGCGCTGCTAGAGCGCCAGCATCTTCGATGGCCTGGTTTGCACCTTGTCCGCCAAAGGGGAGCATCTGTGAATCAGTATATTCTCTCTCTTATCAAGTGTAATTCCCTCACTGCATGTGCGGCGTCCCCGATCAAAAGCACTTTATGGAAACACCATGTGTGCAGAGGTTCGTGGATCAACAAGGGCCAGCACTTGACGTCTTCGGCTAGACTATCATTATTAGATATGTCGACCAAATGAAAATGAGCCCATCCAGTAAGGGGCAGATACTTCATTGCTTCTCTGACGGAAGGGTGGAAATGGACGAACTCTTCGATCATGTCCGACTTGAAGTCTGGGATGTGCCAGTTAGCACAAACCAGATATAGTTCTTTCATATACTCACCAGAGTTAGACGTATTTGGTCGCGTGGGATGGATCCCCGCAAAATTCTGGACCTCCCCTCTGAAGCCAATGATTAGTGACTTTGTGCGTTTTTTAAACTTATTGTGGGATCGTCTAACCCCCGACAACTGTACCAGATCAGATGGCGCTCATTGACGGTATCCACCGTGTCCGCGAAGAGAATGGATCCGCGGTTCGTCCTCTCGATGAATCTCTCTAGCGTCGGGTTTGAAGCGAACGCCTCTGTCGGTAGCAGAAACCGAAAGGCACTCATCCCCGTCACGACAGGTGACTTGAGATGCGGGATCACTGACGCCCGAATGGCAGAGTGTAGCCCGTCCGCCCCGATGACCAGATCCGCCGCATGCACCGAGCCGTCAGACAGACGTACTGAGCCGGCCACGGGGTCGACATCCACCACAGGAGACGCCAGACGGATTTCAACGGGAGGAGGAGGGGTAGGGAAACCGGCATCTTTGTCGGGGTCTACATCCTGCGCTAGTCGTAGCAGTTCCTGGTGCAAGTCAACTCGATGGACGGTCCAAAACCCAACACTCTTATTGTCATCTTCTTCCATGACCTGGATCGCGATCCGCGAGAGCGTCGTCCCATCGACCACCTCCCAGCTTCTCCGACGACATGCTCGTGCTCGAGCAAAGTCGAAGCCGATACTTTGCAAAACAAGCGCTCCGTTAGGTGACACGGCCAGTGCTGCTCCGATTTCTGTTGCAAACTGGGACTTTTCGAAAATCTGCGTTCTGAAATTAGTGGTAGAAAGTGGTAGACAGGAGGTAGCTCAAGAGGTAGACTATACCGTGACAGTATGGCCGGCCTGTCGGAGAGCAACAGCTGCACAGAGACCGGCAATTCCAGCGCCGACAACAATGACCCGGAGTGCCATATTGAGGGTGTATCTTGAGGGTGTTGTCTACGATCAAGGGGAAGAGACGAGGACAGCGAGATGATCAGTTGCTGCCCGTTGGGATTGAAATCACATGTCTCATGCAGGCTGACCGCCAATTGCATACAGAGTGCCAGTATTCTGAACTTCACTTCTACAGCCTTTGATCTTGGGAATAGTGTCTAGTCTAGGTCTTTACCTTGGTGATAGTTACTTGTACTCGATGTCTAGTAGCTATTTGATAGCATTGTATTCTGATGGAATGATGTCATTAGAACTTTATCAAAAAAAATTGGCTCAGTGTGAAAATAATCAATAGTTTGTCAATATATTGAACCCTTGCTTGATATTGCGCCATTCCAAACCCTGTATCCCGGAAAGACGACACAGGGAGTAGGCCTGTCCTTGTCATGTATGACACCAATCCTAATCGTGGAGAAGGGGAGATTGTACAGGCATCCTGGGCCTGGAACTCATCGGTGATTCCCAGGAGCTTATTCCAAATGATGGGTTGGTTTTGAATGAGTCTGGACTTAGTCATGCCAGCTCGATGCATTGACTCGATCGAGTCAGCAATCCAACGAGTGTTGCGGTTGATTTATAATAGCTTTCTTAATAAGTACAATGTGATTGATGATTGTAGCTGTGGTACGTGTATTCCAATAGTTAGAACCAGGATATACTCCCGATACCATGTCTAACAGTCCATTCTGCTAGCAAAGACAGATCGGGACACGACACAGACCAAATCTGGCATGTCTAGATCCATTCATAGAGGCCCAATGGACTATCTTGTGTAGCGATGAATATTGATGACTATCACCGATCGATCAGGTGGTCCTCAGTACGGAGTCATCCGTATTCGTGCCGACGGCCCAGAAAAGCAACCAGATGGCTGTTGAATCAGTTCTGATTTGCCAGGCCAAGTAGGCAAAGATCGACACAATCCATAACCTTCTTTGAAAAAGAGTTCATCTCGTCTCGGGGCCATGTGGCATTGCGAGCCCAGTCCAGACTCCACGCCCAGCAAGAAAAGTCTCAGTCTCAACCAGCCACATCTCCCTGGGATGATCTCAAGCTAAAGTTGGACATGGAGCAATATTAGCATCATGCCTATCGACCCAGTCTGTCCCCATGATAACTTCTCCGTCCAGAGAACATCGGCCAAGAGAAAAGTCTGCAGACCGCATCACACAAGTGACCGACAGCTCGGGAGCGCCTCGTCTCCGCAGGATGCGAGATGCAATCCCGGAGAGACAATCATTGCCCAACTGTGTGTCCTGTTTATATGCTGTAGGGGTGGAAGATCGCTGTCAAGGCCCACTGCTGAGTGGGCTGGGGCGGGCGGGAGTATGTGGTAGGGATTCAAGACTGCTTCAGCCTCCCGAACGCCATCCGTTTTCTGCAACTGGTTCCTAAGGTGGACAGCAGGGACTCCAACTTATCATTTGATGCAGCATTTCTCATACCTGAGCTTGTCCTGAGTGATGACAGCAGCAACTGAACGTAACTGCGTAGACCGTACAAAGTTGACTCAGAGTGAGGAAGTTCGCTAAGACGACCCGGGCTCCTGCCCAAAGAGGCTGTTGATCCGACCAGCGTGTATCGTAACATCGTTACCATTATTACCACTGCTGGTACCATGATTTCGCCTGCCACGCAGCGACAGTCGGATCGTCATACTACATACTACATACGTATGGAGTATGCTGGCCAGCATACTATCCATAAATTTGAAGCCAAAAAAAAAAGAAGAAGAAAAAAAAAAAAAGAAACCTCGTCGATAAGATTGCGCGAGGGACCCTCTGGAGGACACCTAGATACAATGCTATGCTTCAGGCGGCTAGACTGTCTGTACTCCGTACGGGTCTTGTTTCAGGTGTTTTGGGCGAACGCAACGGCTCTTTTCCCCCCTAAACTTCTCCACAGCGAAATCGAGAGACAAGAGGGTTTGCTTCCAGCTGGCATGTGAAGACGGCGACGGCGACAGTGCTAGAGACCTGTCGGCAGGGATCTTTTGCTGGCTGCTTCTCCGCAGAATAGTCTAGGACATGGGTGAGGTTATCCGAGGAGAAGCCTCAGTCTGTCGTCTCGCAAGGTCTTGATGCTGACACTTGACAGCTGCCAACACCAAGACTTGGCGATCGCAACGGCGGAACGGACCAAAGCCAACCCACGGTTGAAACACAGGGATATCCATCCTGTGGTGGAGCTGGAGGAGGCCAGGTACCTTATTCCTTAATGGCCAGGTCACGTTCCAGCGGTTCGTTTCAGGTACTGACGGGTTGCTACCAACTAGCTAGTTAGCCAGGCTGCTTGCCAGTCCTTCATCTTAACTCGGACAACGAAGTGAATAATGGGGGTCGGGACGAACGTACGGAGTAGGCCTCCTCCGTACTTCGTGCTCTCTCGCAACTCGGCCATCTCAGATCGTGTCGATGTGATTTCAAAATCTGAACCCAGTGTAGCACAACGGATGTCGATGATGCAAGTATACTCTTGTGTGCAGCTTGTCCTACATCTCGTGTCTCCTGGATCTGATCCAATGAAGGAGTTCTTCGTACTTTGGCAAGACCCGACCGTGATGATGGATAAGAGCAAGCAAGACGATAGCGTCTTCGGGAGACTACAAAATACGACCAGTTCGTCCGAGATAAGGAAAACAAAACGTGGGACCATGCGAAAGATCAGATAGTGATGGTTCACTTCTCCAGAGTACTCCGTACAGCTGGCAGTGACCCAAACTTCCGTGGAATCACATCCATGGTTCGTCAACTAGGAACCGACGCCCTGGTATCAACATTGCAGTTTGGCCTGGGCAGCATTACTGTATGCACGGAGTCCTATGCAGTACGGACCGCCGTGGGGATGCTATGCCTTCTCATCACAATCTAAATCATCCTGATCAGGCTCTGTCTCTATCTCTTCCTCGGTCTCGACTCTCGAGCAGACCCCATACTTCCTTCGTAAGGTAGTTCTTGCGCCCAGCAACGCACCAGACGATGGACAGCCCACCCATAGTAGACCCGCTCCCAAACCGTCCCCTGGCGTCGCTCGGCCGCGACGTCAGCTCCCCTGAAAAATAATATGGCCTCTGCTCTGCGGCCGTTCCCCGATGACCGTCTGATTTGCAGCCAGAGAGGGCCAGCGGATCGATCAGAGAAGGTGTTCCCTAACTAGTCAACTAGTCAGCTAATTATTATTAGCTAGCCAGTTCCTTAATAACTCCAAACAAGAGGCAAAAGCAGTCTCGCTCCTTTTAAGACCCTGTCTGTCGTTAGCTGGTAACTACCGGCCTCGCTCTTCCTCGTCCCGCCCAAATCCTGTCCGGCGTCCGGCCACTGTTTAACCTCAGGAGGCTTGCACTCATTATTCACACTCTCCCTCACCTCTTCCCACCACTCTTTCCTCCCTCCCTCCCCTCTCTTTCTCTCTCTTGCTTTGTGCCTCCCTTCAAAAACCAGACCTGTCACCTTTCCCGCGGTCTTTCTCTCCTTTTGTCTCCGTTTGTCGCGGTAGCCTTTCCTTTCGAGTGCCCGGACTCTTTCTGTTCGTCGTGTGCCCCCCCCTTTGTTCTGTCTGCCGCGCTTCTGTCAGCCCTCTCACTAACCTGGGTTTTTCTTTTTTATTTCCAGATGAAATAGGGAATAATTTTTTCTAATCCTCGCTTTAATCAAAACTTCTCGGACGATCGCAGGACATCCATTTCGCGCGAAACGAACCGCGAGACGCTGAGCCTAGAAATATTAAGGCGACAAGAAAAAGAAACCGCAGAAAAGGAGACGACGACAAACAAAAGTCAAGAGTCTAGCGGTTCTGTCGATTCGAGAAATAATCATAATAATTATTCGATTGACTTGTTTACGACTCATGACGGTCTTCGTTTCGGTCCCTCGACGATAAGAGCATATATACCCCCTGCCGCGCGCCCCTGACTCTTTGGCCGGCTCATCGTTGCCTTTTATTGTTGTTGTTGTTGTCACTGCTGTCGGTGGTCGTGCCATGACGGTCTCGCCGCCAGCCTCGCCCACGGGCGCGCCCCAGCGGCCCATCAGCGCCATTGCGCGCACGCCCCGGAGCGCCAGTCGCATGAGCATGAGCAGCAAGCATGGAGGTAGTCGTGCGTCCGACGAGGATGGCAAGACGGCAGTCAAAGTTGGTGCGTCAAGGAAAGGGGGGGGGGGGGGTGGGCGAAAGAAGTCCCAACCCGACTCATCTCCACGAGGAAGATATAGATAGGAGAATTCCTGGCTGACACATTCCTCGCGTAGCTGTCCGTGTGCGCCCGCCGTTGAAACCGACCGACCCGGGCTTCGAGCTCATTCCTCAGCGTTTCCAGCGCTCCATGGTCCACGTTACGTCGCCGACCAATCTTGCTGTCGATGTGCCCCAGGGCCGCAAGTTGTTTGTCTTCGATCGCGTGTTTCCCGAGACGGTCGACCAGGAGGGCATCTGGGAGTATCTCAGCGACAGCGTCAACTCATTTGTCCAGGGATACAATGTCTCCATTCTCGCCTACGGCCAGTCGGGCGCTGGCAAATCGTACACGATGGGAACCGCGTCCCCGAACGAACAAAGCGATACCAAGGGGATGGGTAAGCTTGTTTACTGCCCATCTGGTCTCTTTCTTTCTTTCTTTTTTTTTTACTGATGAAAATCCGCTGCCAGGCATTATCCCTCGTGCGGCCCAGCTGCTGTTTGAAAAACTCGATGGCACGGTCAAATCGAATCGTAACAGTGTCTCCGGCTTGCGCACACCCACAAGATACTCCATGAACTCCACTACTAGCATTGGGAAGAATGCCCTGGAGAAGAACTGGCAACTCAAGGCCACCTATGTCGAGGTATTTTCTCTTCACCCCTCTCTCATGGCTGTTTTTTTTTTTTTTTTTTTTTTTTTTTTTTTTTTTTTTTTTTTTTGACACCGGTAAAAGATCTACAACGAGCACTTGAGGGATCTTCTTCTCCCCGAGTCCACACCGCAGGGTGACCGCACGACGGTGACCATCCGAGAGGATACCAAGGGTCGTATCCTTCTCACCGGCTTGCACCAGGTGAATATCAACTCATTTGAAGACTTGATGAACGCGTTGCATTTCGGTTCGTCGATCAGACAGACAGATTCCACGGCGATCAACGCCAAGTCATCTCGATCGCATGCCGTCTTCAGTTTGAACCTGATTCAGCGCAAGTCCGCCTTCCCCTCGGTTACTTCGCCCAAGGATAAGCGTATGTCGATGCCCGTCGAGTCCCTCTCGGGCTCGGACGCTTCGGTCACCGTCGACAGCAAACTGCACTTTGTGGATCTGGCGGGCAGCGAACGGCTCAAGAACACCCAGGCCTCCGGCGAGCGCGCCAAGGAAGGAATCTCGATCAACGCTGGCCTGGCCGCTCTGGGCAAGGTCATCTCTCAGCTCTCGTCCCGCCAGGCCGGCTCGCACGTCTCGTACCGTGATTCCAAACTCACTCGACTGCTCCAGGACTCGCTCGGCGGAAATGCTATCACCTACATGATCGCCTGTGTCACCCCGGCCGAGTTCCATCTGAGCGAAACCGTCAACACCGTCCAGTATGCGCAGCGCGCCAGGGCCATCCAAAGTAAGCCTCGGATTCAACAGGTGGCGGATGACGGCGACAAGCACGCGGTGATTGAGCGATTGAAGGCCGAGGTCGCGTTCCTGCGCCAGCAGATTCGTAACGCCGAGGGTAACGACCGTCGGAGCATTGTGCCCCAGGACCGATCGGAACGGCAGAATGAGCGGGAGATGGAGCTGCAGAACCAGTTGCTCGACACGCAGGAAAGCTATAATGCGCTCAGTCAACGCCACGCGCGGCTCATCGCCGAGCTTACCAACCAGACCGAGGGCACCAACGGCGAGGCTGATGAGGGGACCACGAGCTCGGTCGAAAGGCTCAAGCGCTCTTCCTCCTTTGCCCAGTCTGTGGAGCAGGTCGTTCTCGAGTACGAGAAGACTATCCAAAGCCTGGAGTCGTCTCTCTCCAATACGCGCTCGTCCCTGGCGGTCACGGAGAGCACCCTGCTCGAGCGCGAGACCAAGTGCGCCTACATCGAGACCGTCAACTCCCAGCTGCAGACGCGAATTCAGAAGATGGTCGACCGCGAAGTCAACACCGAGACCTACTTGCGAGACCTGGAGTCAAAGCTTGACGGCCACTCGTCAGGCGAGGAGAAGCAGTCGGCGATCGTCAACGAGCTGCGCAAGGAGCTCACCCGGGCTCGCGAGAGTGAAGCCAGCTGTGAGGATTACATTTCGACCCTTGAGGAACGTCTGGCCGAGGCCGATCAGGACATGGAGCTCATGCAGAGAGAGATGGAGCGCCTGGAGCATGTGATTGACCGCCAGCGCAGCCTGGGCAAGCTGGACAACCTGCTCTATGAGCTCGATCATCTCAGCCAGCAAAACAATCAAAATGGAATCGTGCCGGAAGAAGATGCTAGTTTCGAGGAGATTACTCCTCATCAGCCGGTGGTGACACCGATGAAGAGCGCCCAGCATGGTCGCAAGCGAACCATGTCTTCAGCACTAGACGTGCTGACTGAGGCGGTTGAGACGGCCATCCCAGAATCCGACGATGATCTGGTCGAACCGATCCCCGAAGTCGATGACGACCGAACGATGGAATCGGAACTCACCCCCGCGGCGGAAAAGCCCTCCGGCGACGGCGATGACGACGACAACGACGTCGACGATAGCGATGACCTGCAAACTTTGGAAAAGGTATCCAACCATCTGGACTTGAGCCACGGCCACCATTTTCACGAGTACGAGCCGCCGAGCCCGGCGCAGTCCAAATTTGTGGCCGACAAGCTGGAGACCGTCACCCAGGAGCTTTTCGACCTGCGCATGCAGCACGAGGCGACTATGACCGACTATGAGCTCCTGGAAGCCAAGTACGAAGAAGCACTGAAAGCACTGGCCGAAATGCAACAGGACGCCGCTGACGAGGTTCGCCACCCGGCCGCGGCCGTCCACGCCCTCCTTTCCCAGACCGCTGCCTCCCGACCGGTGTCTTTTTTAGGCGAAGGCAAGACTCCAGAATCCGCCAGGACTGGAGATCGACGGGCATTCTCGCAATCGCTTTCCTCGGAATTGTCCTTGGTCGGGGAGTCGGGTGTTGCCTCGCCGGAGGCCTCGCCTCGTACCCTTGAAACGGAACAGGAGCCCGAGCAGGAACACTCCCAACAAGAGGAACAAGAAGAGGAACAACAACAACAGGAACAGGAACAAGAACAGCCGCAGCAAACAGAAAAACCAGAGAACGGCGAAGAGTTCCATAGTGCTCCGGCGAGTGCTCTCATGAGCGCCGCAGAAAGCGTGGTAGGGAGCGATGAAACCGCCGCGGCGCAGGAGATGGAAAACATGCGTCGACTGCTGGGCGAGCACCAGGAAGGGGTGAGCATCATGACACAAAAGTACGCCCAGCTGCAGGCCGAGCACGAGGAAACGCTGGGCCTGGTCGAGACGCTCAGAGGGGAGCTTCAGCGGACGCGGTCGGCTTCGTCCCCGCCCACAACGCCCGGCTTCAAGACGCCGGTGATACGCCGGGTAACGAGTCAGAACCTGATGTCAACGGTCGACCGGGCGCACCGGTCGCTGGCCGCCCTGCGCAACATTGCCATCGAGGAATTCGACGGCCGCCCGGACACGATGCAGAATTTCGAGGTCCACCTCGACTCGGCGATGCACGAGCTGCACACCCGCATGGAACGGATTCAGGCGCTGGAGGCGGAGAACCAGAGCGTCAAGAAGGAGATGGAGATGAAGACGACCATCATCTCCGGGCTGACGCGCGAGCGGTCGAGTTTGCAGGGCGCCTCGCCCGTCGACCGGGGCCTTGTGTCGCAGCTGCGTGACCAGGCAGTGCAACAGGAACAGCAGATCCACGCCCTCATGGAGGCGCACGATCTGCGGGAGAAGGAGCTGCTGGCGGAGATCGAGGCCCTGAGCGATCTGGTCAAGACCCAGGCGGAAGCGCAGGTCGAGGCCGCCGGTGGGACGGAGGCCCAGGCGCATCGGATCGGCGCCCTGGAGGAGGAGCTGGCCGAGTGGAAGGGAAAGCACGCCGCGGTCGTCGAGGCCCTACAGACCTCCGAGAGCAAGCTCACCACTTCTCTCGCCGAGCTCGAGGCCGCACTGGTCTCCATCGAGGCCCTGCACGCCGAGCGCGATGTGGCCGAGCGGGCCACCGGCGAGAGGGATGCCGCCACCCAAGAAGCATCCGAGAGCGAGCGCGCCGTGCAGCAGGAGCTGGTCGAGAGCCTGAACGGAGAGATCGCCGGCCACAAGGCAACCATTGCTACCCAGCTGGACACCATTGCGGGCCTGCAGCAGTCTCACGACGAGGCGCAGGAGCGTCTGTCCGAGGCTCTGTCCGACAGGGAGGGCACGGCGAGCGCGATAGAGACTCAGCGGTTGCGCATCTTCGAACTGGAGCAGGAGATGGAGAACCACCACGCCACCGTGGACGCGCACCAGAAGGAGCTGCAGGCTCTGGAGGAGTCTCACAAGCGCCAGCTGGAGGAGCTCGCGGCCAGCACCAAGGCCGCTCTACAGGCGGACGCCGAGTCACGCCTCGCCGAGCGGGACGCGGTGCACGACGCCGAACACGTCAAGGTCGCGGAGAGCCTCAAGGCCGAGATCCTCGAGTCCCGGCAGGAGCTGGCCAAAATGCTGCAGACGGTATCGAAGATCCTCCGGTCGGAGGTGACGCCGGAGTCGTTGTCGGACCAGATCGAGGACGTGGTGTCGCAGAAGCAGCACTTCTCGGAGAAGTACGTGGAGATGATGGAGGCCAACGAGGAGCTGAACCGCAAGCTGCAGCAGACGAGCAGCCTCGACAGCCGGGTGGAGGAGCTGAACCTGCAGAACTCGGTGCACGAAGCCAAGGTGAACGAGCTGGCGCTGCTGGTGGCCACGCTCGAGGACACCATGCGCCAGAAGGACGAGCAGATCAAGAAGAAAGACAGCATCATCGAGGAGATTGCGGCCGAGAAGCAGAAGAGCATCCGGCTGGTCGAGGAGCTCGAGGAGCAGATCACCAACAGCTTCGACCAGCATCACAACCGTCTGTCCGTCATCCAGCAGGAGCGCGACCAAGCCCTCGAGGACGCCAAAACCAAGATCTCCCAGTACGAAAAGGAGATCGAAACGTACCAGGTGCGCATGGAACAGTTGGAGGTAAAACATCCCGTACACATCTTCTTCTTTTTCTCATAAAACACACAGCTAACTTTTTGTCAGCTCCAGCTCAAGAACAGCGGCCCCCAGGAGCACTCACACGACCGCAGCAGCTCTCTGACGTCCAACCTGCGCAAGAGCGCCTCTGCGGCGTCTCTGCCCTCGCCGCCGCCAGCAATCCCTCTGCCGCCGCTGCCAACGATCGCGTCGACGACCTCTGGCGGCTCCGGCAGCATCTCCCCGCCAGCCTCGCGGCACGCGAGCAAGGAGCTGGTCAGCGCCCAGCTGGTGGAGGACCAGGAGGCCCGGCTCCGCACGATCGAGAAGCACCTGTACGCGGAGAAGCAACTGACGGCGACGCTCGAGGAGGCCCTCGGCGACCTCGAGTCCCAGAGCAACAAGGTCAAGAACGACTGCGAGACGTGGAAGAAGAAGGCCTGGCAGCTGGAGGACGAGCTGACGACGCTGCGCAAGGAGCGCAACTCGGCGCGCCTGTCTCTGCAGGCCGTCGAGGAGGAGCGCAGCGCTCGCCGCGAGGCCGAGGCGGCGCGCGCCCAGCTCGAGGAGCGCATGAAGGCGCTCAACAAGAAAAAGAAGAGCACCCTGAACTGTTTCTAGTCTCTTTTCTTCTCTTTCTCTTTCTCCCTATTCCCTTTTCCCTTCATTCTCCCCCCTTTTCTCTTCATTCTCCCTCTTTTCTCTTCATTTCTCCCTCCTGTTATGAATTCTTATGCTGACCGTTCCGACCCTGTATACCTCATCTTCGCTTCTCTCTGTCCTTTTTTTTTTACGGCTCATATCTTTTGCCCTCCTGGCTCCTCTTGCCCCCATGCCCCTTTCGATTCTTCTGCGCTTTGTACACTTATCTCTTCTTATGACTTAACCTTCTTCTTGACGACGACCTGATTGATATCCTTGATATCCGGTGGATCATTGGCTTGTCCTTCTTGTACATTCTTCAACCCTGGGTAATATACACCGATTGATCTTGATTCCCTCTTGTCTCATTTTCTTTCCCCCCCCCCCGACTGGCCCCCAGCGTATATTAGTTATACCTTGACGCACTTCTGATCCCTCCCTTGTGACTGCTGAACCTGGATACCACTCTATTGCTTACTCAGAATAACTCTTGATTCCCTTCACTGCTCTTCGATTCTCTATTGTTATACTTGGTTTGTTCAGGCGTAGCTCTATAGGGAGTACAGTGGCACATAACAGAGACCTGCTATTGCAGCTCTGTCAACGCCTATCGTATTTAGATTATTTTTTGACATAAACTACATCATTCCAAACAGCTTCTCCTTGAATCTAACGTATTATTATATTGTTTACCCAGGTATCTTGGCTATTTATGAAGCTCCACGTAGGGGAAAAGCAGTCGTCATCACATGACGTTGCGGTCCGCATAGAACAATAATCGGCAAGAGAACAATTGTCAAGGACACTCTGGCAACCTCAACTCCTCACGCCAATTGCCCAACTGCATCGAAAATGCGCCTCAAACGATCGAATATCATCATCATCCACCCCGATCTGGGCATCGGCGGCGCGGAACGGCTCATCATCGACGTCGCCCTGGCGCTGCAGGCCCGAGGCCACCGTGTGACGATCTACACCTCCCACCGCGACCCGACGCACTGCTTCGAGGAAGCGCGAGACGGCACGCTCGACGTCCGGGTTCGAGGCAATACCGTGTTCCCCGCCCATGTGGGTGGCCGGTTCCATGTGTTGATGGCCGTGCTGCGACAGCTGCATCTGGCCGTGTCGGTGTTGAAGGAGCTGGAGCAGCGAGGGGGAAATAGTGACGAGAAGAACAAAACAACAACGGAACCGGAAGAAATGGACGATATCTTTGTGATAGACCAGGTCCCTGCCTGTGTGCCCTTTCTTAAAAGCTTGGGCCCTCGGTTCGCCTCTTCGCAGCGGCAGCGGATCCTGTTCTATTGCCATTTCCCCGATCAGTTGCTTGCGTGGCGGGGCGAGAGCGCCCCCTCGGCGCTGAAGCTGGCCAAGACACTGTATCGGTATCCGTTCGACTGGTTCGAGGGGTGGGCGATGAGCGCGTCGGATAAGGTGGTTGCCAACTCGCGGTTCACGCGCGGCGTGGTCAGTCGGGTGTTTGGGTCGCAGAAGCTCGGTGATGTGCGAGTTGTGTATCCCTGTGTCGACACAACGGCTGGACCAAAGGCAGAGCAGGAGAGCGAAGGAGATGCTCAGGCTCCGCTATGGGGTGGCAAGAAGATTCTGTTGAGCATCAACCGGTTCGAGCGTAAGAAAGAGATTGCGCTGGCGATCCGGGCGTATCATGGACTGGACGAAGAAAAAAGGAAGGGTACTCGGCTGGTTATTGCAGGTACGGGCGCTGGCCACCATTGTATTTGCTTTTCTATCATGCTGATGATTCCAGGTGGCTATGATAACCGCGTCCAGGAAAACGTACAATACCACAGAGAACTCGACGCGCTGGCGACCCAACTTGGCCTACAGACCGCCACTTCCAAGACCGTCGTCTCTGCTCTATCCATCCCGGACTCGATTGACGTCCTCTTCTTGCTCTCCGTGCCGACAGCGTTCAAGGAGACCCTTCTCGCCCAGTCCACCCTGCTACTCTACACCCCCATCAACGAGCACTTCGGCATCGTGCCCGTCGAAGCCATGCATGCGGGACTCCCCGTGCTTGCATCCAACACGGGCGGCCCACTCGAGACCATCGTCGAGGGCGAAACGGGCTGGCTCCGGGACGCCCACGCGGTTCCCGAGTGGACCGCGGTCATGGACCAGGTCCTCTACCAGATGGACCGGGCAGATCTCGCCCGCATGGCCGCCGCGGGCAAGGCCCGCGCGGAGAAGGAGTTCTCCCTCGTAGCCATGGGCGACAGGCTGGAAGAGGAGATCTCAGAGATGCTCGGCGCCGACCGACGTCCCTTCTACGGGTGGTACCAGTTGCTGTTTGTCCTCCTTTTGGCCCTGGGTGCGTTGACGGGGTTTTTCCTCTATCTTCTCTGATCTATACCCATTTATTTGTCATGTATATACTCTAGACAGTCTCAATAGAGCTCATTCTTATCTCTCTTCTTATTTCATTCCCCTACTTTAACTGCGTTTGGCTCCTCCATAATAGCATATATATATATCGATCACGTGACTTCGCGCAACGCGTGCGTCGCGTCTTCATCCAAAGTACTTCATGAGCTTTGCAGAAGCCTCAACCCTCGACATGCCAGAGATCATTGACCTCATCTCGTCGAGCCCCCCTCCTCAAGTGTCCTACAAGTCTCTTCCGCATCGACTGAGCTCGCCGTTTGTCCCGCTGTCCAGTTTTCTCTCCGATGGCTGCGATGAGCCTGATAAGCCCGCGAAGCGACAGCGGGTGAGCCAGGAACCCGAGGAGAGTCTACAGCCTGTCACAAATAGCCCAACGGAGCATGTCTTTTTGTATTCAGATGAGGGGTCTAATGGCGGAGGCGCTACGAAGAAATCATGGAATGAAGAGTCGGATCCAATCGTCACGTCTTCAGCACCGCAGTCTCGGCCTGCTAAAAGAGGGGCTAGCATAGTGATTGACGATGACGAGGATGATCTTGAAAAAAATACAAATGGCCAAGAGACCATCGAGTTCAGTGACCCGCTGCATCTGCCTGACTTGAACGAATTGATGGAATCTTGTGAGCGTCGACAGCAGCCGGCCGTGTCGTCATTCTCTAGTCGGACGGCGAGTCTTTTAGCAGATCTACAGAGCGGAGCGACTACCTCAACGAGAAAGGCTAGGCCGTTGCTGGAAGATGACATTTTAGATCCTCAGCCGCGCAAGACAACCACCAAACGGGCGCCGAAGCCTACCACGGCCGAAAAGGAAGCCAAAGCGCGAGAAAGGGAAGCCGCCAAGGCACAGCGGGAGCGTGAGAAGCTCCTGGAGAAAGAACGCAAGCAAAAGATCAAAGAACAAAAGGCCAAGGAGAAGCAGCTGGCTGCGGATCTCTCCGAAGTCAACAAGCTCAAGGTCGACAAGAAAGACTCGACGCCCGAGATGATCGTCAACCTCTGCTCCTCGTTCGAGGAGACTAGCGTGGGCAACCAGGCCGTCGAATTCATGCATCGCTTGGGCGTGGAGCATAGCTTCTTCACCAGCCCCGTTCGGGGGATCATCAAGTGGCGGCGTAAGGTGGTCGCCCAGTTCAACGAGACGCTGAAATACTGGGAGCCATGTCCGCAGCACATCCGCGATGAGAATCACATCCTGTGCTACATATCCGCTCAGGACTTTGTCGACATGGTGCTGCAATCCGACTCCGACGGCGGGGGATCCCTCGACGTGCATGTGCTGCAAGTGAAAAGCGCCTACCCGGCCTGCCAGCCCATCTACCTGATTGAGGGTCTGACGGCGTGGATGCGCAAGAACCAAAACTCGCGGAACCGCGCTTTCCAAGCCCAGGTGCGCCAGCAGATCGAGAACACAAGCAACAGTGCCGGCAATACTGGCAGTAATTCTTCTACAGCATCTCGCCGCCGCAAAAACCCCGAGACCACCCCGACTGTGGACGATGACAGCATCGAAGATGCCCTCCTCCGCCTGCAAGTGACACACGCGTGTCTCATCCACCACACGAACGCGGCGCCCGAGTCCGCCGAATGGATCAAGAACTTCACCGAGCACGTCTCGACAATCCCCTACCGGCGCGAGCGGATGGAGGGCCACGACGCCGCCTTCTGCATGGACACGGGACAAGTCAAGACCGGCGACGACCGGCCAGACACGTTCGTCAAGATGCTGCAGGAGGTGAACCGTGTGACCCCCTCGATAGCCTACAGTATTCTTGCCCGGTATCCTAGTGTGAGGGATCTGGTTGATGCCATGCGAGTTCATGGCCCGAACCTCCTCGAAGACGTAAAGGTATTCTTTCCTTCCTGTGTATGTCAAGGTATCAATCAACTGATGGTTCTAGAAATCCGCAAACAAGAACGGTGCATTGGCCGATTCGCGCATCGGGCCGGCGGTCAGTCGCCGGCTGTACAAGGTGTTTATGGGGGGTGATCCGATGTCGACAGATATATAGATAACTAGTACAATTTAAAACGTATACCTGCTCAAGTAAAGTCTATAAGGTATGAACTAATCATACGACAACCCCTCTCCTCCGCCATCCCGCCCAAGCAAACAACCACATCACAACAGCCAGCCACACGCTAAACGTACACCCGACCGCCCAGACGCCATAACAGGACCATCCACGACACAACCCATCCGGAGCATTGGACGCCGCGTCCTGGAAGCCACGCGAGTAGACGAGTCCCCAGACGGCGGCGCCCGCGGCGGGGGCCATGGCGACGATGCCCCAGTTTGTGCCGAAGTTCTCGACCCCCCACACGACGGAGATGACGATGGGCACGAGCGAGAAGGCGCTACCATACCCGAGCCCGACGAGGGCGGTCGTCACATGGAACGTTCCCGGGTGGTGCAGTGGGATTGGGGACGCGAGGAGCAAGAATCCCAGGGAAAGCAGGATGGCCGAGGGGATGAGAAAGAGGAGGCGGGAGAATGTCGGTCGAGTAGTGGTAGTGGTAGAGGTAGTGGGAGTGGTAGTAGCCATCGCAGGATCGTCAGGGTATATAGGGAAATGGTGCGTGGCTGGCGGGGCGAAGATGTCTGATAGCGAGCCCGTTACGAGGCGTGCAATTGTCGAGGTGAGCGCGATGGTCGTGACGTGCGTCGATGGTAGACCGGCTGGGGGGGTGGTTGATAGAGAGCCTCGAGGCGTCAACGATTGGATCACAGTGCCCAACTAAGATTGCAATTAGCATGTTCTTCAAGAATAGAAAAGAAAGAAAGAAAGAAAGAGAAAGCGCATGCATACGTTATTTATGTAGGCTTCGCCCGGCCCGGTGACGAGGAAAAAGCCCAGCGCGAGCCACCACATGGTGTGGTCCTTGAGAAACAGGCGCGTCTCATAGTTGAGCAGCCAGTCCTTGCGGCGGCGCTCAGTCTTTTCTCTCCCTCGGTGACAACAGCCCGCTTCGGAGAGGGTCACGGACAGATGGTCGTCTTCATCTTCCTCTTGGGCCTGGGCGAAAGTCCCGTATGCGTCAGCGGCCTCGCCACGAGCAGGCCGGAAGAACTCGCTCTCCTCGAGCAGGCCGCTGCGCTCGAGCTCGTCGACGGTCTCATCGATATACTTGTCCTCATCGACAACAATGCGCAGGCCGAACGTACCAATGACACCAATCGTGAAGAGCAAGACGGCCAGGAAGACAAAGTATCGGAAAACGTCGACCTCGCCGCGGGCGCCGTCCACACTCCGCTCGCACAGCACATACGTGCCCACCTGGCTCTGCCACATACCACTCAGCCCAAACGCCGCAATGGGGACCGCCAGCATGATCCCCTTGTTCGTGCCCCGGCCGAAGTTCTTCGCGCACGTCGTCACCGCCGCAATGTACATGGCGCAGGTGCCCGCCCCGATCGCCACAAACGCCACCAGCATCACCCAGAAGGGCCACCCTTGGCCGCCGGCATCCACGGGCGGACCCATGCTATACGTAAACGCAGCAAGGAGGTACCCTGCTCCAAACAGGATCGCGGACAGCAGAGACAGCGGCGACGGACTATACCGATCACACAGGTACCCGAAGATCGGCACGGGGAGGTACAGGGCTATCTCTGCCGCGATGGCCACCCAGTTCACGCGGAATTGGCTATAATGGAGTCGGGAGAGGAAGAGGGGGCCGTAAAGCGAGAATGTGGTGATGCTTCCGGCTCCAAGGCTACACCGATACAAGACAGCCGTTAGACAAACATGAGACGTTAGATAAATAGGTAGGCTGGACTAACCAGCTGATAACCCCCCAGGCAAAACTCGACACGCGAACCACCTCGCGCTGCATCTTGCGTCTATCCCGCTCGACGATATTCTCCACCACATCAGTCAAGAGGCCGGTCTCCTCGTCGTCCTCGTCGTCTCCCCCCGCTGACCGCCTCAACGCACCCGATCCCGATCGGACAGGGGTACCATCGATATCGTGAGCTGGGGGTCGATGGGCATCAAAGTCTCGCTTGTCGATGGTATCCATCGACGAGGATTTCGTATGGCCGTTGGAACTGGGCATACTGGCTGGCTGCCTAGGTACCTAGCTTGGTAGCAGGTACCTAAGGGATTAGTTAACTAGTAACTACCCTAGACGGAGTAGCAATGAAGGAGTCGAAGCTCAACCGAATCTCCAGATACACAAATCCAAGGATTGCCGTGGTTTATAGAGCTGTCTCATCCAAGTACAGAGTATTTCTGTTGTCAATGGACAGAGGGAGGGATGAAGATGAAGCTCGTCATTGACGAGAGCTCGGGAGATAACGTCTTATCACCAAACACGTGATATCTGAGTCAGAGTGAGTGCCCTGCGTAGAGGTCAATTCTACCATGTAACTTATTATAATTATTCATTCATTTCAAGCTATTGTGTACATTATTGAAAAAGAAGCCACCCATGTCGAGGTCATAAAGGAGCAAGCAAAGGTCCCAGGGAATCGGACAACTTCCCAGGAGGTATAATCAGTAAGACAGTCCGAGAAGTAAACCGAAGAAAAGAAGAAGAAAAACGACAACAACGGAGAGATTCTCATAAAGACCATTTGCGAGCGCTGGCCATCAGGATGCAGGGTTGAATGCGAAATCAGAAACAATTGTCTCTTAATGCCCAGTGCCCAATCGCAGAACCATGCGCACAACGCCGAGTCATTTTCAATCCCGTCCGGCCGTCATAAGATGCATTTCCATCAGACATTCTAAAACTGTGATATGAAGTAACAATGGAAAGAAAAAGGGGGAAGAAAAAGGAAGAGGAAGAGGGAGCTTTCAAAAGAGAGTAGACTCCAAGATGAAGAACCTCTAATCAGCAAATTGATTGATGTGTGATGGGTGTGTGTCTGTGTGTGAGTGGAAACGATATCAAAAAAAAAAAAAAGGGGGGGGGGAAGAAGGAAAAGGCAAGTGTCTAGACTAGAAGCTGACTTCGCCCGGGTCACTTTCAATGACTCCCTCGTCCCAGCTTCGATCAGTGGGGGTCTCATGGCCGGAACCGCGAGGTCCCAGAGCCATGGCTTCCACTTCGCCTCGTTCAACGTAGTCCACGGAGCTAGCCTCGTTGAGGATCCGTTGGAAGTACATGCGCAGTGATCGCAGCCCACGGAGATAGCCACGGTCGATGTCGTCGGGATGGTGAGGCGGGCAGAGGGTGCTGGGCGGCAGCTCGTCTTCCCCCGTCACGCAGTTGGCGAAATCCACAATCTTCAGCTGCACGTCCGTGTATTGGTGGTGCTGGTGCTGGGGTCCATCGCCGGATGTACGACGCTGCAGAGGCGCGCGGGATTCCGTCGGCGGTCGGGATTTAGGTGATCCCCCGTCCGGATGAGCGTGCGGAGGAGGCGGCGACGGTTCTCCATCATAGAGGATCAGCAAGCTGCTAGCGTAGAACCGGTAACTCTTGAGTCTGCGGATCATATTCTCAAGCTTGCTCAATTTGTCTAGAATTATAGGGATCTTATGGGCAACGCTGGCGTAGCTGACACCGTCGTAGAGAAAGCGAGTCAAGGCATCTTGAAACTCGCGGCCCGACTTGAGATCACGGCCAAAATACTTGTCTTCGAACAGATACTCTTGCTTCTTGACATTCCACGTCTGCATCCCACACAACCGAACCCCCAGCTGCTGCGAGGTCGTGGTCTGGCATTTACGCCGCTGCGACTTCTTCTTCTTCTCGGTAGCCTCCACGCCGTACTGGCGGGTGCCCATCTTGAGATCTAGAACACAGGGCTTATTCATACCGGCAGTCAAGTCTTCCAACAGGAGGAAGAACTGTACCCTCTCATCCTTCCACGTCTGCGCCTCCTTGGGGTTGCTAGGAAGGTGCATACCGGACTCGGTCGACGGGACAGGAGGGAGAAGTCGGGGGGTAAGGGCTCGGGGGGTCGTTTCAGTTCCATTGGGGTCCAGGGATTTAGGATTATGAGGGGTCTTGGTCGCTTCTGCTGACGCCTTGGAGCTGATCGACGCATCGCCATCCATGGCGAATATCTCATCTTCTCCATCGCCGCCATACCCGTCGTCTTCGAAAAACATGAGGTCTCCCTTCTTGTCGGAATTTATGCTGACACGCCTCCGCAGACCGCTGCCGGAATGGCGTCGCCGCAGGTGTTGATTCCGAGTCAGAGAGCTGGCCCGTGGGGGGGTCTCCCGAGTGCGAACTTTGTCTAGACGGCTATGATTGGCTTCCAAGGCCGTCGAGGCCGAGGATGATAGTCCTGGCTGGTCCTTTTTGGCACCGTGGGTGATATTAACGGCCGCTGTCGGATGAAGGCGGGTTTCGTCATTATTATGATTGTTAACATCACCAGCAGCAACAGCAGCAGCAGCAGCAGCAGAAACAGCATCACCTGCTCCCTGTTGGCGGACACTGCCGGTGTGATCCTCGGACAGGTTGCTTCGGCGCCGGTTCCCATCAGATGAGGTGCGGGGTAGATTGAGATGACCGCGAGCTCGTCGCCGATGATGGTGGATGGCTGGGGGGCTGAAAACCTCCCGCAAAACCAGTTCTTTAAGCTTTCGGTTTACGGTGGTGGCACCCCAGCTGTTCGTCTGCCTCAGCGGCGGGGCGACAGGTTGCAATTGCTGGCCAGGATGATTCTCGGAAGAGGCATCTGTCTGCGAGAGCCAATGGTTACTTCCCTCCCAATCGGCAGGAGACACACGCTTCTCGCTTTTCGCTGCAGCGTCAGCGGTGCGTGGCCTCTGCTGGGGAGATGAGAATAGATCGGCTGGAATGATGTGCCGATTATTTTCCAGGATCACCTTCGGGATGACGCCTGTCACCTGTTGCTGGCTGAAGATCCGAGGCGGGTCCGCCGTCTGGGAGGTCTCGGGCGGGTCTCCAGCCGACTGACTGGTACTTTTTGCGCCGCCTGTACCTGTGGCATGTTCGACGTCGGTCTGTTCCGGGTTGCCATCGGCGACTCCCTTCGACTTCTTCGAAATCTTGGAGAAGGTGACATTGAGCACTCCGATATATCTGGGAAGAAACATGAGCATCTCTGGATGCCTTCGTTCGATACGCTCGTAGAATTCATTCTCGCGATTGTTGAGTTGCTTGCAGACCGCACGACGCGAGAACCGAAAAACGGTGGTATGGCCGCCAACCTGATGCCGGTAAGGTTTCAACTCCACCGCCCCGAGGGGTGCTTGGGTTGTGTGTCTATCCCGGGATCGGAGATGACGCGGGCGTTGGGTTGGGGTCGCCGTTGGGGTCATCTCAGCATTGTCTGTCAGGCTCGACTCGTCGTCTCGAACCGAGGAAACGCTTTCATCGGCCGACATCATCTCAGACTCGCAGGTCGAGTCATAGCTGTATTCCGAGAGTGAAGCCAATGATCGTTCAGGGATGTCCGAGTGCAATGCGGGGGGAACATCGGGAGCAAAGTCACCGTGTAAGATCTTCCGCTCGCGCTTCGATTGGAGAGAGATGTCGACATGGTTAATTTCCTGTTCGACGGGCACCTGCTGGTCATCCACCGGCACCAGACCATGTTGCTCCTCCAGGGGCCGGTCTGCAATCGACTTCACGTCACTGGGTTCTTCCTCGTAGTCCGAGAGCCGATCGTCCTCTCCCAGGGGCACCGCGACACGTTCATGGGGGAAGTACAGGGCCGAGGAGATCTGTTCATCGTCTTCGTCTTCCAATTGCGAGGAACGCCTGCGTTGCTGTTGCTGAATGATATCCGAACCAGGTGAGAAGCTATCAAAGGAGGAGCTCCTGCAATCCAGATTCGGACCCCCGGGGGCAAATTGCGTGGGGATGCTGCGCGAGAAGGACGTCCCCCGAGCCCCGCCGGGGGTCAGGTGAAAGTTCCGAATCTCTTCGAGGAGGCTCCGGGGCAGAACCCGATGGTTCCGTTTCGTCGGGCTCACCACGGCCTGAGGTTGCTGCTGCTGCTGCTGCTGCTGCGGTAGTGGCAGCGGCGGCGGGCGCAGCTGAGGGAGATCCTTGCCGGTATCCACGTGCAACGAGGTCCTGCGAGGCCCGAGGCTTGGGATGGGGGCGAGAGAGGAGTTAGCGAACGGGTCTGCGTTGGGAAAGGCCAGTTTGGGCTCATGGTCGTGAGGCAGCGGGGGTGGAGGGGCGAGAGGGCCGGAGGAGAGGTCATCGTCGCGCTGATCTTGGTGCTTCGTGCGGTGGTCGCGTTGTTTACGATCGGGAGAGGTGGTATTCTCTTTGAACAGGCCGAGGTAGTGGCTTGATTTGCGACTACGCACATGGGAGACCGGATCGGCATTGCTCAGGCTAGCCTCGATGGAGTTTTCGACCCTACCGCGACGACTCATGCTCGCACTGCGGCCAGTCTTGAGGGTAGGTTCAACATTTCGGGTGGAGTCTCGGTGCCAGTCGGTGGCAGCCAGCTCCTGGCGAAGCATGGAAATGGACGGACGCGATGATAACAAGGTATCACTCAGGGCGGAGGGTAGGAGGTTGCGATCTGTCACCTGGTGGTGGTGGTGGTTGTGATCGTGTCTGCCATACACTTCCCCATTACTATGAGCTGGGGGGTGGCGGGCCTCCCAGAACGGAGTGTGAAGGATTGTATCGGTTGCTGTGGATGACTCGACGGTTGTCCCCCTGTGGGAGCCCGAGTAGGGGACATTCTCGCCCAAACGAAACGGCTGCAGGGGAGAAGAAGAGGAAGGCGGAGGAGAAGGAGGAGGAGGATGTTGTGGGAACGGATATGCTCGAGGCACGTCGACTTCCATGGGGAGGGCGGCAGTCGTGTTTGCAACGGCAGGTCCGGGGGTATCAGAAGCCAAAGTGGCAGCAGCAGCAGCAGCAGCAGCAGCAGCAACGGGAGCAGTAGCGGGAGCAGCGTCGTTTAGCCGAGCAGTCAAGCTGCTGCTCTGGCGGCGAGGGAGATAATCATCGTGAAGAACGGATGAAGGTTGTGAGGCAGTAGAATCCTGATCAGAGGGGAGGTAATGGGTCGCAAAGATGCTATCTCTCTCCGACAACTGAGGAGTGTTGTGGTGGTGGTGGTGGTGGTGGTGGTGGTGGTGGGAGGAGGCGGCAGTGTAGGAAAGGGACTCCCGGGGCCCGTTAACGGTCCTCTTTAGAGAGCGACCAGGGCCAGGTTGGGACCATTGACGAGCGGTGGGCGACTCAGCACGGGAGGGTGAGGGAGCCTGGTTCTGGGGGAGCAAGTCTTGGTGGTGGTGGTGCAGCAGCTGCTGGTGCTGGTGCTGGTGCTGGTGGCGAGGGCGCTGAGTGCGCCGTGCCTCCGGGGCAGCAGAGCAATCATGTCGAGCAGCGACGGCAGGTGCTACCAGGGGTCGAGACAAGGTGTCTGATGTTGCAGGCGCAGGCTCTGACATGGGGAGGACATTGGTCAAGGCCGCACGGGTCAACAAGAGTGGAAGAGGTGGAGTTGGGTTGAGTTGACGGTAACAATAATTATTTCGGGCGGTGGGCGGGCGGTGGTGGTTGGTAGGAGGAGGGAAGGAGCGAAGGAGGGAAGGAGGTTCCTGGTTGGGAAGGCGGAGAGAAGCAGCAGGAAAAAAAAAAAAAAAAAAAAAAAAAAAAAAAACTGAAAATTGGTGATACCAGTACTGTATTTACCAACTGCCTCTCTCAAGTAAGGGATAGAAGAAGCTTGGAATCAAGGGAAAAAAATAATGATAGGACTAGAGCAGACACGTTCTAAGGCAATGGACTCTCACAGGTGGGAAGAAGGTCGCAATGAGTCCCAAAATTACGCTCGAGACTTGAATACTGGACAGTCCCTCAGAGAGAAACGTGACGCGAAGTGCTCGTCACCGCCTTTGCAGATCAGTCAGTCTAGTCTACGGAGTATAAGGTTAGGCATGGAGGACACTATCGGAAGTATTCCATGGACGAATACGAAAGATGTCTTTGTCTGAGTCTGAGGAATCGGAGGTCTCGGAACGTAGCGAGCTGTATCTCGCTCAAAGGGTAGGTAGTATTTTCCATACATACCAGTAGTTAACAGGTACTTAGGTACTTAGGTACCTTACTGCCTACTAGGTACCTAAGGTACATACCTGATAACAGGTAGTTAACAGTACTACATAGTACTACTAGTTAATAGTTCTAGTAACTAATGTGAGGAGGTAAGGACTATCGGATGCCTAAGGTATCACGTATCCGACGGAGAGATCTGTCATCTCCCAGTGAGTGCAGATTCCAATCATCGAAAAACGTGCTCGACCCGCTGGCTGCCGTGGTGCTTATCTCTCCAGCTAGCCGGGTAGGGTTAGACAGATGGATGGATGCCTTACCGTAAGGTACCGCCACGTACAGAACACCATCTACTAACTTGGTAAGGTATTATTGCGTTGAGGTATTAAAGATAGGAGTTAAATATCAAGGAACTTCAGTCCTACTAAGTACTTACTCCGTAGCCAAGTACCCCAAGTAGATAGGATTGTCATGGATTCCTTGACCGGCACCTATTTCGGACACTCATGTTTGACGCCCAACCTTGAATTGGGTAACAATCTACATACCTAGTTAACTTAGTACCTAGGTAGGTACTATGAGTACCTTATCTATAACTATTCACTATTACTGAATAGTCAATCTGTTTCCCCACGGCATACAATTCTAGGCTCTTCTTCCTTGGCCCACCGGCCCCACCGTTTTTCTCACCGTCTACATAACTAACTACTAGATAGGTAACTAGTTATGTAGATAGTACCTTACTCTGTACTACAAGATGACGATGACGCCCAAAGTCAATTCATCAATTGTACACGTCATGATCTTCCATCAACTCGACTAAGTTCACTAGTCATAGGCTATTCTTACTCCTATTACTTAAACTGACCTAACTTTACCGCGTAGCTGGAACAGCCTATTAACTGAATGACAGAGCGCGCCTCGGCTGCGTTATCCATTATTATACATAACTACTAGGTACTCCGTAGTTACTCCATATACTCGATAGTACGGGGTATCGCCATCTACCAACTATCTCTGCGCATGACGATCTCATCAGTACGAATTAATTCCCTCATTCAACAGTCTAGTCATAATCAGAGCTTATCATCGAATAATATACTACTATAGGTACCTGCAGTGGATAACACCATCAGTTCTACTAGCCACTACTAAAAAGGTATATGAATATGATGCTCTTTAATTATTTATATTAATAGGTCAATGAATGGTTTCTCCACTAAGCCTTGGCTAGTAGCTTCATACTACTAAAGATATAAGTAGTAACTTTAATAATCTAGAGCACTAATTTATTCAAGAAGATATAGATACTTCTCTGTTCATATAAACAGCACTAAATGCTCTATGGCAATGTTATATATTAATAGAACTATCCTTTAAACTAGTAAGATATGTACTTATTATGCTATTAGCAGCTACTGGGCCATAATATAATGCCCTAGGCTTTTTAGCATGTTGATAGTATTACCCTATAATATATTCCTTCTCATGTTATCCTCTGCTGTCAATATTATATTTACCATGAGACCATCTATTAAGCATAAAACAACGTTATATCCTAACAGCTTTAATAAACAATTATTTTCTTATTGTTTCTATTCTCTTCTTCTATATTCAGAGCTAGAAAAACCATCTCCATCCATTGAAATAGTCGAGGAGATGACTGAAAGCTTTATCTAAATCCATGACTCGACGATTCGAACAGTGCATTTGTTATATATAATGAGTATTAATAACATACTTGAAGATTCAAGTACTATCATTCCCTTTGGCTAGGTGGTCACAGTAGCATCACCAGGGGTTATCCCAATTCCATAGAACAAGATGTCTTCATTGAATCGACTTGCCGAGTGACGCCTTTTTAAGACACGACTGGAATCAATTTAGCAATCAGCTATATCAGCCAGCTTGCAAGCATAACAGTGAATGGGATAGCAATAGTCCGATATTGCAATATCTGGTAAATGAAGCAATCGAGCTTGATTACATGTAGATATCTCCACAGACCGAACCTTATGTAGGATTTATACCATATGATACTCATCGATCCCGACCAGAGACCGGTCAGGCCCGAATAACGTCAGATCCCTCAATCCGTGCAAGGAGACCTCGGCAAGACTCACGGGGATGCCGTTGAGTTTCCCTGCGAGGACTGGACCAGGGATATTCCGTCCGTACTCCGAATAGTAACCCCAGTAGCACGACTAACTTTTCTCTCAGCTAATGAAAAGGCCCTATAATCCTTGTCAGAAATTGTTCAGACCCCGGAATCCAATCAACCCCCTGTACAGAACACGGGGGGTTACGGGGTGTGGGGTGAGAAGCACTTCGGTCGGATATACCGATAGAATCAGGCTACTCGTCTCCTGATCAAGATAATACGGCGTTTCAATGACTCATACCAAGTCTCGGTGTCTGTCCGAAGTCTATCTCGATACTACTTAGGTAATAGGTAGTTAACTAATAGTTAAGTAATAGTACCATATATATATATACCTAAGTGGGAGGTACGGAGTATGTATCTTATCAGATCCTCTATCTCCGCCCCGAAGCGGGGAGAAAGAGTCTAAGCCTAGAACGGAGTCCAACTCCGAGCCTAGTATAAATCATCATATCCCACTCTCTACTATATCTATCTCTCTATCTCTCTATCCCTATCTGTTTCTACTATCTTATAGATCATCTATTTCCACTATCTCTATACGGAATCTCTCTATCATTCAAAATGGGTCTTCCTCCCTCCAAACCGCCCCCGGCCCCCTTCAACCCCACCCCCGCACAACTAGAAGCAATGAACAACGAGTGGATCGAACCCTACGACGAAGCCACCGCCCCCGCCAACCTGACCTACGCTCTATACGAGCAAAAGACACGCGGCGAAGGCCAACAGGGGAGCTACTGGTTCGCCCTACCAAGCGGGTACGACGACCCTTCAAACAGGGAGAGACGCTACCCCGTTCTCGTCTGGTTGCACGGGGGTATGAAGCGGGCAAGTCAGGGCTCCGACGCGGTAGCGATGTACCTTGACGCCATGAAGGAGGGGACCATGCCCGAGACGATCATTGTGCTCCCTCAAGCGCTGCCTGTGGGATGGTACGTGAATTCGATTGATGGGAAGTTCCCCATCGAGAAGATCCTGATACAAGATTTCCTACCCCATGTGGATGGGAAGTTCCGTACGACCGGCAGGAGAGGCGCTGAAGGGTTCTCGATGGGCGGGTACGGCGCGGCGCATCTGGCGCTCACGTACCCCCATCTCTTTGCTGCTTCGTCGTCTGTGGCGCCGGCGTTGATGCTTAAGCTGGCGGACGAGCCGCGCGAGAGAGTCTGGGACACCTTCCGTGATGACCAGGGGTACTACGAGAAGAATCATCCCTTGACGCTGATTAAAGAGCAGAAGGAGGCTCTTCGCTCTTCGCAGCTGAGTGTTCGGCTGCTTTCCGGGGGGGATAACCCGGCGCTCATCGAGGTGTTTGACCTGATGAGTCGGGAGCTGACGGACGCAAATATCAAGCATATCGCAAGGCATTTCGAGGAGGCCGGCCATGAGTATGAGCGTATCCTTGCGGGCTTGGGAGATGGTGCTTATACTTTTTGGAGAGATGCGTTTCAGGTTTAACAGTGTTCCTAGTTAGTACTTAGATTCTGATAGACAATTCTTGGAGTACTATACTCTGCATATCCGAATCTATTGTAGATTTCAACTGCATAGTCAACTGTATAGTCTGTATAGTCAATTGCGAGTCTTGAACAACATAGCTATCGTCGGAGCACAACTAACCTCCGATTCGGAATACATCCCGACTCCTCGAGTCGGACAACCCCCCGTAACCAGATTCTCTGTCGTGGTTGGCCAATCCTTGGCCAATAGGGGGATCCTCCAGGATGCAGCGAGTCCAGAAAGAGTAGTGATATCCTACTGCCGATTACTCCGAAATGTTAAGAGCGATTCCTTTCGATTGCGGACGGAGAGTCCGTTCCCCGTGGGGGAACAACATGGGGTAGATCTCCACCTGGTAGTAGTTAGTAGTGGTCGCAGTACTAATATCATCTCATGACCGGCTCAGATGCAGATCAAACAACTCTCCATATCTTTCTGGATTTGTGTTTTCGCCTAATAGTTTAGCAGCTACCATGGAGAACAAGGGGAAAGAAATGGAGCACCGCGAGGTGGTGGTGAGCGGAGTTGACCAGGAAGAAACGGTGGTACATCACGATGCAGCGAACGACGACAAACGCTTCCTCGCTGCTGCAGATGCGACCTTGCGCGAAGCAGAGAGTACTTGGACGGTTCTTAAGCGGAATCCACGCATGGTGGCGGTCATGTTGGCAGTTTTGGTAGGTCGTCGACCAGAGAGAGAGAGAGAGAGAGAGAGAGAGAGAGAGATGCTGATAGAAACCATTTCTAGTTGAACGGTATCATTGTCGGTATCGAGAATAATATGGCGGGAAATATGATGGGAATCCAGGCTTTCTGTCGGCAGTTTGGTCACTGGAGTGCTGCTGATGGGGAATATGTCATTCCCCCTCATATCATTTCATTGTATTTCTTCTTCTTCTTCTTCTTCTTCTTCTTCTTTCTCACTGAATGATATGCTTATTGGACTAGGTGGAGCGCATGTTCTTCTCCATTCCAGTTGATCGGGATGGTGGCTAGCGGATACGTCGGGGACATCGTCGGCCGACGACCAGTGTTATACTCGATCATTTTGATTTCGATCTGCGGAGCGCTGATCGAGTCCTTTGTGACGACATGGCAGGGATGGCTCGGGGCAAAGATCGTGATGCTGCTCGCGACGGGCCTGATGCAGGCGGGCGTGGGGACGTACATCTCGGAGGTGGCACCGCGAGAGCTGCGCGGTGTGATGCTCTCGACGTTCAACATGTTCATGAACATGGGCAATCTGTTTGCCGTGCTCATCTCGTACGGGGCAGAGACCACCTGGTCGGACGTGATGGACGACAAGGGGTTCCGCGTCTCGCTGTACGTCTGTGTTGCCCTCCCCGTTGTCATCTGCCTGGCCGAGCTGGTGTTCCTGGTGGAATCGCCTAGCTGGCTGGTCATGCACGATCGCCATGACCAGGCCCGGAGCAGTCTGAAATGGCTCTATCCCAAGGCCAGCGAGGAGCAGTTGGGCCTGTTCATTTCTGAAATCGAATATACCCTCGCCAAGGAGAAAGAGCTGGCTGTGGAGGTAAGCATCGGTCTTTGTCCTCATCATGACTTACTGTGATCCTCACTAGGATTACTGATCAACCTCAGGCCAAAAACACTTCGTTCCTGGATTGCTTCAAGAAAACCGACGCCCGCCGCAGCTTCTGCGCCATCTTCCCTGCCCTCTCACAGCCGTTGTGTGGGAATATGCTCTGTGGACCGTACGTCACGTACTTCCTCGCCATGGTGGGCTTCACCAACAGTCTGCAAGTGACAGCCATCATTTTGTGTATGCCTCCCTTCTTTCTTGAAAATTCTCCAAGATCTAGTCCAGCTGACGTGAAAGCTATCGGCTTCGCGTGTAATATCGTGGTGTACTTCATCATCGACAACAAACGCGTCGGCCGCTGGGCCATCCTCTTCTGGGGCCTGGTGCTCATGTTCATCGGCGACATGGGCATCGGGATCGTGGGGTCGGTCAAGCCGGACGTGAAAACCAGCAACGCAGCCAGCGGGCTCGTCATCTTCTTCACCAGCGTACTGGTCTGCGGATCGGTCAGTGGTCCTGGTGCCGTGGGTTGGACGTACACGGGGGAGTCTGGGAGCATCCGGCTGCGGGCAAAGACCAACACGCTGGGAAATCTGGGCAACGCGGCGGTTTCGTGGGTGTTTGCCTCGACGATTTCGTATATCGTGACAGATATCGGCTTGAACTCTGGTAGGTTCTGGCAGCGAATGATAGTTGCACCAACGCTAATTAGTATCTAGGATACCTCTTTGCTGGCTTCGCAGCCGTCAGCGTGGTCATCACATACCTATTTATCCCCGACTTCACCGGCCGCAGTTTCGCCCAGGTGGACGAGCTGTTTTCGCGGCGAATCCCGGCGAGGAAGTTCTCCAGCACGGTGTGTACGGGTGATTATGGATATGAGTAGGAGGAGGAGGAGGAGGAGGAGGAGGAGGAGAACTCTAAGTCTATATACCATTTACACTCCAGGAGGACTACTACATATACTACCATTAAGTAAAGAACATGATATTATAAGAATTATGAATGGTTTATAAAATGTAGTATACTAATTAATTAATACAATTGGTTAAACACCCCAGTACCTGGTAGTTGAGCAAGCACTACGTACTACGTCTGCGAACACGTACTCCTTCCTATGTTCTACTCGTTTAATAATAATATATTACTGGAGAATTGCATTCACTATCCTACTAGATACATAGTCGATGGAGTCTTTCTTGACTCTTTCTTGCCCTTTTCCCCTGCCATTGGACAGCTCAAGTGTGACGGCGTGTGACGAACAACTGCCTGAACCCGCCGTCAGCCGAATCGCCGTCAAGCCAGAGTCTCCCCTGTGCATTACACTGCCACTCGCATCTGCAAGACGCCTGTCGAGTCTTCTTACGGAGTATTTGCCTGCTTATTCCTGAGTTTTTACTTGTCAACTGCTACCTGCCAACTGCTCCCGGCAGTGGACGCCCCGCAGTGGTGCGCCCATATTCCGGCGCAGCATGTCTTTATATTTGGACTCGCAGAGTCGCAGCTTTGCCGATAGGTAGGTACAGAGTACCTATTTATTTATCTCTATTTGCTATCCACGATCTACTGTCTGGTGTTTTATTTTTTATACTGATCTGTTACGTCTATGTAGCACTGTCGAGTTGTTCGTCAGGGGACATCATTGCACACACACAAACACAAATTCAGTCTCCAAAATACTAGCAATTCACAATGAGCCAAATACACTTGGATACTGCAGTCGGCAGCGATGTCCCCGGAGTGAATCGCCGGTACTCGTTCGTCGAGACGCCGCTCGAGATGCACCCGGCAGGCCGTCCGTGGAAACAGGAGCCGGTTCCTGCTCTCCCTCCCACTGCAGAACAGTCGGTACCGGCGATAGTGAGCGAAAAGGAACAGCAAATGCAACAGGAACAGACCCAGGTTCCGTCACATCAATTACATCCGGCGAATTCCGCCCCTTACGCTGAAGATCTGCAGCAGCAGCAACAGGAGTATCAACAGCATCAACAACAACAGCATCAACAACAACAGCATCAACAACAACAGCATCAACAACAACAGCATCAGCAGTATCAACAAGAATACCAACAGTATCAACAGTATCAACAGTACCAACAGTATCAACAATATCAACAGTATCAGCAGTATCAACAGCAGTATCAGCAGCACGAACAACAGGAGTGTCAGCAACACCAAGAGGGCATATCGCAGTATCCAGTACAGCAAATCCTCCCCAGCAAAGACGACAAAACATCGAGAATCGTTGCACCTGATACGAACCCGCTCGGCTCTCCGACCTCGTTGCACTTCCCCCCACCGCCGACAGCACGACATGCCGGAACGATGCCGCTAGACGACCTGACGGCGTACCATCAACCCGGCCAAGTTTCCCATCCGAACCAAGAGATCAAGGGCGGCACATGGAGCCATGGCCTGTGTGACTGCTCGGATATCGGGACCTGCTGCCTGGGAGTCGTCTGTCCGTGTGTTCTCTACGGCAAGACGCAGTACCGCCTCTCGCTCAAATCGAGAAAGGAGAGCCCGACCAACATGTTGGGCTACGAGTCGTGCAACGGCTCTTGTACGGCCATGGCTGTTTTGTGTGGCTGCCAATGTAAGCTTTTGCCTTTCCCTTCCGCTACTTTCCTTCTTCTTATTGATTATCAAGGGTTCCTGGCTACCATCCAACATACCCGTACGCGAAAAGCATACGGCATCCAAGGCGACATCGCATCCGACTGCGTCCGGGCTACGTGCTGCACCTGCTGCATCCTCATCCAGGATGAAAAGGAGATCAAAAAGCGCGAGGAGGAGCGAGAAAGAACCGTCCGCTCAGTGGGCGCGAATTTGGTATCCCCGTATACGCCAACATCCCCAATGGTATACCCGATCTCGAATGTAGAATAATATCTTCTTCTTCTTCTTCTTCTTTTCTTCTCTTGATACCCTTTGGCTTGTGTTGAACTGTATAGAATGATACAATGTACATACTGAGATATAATACTTGAGAGAATAATGAGCTCATTGCCTAGATGATTACCTAGGTAGATATTCTAAGGATAGAGACATTGTACAAGTCATATAGAACTACTCGAGACCATTGAAATCCAAAGATATTCTCTTTTAAGATTCATCGTCGAGGCCAAGATCTTTCTGCCATATCATCACATAACCACAGCCTCATTCACCACACTAAAATAATCATTGATTCAACAGAAACCAATCCAATTGAAGAATATATTTTATAAACTCAAAAAATAAAAACCAAGTCGCCTGGCGTTCAAGACTCCAGTATTGTCGTGGTCTGGCGGATCTGGATAATCTTTCCCACCGCAGAACAACGACGCCTTCACCTCCGCCTCCTCTCTCTCTCTCTCTCTCTCTCTCTCTTCATCCTCGGCCATCAATCGCTCCACTGGTCGCTTCTCCTCCCTTGCCTACACTCGCTATTCCTCTCTCGCTAGTTATCGACTATCCCTCGCTGATCTCATCGTCCCTATCCATCGGCAAGATCTGCGTGTTCCGACGTCGTTGTTTGTTCGAACTCTCCGACCGCTCGTTCCTTCAGGCTTCTCACGCAAAAAAAAAAAAAAACAAAAAAACAAAACGATCGCGAACACAACCACGATGAGTTTGAGGAGGGTCTGCTGAAATCGAGCCTTATCAATAGTGTTAGCAGAAGGCTATATGATCGACTTCGGACGGTGTAGGGCATTGTCTCATCACCATGGAGGCTGCAGCGCATATCACCCCCCGCCAGATCTGGGCGCAGCCGACGACGACGACCTCCAAGACTTACTCGACTGGCTGTACACCAATTGTTCTTCCTACCCATGGTGTGTATACTATTCCATGCTTGATTTTTTTGCAAAATGCCTTCATATGCTGATCAGCCAGCACGCGTCTATTTGAACCGTTCCTACATCATCACCCTGTCCGAGAATGCCATCTATGAGCCCATCTGTACCGGTCAGGTCAGTCTGAGTCATGCCTCGGCCGTGCTCGATACCCGCGACCCCTTCTACTCGTCGGTCACGCCGCAGCTGTACACGATCGGGTGCGCGACGGTGATCAGCTACCTGCTGGTGATCATCCTGCTCATCACCCCGCGGACCTTCTATGTCGGTGGGCCGGGCGGAGGGGCGAATTTCCTCGGCCGTCGCGGCATGATGAGCGGGTCGTATAGCGGTAACTCGTCCGTCGTGGGCGTCGGCGGCCGCCCGTGGCTGCAGAAGGTCGCCGCCATCATGGTCGCCATCTCACTCACCATCGCCTCGGTGGATTCGTTCCGCGTCGCGGAGAGACAGTACAACTACGGATACTCGGACGCCGAGGCGCTGACCGAGGAGGTCACCGACGGCATGGAGAGCCGCATTGTCCTGGTCATCTCGAGCACGTTTTTGTGGCTGGCCCAGGTGCAGACCCTGATCCGCCTGTTCCCGCGCCACAAGGAAAAGGTCATGATCAAATGGGCGGGCTTCGCCCTCATCGTCCTCGACACCATCTTTAGCTCACTGAACAATTTCCTGCTCAAAAGCGACACCACCCGCCCCAGGCTATACGACGATGCGATCCCGGCGCTCAGCTACCTCTTCGAGCTGGCCCTGAACCTGCTCTACGCCGCCTGGGTCATCTTCTACTCCCTGTCCAAACATCGCTTCGCCTTCTTCCATCCCAAGATGCGGAACATCTGTCTGGTCGCCCTGCTTTCCCTGTGTGCCATCTTCATCCCCGTCGTCTTCTTCGTCCTCGACATCTCCCAGCCCTCCGTCGCCGGCTGGGGTACCTACGTCCGATGGGTCGGCTCCGCCGCCGCCAGCGTTGTCGTGTGGGAGTGGGTCGAGCGTATCGAGGCTCTGGAACGCGACGAACGCAAGGACGGCATTCTCGGCCGCGAGGTCTTCGATGGCGATGAAATGCTCGAGGTCACCCCCTCGGAGGAGGTCGACTGGCCACGCCAGCAGCAACCCTTGAACGGCGGTCCGAAACGTGGGCCCGGCTCCGGTCCTGGCACCTCCTCCGGCTGGGGGAACATCATCGGCCTCGCTCATCGGCCCCTGCGGACCCGCCGGGGTGGTAGCGGCGTTGGCGGCGTTGGCGGTGTCATGCGAAGGCACAGAACAATGCTAGCAGACCGTCGCAACCATCTGGCCCTCGGTAGAGCCATGGCACGCCAGACGCCACCCCCACCGACGGTCACGCCCATCAGTCGAGTCGAGACGACCAGTGCGGCTAGCACGGTCTACCAGGTGCGCCATCACACTCTATCTAGTCCGTCGCCGCCGGTTCCAATGCCACAAATGGAGGAGGAGCAGCGAGCAATGAGTGGTGAGGAAGATCCCAAGGAAGGATTGGCCGCGGTCGAAGAGGCTCCGGCCGACAATCCCTCCGACGACCTCATTGTAGCTATACAACAACAACAACAACAACAACAACAACAGCTGCTGCTGCAGCAGATTGTTCCAGACCGCACATCACCTCTCCATACAAGTATCATACACACGCAAAAGCCTCGCTGGCGGTCCATGCTTGCCCACTTCCGCCGCCGCCGCACCTCGTTGCCCCGCGAGGTGGCGTCAGCGCAGGTCGAAGGCGACCAATTGTCATGCCTGTCTTTCAAGGAGGTCGACGATTCCGACGGAGAGGATGAGACTTCCTCCTCCCCCGCGCTGGTGACGGATCGACCGTCGCGGACCGAGCATCTCCCGACGTTCCAACTCGGGCGACGTCCCGGATGGGGACGACCGAGCGGCGGCGATGCCTCACTGCCCGTGACGATCATTCCCGCGCGACGGCAGGGCCAACAACAAGCCTGGTCGCCCCAGCTGTTTGACGGGCCGGGGCTACGTGATGACCCGTCACCCAACAGCCGGCGTCGGCCCGACAGCGCGTCCAGCGACCCTTCCAACGACTGTTCCGCCGCGCACCCCCATCTCCCTGTCCGGGTCATCCCCGCGCAATCATCCCAGACGGCAGTCCCCTGGACGGTTCCCGGCGGTGGTGAGACGCTCGAGTCTCCCGACAGTCCTGGCCACCTTGCTGGCCAACAGCTCCGGTACGATCCCGAGACCGCTGCGCTGGTAGGACCTGGCCTGGAGGCTCGGCCTGACCAGCAGGATACCCAGGCCGGCACCACGTCTTCTTGATCACCGGCATCTTTTCTCTCTCTCTCTCCCTCTCAATTTCCATTCACTCTCTTTTTTTTCTGTCGAGCGTGGAGTCCTGGCGGTATTCTTGGAGAAGGGTTGCGATTTCTTGGTCTATAGGACTGCCATACATTTATAATGTCATTGGACATTTCTGTGCATTTTTTGGATATCTTGAAATATTTTTTTTGGACATTTTTGGACATTTTCTTTGGCGGTTTTTGCATTTTTTTTTCTTTTCTCTCTAATACAGTTGAGGCCGATTGATCTTCACATACAGCAGCAGATATGAGATACCCGTCAATTCCATCATTTCAATTACTCTATGAGATATCTTTTTTGGACTATATAAATACAACAATGCTACTAATATATTTATCCCTGCTGGTTGGCTTAAATCCTATGGTTGAAGTGGTCCGCGTCGTCTCCCGGACCTCCATTAGCTGCTTCACATCACCAACTCTCCGAGACGATTTCTCCACCTCACCATCCTCTCACGATAGAGCCCATGCAGCGGTGCTTGACTCATGTCGACGTCGCATCATGGCGGCCGTCAACATGAACATGTTCGAGGCGAAGATTGTCACCGACAATCCGTCTGCCTCGCGCCCCTCGCTGATGGTACTGCCGCTGAACCTGATTGCCGGCATTGTGTCGCACGTGAGGCTGACCTTGGATCTTTTATCAACAGTGTGCTAATGAATAATCTTTCTTTTTTTTTTTCAGGTCGACAAAGCAAGCGATCTCTCGAGCCTATGTCAAACATGCCGCGTACTCAACTACATGGCGCTGCCGCAGCTGTACAAGAGCCTGACGTTGACCTCGTATGACAAGATCCGATACCGCGGAGACGAACCGGAGGGCTGGGGGAGTGCGAGCCCGTTCTCAATGGGGTTGAATGCGCTCATCACACGGCCGTATGCGTCGCTGGTGCGCTCGCTGACGCTCCGGGGGGAATGGCGCGAGCATGAGATCGAGGAGCACGGCCGCGTGGGCCGCGTGCCGGACTCGTCGATGATGCTGAACATTGCGGTGCGGGCGGCGATCGACCGGATGCCTGCGTTGGAGAGCTTCAGCTGGGAGCTCAACACCAAGATGCTGGAGACGGTGTACATTGGCCTCGCGCAGCGGCCGAAACTCACCTCGCTGACCATCCGGTTTCCCTCGAACCGCCACCCGCGCCCGACGACCGTCATCCCCGCCATGCCGCATCTGCGCTGCCTCAAGGTCACCGACATCGATCCGCTGTGCTACCCGGATGACATCTCGACGCTGCTGCTGGACAGCCGCAAGCTGCGGGAGCTGAAGATGCACTGGTCCCCACGCATGCGAAACGCCCAGGAGCCCAGCGTCGTGCTGCACGACTACTTCCGCAAGTGCATCGCGGCCAAGCAGCCGCTCAAAATCACCCGCCTCGCCTTCCAGAACCTCTACGCCCGCCACGTTGCGGACGCCCACTTCGCCTTCGACCAGGCCGTGCTCCAGGAGGTCACCATGCTCAATGATGCCGGCGGCACCGAGTTCTCCTTCATTGACAACAGCTGGCCCGCCGTGCCCCCGCCGCCGAACGCATGCCTCAAGACCGTCCGCAGTGATGTCCTGTCCAAGCGGCATTGTGATTTCCTTTCCCTTTACCCGGGCCTCGAGAACTTGTACTGCGTCAGCTCGGATCGCGATCCCGCCGAGCAGATCAACAATCCGCGACGTCCCACCGCCACCTCCTCGGCGATCCTGACACCTCCGATCAATGAATCGATCCTCCCGATCACGAATCTTACCACCACCACCAATGGCAGCTCTACTCCCACTACCACTACCGAGGGAAAATCACCCACTCCGTCACCGGCTACTACCTCCCCGCAGTTCTCCCTCACCCTGCGGGATAGCTACCTGAATACGATTTTCACCCACCACGGCCCCAGATTGCGCCGCTTACTTTTACCCTCGCGCTGGCCTCTGCCCGCCACAAGCATCGCCCGGCTGGCACATACCTGTCCGCACCTGGAACAGCTGGCCCTGGCCGCCGACGTGACGGGCGTTGACCAGCTGGCAGTCCTGTTACCTTTCTTCCGCAACCTGGTAGCATTGCGTCTACTGATTCCTACGGGGCCCTCGGGAGTATCGTCTGGGCAGCTATCAACAGGCGCACCCCCTCTCCGACAACTGTGCGGCTCCATCCGAACGCTGGCCGAACTGGTCGAGCAGGACGATGAGTTCCTGACGGAGAAGCTCAGCCTCGCGTTTGCCGATAGAAATATCTACAGGACCCTGCGGATTGTAGGGATGGGCTCCAAAGCATGGGAGTTGCAGGAGTTTTACCAAGTGCCTGCTCCGAGCCAGGCATCGGACCGGGAACTTCAATCCGAATCCCAATCCGAATCTCAAATCGAGTCTCCAGAAAAACCACCACCTAACCAACGCCCGCGAGGCAGTCCTCCGTCCGTGCTCGGCAAAAGGGCCCGAGACCGCGAATCCGAACCACCGCGCGGAAGCAGAGGGGACGAGAAGAACTGTCTCCCTGCGTTGAGCGTCTTGGCGGATGCGTCGTGGCGGCGGCGGTTGCGGCGGGTGGGCTGGGAAGTATTGAAGAACTGGGAGGTATGGGCATTAGATACGCAGGAGATATAGATCATACAGAGTACACTACACTACACTATACAGAGTATACTAGTGAAGGTGACAGAGGAGTCTACTTTTGATTTGCAAACCCTAGCCGCGGACCTCCCTGGCTCCCTGCATCAAAAACCACATACTGCGACTTGAGAAAGACGTCGCCGAAGATGTTGATATCGACGAGTCCCGAGGCGGCCTGGATCCCGCCAAAACACAGATTACTCACACTCCCCACGGGGGCATAGTTGATCAACTCCCCCGGCACGGTGACGGAGTGGTTGCCCGCGACAACGAGGGTGAAGGGGGTAAGTTTCGAGTCGCATGGGAAGACGTAGCCGCCGTGGAGGGGTGAATCCTGTGCTCCCGACACGTTTGCGTAGTACCTGCTCACGGTATCGGAGGGGAGCAGTATCAGGGTTGTCCCGGTGTCTGCCATCAGTATTGCCAATGCTATAGTGTTTATGATGAGTCTTACCTGCAATTCCAGTAAGAGAGGTAGAGATCTGGTCATCCCCGAATGCGTACGCATCCGCCGTGAAGGTCCAGTATCCCCGTGAGGAATCGACATCCACGTACGTCAACGGCCCTGTATATTTGTTCTCATCGATGAATCCGAAATCGTACGTTCCCGGTGCGCCGTGTTTTAGCGAGGTCGCTATAACGGGCAGATCGAGCTGGCTTTTCACGTTGTCGAAGAAGGTGGATTGTTTCTGGGGCTTCACTAAGCAAGCAGTAAGCAGTAAGAAACAAAAGACTTGGAGTGAGATGCTAGGGCTAGGTTGGTACCCATATTGAGAGTGCTAAAAGCAAGGCCTAAAAGTCCATCGGAATGCGCATCTCTCTCAAACTCGGCGCTCAACGTCGCCGCGGCTTCAACAGCTTGCATCGTGGCGGTCAACCCGCCCACCACGACGGTGTCGGCGAAGACATCCCCGCCGGCGGAGCTGCCGTCGCCGTATAAGATCTCCCAGCTCGATCCAGGGAGTAGCTTCGAGTCGGTGGTGGCGTAGACTGCGTGGCCGGTCTGTTCGTCGGTGGGGAGTTCATCTGAATAGACCCATCTAGCCTGTTAGTAAGAGAAAGGAAACAGTGTAGCAGGTATATATCAGGAAGAATCTGACGCTTACAGATCTGCAGATCCCGTGTCAAAGTCAAGGTGAAAAGTCACATTCCCAATCGTCACCGGCGTCAAGTACTCGAGGTCGTTTGCCTCGGGGCTCGTCACGGCCGTTCCATTCAGCGCGGCGGCCTTGAGCTGCGCCGAGACCTCCCCCCCGTATCTGGAGAGGGTGTTGGCGTACTGGGCTGCGAGATTAATGGGTTGGGATGGTCGAGATGCCTGGCTGACGCTGAAGGAGAGAGACGGGGGTTGGGTGGGGAGAGAAGAGGCAAGAGAGGAGAGAGCCAGCAGAGCCAGCATGATGAACATTGATGTGATGATGACAGTATACAAGATAGTATAAAGTGTACAGTGAGATGTACCTGGTCTACGTTCCTCTAGTCTACTGAATTTTCCTCTCCCTCTATATATATTTCTATTTATATTGCCAAGCCGTTTATCAACCGTATAACCTTCCATTGCCAGAGTCACACCATGATATTTGCTGAGAGATGGCCTGGAGAGTTTCCTGGGCTGTGTAGCCATGGTTCAAGCCATGCCTTACACATGGTAATGCAGAGTAAGTATTGAGTTATAATTTATACCTGGGTTAATATATACAGGGTATATAACATGATTCGTCAAAAAGAAGGAGAATCCATCATCATCTCATTGCCATCATACTGCTCGTTCAGGAGCACCTCCAACATGTCAAACTCGCCGACCATAGGCCCTGTACCCCCTAATCCCTGGTCCACGACGGCCGTCGAGCTGTTGAAAAACTGGTCCAACGGCAGGGCGAACCAGTCCGGGATGGCCGTGCCGTCGTTGTTCACCGACGGGAGATTATCAGCAGGGTTCCCGTTGCTGCTGCCGTTACTATTGTTGTTATTATTATTATTATTGTTGTTGCTGTTGCTGTTGCTGTTACTACTGTTGTTGTTGTTATTGTTGTTGCTGTTGAGTTCCGGTGAATTCTCGTAGTAGTGGTAGTACGCCGAAAGGGGCGGCGGCATGAAGGAGACGCTGATGTTGGACGAGTTGATCGGCTGCGCAGGGATGCTCGCCAGAGGGTCCGTCGCTGACGTGTTATTGTCGATGTAGCCCAGGTTTGCCTGTTGTTGCTGCTGCTGCTGCTGCTGTTGCTGTTGCTGTTGCTGTTGTTGCTGTTGCTGTTGCTGTTGTTGCTGCTGCTGCGGCTGCTGTTGGTGATGTGACGGCAGTGGCGGCGGTGGTTGTGGTGGCTGCGGATGTGACTGCTGCGGCTGCTGGTGCCAGTGCTGGCTGCTGGCCATCTCACGGCCACGCAGACAAGGCGACTGCAGGCGAGAAACAGGGGCCGAAGGCCGCTCCTGGGCCTCACCGTCGCCCGCCCGGTCGTGCGGTGCGAAGCGCAGGAAGCGCGTGCGGATGCTCGAAGTCAGCAGTTCAAGCAGTCGGGCAATCGTGTGGCTCAGGTGGACGTCGTCGACGACGTTGGTGCGCAAAGCGTCCACAACTCGGTCTTGGAGGTCGAGCGAGACGCGTACGTCGTCTTCCTTCGCGCCAAGGGTGAATGTCTGCGTTCATTGTAAGCACATAACAACCCGATCAAATTATATGTTGAGGGGGCTACCTTGAGAATGAATATCATCCCCGACAGGATCCGAAAACAAGTCCGCACAGGCGCATGCTTGAGATGATCCCCCGGAACCAAGCCCTCTAGAACAGTCTGCAGAATCTTGCGGGATGCGTCCACCACCTCCTGGATATATGGCTCGTTCACACGGTACAGCTCCATCAGCACGCGGAACCAGCCCGAGCCCGAGTTTGGACCAGAGCCCGGTCGCCCGTTCTGCACCTGCGCGGTGGCCGCCTCGTTGGACATGGTCGTCCACCGGTCGACAACAGCCTGGAGGGCCAGCGAGTTGACATAGAGGCGCGTGTATTCATATTCGATCATGAGAATGCTACGCATGGGGGGGCACACTGGAAAAAGCAAGGTCAAAATCATACACAACAAGTAATGCCAGGGGTCCAACTTACAGGTCGTATTGTCGATCAACTGCCGCCATTCACGTAGAAAGGGAAGGAAACGGTCGATCTGCTCCCGATAGCGTCCGCTGCGAATGAGCTCCGAGGTCTGCTCGTTCGAGGCAAACAGCAGCTGGTTGCTCTGGTACATGATCTTGGAAATGCCAATCCAGCAGTCATGCATGCGGTCAACGGAGACATCGCCCGCGGCCTTGGCGTCAGTGACCACGGTGGGCTGGATATCCGGCCCCCATTGTGGCAGTGGTAGCATGGAGGGAATCCCCAGCCGCCCACTGCTCTGCGTGATGTAGACGAGGATCAATCGGCGGAGGCGTCGTTTGCGCGTCTGCTCCGCGGGCGTCTCGTTGACCGTCCTACTCTCGCTCTTCGAGTCGAACACTCCTAGCTCAAAGGCTAGCGCCTGTGCTGTGCTCAGCAGCATCCATGACATCCGGTCTGATCGCCACGCGGGCTCCAGCCATTTTTGGAACGCCAGCCGGCCCTCACTCGTCGACGCCCCCCGGTTGGCGGCTGTATGGTCACCGGTGTCCGCTGCGTCCATCTCCCGGTCAGTGGTACGTGTCGTGTGTGGCGGCGCGGGAATATGTGCGTCCATGTCGAGCAGGGTGTTCTCGTCGTCACCTGGAGGGAAGTGCAGGTTCCGTGGGTGCCAGTCTGTGAGCAGCAGGAGGGCCTCGACAGTGCCCAGCGAGCGCAGGTTGCCTTTGTAGATGCCACCGCCTGCCGTGGGCGCCAGGTCAATGAAGCGCGGCTTACTGGCACCTGAGCCGCTGGGACCGAACTTCTCCTGGCCCCAGAAGAGCCGCTCGATCATGCCGCGCAGATAAGACCACAGCCGGTCGTGAATATAGTAGGAGCGCGTGTAGGCACCCTCCCCCTTGGGTTTGACGTGTCGCGACGCCGTGGTCAGAATGGTCACGGCGAGAACAGGTTCGTCGGTCAGCAAGGTGCGATGCGTTGCCGGCTGTGAGAAATCAGGGATGACGATGGGACTGAGGGGAGCGAGATGGTCGTAGTAGCTATCATAATGAGCAGACCGTTCAAAAGCATCGAGAGAGAGAGAGAGAGAGAGAGCATACTATTTCACATAGGTCATGGCTTCTTCAACCGTTAACCAGCCTGCACGAACAAACCGAAGTCGTGACCACGCCTTGACAGCGTCGACGTATCCCGGGTCCTGGAAACTAGCAGAACCGCCTGTCTGGCCACGATGGTCGGAAATCTGAGGATCGACGGGCCCCGTATCCGCATTATTCCCAGTCACACTTGTACCAGAAGCAGGGCCAGAACCACCAGCACTGGCACTGGCACTGGCACTGGCACCCTGATAGTAACCCCCTCGTGACGTCGTGCGCGAGTATAGCCCTGAAGTACTGCGTGGTGTGCCCGCCTGAGTCATGGTGGACATGGGGGAGTTGAACGAGGAGACTGTCGGCTGGTGGTGGCGCGCTGCGGCAGCAGCGTACACTCGATTCTCCAGACTCTGTCGATTGAGGTCCTCGGTTCGACCCGCCGCTTCCGAGAGTAGATGCAGGGCATCATGGCTATTGCTGATGGCCGGGGAGAGCAGCTCGACAGCCGTACGGTTCATCATTGCATGACCTCCTCCGTCAAGACCGTAGTTGACCACACCACCACCACCACCACCGCCACCTTGCCCGTTATATATCGATGCTCGCATGGCACTTGTTTCTTGTTGGATCGGCGCTGTAGAAACCGTATTCACTGATGGATCATTCATCGATCCCGACGCAGTAGAGCCGGTATGCTTCGGGTAGGAGTGGGAGCGGTGCAGATGGCTCGCGATGGAGGGCGCATCGGCCCATTTGCCATTCTCATCAGGATTATTTCCCTTGTCGCTCTCATCGTCCCCAACTTCGCCGACCATCACCCTCTTATCGCGGATCAGGACGCCCTCGACAGTCTCCTCGGCGGAGAGGGAGGGCTTGCGCTTGCGTCTTGTGGCAGAGAACTCGCATCGTTTACTCTCGCGGCGGCACCGGACACAGGGGGGGGGTCTAGGATTATCAACGCCTGGAAATCCATCAGTATCGATATTGCAAAATAGAGAACTATAATTCCATCGTACTCCCTAGATCGCATTTCACTTTCCGCTTGCGACACGGATCGCAGGCCTGGTATCCGCGGCGGTGCTGGGCGGGGGGCGAGGGGGACTTCTGGATCTCAGAGCCAAACAGCGAGGAGGACGAGTCAGGGCGGGCAGAGGTGCTGGCGGCGCTCTGGAGAGCCATCGCTCATGACGCTTCGCCGAGGAAATCGGATTTGATTTCGTTTGCCTCTGTTGAGAGAGTTGAAAAGGGCCGATGCAAGGCGAGCCGTCAGAAAGCGGTGGGTGGGGGGGGGGGTTATTAATATTGATATTCTGATAGGGATCCCTGTGAACCAGGATTAATTATTATTAGAATGACAATAATTATAGGTTTATTGGATGGAATGTCAGGTTTAGAAGAAGAATGCGGGGTGATTTAAAGGAGAAGAAAGGGAGAGAATAAAAATGCTTATTATCTGTATCTGGGTAGATTATGTCTTGATGATACGAATTATATTGACAGTTACTGTACAGCATATATATACAATAGGAGAGAAGGATTAAACCGCCTGAGGATGGGCAATGGCTTTGTCCCGCGTGTCTTGTAGAAGAAGAGACTGTCTCACAGACTGCCCCGATTGTCCAGAGACGACACTGTCATCGCTATCCCGTCGGGACCGGGACAGCAGGCTCGGGGTCAAACGACCAGGGAGGAGGCCTCGAATCCCCCCGGCTTTTCGCGCGGGCAGCTCGGCGGTGCCCGCGGTGAGAACGTAGAGCAAGTATTTCAGGTTGGGCAGGGTGTGACGGATGTCGAGCACGCGCAGGCCGTGCGAGTTGAGGAGGAACTCGATGTCCTTGTTGAGCAGGAAGACCGCGTACTCGAAGCGGTACTGCACGCTGACGGGGTACAGCGGGTAGGTGCGCTGCGGCAGCGCCAGCGACACCGGGTCCTGGATCAGCGAGGTCGAGAGGTGCGGGTTGACCGGGTATGGCAGGGGGATCGACAGGTAGAACGACAGCAGGTAGACGAGATGCGCGGCCGCCCCGAGAGCAGCGGCGACGGTCTCCCGGTCGAGGCGGTCGTCGAAACTCGAGTTCGGCAGCGCGTGGCCCGCAATCGTGAACGCCAGCGGCTTGTTGGCGATGGGCTCGATCGGGTAGATCTCCAGCAGGTCCTCTGCAATCCGTCGGATCTGCCCCTTGGTCTCGTCCGTCGTCTGGGCGAGCAGTGTCTGATTCGAGACCAGGTTGTCCTGCGCCTCGGGAAGGTGGCTGCGAGCTCGGTCTTGGGCGTCACGGCCGTGGCTCATCGCTGCCTTGCGGGCACCGATGCTGGCGGTCAGCTCGTCGCGGCGCTTGACGGTCGCGCGCACATGTCGTCGCTCGGTAGCGATCGCATGCCTGGTGAGTGCGAGCCTGTCCTGGGCCTTGGACACGTCGCTGGTCGACTTGACCGCCCGCTGGTTATGCTCGAGGATCGCACTGATCTGGGCTTCCAGCTTCTCGCGCGTTGCCACGGCGTCCTGCACGCATTCATCGAGAGTCGCCAGCCGCATCAACGCATCGTACGACGAGGTCGACTGCACCACCCCTCTGTCCGAAGACACCGTCACCGGTCGGCGGGTGGGCAGCGGTAGTGGCGACCATGTTGGCGGCGTAGATGTGAGATTGGCATAAACTCCATCCGGAAAGTGGAACAGGACCGAGTTCGCCGGCAACGGCTGGTGGAAGCTGTCCAGCGAGCGCCCAAGAAACTGCAGTGACCGCAGGTGCAGCTGCAGGTCAAGAAGCAGTATATACTCAGCCATCCCCACTGTCTTCGCCCATAGTCGCAGCGTCAGATGGTCCTGCCGTGACACTCGTGGTCCGCAGATGTTCAGGTCGAAGAAGCGGAAGCTCGGGTTGGTGGTCATCGGCGTGACCTCGCTGATATACACAGGCTCATCATCCTCCCCATCACCGTGCAGCGAGAACCAGGTGTCTGCCATACGACTCTTCATGATATCCTCCAGCTTCACCCGTCTCGTCAAGGGATCCGGCTCATTCCATGGCAGGGTACTTCGACGTCGTCGTGCCTGCGTTGATGCTGATGACGACGGTGGTGGTGGTAGTGGTTGTGGTGGTGGTTGTGGCTGGTCCTCGCGAGGTTGACCCTGACCCTCCCCCCATGCCATGGCAGCCAAATCTGTAAACGACCGCGAGTGATGAGCCCCTCGGGCCTCTTTCTGCGCCAGCAGCTTCGCCGGTGACTGCATTGTGTTGGGGATATCATCATCGTCGATGGTCTTGCCGCGGACCCGGCTGGGGGGAGGGGTGACGACGAGGTTGCGCACGGAAACACCGTGCAGATGGCGTAACCGACGAGTCTAACAATAAATCCCCATCAGTATCACGTTCATTCCTCCAATTTGGAATCCCTGAAAGCAATTGCCCACCGCAGGAAATAGCCATGGCCTCTCGGGACGACTGCCCCCGTCGTCCGTGTCGTGGATGGGAGGCATTGGCGTCACTGAATCATAACCCGGAAACAGCGAGGTTTGTAGTAACTCTACCGGTAATAATAAAATCCAGTCGCTCACACACGCTGCACAGGAGAAGTCCTGGTGAACAGGCAATGAGGTTGAGAAGAGTGTCGTTGTTGGACTCGTTCCCGATCGGGTCAAGGCAAGTTTCTCCGACTGAAATTCTCCGAACAACTTGAGGTGAGACGCTGGACAACCTGCACCACGCACCACGCACCACGCACCACGCCAATAACCCACGGCAGAGCAGCGACACAGGCAGGACATTCCTGGATTGAATGTCCGGTTGAGTTGGAATCCTTTCTGTGAAGCACGACCCTGCGGAGTCGACGCCATGTCGACGTCGAAACGCCTGACGAAGGTCCTCGACCCGACCAAGATCGGAACCTGGAGACTGGTGCGACGGCCGCCGATTGAGAACCACACGGTGATTCAGGGGAAGCCGCGGGAGCAAAACTCGAATGCCTTCAAGCAGCATCAGGTGCAGGAGGGAGTGCGGCTACGCAAGGCGTTGAACTCCCTCACCCACGGCAAGAACATCTTTGTCTATCACAACATTCGAACGAACCAGGTTGTCTACTCGCTGACGCGATACTTGGAGGTACGTGAAAGAAAGGGAGAAGAAGGTTATGGGAAGGATTTCTAAGAGCTCTTTCTAACACAATCTGGTGTAGAAGGATAATGCGTTGAAACAACTCGTCTTCCACGGCAAGAAGACCGTGCCCGCGACCCTCCGCAAAGACATGTGGGTGCCATACTACTCGGTGCACTTCCAAGACAAGCAGATCGGTCTACGAGCGTACCATCTGCTGCGGGAGTTTGCCCTGCAGCGGCAGCTGAGCCCGCCGCGGGAGATGATTACGATCACGGACTCGTGGCTGTCGCAGAGACGGCCCCGCGACCCCGTGCAGGCCAAGGAGTTTGACGACAAGTACGCCACCAAGCGCGGCTGGCTGATGGAGAAGAAGGACCGGGCCCGCGCCCTGATGGACCAGAAGGCCACCAGCGTCGCCGACGTGGCCGCCGTGCTGGCCATCCAGGAGGAGGAGATCGCCAACGGCTTCGCGGACGGGAAGAGAGGCTACCTCACCCGCCGGGCGCGCCAGCGCCGTCGTGAAGCCCGCGCCAAGGAAGAGGAAAAGACCGCCGAGCGGGCAGAGCGCATCGCCCGCTTCGCGACCCTGCTCAGCGACCCGGGCTTGGAGGTGAAGATCGAGGAGCAGGCGGCCGAGGGCGACGCCTTCCTCCTCGCCGAGAACGACGTCAAGATCCTCTGGATGGATCTGCAGGACGCCCGCTTTGCTGAGACGTGGCCCACGCGTGTCCAGCACGGCGAGCTCGATCAGTCCTACGACCACGTCATCTCGGGCCAGAAGGCTCTCGAGGGAGCAGGCGAGCTTCTGGCGCAGGGCGTCTTCCAGGAGAAAAACATGACGGAGAATACCAAGTCGGCATAGTTTAGATTGTATTCTATTGTACTTTTATTCTTATATCTATTTCATTTGAAAAAAAAAAAAAAAAAAAAGAACAGTCCTACTATTCCCCTGATCGTGAACTTTCAACATGTACAACTTGCCAGTCATGGCATTGGGCTCATTTTCTTTTCGAATACAGGTTAAAGAGGAGAATGATGCCGAATTCCGCAAATCGAAGAAGAACTAGAGAATATAATACGACAACTCCATATCCACTGATCCAGTCCAGCTAGTCCCGTCGCTTTAATCTAGTGGCTCAACACAGTCATGTCTTTCCCTGTCTTATCCTCTTAGCTAGTCTTGGGATCTGGCTCCTCGATAGCAAACTCAGGCCCCGACTCCTCGGCGGTAGCCTTCTCTACCATCTCGGAGCGGACTCGCTGGTCGTCCGCCACCACCGCGCCGTCCGTGAGCTCCGGGTGCGCCATGCTCTTGCGCGCCCCCTCGAGGATCTTGTCCGCCTCGCTGACCCCGACCCCATGCGTAGGCCGCATGGCTGGATCCCCGTCGACGCCGATTGGGTCCACCGCACGCTCAACCACCTCCTTGACGCGCATCGAGTCAAACCGGATCACCATGCACGACAGGTTGTCTGTGCTGAACCGCGCAAGGGCATAGTCGACCAGCATTTTTGACGCTTCCTGGGCGTCGGTCACGTTGCGTATGAGATCTACCGCTTCCTGGTCATTGCACACATCCCATAGCTAGATTAGAAGATTAGTACATATACACTTATGAAGAAGAAGAAGAAGAAGAAGAAGAAGAAAACTCACCCCATCACATGCCAATATTAGAAATTCATCAGCTTCAGGTTGGATAACAGTCTCAGTGGTATATGGGTGCCCCGTCACCAGGTCCTTCAGGTACGCATCACCCAAGGCACGGGTCACGGCCAGGACGCCGTTGACGCGGTTGTTGAGGATCAAGCCGCCTGCATTGGCAATGCGTTTCCCCTCGTTCTCATCACTGCCCTTGTGGTCGTACGATAGACGGAGGGCCTTGCCGTTCCGACATAGGATAATCCGGGCGTCGCCGACATTGGCCGTATACAGAACACGCTGCCGAAGAGCCTTCTCTTGAAGCTTGGGCAGCACCGAAGGGGCAACCGGCACGGCTGTTGTTTGGGTCGGGGTCTCGCTGGCGGCTTCGTCTGCGTCTGCTTTCGAGGCTGATGCAGATGCCGCCGCTGCCGCCGGGGCGAGGGCAGCCGAGCCCGTGACGGAATGCGAACTGGGCACGCGGTCCTCCCAGCGGAGGACCGCGATGACTGCCGTACACCCGCTGTTCTTCAGGGGCAATTTTTCTAACTGTTGGTCGACACTGGTGAATGTCTGGTCGAGAAGCTCCGGAACAGGGGTATTGGGATTCTTCTTCATCACATCCTCCAGGATGAGGTGCAACTTCTTCCCGCACCATTCCGCCGCGAAGGTGCCCGCGTGTCCATCGAAGATGGCAAAATACCCGTTATCGGTCTCGAGGACACTGGTGCTGCTTTCGCTCGCCGCACTTTGTGAAGCATTGGTCGGGCTGACCGGCTCTCTCCCGTTCAGAGGGGGGGAACCACTGGCGGATGCCGCCGCGGCGGGCGCGGGAGTGCCGAGAAAATTGTACAGATAGGCATGGGTGTCCTCCATCGTACGGCGACATTTCCGATTCCGATCTTCGGTGACACCGACTCGAAAGGAGGAACGGGGCGTAGGGTGTGACTCGCCAGCAGAGTTGTTCAACGAGCCCTGGGGCACACTCAGAGCGGGGTCCATCCTGCCCAGCTTCTGCATCTGGGACTGTGGGAAATGCGATCCGCTGTTCGTAGGCGACTCGCGGGCGCTGTTGAGGGCCAGGGAGTTTTTGGCACTGCTGAACAGGGAAGCCGCCTTGGTCACGGTGCTGCTTCGGCGCTTCTTCTCCCCACCCGAGCTCTGGTCCTCGCTGGCCCGTCTGCTGAAAAACCCGCCGGGGGGAGAGAACCGCTTCTCACGGGGGGAGCTGGAGATCTCGTCGGTGTTGAGGGTCAAGGCCGCCGGATCGGCTGTCACGGCAGCACCAGCACCAGCACCAGCACCAGAGGGAATGGTATCGAGTTTCTCTTTGGGTGGGCTCGAGGAGCCACTGAACATTCTGTTCAGCAACCCACCCTGGCTAGAAAAACTTCTCCGCTTATTTCCTGCCAGCTTGATTGCACAGCGGGGGATACCGAGACGGGTAATTCTGGGATCGAGAGAGGAAGGAGGGAAACTATTCAGTATCTAAAGAAAGAAGCAAATTAGCATCCCATCATATAGATAATATTGGTTTTTTTGGAAACAGTTCCCGAAGAAAACAACACAGCTAAGATGACCAGCGCTTAATCGCTATATGACTGTGCCACTGCCAGCCAGCTGGCAACCAGCAGACAATAGCGCTGATCTCCCCGCTGTGAAGCACAAGTTCCTTCGCCAACCCTGCTTCCACCGGGTAAAGCCAGTTTGATATTCGATATTTCCAGTCCCATCAAACACACACGCCTAGGCATGCAACGGCAATCGGAAAGCAGTGATGGTGGTGGTGGTGGGGAGAGAAGAGGGCATCCAACTGACCTAGAAGCTGCAATTAAGCTAGTGACGAGCAGTATAACGAAAGGGAAAATAAAGCCAGACGGTATAGTATCAACGAATAACGGCAATAGAGACTCGAATGCCCGGTTTTTCTGTCCTGTAAGCAGATAAGCAGAAGAAGCAGCGTCGTCGTCGTCGTCGTCGTCGTCGTCGAAAGACTGGACGGAGGGTGGGATTGCGTCGTTGGGGGGTGAGAGCAGACGGTCTTGGGCGCCTTAGTCAGAGAGATCCGGGGCTCGGAGATGTCGGAGGAGGCCAAAGTCAAGCCAGGGACGTCCGTACAGTGGAGTGGGGTGACGATGATGATGACGCTGATGGATTGGATCTTTGTTTTGCTTTGGTTTGCTTTTTCAAGGGCTGGATGGGCTGTCAGCAGGAGATGACCGAGACTGTGACTGCGAGGGAGAGATCCAACTGAATGACGTAGGATGCAAAATTACAATACTTCCAATGCAGCGTGTTTGAAACAGTCGTCTATAGGTGGAATAAAAATAGTTTCAGCAGAGTCGAGGCGCTTAGATATGGCATAAAACCTGCAGACGAATTATATACAGTGTAGTACGGAGTATATGTAGTAGTAGTATTGTCCATTTATATGTAGTACTGTTTGTGCTAGCTAATTAACTAAGCGCTGAAGACATACCCCGTAGGCATGGAGTAGACCACTTAGATTCACTTTTAGAGCAACACAACACACCGGCAAGACAGGATCTCATTTGTCCATGGGAGCCCAGGTACTGTCTGTCTACCACGAGCTGAAATCGCCAAAGCCGCCCGTGCCGCGCATCTTTTTGCGCGCAGGCTCCAGCGCCGGCGCCGGCTCCTCGTCGACAAACTCCACGATTTCGTCGTCGGGCGCGGATCGCTCGGCCAGCGCTGCTTTGAGATACTTGCCGACGCCGCCGCCAGAGCCATCGCCGTCGTGGTCGGCGGCGGCGCCGCGCCCACGGACCCGTTTGCCCGTCCAAGTAACGCGGTCGTCGTCTGCCCGGCGGGTATGGCTCTCCTCTCCATCGTTCTCCTCGTCGTGCGCCTTCTCCGCCTGTTCCTGCTCGCGTTTCTTGGCGAGGAACTCCTCGAACGGGTCCACGAAGACCGCCACGTCTTTAATTCGGATGTCCGGCGTCGGCTTGTTGGTGGTCGAGTCGACCGGGTGCGTTTCGAGGGTGTTGAGAGTCGTTGAGGAGGGTGTCGGGTCGTCGATCAGGCGGCCAAAGATGGTGTGTTTATTGTTCAGATGGGGGAGAGCTCGATAGGCAATGAAACTGAAGACATTAGACCGAAATACACGGGATACCATGTATATAAAAATATGGGAAAAAAAAAAAAAACGGGAAGAAACGCACAATTGACTGCTGTTGGTGTTTTTGCCCTTGTTGGCCATGCTCAACGTCCCTCGAGCGTCATGCTTCAGAGGGCCCTCGAACTCGTCGGCAAAGTACTTCCCCCAGACGCTCTCGCCTCCCCGGCCGGTTCCCGTAGGATCGCCTCCCTGGATCATGAATCCCTTGATGTTCCGATGGAAAGTGACGTCCTTGTAGTATCCCTTCTTGGCGAGCTGCAAGAAATTCCACACGGCTTTTGGTGCGTATTCCGGATACAGCTCCAGGTTCAAGTCGCCCGCGGTGGTGGAGATGCGCGCGTACCCTTTGCCCTTGACCCGACCGCGTTTCAGCATGTACTCCTCATCGGACAGAAGGGCCAGGTCGGCAGAGGTGTGCGGCGTCATCCCTGTGCTGGTAAACGAAGCGGCCGCGAGGCCGGTCGTATGCCTTGCGGCATTGAAGGGAGTCGGCTTCTCCGACCGAGAGGTAAGCGAGGTCTTTTGCGCAGCGGATTTCACCGAGCCAGGTCCTGTAAGCGCTCCTTTCCCCGTCATCGAGGACGCCTGCTGTGCTCGTTCGGCTCTCGCCTTGGCGACAGCCTCCTTGGCCTTGAGAATCTTGGCCGAACTGCCCAACGCATTCACGTTGACGGTATCGCTCCGCTCCTGGGCCTGCTCCGCGGTCAACCCGCTCTGTCCTTCCTTCAGGTAAGTGAACGAGCTGAGATTGCGCGACTCGACGTTCTGCGGATCCTGCAACACAATGATATCCTTGCGACTGAACTCCTCGTCCGTGACCAGATCGCGCCAGATCTTGCCCTTGATATTCAGCCGCTCCACCGTGTCCCATGCAAACACGTTTCCAGTGTTCCGCAGCGCCACAATATGCGTATTATCCGTAAACACCTTGTAGGTCACCGGGTCGACATACTCGCCCGCCTCGTTCTTCGCAAGCTTCAGCTTGATCAGATCCCCGCTCTTCAGCACCGTCCCGTCCACAGGGTTTGTCCCGTGCTTCTTGATCCACGGCAGAATATTCAATAGGTCGAATATCGTCCCGGAGGGCGTGCAGACAGGGTGCGTAAAGGGCTGCAGCGAAAGCGCGCAGAAGTTGAACGGAAGCCGTTTAAACGACGCGTGCGTCGTCCCCTGCCGTGCTCTGGATACGCCCGCGCCCGCGCTGGCTGAGTATGCATCCTCTGACGCCCATTCTGAGTGTGTGATCTATATAAAATCCCCAAAATCCCTCGTTAGCTCGCGATCAACCGTTAAGAGGGGGGGGAAGGGGGGGGAAGGGGGGATGCGAGCGCGAGTGCTTCTCTCTCTGGCAACAGCAAACACATGCAAAACAGGCAATCATACGTATAATTTATCCGTTCCTATTCAACTACAGTTAGAAATGTCTTTCAGCAGCCGGTTTTGGGTGTCTACTCACCCTTTCCCATGGTGGTCGATGGTCTCTTCTACGTCAAGCTGCGAACTCGACTTCTTTTCGCTGCGGCGACATCATCGATCGCACTAGCCGCTTTAAGACATTTTTTGATAACAGCCCTGGAGTAGAGACTGCAGAAGGACGTGATTGATTCCTGGTGATTCTATTCTATGAAGTAATTACTGATTCCCTAGTTACTTGAATTATCGGGAGAGGAGGAGTAGGAAAGTGACTTTTGATACAATGGTTGATTAGAGTTACATGTGATGCGATTGATATGAGTAAAACCCAGCTCCGGTTGCTTTTGATAAGTTCAACAGAAACGCCTTGGATCCGAAGCTCCGGGTGTACCGGGGGTCGATGTTCGTAATGAGTGTCACCTATACAGCGGGGGCTTGAAATCGCAGTGGAACAACCCAGCGATTACCGAAATCGACGCCGTGTCGTCGCCGAGTGCCGTACTTCCGCCATACAACCTGTGGAATTCCGATATCTGCGACGGTGATCTTCCAGGAGAGGCCTTCACCTGCGACCAGGGCGTTGATGACGCCTGTCTTGGGGGCCCCCAGACAGACGACTGATTTCGCAGCGATGCATAGTCGGCTTCCTTCCACCACAGTTACCTCACCTGAGAATGTCAATCATTAGCACTGATAACAAAGCACAGGAGGAGGAGAAGAAGAAGAGGACGAGAAGGAGAGAAGAAAAAGGGTTACTTACCGCTGGTTGCAGAGACGCCCGAAGGAACGTCGACTGACAAAACCTCCAGATTGCTCCGGTTGACCCAGGCCGTCATCTCAAAGGCGATGGCCTGGTCCTCGGTCCGGAGATCGTCAAAGGCAATGTGCATGGCAAGCAGGGCATCCACCACTAGATCTGGGCTGAATTCCGACGTCGAGAGCCGCGCTGACAGCTCTTCCCAGCGCAGGGCGCGGCCGCCGATTTTCTTGAAGATGTCCAGTTGCTTGCGACAGCTGTCCAGCAGGTCGCTCTCGTGCTCAAGTCCAAGCATACACACTGTCACACGGTGGCCGCGGTTGCGGAGATGGCGAGCGGCTGCCACCGCCCGAGCGCCTGTCCGATGGTTCCCCGCTAGGAGGAGGATTGTGGGCGCCGCGGCGTCGTTGGAAAGCATCGCAACAGCGGCCTCCGCAATGCCTCGGCCCGCATTTTCGGTGATAATGTCTTCAGTCAGGCCGAGCTCCGTCACCGCGAGCTGTTCCACCTCGAGCGTCTGCAGGGGGCTGACGGTCGGGCAGCTGCGATTGGTTGTCGTCAGTCTGAGGGAGGCGCCGGAGTTGGTTGTAGGCCCGTTCATGGGCGACGCAGACACGGACTGCTTGTGCCCGCGCGGGCTGGTCGTGCGGGATGTGCTGAGCTGGCTTCGCAATTGCGGCGCCATCAGCGGCTGACCCAGAATCCCACTACCCTTGCGGGAACCCTGGGGGCGAGATGCTATCTTTGTTGCCGGGTCAAATCCGGAGTGATTCCCACTGCTCAGCTTGGCATCGCTCGGTTCTTCATCCGATTCTACCACATCGCTGTTGCGGGGACTGTCGAGAACGTTTTCAGACCAGTGTAGATTCTTCCCGCCGTTCGTGCCCGGCTTGGCTCTGCGGTTGAAGTAAACTAACCGGGCCTCGTCGGCGGTAGTATCGTCGTTGCGGATCTCTTCAAACACACGTCGCTTGTCAAACTTGGACAGGTTGCTCTCAAAGTCAAAGTCGCCCATCTCCTGGATGTCTGTAGCATCTTCGGTCGCCCAACCGCTGACATCCTCCGAATACCCTGCCCGGGACTTCTTCTTCTTCTGACGCCGTCCATTGGAGTTGCTGGTTGCACCACCCTTGTATGACTGGGTGTGTTCGCGGGTCTGCGGATGGGCAGGTTCCACGAACGCAGTCTGGCGCCAACCTTTGGCTTTGGGGTTTGTGTTGGACGCAGCGTGTCCCGAAGCCACAGCACCGGCATCGTGAAGTTCGTTATGCCCAGTCTTTGGGTCCCTTCTACCTGTGCCCTTGGCTCCATTGTCTGTTCCACCCAATCCCTCCAGTCCATTTCTGCTCGAGGTGCCCGACAGCCCTGTCGTCCTGCCCTCAACATTCAGCTCGAGATCGCTGAAAGGTTCCGTAAGAACCGCAGAAGCCACCTTGCTTGGGAGAGGCTGGCTCGGTTGCGGGACGGATGCCTTTGAGAAACTGAGGATTGCGGGGTCGACAAAGGGCTGCGATGGAACGGGCTGGGTGGCGACAACCGGCGTAGCTATCTGCGAAGATCCCTGGGGAATCGGATGCTGCGGTATCTGGACGGAGGGCTTGCTCGCCGTCTCAAGCGAGAGGTCCGCAATGTCTGGTCCCTCGACATTGTAGGCCGCCAGCCGCTGTCCACTCCACAAGAGCGTCACTATCCAGAAAACGTCAGCACTACCATCTCTCTCACCACGACAATTTCCTCGTACCATTTCGTAGGATCAGGCGCTGCCCCACGACGTCTGCAACCTCGCCCTGCAGCCTGGCATGGGGGGGTGCCTTCAGCGTCACGAGAACATTGTACCCGATAAACTCAGAGGCCATGGTGGAACAGCTTCGGGAGACTCCAAGCAAAGGAGAGGCCTGGCAAGCTCGACTGCGACCTGGCCAACCGTTCGCTCTCTGCTGCTGTTGCGGCTGCTGTGCTGTGGGTTTTCTGCTCGTTTCGTTCCTTGTGGAATGAGGAAGCTCCAGCCTCCAGGCGGCCGCTGCACGTGACACGCCCGTCACTGTCGCTTTCAATGAATCTAATACGGAGTAACTCACTATCTATCTTATCGATTAGAAGAAAGTGACGAAGTGGGGAAACAAATGCGCGATTACGCAAGGGACGAGGATGAAGAGCTTGGTTTCTTCAGATCTGAGACGGTAGATTGAAGGATTCCGGCTTCGTAGGAAGATGCCTTGAGACGTAGTTATCTAGTGGTCTATGGCGAACAAAGAGAATGCTGAGAGAATAAGTAGGTATACTTAAGCAAATCTTCCCGGTAAAGAATCCCTAATATAGCAGGCTAAAATACATGCCGTGGAAACATCTAAAGATCTATGGTATATGGATAAGTGACGAACGACAAAAGCCACCCGCAAGGGGGAAAAGAGCAGGAAAGAAGAACGGAAAGGGAGAGAGAGTTGTCGTTATTGGTGTTACGCCTCGTAAAGTAGATGCTCGAGGAACTCCTCGTCGTCAAAGTCTTCGCCATACTTTGGTTTGTTTTGGGAGACCTCTGTTGACGGAGGCTGCGGATTGGATTTCTTTGTTGAGATCACTTGGCTGATATTGACCAAGTTGGAATAGAAATCCACAACTCGGGAATGCACCATGACCTTCCGTGCGTCGAAGCGTGTCACCTGGAGGCCGGCTTGCGAGGTTGCACGGCTGAGTGCAACATAGGCTTGTCCTTTCTCAAAGACTCGACCAAGATCAACCTTGACCCGTTGCAAAGTTTGGCCCTGAGCTTTGTGGATTGACAGAGCCCAGGCAAGAATTAATGGCACTTGTTGGCGTTGGGCCTGCACCTCACCGTTGGGAAGCTCAATCTTCCACGACTCAGGCTGGCACAGCAAGTGTCTTTCCGTGCCATCGGCAAGAACAAAGCATACCAAGGGCCACTTTCGGGTGACTGTAATGGCGCCGTCCTTGTTGGCAAGGGTTTTGAGCTTTTTGCGGGCACGACTCGCGCGTTCTTCATCGCTGGGAGAGCCCTCGCCGGCAAAGTCATCCTCGTTTTCACGATAGTAGTCAAAGGTCGCCTCGTCCATGAAGGCCACAACTCGTCCGATAGACCCGTTTACAAGCATATCCTCCATGTTCTTAATCAACATGACCTGTGATCCTTTCTTCAGGTGCATCACCTGTGGAGCCATGCAGTTGGATAGTAGTTTATCCCGAATTTGTTGATCTTGTATGGTACCACTGTCAACGGCGCGGAAAGTCATCACTTCTCCAGAGAGTCTTTCCATTCTTGCGTTGTTTGCATTCTCCACCTCTGCTCGAGTAGGGAATCTGGAGGATCGTTAGCACTGGCCAAATGGGGGTTATGTTCTTAAAGTAGGGAGGGCTGTCTCACAGTTCTGTGGCCTCTAGTGAATCATGGAAATCGAGAGGTCGAGAAAGCTGTTTGAACGCCTGAATAGTGCGAGGTGTGATTTTCCCCAGTCTCATCTCATTCAGCATTTCAGCGAATTCAGGATCCTTTTGGCGGAAGACGTGCGTTAAAAGAATAGTGTGTTGGATCGATGTGTTCCAGGTCGCTGCATCGAATGCAAATTTCGCTTCTCGGCCGTTTGACTCTGGGACAGGAGGTAGTTGGAAAAAATCACCGGTAACGACGAGCTGAATACCGCCGAAAGGACGTCCGTTGTTTCTTATTCTTCTTGCAATCTCTTCCAGTTTGTCGAAAAGATCTCCATCAACCATAGACACTTCATCTACGACCAAGACTTTGGTACGTAGCCAGCGGTTCCGAGCCTTCTGATTCTTCTTGATCTGTATACCCGAGAAAAGAAAGAAATTAGCACGCCAACTCAGACCTCAAAGGAATGGGTCGGCACTGACCTTTTTGACAAGCTCTGCAGCTGGCTCCTTGCCCAGTCCGATACCTGCAAAACTATGCAGGGTGACACCCTCGATATTACAAGCAGCGAGACCTGTGGATGCAGTCACTGCAACCCGATCTGGCTCTTTCTGGTACCTTTTTCGTAGCTTCCTGATGATCTCCCTCATGAGAACCGATTTGCCGGTTCCTGCAGAGCCGGTGAAGAAGATGCTTTTCCCCTTGTCGACCACGGCTTCGAGAACGCCGCGCTGCTCCTCACTGAGGAATACTGCGGGAACAATCGAGGGAGATGGCACATGTTTGGCAACGGCCTCTGCTTGCTGAAGTTTCTTCGACTGCCGCCGCATCTCCTTTTGTTCCTCCTTGATTGCGCTTGCCGTCTTGTTCCATGCAAAGGTAGGCTTTTGGCGGGCAGGGGTAATAGGAACCTTCTTTCCAGCCGTATGTTGTTGTTCTGTCTGCCATGGCAATGTTCGGCGTTTAGGAGGAGGCAGCTTGTGGGACGGCGGAGAGGATGACCAGGGTAACGGGGCGCTGCTTGACGGAACAGCAGCCTCTCTTGCCGGTAGGGGAGGCAGCTCTGGATAGTTCACATCGGGTGCCGTCATCAAAGTTCTTTGTGTGCTGGTCTGTGCAGTGTGAGAAGATCTCGCCGAACCAGTTTGAGTCGATAGAACATCCATTGCAGCAAAGCCTTTCAGCATCGACTCCTGCAAGGTAGAACCTGCTGACGGATCCTTTTTCGGTTCGCCTAACGGCGTGGGCTCCTCCAGGTCTAGATCAAGATCATCGTCGAAATCGTTCTCGTCAAAATAGACCGCGCTGTGCAGCGAACCCAGAGCAGACGTCCCCGCGTTGACCATTTCGATCTTCCGTTTCACGCCGATCGACTGTGCCGTGGACTTGGATTGAATCCCCCCCGTGTTCGGACGAACCAACGTCGACTGCAGAGGCTTCACCGAGCCGGTATGATCCTGGACCGCTTTCTTAAACATGGCCAACCCCTCCGCGCTCTCTAGGCGCCCGTAAGATGTCGCACACCTGGAGACGATCCGCCCAGCAATCTTTGCACCATGGGAATTGACGCGTTGAGGTGGAAGCAAACAGCGTTTAAAGACCGTCAACCCATACATAAAAGAGAGCCGAAGAGGGAAATGTCGGCCAAGAGCGGCTGCAATACACTCTGTACAATCTGGACGGGGATCTTTTTTCCTCTGGAGCCTGTCGAGGGAGTCGCGCTGCACGATAGACGCGCCGGGCGTATCGCACGTGATGTAGATAAGATTACCACGGAGGACAACCCCTGCTGCAAGAAGCACGATGCGCTGGATAACCAGTGGGATTAGATGTTTGGCTTTGAAATAATGGGTGGCTATGATAGTATGCAATCGCTAATGAGCTGGGATAGTAAATGCTATGGAATATTCGCAAGCAAGGCGCTACATAGTCTGTATTGATATTGCTGACGAGATACGGCGTATATTCTGCTATTCTCGATGCCATCAATGCAGGTCCCTTCCAAATGTACCGCAGCTGATAGGTAGGCAATGACTACTAGATTTATAGAGGCATCTCACTCATTCCTGAGAATTGGCGAAGAAATGTCCCTGGAAGGGGCTCCCAAGAGGACCGGCATGGCGCTCACGTGACCACGTAACTAAATAGCGATTAGCGACGCGCGAAAACCGAACAATAATGCGTGCGCGATAAGGATCCAGGCACTCCAGATGACTTCCCACTAGCAGACGGGGAGAAGGTGACTGTGCCAATCATGAAGGATGGCAGAGAAAGCTACTTCGAGTAAGTTGGACGGCGCAACCGACGCCCTGATATTCGGAACCCGTGGCTGACGGCGTTTTCAGACAGGGAGCACCCTCTGGCGGGGGTGGTTCTTTGCTTCACGTCTATTTTACCGGAGCAGAGGGTGAGTTTGGGAGAAGAATCGCTATTCTGGTCTCTGAGACGAAGCTGATTGAGTGTTGTGCGGATTTTATAGACCGATCTGGTCACAATTGCAGGTGAAATGGGCGCTACGCATAAGTTCGATCTGACCTCCGATGTCACGCATCTACTCGTCGGTGAACTGAATACTGCAAAATACAAGTTTGTTGCTCGGGAACGGTCCGACGTCATTGTCCTCAAGCCGGATTGGATTGAGGCTGTCCGACAATCATGGATGCAGGGCGGAGATACAGACATCCGGGCATTGGAGGAACAGTACAGGCTTCCTACATTCATGGGCCTTGCGATCTGTATTACAGGATTTGAAGACAGTGCGTCAATTATTCTCATTGAAGCTTACTGGGAAGGTTCCTTTGCTGAATACCACAGTGGCCTTCCGCAACTATATTCGAGAACAGGCGATGGCTCACGGTGCTGAGTTCAGGAAGGATCTCACAAAGACCGTCACCCACCTCATTTCACGAGGGACCGAGGGCCAGAAGTACAAGTTTGCGACACAGTGGAACGTCAAGGTTGTCAGTATGAAGTGGTTCACTGACAGTGTAGAACGAGGCATGGTGCTGGAAGAGACTCTCTACCATCCTCTTGTGCCTGCAGAGCAGCAAGGCGAAGGCGCCTGGAACCGCTCAACTCCCACCATCAAAACTAAAGCCCCTAATGAAGACGACTCGTCAAACCCGCGTCCAAGGAAACTGCGGCGGGTTGCCAGCACTAAATTGGTAGATCAGAATGAGGGAATTTGGGGAGATATCATGGGCGGAGGCTTTGATATCTCGGAATCAAAGAGATCCCTTCAGCGCCAACAGAGTGAAATTCTCCCTGCCAGGCCTGTACTCCAGCTTCAAGAGAGCAAGTCGTTTGCCAGTGAGACAACTCTTGATTTTCGGCCTGAGCCTGCGCTCGAGCAGGAGGGCGACAGCTCAAATGGCTTCCTACATGGGTACTATTTCTTCATCCACGGTTTCTCGGAAAAACAGGTCTGTTCTCCATTGAAATATTCCAAATCAAAGGAAACCATCTAATGCTTATACAGGTCAAAGTGCTGAGCCATCACCTCGAATTCAATGGTGCCCAACTAGTCGCTTCTTTGAGCGAGTTTGCCCGCCCAGAAATACCCAAGACAGGACACGGATTGTACACGATTGTTCCATACAAAATGCCCAAGAGTCAAATACCTTGTACAGACGACATGGCCTTCGAATGTGAAGTGGTGACTGATATGTGGCTGGAGCAATGCTTGGATGTCAAGGCTTTGGTATCGCCAGATTCGCATGTTGCGAACAAGCCATTTCCAAGATTCCCTATCGCAGGTAAATCCTCCTTCGGCTATCTGAAGTAGAATCAACCTCATCGCTAAATATGACAGGTTTCAATGGTTTGAGGATATGTTCAACCGGTTTCGCTCGTATAGAACTGCTCCACTTGTCCAAGGTGGTTACACTTATGGGTAAGATAACCTCCCAATTCGCAATTGTCCCTTTGCTCAAAAGTGTGTAGGGGCTTCATATGACGAATACTTGACACCAAAGGCCTCTATCTTGATTTGCAATGATCCGCGCTCAGCAAGTTATGAGAAATTAAGACACGCTTCCGAATGGGGTGCTTACGCGGTTTCAGCAGACTGGTTCTGGGACTCAGTTAGAAGTGGGCAAAAGAAGCCATTCGAATCATACATAGTAAAGACACCAGGTTCTCAAGACGAGAGGGCTTCACAAAGCCGGTCGACTCCTTCGAAACTGGACCGGCCATCGATCTCTTCCAACAAGACTAATGGCCAAACTCAAGGTACTCCGGGGGAAGCAGTCGAGAAAAAGACTGCATCTGTGAGGAGTAATAGAGCAAGCCCTGCGGTGGATGCTGGGCCTGATCTACGACTAGAAAGGAATGGTAATATGCCTAAAGATCTGACCAAGGCGAGAATGATGCAGCCCCCGTCTGCATCCTCCTCTCCTACCAAAGAAATGGGGAAAGATGCCGCTGAGATTCCAGCCCAGAGACCTGGTTCCAACCACTCCAACACCTCCGTGGGCTCCAGCGCGCTTGACCTAGCTATGAGCGGGCTCCTCAAACAAGCACGAGCCGCAAACAGCAGCCGTCTCCTATCTGACGGCAATGACAAAACTGAAGGTGGTCGGTCGAGGAAACGAAAGCCTCTCCTTGGACGAGCTCCGTCGAATACAGTAGCCCGCCCGGCGCAAGGGACCATCTTCTCCCGTGCCAGCTCCATCGATACCCTCAACGACGATGGCTGCGGTAGCACGATCGAACCAGCTTCCGCGGACGGACACTCCCTTACACGTGCGAACAGTCTGGCTGGACAAAGCTTCAACTCCTTGTTGACTGGCACCCGCGTCGAATTCACAGACGACCCGTCCGTTCCACATGAAGACGAAAACGAGGCGCCTGCCATGACGCAGCTGAACTACGAGGACCCCGACGCAGTGGCTATGAGGGAGAAGTTCCTCGCCGAGGCAGGCAAGCTGACGACTAAAAAGCCTGTTTCCTTGAAGCAGGAAACGCTTGTCGCGGAGGTCACGGAACTGGACGATCTGGGATGGAGAAGTAGACGACGGACCCGGCAGGGGAATAAGGCCCCGGATGATTTTTTGGATACTACGTTGTGATGACAGAGCATGAAGTATACTTTTTCCTCCTTTCTTCCTTTCTCTTGCATTGCATCATCAAGGAGTTGTATTTTTGGGTACTAGAGTCTACAAAATATAAGCATGAGTCTTCCTTTTACCCATGAGCCCTCGCCACGGATAACTACCTGAAAGGTTGCAAGTGGAGGAATATATAAAATACGGTATATAAATATATATACTGCTATATATATACATATCCTAATTACTATACAAGATTGGTCCAAGAACAGGGAAGGTCAATCAAGCAACCTTGATGAAATTCTCGCTCACGATATGAGTTTCTCCCAACACCTGTTTGGCAACGAGGACCAGATCATCGAGAGCAGAGACAAAGTCGAGATATGAATGGATCGCCACGCAGAACATGCGATACTCTGCCTGTCGGAGATGATCTGTGCGCAGGTCGAGCTGCTCACCATGTACACGCCAGTAGTCCTGGTATTGCCGAATCAGAGGCGTGGGCAGAAATTCCGGTAGGGGTAGTCCGGTGCGCAACGCCTGCTGGATCACGCTGAAGATGGCCATGTTGACGCCGATGGTTGGATGGTCTAGAATGCCCATAGTCCGGATGAATCGTTCTTGATATGTGATCGGAAGAGAATTGGTCAGGACTAGGAGCTGGCCGAGGTTCCGGTTGATGCAGTGGCAGAGAGTACTCAGTTCAGTCAGAGCGGCACTGTTGAACGGCGAGCTTGAGAATTCAAACTGCAGCAAGGCAATAGGGCCTCGCATGGCCACTAGGCTTTCTGCCACATGCAGCGACAGATTCTCCACTCTTCGATCTAGCTTTCTGTCTTCCTGGTTCCACGATGAGAGGAACAAGGCATAATGGTCTGCCAGGGTTCCCATGACATTCGCCAGCGATTTTGAGATGTGCTGAGCGGCAGATGGGGGACGAGGAAAGACTTGGACAACTAAAGCAGCGGTAGATCCGATGAACACAAGAACCAACCGTCTCCAAAACACACTATAACCGAGACCCGTGTCGCTATATTGTGTAACATGCCTGAGAGATGGTTATCAGCATGGGTACTATATTGGGGGAATATGTCTTCAAAAGAAAGATGTCACTTACTTGTCATCATAGCTGTATCCGATAACGAGAAGGCAAGTTGCAGCAGACATGATGGTAGCTTGCATGGTAGCAGGCGGTAGGAAGACTCTGGTCCACATCAAGATGACGATAGACACGGCCAGCATTGCACTCAGTCCGTATGGGTTTCCTCCACCATTCCCAGAGCCAATGTACCAGGTGACCAAGCCCAGTAGACCCCCCACCACTGTCCCAATCACTCTCGAGATGAGAGAGAAGGTGAAGTCAGCCATGTAGATGAGCAATGTCGTCTGGCCCATAATTAGAGCCCAAATGCCCTTTTCTCGATAATAAAACCCAGCAGACGAAGGAATCACGGCTGGAACAGCCAGGGCAATCGTAACAACTACCATGCGCAGCCCAAACATCCCTTCAGGGCAGATCAGCCAGTGATATGCTCCAAGTACGGCCTTTCCTAGTCCTCGCCGACGGCCAAAGCTCGAACCCCTGGTCGTCCGAAGCATGTCTTTTAGCTCGTCTCCATCGTCTCTAGCAGCATCCGGATCATTAACGCCGCGATCCATAGGGACCGGAGCAGAGGACTTGGATCCAGACGCCCAAGAGACTGCATATCGTATCTTTGTGGGGAACCATATCCGCTTCTTCTGGCGGACTTCTCTCAGCGCCGTGATGTATCGAAGGATCCCCTCGAGAGATCGCGCCATGGCGATGATCCGTTCCTCATAGACCATGCCCATCGTGATGCCTCGCAAGGATGGAAGAACCGAAAGTGGATCTTCCACCGCTTTGAGAGAGCCATCAGAGTCAAAAAGGTCTGTATGGGTTCCAATAAGCCCTTCGGTGGCGTGGAACGCAAAAGACGACCGAGCGTCCTCTAATTGAGTGATAATAGCTCTGTTCCGTTGGTCTTGTTGAGAAATGCTCTCTGCAGATGTTGTGGCAAATAGTCCATTGGAACTTTCAATCTTGATGCTCTCAGTAATCGCAGCGATTGCGTCTAGACATGCTTGCCGTATCTCAGTGCTTGTCTGCCGAAGTGATTGTATAGTATCTGTGCGGAGTGCTTCATACTTTGGATCTTGGAACGCTTGGAGCAAAAGAGCACTATCCATCAATTGGTGACGCCCAACGACTGGGCGATCGATCTCTTTCTCGCCGGTTGAATCGGCGGGAGAGACGCTGAGCTTGGTTTCGGTCTTGACTCGGCTCACATGGTACTCCAACAGCATCATACTGCAGAGCAAGGCCTCTCTAAGTGGCTGTTTAAGATTTCGAAGATCCTCGGCATTCCATCGGCCAATACATATATCCAATGGAAGAAATCCGACAGCTGCCTCAAGTGAGCGGTATATACCCAGCGCTTGTCCTTTGATCTGTTGCAATCGATTGATGTTTTCCGCCTGCACCTCAGATGACAGCTCAAAGAGAGACTCCTGCAGGGGAGCTTGCATCAGAGCCATCAGCTGTGAGGTGGTCGATAAAACTGCTTGAGAAGTCGTCTGCGGGAAAAAGAGGATGGCGCACACCAGACTGATTCCCATTCCAATCGCGGCAGGGATAATCAACGCCTTGGGCATTGTACCCTGGAACTCGTAAAGTAAAGGGCCAATGGTCATAAACAGATCCGTTATGATCGTCGCAAATATCTGTAAAAAGGCTAACTTTTGATTCTGAGCACGAAGACGAGCCTGTGGGCGATCAGCAAACCCACTCGGCCAGAATAACAGTTCGAAGAGGCTGTACCAGAAAATAGATCAAGACGCAGCCAAAGACAAAGTAGATCACCGAGACACGTGTGTCAAGCATGAATCCCTCGAAGATAAGGACTTTCGCCACGGCCGTAGGACTTTGGCCGGTGGCTTTGGCATCCGTAACGGCCGTTTGTTGTAACAACTGTAGCTTGGCGGCAGTCTCTGACGATGGTCTAGCGGCCAGAGCCGCCTTCATTGCAATGACACCCCATGCCCAGGAGATTCCGAGACCGATAAGGATGGTAATCGCCAGGAATATTTGGAGGAGGAGAATTCCCGAGGGAGGGATCATGAACACTGTGAAGCTGTACCTGGATCAGCACAATCCTCTACTCGAAGTATAGTATGAATGGGAGAACGTGGATGTCGTACCAGGCAAAGAACGTGGCAGTTCCAATGGTTTGGAGCGCGGGGTTTATGAATATCAAGATGGCTGCTACCCACGCTGCCACGCAGCAGCGAAAGAGGGTCTTCAGGTCTCGAGGGTTGAAATGGTTCAGCCATGGTGGCAGCTGCCTGGCCATTGTTGCAGTACCTGGATCAATGCCCAGACAGAAGTTCAAGGGGAAGGAATACCTTGATCGCTTCAGAGTGGGAGAAGAGTTTCCCTCATCCAGAGTTGAAGATCGTCTAATCCGAATTCGGAAATAATTGAGTTTATGATCGACACGCGATTTTGCCCGATGCACACCAGACTATTCCGACCCTAAATCCCGTCTATTTATTAGGAAAGCGATCATCGCAAGTGTTGTTCTTAGGGGGAATGTCTCAGTTTACTTTATGCCTTCACATTTTATTCGATTTGGTGTGTGTATGGGAGGGAAGACTACAGGAGGATAAAATACAGTGAAGGTTAGAAGGAATAGTCGTATTAAATAATAAAAGAGGGTTGTCAGCCATCATGCACGATGGTCAGAGGGCGAAGGGTATTGAGTAAAGAGATGCGAAAAAGGAAGAATAATATGAAGGGGGAAGCAAAAGAGCAAGAAGAATGTCTGTATGCGTGTGTAGAGAAAACAATGGTATAGAGCGCCAGAACGTATTGAACACAGAGAGACAAGCCAGCCACAAAGCAACCAGAACTATCATACACATCGTAGAGTGGGAACGCAAGATGAAGCTGAACGGCGATCAGGATCCATAGGCGCCCACGGGACCCGGCACGGTTCCCTCTAGATCGATGTTTTGAACGGTGGTTCGGGTGTCCGCGCTGTCGCGGAACAGATTGCTGAAGTATTTGCTGGCAACTTCGCTCTCACCCTTGATCTTGCTGACCTCTTGCTTTCTCCTTGCGAGATCCTCAATGCCTTGGGCAAGACTGGTTTGTAGGTTGGCGGCTGGCGTACGAAGAATCCGGCGCACTTCGGACGAGATGCGGGTGGCGTTGGAATGCACATAGTCCATCTCTTCAAGAGTGGCCGCAAGTTTTCGAGAAAGACGAGGAGGGAGTGTCGACGGAATCGAAGAGAGAATGTATGCCGTAGTCAAGGCAGCTGCAACAGATCTTTTGTTAGCGTATAACGACAAGAATGAAAATAGTATAAACAATACGGGAGGGTAGCTTACCTGCAGCAACAATGCCAGGGAGTAGCAGGCGGCGCAGGTTATTTGACCCTAGGATCTTAGCAACGTTGAACGCGCTGTCGACCCAGCTCATGCCACCGAAGGCTCTTCCTCCCAGGACAGTCACGGCTGTCATCGCCATACCGGTCCCGGCCACCTTCTCCTGACTCTCCCAAAGGCCCGAGAGGTCGAAGAAGTCCCAGATCTCAACTTCCGTGTCTACTTGGCGTGCCAACGTGTGACGGCGGCTCCGGCGGAACATCATATCGGCACGGAAATTGAGAGGAGTGAACTTGTCTTCCCCAACGTGGAGCAGACCGATATTCTGGATGAAACCGACACCCTGCACAGTTTTGTCGCGGGCATAATCTTCGCAGTTGAACACAGACTCGGAGATCTTCTCTAGCATAGCTTGCTTCAGGTCCTCTGCATATTGGAAAGCAGCAAACAGACCCGGATACACAACACCCAAGTCCGCTCCTGAAACCTGAGTAATACTATCTGTAAGGGTCGAACGTGTGTGGTTGTAAACGTCGTCGCAGGAATCATCGATGCATTTTTCAATTTCGTCTCCCAGCTCCGTCTTCCTCTTTTTTCCATCTTCGTAGGCGGGCTCCAGCTCCGCCAGTTCTTCCGTCACACGCTTGAGTTCTGTCTGGGCAACATCTCTATTGACAGTTGCCAAAGAGTGCAGATCTGCTAGGAGGTTCAAAAGGTAGGTCCGAGCAGGAGCAAGTTTTGAGCGTGCACGTTTTTCGAGGACAAATCGTCGCAATGCACCTTCCAAATTCTCAAAATCCTGGATTTTCTCCTTCTCCTTCCCTTTGCCTTTCCCACCCTTACTTGGGTCATCACCACCATCATCGGGACCATCTCCATGAGGATCAGATCCACCACCGCTGCCAGAGACGGACTGATTGACAGGTACCGCCGGCATAACAGGTATAGCATTGCTTGATACAAAGTGGACGAGTTCGGCGGCCTCTTTATGGGTGCGAGGACTGAGTTTGCCGATTTGATCGAAAATCATCCGCTGGCACCGTTGCTTGTCTCGAATCTGGTCGAATCCATTCACGACAATAAAAATATATGCTTTTTCATGCGCAGCATTCAGGATGAACTCCTTTGCAGAAAGGGTGAAGTGGTTGGCAGCAGAAACCACAAAAACAACCACGTCGATCTCTTCCTGCCGGGCAAAAACAGCCGTCGTCTTCAATGAGTCCGAGTTCAACCCAGGAGCATCGATTAGCGCAATATCCACCACACCGTTGTTGAGGAGAGATTCGTCAATGGTCCGCACATCCTTCACGTAAACCTTGCACTGCATGTACTTGTAATTATCAATCACGATATTTTCAAGCTCAGAGAGAGCATAGACATCGTAGGTGCTTTCGTCGTTGCGGTCATATTGTTGATCCTTGTGTACAGCGTGTACCTCTTCAACTCCACCGTTTTCCCGCGCATCCAGAACCTCGCAGAAAATGCTCGTACATGGCTGCTGGTCCTCAGGAAGAACTTTTCGTCGTAGCAGGGCATTGCAGAAGGTTGACTTTCCCGCGTTTAGATCTCCCGTGACCAAGACCTTGCTAGATGTATCCTCAATTCTGTCCCGCAGCGAGAGAAGATGTTTGATGCTTTGGCTGATTTTTCCGTCCAGGAGAGAAGCGATCGATCCTTTCTCTAGCGAGTGTACCAATTCAGCTTGCGACAACGCACCCAGCTTCAGATCCAGCTTCAGAATTGAGAATTCCTGCGCGATCTGTGGGGTCATCAGCCTCGGTTCAGGCGAGCCTCGACTCTCTGCAGCGCTGCTCGACTCAGCCACACCATCTTGTCCCAAGGATGTCGCAGCACGTCGAAGTAGTCCAGGTCGCGACGGCGAGTCACCTGGGGATTCCGTGGCGTCAATGACCGACTGAGTCTGCTGCAGAGATGGTCGTCGAGAGGAAGACGGGACGTTTTGAATGGACGGGTAATGGGCAGGCCACTGGCGGTTCATCTCCTGGAGCTCCTTGAGGGTCTCGATCGTACGCGAAATTGAACGTCCAAGCTTGGTTCTATTTGAGTTGCTAGTAACGAAAAAAAAAATATCAGCTCCAGCTCCAACCAACAAGTCTCGCGCGCAGGTCAGACATACTAAAGCAGTTGGTGAACATGGCTTGCGACGATGTGTTTCTCGTGTTCCGCTATGAAAAAAACACAAAGTTAGTCATTTGACTGGCCTCTCTGATCGTCTCCTCGTAATTCACACCTGCTGGATTCCACTCTCCGGGAGCCGTGGGAGTATGTATCGGTGTCGGCCTGTCTTCCATCAAACCAGCGCGCCACAAAGCTCTGGCATCGGCGTCGACCGAGCCATCATCCGCGATACTCCCTCCATAGCCCGAATCTTCATTCAACGAGGTCATCAGCGCCGTCGCGCTCTCTGAAGTCGATCCATTTCCCACCACCATGTAGTCGGGTGAGGGTCTAGGGAAAAAAGGATTCTGAACGAGTTCTTCATCACCGGGGCGTTTGGATGAGCCCTCACGCGCTGCAGGGGCACCATCCCCAGGATAATACTCCTGACTCATGACGAAAATCTCGATGAACAGAGCGACTGAAAGGCAAGACCCATGGAGGCACTGAACAGATTATGTTTCCCCCCTGCTCACCTCATCGTTTCGCCTTTCGGGTGGTATTCCTCACAGGGAAAGAGCTAGTCCTGTATCGTACTAGCGCTTTCACGTGACCATGCTTATCGCTCTTTTCCTGTTCGGGCGCTGCGCTTCGGTCCAACGCCGTTGACGCTTGATGTCACTGCGAGGTTCGTCTCTCTGCCTAACCGTGTGAAAAGAGTCCTGCTGTCCTTGGTGTGCTTATGTCTTAACAGAGACTACCTTATCTGTGTATTTTTTGTTTCTACAATCGAGATGAATGTAAGACCGACGATCCGGTCCTGTTGTTATCACGTTTCCCCGCTTACCAGAGCTTCTCTAGATCGTCGAGTGGGCATTCGGAAAGCGCATGACGCCTGCGGAGCGTCTTCGCAAGCACCAGAGAGCGCTCGAGAGGACACAGCGTGAACTCGACCGGGAAAGAGTCAAATTGGAGAACCAGGAGAAGAAGCTGGTCCAAGACATCAAGAAGAGTGCCAAGAATGGCCAAATTGGTGCCTGCAAGATCCAGGCCAAGGACTTGGTTCGGACGAGAAGGTGCACTCTTTCTCTAAAAAATCCCTACTATATACTCTAACATTTTCCTTTTCTTCTATTAGATACATCCAGAAATTCCATCAAATGCGCACTCAGCTACAGGCCATCTCACTACGCATCCAGGTACTGAAAATCTGCCCCTCCCCGCTAGCCGAATCGAACAAACACTGATACCTATCAAAATATAGACTGTGCGGAGCAACGAGCAAATGATGCAGTCTATGAAGGGGGCCACAATGCTTTTGGGTAGTATGAACCGGCAGATGAATCTTCCCGCCCTACAACGTATTGCCATGGAGTTTGAACGGGAGAACGAGATCATGGATGAACGCCAAGAGATGATGGATGACGCTATCGACGAAGCGACTGGTATTGACGATGAAGAAGAGGGAGAGGAAATCGTCAAGGAGATTCTTGACGAAATTGGCGTCGATTTAAACCAGTCGGTATGTATTACATTTGAGCTGAAAAAGGCTCCTTGTTGACGCAGGCTGATGAACCTTTCTCCACACAGCTCGGGGAGACTCCTACTGGTATACAGAGTACTGCAGTCGGAGAAACGCGGGTTGCCCAAGCTATTGGTGGCGGGCCGACCACGAGCGACGATGATCTCCAAGCCAGACTTGACAGCCTGCGGCGATGAAAGCTGCAATAATACACTGACATTTTCATTACTGTCATTCCGCGGTTGTTTTCTCTACTTGTTCTATACGATGCCTTGGGAATAGGGGTCTGATGGGTTGCAGACCCAGTTTGATTTGGATTCGTTTTTTAGGGGAACTCACCTTGCTTGTATCTCATTGACGTATGTTCAACTCGGACAGTGCTAGCAAGATCCCGACAATTATAACAATCATACAGCTTAATTCTGGGAAAGTCAATATACATTCAAAACGATAACTGGACAAGGAAGGTAAGAGTTGAAGCATGAACAAAAAAGAAAATTGCTTGCCTATAAACCCTTCTAATGTACCATCTTAGCTGTAGTTTGGAGCGGGGAACATCGGCCTGTCTGTCGATGCCGTCTCGATCTATCTCTCATCAAGTTAGCGATTCTGGATCTGCTCGCAATAAACAGCGATCTGCATTTCACTCAGGCACTCGGACCATGTCCTTCATCAAAGTCAACCTTGATATGGGAAACAAAGTGCGCACGTCGCCCGAGGTCTTGGTCCATCCAGGAGCTCTGGAACCAAGGAAATGTCTCCAACTCAGCGACATTTGGTCTCTGCGACGGGTCGCGGGCGAGCATCACTCGGAAGGCGTCAATGCAATCCTGCGACAAATGTTCAGCCATGGGGCATTCTTCGTTGATAATCCTATCACGGCGAGCATTTCGTTCTTCTATGCGGGCATTCCAAAAATCACGGTAGTTTTCGCCGTCCTGCAGTCCAGTCGACTCGTGAGTTCTCCAAACTCTAGCGAGATGTGCGTTCCACTCAGGGTTCTCCCAGGGGGCATGGCCGTGGGCCAGCATGAAGGCAATGCAAGAGGATCTCCACAGATCCATCATGGAACCGTGGCTTTTGACATGTACCCTATGCTGCCGTTCTGTCTTGTAGGCAGCGATGATTTCCGGCTTGCTGAATTCGATAGCCATTTCGGGCAACATATGATACTCATGGAATGGAACCCACGCCCAGTCGGTAAAGACCAGCTTGTCCTGCTGTACATCGAAAGACATGAGGCCGAGATCGAGCAGCTTGGTCTGTTGGCTGTTAGTATGCGTATTGGCAAAGCAGAAACATCAAAGGTCAAACAAGGGGGGAGATCACTTACACTAAAGTCTTCACCAACCACGAAATTGTTGAGAGAGATATCTCCATGGACAATGTTCATATCAAGCAGTTCTCTCAGGCCTCGGAGCATCTGCGACGACACCTTGCAAGCCTGCTGTTCGTTGAGGAGCGTATCCTTCTTGTCGAAGCAGCGCGTGCCGATGAAGGCACGAAAGCGGTTTATAGCCGCACAATCTTCGTCGTCGTCGTCGTCTGGGATCGTATTACGAATAGGGTCATAGTCGAGGGCTGCGCTCATGATTGTCATATGCCAATCATTATGCGTGTACACCGAGTCGAACGAGGGGAAAACATCGCTATTCCAGACGAGGGCCAACCCCATGGCCTCCATGGGGATGTACATATCATCCTTCCATAGGCCCATAGTTGGCGAGTGGCCTTGGATATTGGCCCATTCCAGCGACTTGTGATGATGGATTTTGATCGCATAATGCCTTGGGTTCTCCGGGTCCTCGGGCTCTGACTCTCGAGCCACCAAAATCGTACCATAGGCTAGACAGTCAATCTCGTCAGCAAATTTCACAATCAACATAAAGAAAAAAAAAGCAAACCTAGTGACGGTATATATGAATGGAACAATACTCACTTCCTCGCCCGATATACCCATAAACTTCCAACTTCCTGTCCATGGTTGTGCAAATCTTTCTCATTGCCTCCTCCCAGCGATCCCGACGTATAATCGTTTGTGCTCCGTCGGGGGATTCGGGTTCGGGGTATATCGTTCTCTCAGCGATGTCGCTGTCCCACCGCACCTGTCTGGTCGATAAATGCCCACACTTGGAGATATCCTCGTCCAAGCGTCCTCCCATGCGGGAGATGAGAACCTCGCGCAGACGGCGGTTCTTGTTGCACAGCGACCGATCTGCCTCGGTCTGAGGGGCGACCAGCCGTCTCAGCACGAATGCAAGGTGATTTCTCCATTGGGGGTTATTCTGGGCCCGCTGTGGCCATTTCAGAACCCCTTGAGCCGGCCTTCCAACCTTGATTCTAGCCATTGGTAGGATTAGATGGAGTAGCAGAAGTAACAAGTTCTTAAAAAAAAAAAAAAAGGAGAGAGAGATTGAGACTCGATGTGATGGATAATTATGATGTTGGATTACTTATTGGGTTGTCTCCGGTAGAGGGAGAGAATGGGCATTTTATATATCCGGAGGAGGCCTGTTCAGATCACAATCAAATATACATAAAGACCTCTATTCTTTTGTTATTTTCCTTGTCTCAATAAAGAATCTGTCAAGCATAGAATGATAACAATGGTTGAATAAATGGAATTGGTGTTGGATATTTTTTCATTGATGGGAGCTTTGTTAATAAGGCCATTGTCTTAGATGAATAAGAAGAATCAATAAAGAAGTCAGAATAAAGACAATAACATGAGGACAATGAACATAAAAATGTATCGGATCTTGAAACAAGCCATCCAGACAAAGAAGTATCACAGTGGAACTCCCATGTATTGAATGAATGGGAAGATCAAAGAGAGACAGATCAGATCAGATTCTTTGTAGAAAGAGAGGAGTATGAATTCAACCCCATCTACTTCTATTCCACTCTATATACCCAATACTAATCTATCTACCTATCATCTAGTTATACCCCACCTCCTCTTTGTCTATTAACAATAGTATACAACCAAACAATACTCTGGTGGTACACCCATCACACCAATCCAAAACCACAGCAAATCCAGTACATCAGATCGAATCTCTCATCTCGAGGAAGGTAATATACCGCTGGTTGGTCCACTTGCGACACGACTTGCCCCAGTAGATCATGGGTAGCGTCAGCATGATGATTGCAAAATCCAACACTCCCAGGGCGATAAAAGTTGAGTTAACGCCGTGGTCAAGCCAGGGTTCCGCACAGAAGGTGAAAATGCACGCGATGATATTGTTGATGAAGGAGATGCAGGCCATTCCTGGTAACATTAGTCAAGGGAACTCAAAAATTAAGAGAGAGAGAGAGAGGGAAAGAACTGACCTTCTAACACGCATGAGCTGTAGCATTCGGCCGCATAAGTCATGCTCAAATCCCCGACACAACCCCATCCAAAGCCAATGAATGCCAGACCAACGTACGGGACGGGCCATGACCAGCCATGCCCAGTTCCGAGGCCGAAGAGCAGCATACCCGCAGTGCTAATGAAAGCACAGGGGATCAAGAACCAAAGCCGCTGCTCGGCTTCGCGCATGCCGCCATTGCGCCGCGCAGCCCACAGGACGAAGATGTCAGAGAGATAGCCACCGTAGAAACAACCAATCACCGCCCCGATGATACAGGGGACCTCCATGATCCCGACGGCGGCATCGCCGTAATACCAAGGCCCTTCGATCCAATTGTCTTCCTCCAGAGTGAGGTAGAACGACAACCATGCGTCTTGAGCGCCCCATTGAATGCCAGAGAAGAGGATGGCGGGGAAGGTAAAGAGACGAAGCGTATGGTACAGCCGTGAGACGTACTGCTTGAACCCCGTGCCCTTGAGGTTTGATGCGGGCGTAATGATGGCGATGCGCTGCCAGTACGACTTGGGTTTGTCCTCAAGCTCGGTCACATCGGGAGCGATATCAGAGCCGGTGTTGCTGTTACTGTTCATCGGGCCTACGGCGGTCCCATCTGCCTCCTTGCGGGCTAGTTCAGGATCCTCCTCGGTCTTATTTGTGCAGTGAATGATCGGGGTCGCGTCCTCGGGCGGGCGCTCAAAGACAGTCTCTTCGAGGGTAAAGTAACAGATCACGATGGTGGCGGCACCGATAATAACTGCCAGCCAGCCAATCCAACGCCACCCGAGCGGACTATCAGCAACGTAGCTTGCGATCAACGGCCCCAGGTAGGTACCAATGGAAGTGGCGGCGACGTAGAAACCAATCACCCGGCCGAGTTGGTGTTCATAAAACAGGTCTGTCAGGGACAGCTGCACATTTGCCTCGGCGCAGGCCTCGGACGCTCCGACGAAGAGTTGATTCCAGATGGAGTCGGAAGCGTTCTCAACCTTGGCAAACCAAATCGCACCGACAAGACCACTCACCAAACAGATCAGGTAAGTGATACGTCGGCCATACAACCAAGAGCTCGGGGAGAGGACGTAGGTGGCCACTCCAATGGTCACGAAGAGAATGCCCGCACCGGTGTTCTCGCTCCCGTAGGAGATGCCCAATTCCTCATTCTGACCGGTGGAAGCCGATCCGGCATCGTTCGACGTAGCGGCAGTGAGACCAGCAAGGAAGCAAACTAATATCGCATGCCAGTACTTGCGTGGCCAGGACCAATTGAGCGGGTCGTTGGGAGATTTGGTCGGAGTCGGGGAGAGGATGATATCTCCATGGTCGACCAAACGCCAGGTGCCGGGAATCTCCTCCTCATCCATAGCTCTCTCAATATCAATCACAGATGTTCTTTATTTTAATCTTGTTCCAAAATGCGGCCAAGGGCAACGTTAGGGAGGCTGTCGGTATCGATGTGTGGTCGACAAGCAAATTTCGCACCCAGATTTGCGGCGCTTAGCAAACCATTGTTGCTTACGGGCAAGGTCAATCGTATTCTTTCGGTAGTGATGAACAATAATACGACTAGAGTTCCTCTTCCAGCTCCTGCCTCGGCGGCAGGAGCTTGTCAAGGCTCGTTCAAGCGCGAGTAAAGGGAAACGACGAGGAGGTCCGGTAAGGCGAGCTGCTGCGCCCTTGAGAGTTCGATTGCGTACAGAGAGTCAAAACTGTCCAGCGCACATGATATAAAACGAATTGTGATGGGCGAAATAAACCAGAGACTCGAGAATATATGTCGCACAGAATGTGGCGTGACGAGAAAAAAAATCCGGTCAAGGAGGTGACTTGTGTGCCCAAGGAAAAAAAAAATAGTGTCGGAAAATCTGCCGAAGACAGAGAGGCCTTAAGTGGGGAATTATTGCCATCGCCCCTCGCTGATCTATCATTAGTGATAAGGATAAGATAGTTAGTAGTAGTTAGTTAATTATCGCATCGTCATTGGTAACTGTCAGGCAATGGTTCTTCAGGATGGCATCTCCCTAGAATAAGTGATTCTCAACCGCTATTTGATTGCAGCACGGGAATCACGTTATGGGTAGCCTTAGGCAGAGAAGTCACGCGACTACAGGCTAGTGAGCAGCGAGCCTGAGGACTCAAAAGCTCTCAGGCGGCAATGTCACTTTGCCAGGACATCCGCTGTCTGTCGTCAAGCACCAGGGCCATACTCGGTGTAGCTGCTGACAGCCAAGGATGAGGGGAGCAACCGCCTCATTCCAACCGGTGAGGAAAACTCGCTGCCTCACCAACCGGGATGCAGAGGGGAAGGGTTTCAGCTGGGAGGTGAGGGAAATTCTTCAGCCTCAGTCATCATCTTGTATCGCGGCTCAGGGCGAAGTGCCATCGTTGGTGGCTGTCAATAAAGCGTGGGTATCGCTTCGCGGCACTACATCGGTTTTTGAGTGGTAGAGATGTTCGTTCTGGCTAACAATGAGCAGTCAATGGATATAGTTCGAGACGCCAGAGGCGAAAAAGAACCTCTGATGCTGGCTAGCCAAACCCTTCCATCGACAGCGCCCGATTCAAGGGTCATTGAGACGACTAGGGTTGCCCCGTGGCTGAATAATGGTGTGAACCCTTTTAGACCTCTGGAGGGAAAGATGATACACTCCCGGCTGACAGCAACTAGGATGGACACCGGTTAGCCATCTTTTTCTGGATAATCAAATTTCATGAAGTCCGAGCCTTGATAAAGCGGCATTCGACAGGGATATCTCCTGGTTACCAGGGAGTAAACACTAGGCAACAGCAATACTACTACTCTCCTCGGTCTTCAGAGTTGAACGAGGCTTTGCGAGCATGATGGTCAACCCTGAAAGATTGTTGGTCTTCTGTTGCGATATTGCTTTCCGCTGACTCTTGGCTATTTGGCCTGAGGATACGGAGTAGTCGCGGTAGTTCCTCTCTAGAACACTATCCTTGGTTGCATGCACAGCCTCTCCGCTGAGGCTAAATCCCTGAGGTATCCTGCTTGCCTGCAGTCAACGATAACAGGCCTAGGCCAATTCGACCCAGAGTTCTGACCATCTGTGGCTGATCAGAGCCATCACCTGTCTTGTTCACGTTGTTCGGGCAACGCCCGTCCTATTGATGGCTTGCTGCGGGGCGTTAAGATGACGGGCAGGACAGCGATCGTTGGTTGCCAGTAATACAACCTCAACGCGCTGAGCCGCAAGGCTTCAGCCAATCTTGATGCATATCCTGGTTTTCGGGTGCATTTTACCTGCATTAGTGCTCGACTTTCACCCGGGCGAGTCGTGATTGCAGCCGAGCCTGGGGGGTTAACTCAAGGCAGTATTGTTATCTATCAAAGTGCAACATGAATCAAAAGAGTGGAAGCAAGAGAGTTGGATTTGATATAGAGCGGATATCTTCCTTTCATCCAAAAACAACAATCTGCTCTAAATTTGCATCTCGTCTATCCTCCCGACCAACTGTTCTATATGAAGAGTTCTTGTCATTACTATGATGGCTTAATGCTTTCTATCTTACCACCTTTGTCCAGCATTGCTCCCAGAGTCTCCTTTCATCCTTAGCTCTTTACACACTCTCCGTTCTTAACCAGAATCCCTATATATTTGCGTTTCTCCATACGCTGCTATCAACTGCAACGATCTTTTGACATCGATCCTATTCACCTTGACAGCAAGAGCAAGACGAAAATGAATCACCACATTCCTATTTCTCCAACCCACGTACCTTCATCCCATGGTGGGGAAATCTTTGATGACTTTTGTGAATCGGTATCGCTTCCTCCGAATTCAGTCCGGCCTGGCTCTCGATTCGGGGAACACGCCCCTACAGGCGCCACCTTGGTCGACCAGATGGGAAGGTTCAACATCAGAGACAATGAACTCCCGAATCACAGATCCGACACGGCTCAGGTCAATAATAGACTCCAGGGGGTTCCCCCTATTGGCATTGGCACTCAGACTACTTATTATGAAGGCTTTACCTTCTCCAAGGCCGAGCCCGAGGTGCCCGGACAAAAAGCTAGCTGGACCCGCGCCAACAAGATAAAGATGCGTCTCAGTCAGAACGACTTGGCCAAGATGGTGCAAAAGAAAACCCGCAAACACTCTGCTGCTAAGCAGTACCAGGGACTTTCTATTTTGAGGCGTGCTCATGTGGACCGGCTAATCGAGGAACGGCGAAGAGAGTCTAACGATCCGAAATTTGAATGGTACTGTGCCTATGTTAGCACTGACGAGAAGGCTTTCAAGGGTAAAGGTGCCAGGCCTGGAGACTACGAAACCGTATCCATGGACGTCATTGTTGCGCGAAAGTTGCGGCCGGGTTTCTCCATCATCAATGGAAGCTCTCCGCACGCTGTCTTGGGCGATCTTGTCGATCTAGATACCCCGATTAGGACGAAGGAAAGAACTTCCAAGTTTGACAATCGTACTATGGAGACTGGCCATCAGCCATTCAACAAAGTTCCAGGAATCGGCGGTCTATTTCCAGGACCCGGAGGTCATCCTCCTCAGCACGTTGGCGGTCCCTCCCATTCAGGAATGGGACGTGGTGCTACCCATCAGCATCTTCCGCCGCAGATTCACCACCAGCAGGCCTATCCTGGGTCTACCCAAGTCCCCACTGGGCTTCAGCCGGCGATGAATAGACCTGGTACATCTGGTCAGGGTCCACAGTCTCAAATGGCATCAGGGGGCATTCACCAATTGCCTCAGAGGCCTAACAATATGGGTCCTCGTCTAGGAAGAGCGCCACTCGGACCAGAGGTGAATGGACGTCCTGATCCCAGACTGTCAGCTCCTCATGCACCTCCCCAATTTCTTCCGCCTACGCATCAATTCGACAGCAATCAAGGCCACGGGAAGCCCAATGCCGCTACTAATAAGCCGGCCCACTCTCCTCGACCGCCGCTCAAATCTCCAAAACTTGCTGCACAGTCTGTGGACGACTCTTTTTCCGACTGTAACAGCGATGCAACTGACGACTCTATGTGTTGTTCCACCGACGGTAGCTCCGTCACATCGGTGTACGAAGACGACTTTCCGGACAAACCAGCTCAAGCACGCGGCAGTCTCCATCAGCGCACGCAATCTCCAAAGGAGGGCCGCTTCGAGCCTGTCTATCGCACCCATTCCCGCAAACAACCTTCCAACAAACATATCACCGAAGGCAGGAACTATCGGCGTCTGTATCCCGCGGGTCAAGTTGACCTCATCCTCGAAAACAGCAGACTTTCGCGTAGAGAGGGCAGGATGGTACGGGATCCGGAAGTTCCTCACCGAGGACTGCAGACACGGCCAGAGATCATCAACCACGACTCCCTCTACCAGGCGTATGACTCCATCATTCCTTCCCTGGATCCAGACCATCCCTTCAGTGACAAGGCCAGGGAGCGTCGAGCCCTAGATGACCAGATCCGGGCCCGAATCCTCGAAGATCGGGCGGACGAGCTCCGACACAGGGAGCGAGAACTCGAAACCCGGACTCGGACGTTTGAAGACGAGGTCCGATACATGAATATGATGAACCCGGGGCGCCAAATGCCTCTGCGGGAACCTTCGGTGCGCTCTGCGTACAAATATTCGAGCTATCATCCTCGAGAAATATACTACTAATGTGTATCATGATTTATGACCCCTCTTTCTGTTTCTCTTCCACCTTTCCGTGCTATATTTTTAATACCATTTGCTTTCTTCACTTTCACTATTCTATGATGTCAAAAAAAAGAAGAAAAAAACAAAACAAAACAAAACAAAAGTCCGGATGCAGCGTCGGTCTGCTCCAGTGAAGCGTTGGGAGTGGCTTCTTCCTCTTCTTCAGTTCGGTTTTTCTCAGATCAGTCTGGAACAAGATCTCTATGTTTTCATATCAGGATGTTTCATATGCAATTCGACCCATCTTAACAAGCTTTCCATTCCTTTCGGCCGTGTAGATCCCCTCATGCCACCGAGATATTCCTCGGTGAGCTTGTAATTGTATAGCCGCCTTTATCGATAAAGCCTGCCTGCCCCTGCCCCGCCGACTTTCGCCGCATTCTGTTCCCGGTGACCTTCTCTTCTTCTTCTTTGCATCTCAACCTTCCATCCACCACGTTGGCTTTCTTCATTTCCTTGCTCAGAACTCAGAGGAGATATCTCTCATCCCAGCATACCGCCAGAATGCCTCGCCAATTCTTTGTCGGAGGTAACTTCAAGATGTACGTTCTTGTCCTGCCTCTCCCGAGAGTGCCCCGCAGCTGCCCCTCGGAATAGCATCATACCATCAATGATCGTCGTGATGAAGATGAATATCCATCATTGACCGTGGTTTCTCGCCGTGAAAAAACAGGAACGGTGTCGGCGAAAGCCTCACCAACATCGTCAACAACCTCAACTCTGCCGAGCTCGACCCTAACACCGAGGTCGTCGTCGCCCCCCCGACTCTCTACCTGCAGCTGGTTCGCCAGGCAGCCAACGAGAAGATCGGGGTCTCTGCCCAGAATGTCTTCGACAAGCCCAACGGTGCTTTCACCGGTGAGGTCAGCGTCGAGCAGCTCAAGGATCTCAACATCAAGTGGACCCTCATCGGCCACAGCGAGCGCCGGGTGATCCTCAAGGAAGACGACAACGTATGGACCTGATTGATTGAATATTTCTTTTCTTTCGTGACGATGTTTCTCTGATGATGATGGTATCCTAGTTCGTCGCCCGCAAGACCAAGTCCGCCATCGACGGAGGTCTCAGCGTGATTCTTTGCATCGGTGAGAGTCTCGAGGTAGGACGAACTCATTCTGTCAGGAACAACAAAGTACATCCTCTTTCTCACACAAACTAGGAGCGTGAGGCCAACCAGACCATCGACGTGGTTACCCGCCAGCTCCGCGCTGTTGCTCAGTCCATCACCAAGGAGCAGTGGTCTAAGGTTGTCATTGCCTACGAGCCCATCTGGTATGTCATAGACAGTCCCTGTACCCTCACCAAACCAAAGACCCTACCGTACTAACAGATCAGGGCCATCGGTACCGGCAAGGTCGCCACCACCGAGCAGGCCCAGGAGGTCCATGCCGCCATCCGTGAGTGGTTGAAGACGGATATTTCCCCTGAGGTCGCCGAGAACACCCGCATCATCTACGGCGGCAGCGTCAGCGAGAAGAACTGCCGTGATCTCGCCAAGGAGGCTGATGTCGATGGCTTCCTTGTCGGTGGTGCCAGTCTGAAGCCTGCCTGTACGTTTTGGAACCCTTTCCTGATCCCATTTGACATTTCCGTGCTAACTTTTATTATCTAGTCGTCGAGATTGTCAACTCTCGCGTGTAGATAGCCAAATATTTATTTCGGGTACCCGCCAAACATCTATTTCAGGGCAATGATGAAAAATGAATCCATGAAATTCCAACCTGTCGGGCAGGTGGTATATACTTAAATGACAGAAATAACAGATATATCTTTAAAACTGCTTGGTAGATGTAAGGCACTGGGACGCATATCTGAATTGAAACCCAGCCAACAGTTCCAACCAGATCAAGAGAAATATTGATAGAAATGGAATGGACATTACAAGCCTTATTCTTGATATACTGCAAACAAGAAACTCGAACAGGCTCTCTACAATTATGGTGTATATACAAAAAAAGGACCTCTAGGGACCCTGGTTATATAATCATGACGAATAAAGAATTGACACACCTACACCCCGCCAATACGACGGCGGATGTCCGCCACCGGCACTCGAGGTTGACCCGGCCGCCGGCACAGACGAGCAAGAAGGGGAAAAGGAACCAGGACCGAGCCCGATGCCGGCGCTGACCAACAATTCCTTGATTCTGCCTTCCCAGAGCAGACGGACATTCCAGGACTGGTCAACACGGATCTTGACGACAGATTCACCTGCTCCATCTTCCTTCTCGCCCAGGAGAGGAGTCGTAGCAGGCTCAAAAGGTGTTGTTGAAGGTGATTCATGAATAGGGAGAGCTTCACCGCGCATCTTCCGTCGGGCCCATTCGAGGCCATCGTCACCATCCAGCGAGGAGCGCGCGGGCGTCTTCCGGCCTTGTCGCCAGAGTTCACAGCCAGCCACCATTTCGCTCTCCCAGCTATAGACGTTGAACCCGAACCGCGAGCAAAAGGCGAGGTTAGGCGATGCACGCACCGAGTACGTCGTGGATAGGGAGCCCGTCAGCGGCGTGAGCGTTAACGTTAGGGTATACGGGAATGTGGATATCGGACCGCCGTGGTTGCCGGTGAGGGATGGAGAACCCTCCGTGGCGGCTGGGAGGGTACTGAATCTCAGGCCTGTCGACATGCCCACTAGCGAGGACACTGGCGAATAATATGCTTCCGCCCCTGCAGACAGGAGAGACAGGCGTGCAGACGATTGATCTTGTGATTTGCGCGGATCAGGGCCGAAATTCCACAGGCCGCGCCACCCGAACAGGGTATTGTCTGTGCTGAATAGGTACTCGTTACTATACTTGCCCGTATTGTGCGATAGCTGTGTCAGGAGAGAGGCCTGAGGCGCGGATTTGGACAGCGGGGGGCCTTGCGTGGAGCAAACAGCTAGCGACAGCTGCATCGTCGGCGAGAGGCGACGCAGAAACAACGCATTGAGCGTAGTCGGTGGTGGCAGATGCAAGGTCGCATGAAGAAGCGTGGCTTTCCGTCGTGTAGATTCCACTTCATTGTCTATCTTGTTCCCGCTGCCGACGCTATTGATATCACCCAACAGGGAGTCCCATCCCCAATCTTCCACAGGAGCGACGGGCGGTTGGACCTGACGGTAACCGGGAGCAATCTTGCGAAGCGGTATCAAGGCGCTCTTGCTTGCGGTATTTTCAAACGGCACAGTACTAAACAGATATGAGACCGATCCATCGATCAGCCCGACTGTGCCGAGTGTGTAGCTGGTTGCGAAATGAGGGGTCGACAGAGACGATAGATGGACGCGTAGACGCTCGGGAGTCGAAAAGTCCAGAAGAGCTATTGAACAGTCAGACACAAAACCCCCTTCCAAAAAGCAGTATTTCAAGTCTCCTTCACATACACTGCGCCGTCGCCGTCAGCGACGAATACGAATTCTCGCCATTCCAGCCGGTCGCTTCGGCGAAGGCGAGCTGGATGTAGTCCATGAAATCGAGCATGATTCGCTGCTCCGCCACCGCAGAAATACCACAGGACACCCGCACTGCCTAATTTTCATCGACTCTCTGCCTAGACATGGCTTGAGAAGCCGAGGAGTTCAATGACAACAGACTGGGCGACGATCGTGATGTCCCTCAAGAGTCAACAGCCGTCGGTCTAAGCTGATTCCCCGAAGCGGACTAGACCCGCTGGATAAGGGCCACGCATCAATGTTGCGCCGTTCCGTTATCAGAAAATCACGGGAAAAAAAATAATCGCCCAATTCTTGCCGACTGTGGAGAGTTGGAGATTAAACGCCATTTACTTTGAACTGGTCCTTGCAATAATCTTTCCTTGATTCTGTGTCTTTTTTTCTACTAGAATCCTCACCGGTACATCAAAATGCCCCGTTCTAAGCGCGCGAGGATCGTTCACGAATCCAAGACCGCCAAAAAGTCCCACAAAGAGCAGACCAGACGGCTGTATGCGAATATTCGAGAATGTGTTGAGGAGTACGACCATCTTTTCGTCTTTGCGGTGGACAACATGCGGAACACCTATTTGAAGGATGTACGGGCTGAGTTTGCGGACAGTCGGTAAGTGGTGGAGAGGTGGGAGGGAGACGAGAAGTCAAGTCTTGAGAGAAAATGGATTCTCTAACCAGAAGCGTTTTGATAGACTCTTCTTTGGCAAGACCAAGGTCATGGCTGTCGCCCTGGGCCAAACGCCCGAAAACGAAGCCGCAGCGAACCTGCACAAGGTGACACCCTACCTCACTGGCGCTGTCGGGTTGCTGTTCACCTCGCGGGACCCGGCGTCTGTGATCGGGTACTTTGATTCCTTCCGCCCGATGGATTTTGCTCGCGCGGGCACCGTCAGCACCCGCCCCTTCACGATCCCCAATGGCTTGGTGTACGCTCGTGCCGGCGAGGTCCCGGCCTCTGAAGACGAGCCGATCAGTCACACTATGGAGCCTGCTCTGCGCAAACTTGGCGTCCCCACCCGCCTGGTGAAGGGCAAGGTGATGCTGGAACTGACCGATGGCCAGGAGGGATACCCCGTTTGCAGGGAAGGCGAGACCCTCGATTCCCGCCAGACTACCCTCCTGAAGATGTTCGGTGTGGCCACGTCCGAGTTCCGTATCGACCTGAAGGCGTCCTGGACCCGCAGCGATGGTCAGGTCAAAATTCTGGACAAGGACGCTGGGATGGATGTGGACGCGGAGTGATCGCGGCCTCAACAAGATACCTTAAAAATTGGTTCCCTTTCTTTTTTTTTCTTCTTCTCTATACTGGGACATATCTCGGAGTTTGGCTAGGCGCTTTTCTTTTCCCTTTCCCCACCTTTATAGTCCTAGATTCTACGTGACGCATGATGATGGACATACACCAAAATTGCATTACATATAAGCTTACGACAAGATCATTTCCTTGGGAGAAAATAGTGCTCCATATCCTGAGCAAGAATGGAAAACAAGGCTATGCTAAGTACAGAAAGAAAATAATTGGCCTCGCCGTGCCTGGAAACTTTACAGGTGCAATAAAAGGAAGGTGTTGGATGCTGGCATGCTGCTATAAGAGCTTACCTGATCTTACCTCGTCGCCCCCGAACTTTTCTAGCCCACGACGATACCTATCCTTGTGCCTAAACTAACGTACACTGATTTGATACTTACCCTGACAATACTATAGTGGTCACACATGCCTGAGAAATCGATAGGAAAACAAGAGACATAATGAAAACGGTATAATCCGACACGAGACATGAGCAGAAAGGGAGAAGAAGGAAAAGAAAAGAAAAAAGACCTCCTTTGGCTAGAAGGTATGGAGTACCATCCGCATGAACAGTAGGCGTAGTTGTCATGTTTGGAAGTGGTCGAGGTCGGTGTCGGGGAGCCATGTTAGCAGGTCAGCCCGAGCCGCGGTAGGACTGTTGTAAGTAGAAGATGTGCTATTATTTATCCGTAGTCGGCATTCCGTGGTATATTCTGATCTTTCGCTGGCTTTCTTTTCCCACCTTACCCTTGGCAAAACAGGGGGGTATAATGCTCAATGTCAGATAAGACTACCTGGATACCCACCCACCCTTCCTCAGAAGTCAACTCGGTTGGTCAAGTAGAACGCTTTTTCCTGTGGCCACCGCGCAGTGATCCCTCCTAATACCTGCGTTTTGCACGAGGGTCTTCGTAACCATCATCTTCGTGGTGTCTCTTCCGGCCGTAGTCATCCCGACCACCGCCATGCCTGTCGCGGTCACGGTCACGATCGCGGTCACGATCGCGGTCCCTGTATCGGTCACCTTCCCTGTCTGTCATGCGATCGCGGTCCCTGTGCCTGTCACGCTCGCGATCACGATCATGGTCTCTTCGGTCACGCTCCGAATATCCTTCTCTAGGGCGAACGGGTTCGAGGTTGCTTCCTGTAGCGCCTCGTGGTTCGCGCTCATAGCGCCCGGCACCGCCATAGGAGGCGCCAAACCCTGCGTTCCGGCCACCTCCAGGTCCAGAGGGGGCGTTTGGCGGTGCTTGTCCACCTCCTCCACCTCCACCAAACCCGTTGCGATTGCCTTGATACCCAACACCTCCGCGAGGGCCGAATCGGTCTCCACGGTAGCCTCCACGGAAACCACGGCCTCCGAAGCCACCACGGAAGCCACCCCCAAATCCGCCAGGGCCTGACGGAGCATTGAACGAGCCGGGGCCGACGGGACGCGATGGAAGCGCCTTCGTATATCCGCGACCGCCAAGCCCACCGCCGAAGCGACGTGGTTTCCAGCCCTTGACGGTCCGACCGCGCTCAACGTCCACCAAAACCCGTCTATCTTTGATCCGAATACCATCTGTCTCTTTGTAGGCCGCTGAAGGTTGGAAAGGGTATCAGCACACGTCATACTTGAGGCCACCCTTGCCCGAATAGAATAGGATTCAAGTCAAGAAAACCCAGTACCTTTCATATCTTTTTCACGTTCATACACAATAAATGCATATCCTTTATGTGGCTTTTTGCTGTTTGTGCTGTCTTTGACAATGCGAATCTATAATGATATTAGCACGGCTAAGGAATGGTACCAAATTTTCAGGACATGACTATACCCTCTCAATAGGCCCAAACCTTCCAAATTCACGTTCCAGATCAGATTCTTTGATGTCGTAGCTGAGTCGCGCAACGAAAAGTGTCTTGAACGGATCACCTCGAGCTTGGGAGTCGTTGCTGGGGTCATCTGCATCATTCGGAAAAAATCATCACGGTCAGTATAGGCACTACCCCTCACACCACGTCGAGTGTAGGAGGACATACAAGTCTGCAGATCGTCTGTCAATTGCTGATTCAGGCTCTCCTTTTTCTCCTCCTTCTGACGCAGTTTGCGCTGGAACCAGCTCTCGGTGGCATTGTACGGTAATTCTTCCGGATACTTTTTGAAATCTTCGAGATACTGCGCAATACCGGAGATGGTGCTCTTTTGGATATCCTCTGGTGCGCGGTCTGAGGGAGGGATATAGCGAAGGGGCGGGCGCGGCTGGAAGAGCGCAAGCAGCGGAGGAGGGAGCTTGTCCGTCATTTTGCCCTCTCCAGCAGGATTAAGTTTGGTGAAATTCGAAAAATCAAGGCAGAATGAATTCCTCCAGGACGGAAGGTTTTGCAGGGGTCCGAGTTGTCACCGGCGTCCGGGATGGGTGATCGCTGAGCGGTCTACGCCGTACTGGCACGATGTAGTTTCGCGTTCCTTGCAAGTTTCCTGAGCTTCACCGAGCCGCGAGCCGCGAGTCGTGAGCCGCGATTGCCGCGACGAGACGCTGGCCAATCACCGCTCTACGCTGCTCGCTGGGTGCCGGAGCCGGGGAATGGTTGTTCCGAATGGGCTTGAATTGATGGATGCCGTCGTTGGATCTGATCGGAAAGAAGCAGACGATACGAATCGGACCAACGATGCCTGTACAAGGAATCAGGGCGGTGACCGCCGCCAGAGTATGTTTACTGAATCCATAGATCCTCGAGTGGCTCTTGTCACACTGCTAACGATTGCAGAACGGCGTCGGCGCTTTCATCCTCCAATGCAAACGCCTTGATTTACATTACTGCGACTGGGCGGGCAGCTCGCGGGGCATGGTGTGAGTGAAGAAAATTATCGGGATTTTGAAGAAAACAAGAAAGAGCATCGGACTGACCATATTGACTGCGCAGGGCGTTTCTGAAGCACCAACTCCCCGCGTTCGCAAAGGAAAACCCGCAGATTGAAATCCGTGTCTCCCCACGACCGCACAAACACCCCGTCCTACGAGGACACTACATCAACGGACGAGAGAAGGCGATCTGCGTACGGAACCTGGAGCCGGAACAGATTCTCCAAAAGGCCAACCTGCTGAAGGAGGCGAGTGGAGAAAAGTTGAAGAAGCAGAAGAAGCCGGTCACCAGTCTCAACGAGAGTGTCAGAGGCATCTGGTCACCTTACCACGGGGATCTCAAGTCAGTGTAGATACGCCTTTCTCGCGTTCCTCACGGTCTATGAACTCTTTCTCCTTTTTTCTTTTTTACCCTTTCCTTGTCTCTGGGGGTTGTCTTTTCCTCAAGAGCAATGTGTTGAGATATCAGAGGTGATGATGGTTTCCTTCGGCCCAGCAACTGCATTACTACTCCCAATGACTCGTGTTCTGTACATTATCTAGATAGTCTATTTGTTTCGTGCTATTAGCATCCATGTGAATCATACAAAAGCCTTCCCCGAAAGATACTGAGCTTCATTCGTTTCATTCGTTATAAGCGGCAAATAGTATGTACAAGACTCCATTGGGCCCCCGATGAAAACTTCAACGCTGGCCTTATGTATCCAAAGTTCCCCCGATGCTCCCGCAATGCACCATGGAACCAATGTGCTGTGTTATAGCCAAAAGTGAGTGGAAATGGAAAGAAAAGCCGATGTATGCGCCAGGGCTAAAAACGCCTCCTCTTGGATAATGCAAACTGGGTATCTAAATAAATGAACTGGGAGACCGATTCCCATTGATGTATCAGTCCCAGTCAAGGTGGACGATTCTCCTCCACGCCATGCAGCGTGAAGGTTTGAGACTGCTTCGGTCAGGA